AAAATGATAAGGCACAAGATAACGGTATGGCCTTGGGGACGTAATAAAGGCTCTTGCGCAACCGGCATGCTTAGCGGCAGATGTCATGAGAAATTGACTGTTTTGCATTTTCATGCAGTACGATTTTTAGGTCGGTCTTTTAAATTATGGTCGCAAAGCATGCCGGTCGCACAAGAGCCTTTGAGACTCCGTTTACGCTGTGCCGGATAAATTTTATCCGCATCAAAATTAGTTCAGATAGGCGTCGCGTTTACACTAGACCCACGCTATCCGCACGAATTTGAGAGCGGCTATCCGAACAAAATTAGTTCACCTAGAAAAGTGGATTAAATTAGTTCGGATAGCTATGTGGTACAGTGTAAACGCTTTTATCCGGATAAATTTTATCCACATCGTATCCTGCTCGAAAGCGATTGGCTATTTCATCCAATTTAGATTTCACTGTCTCCAAATCAAGACCTTTCGCCATCTTAGCTGCCTTGTTATCGATAAATACTCGTGTTAAAAGTGCAATATCTTGCCAGTCCACGTAAAATTGGCATCCTTGTCAGCCTTCCCTACTTTCGTTGCTAGTTCAGTGTCATTTTATTTCAAGAACAAACCATTAAAACAAACTAGGCCTAATTTGTATTGACAATATCTTTGGATTTGGTCTAAAAGGGAAGCAGATGATTCTGAAGAGAGAATGAAGTCTTTTTACGTCTGCGGGAATTTTGTTATTATTTTGTTGCCCAGAGAAGACTTCATTTTGGGCGTTCTGTGCATGATTTAGGTCGTGACTGCAGTTATCCGGCACAGTGTAAACGGGAGGGCAAAGTGGATAAAATTTGTGCGGCACAGTGTAAACGCAAATCAATCCGAACAAGTTTTATGCGGATAAATTTTATCCGGCACAGTGTAAACGGGGTCTAAGAAAGGATTCCAATTCCCAGTCAAGTTTTCAAGCGTGACGTCACAGAACATATTTTTTCAGACCACATTTCCTGAAGCAACACCATGAAATATATTCAAATATGGAAAACAAGCAAAATATGTACAAAATTGGCGAGTTATGATGAATAAAAGACTGGAAATTTGCTAACGGATTACTGTTACCTTGGCCTGGCTCACAAATTATGAACAGAGACCAAATTACAGACATTTGACAGGGAAGGAACCTGTGCATTTATGACCATATCTCGGCCAATTTCGAACCAATTTAACTGATTCTGCATAACAATAGACATTTTTTGATGCTCTTTCTGAAAATGTTATCAAAAAATTTTCTTCAAATATATTTTGCGACATTGTCATTTTTATCAAGATGCACAAATTGAGGCTGTTGAACCGTTTATTCAATATTAACCTGGGTTGCCTTGGTCTCTACGCATTACATTTTAAGGTCTCATCCCCAGGTGTCTTGGCATTTGAAAAAGCTGTATTTTATCCGTTGTAGCTTACTCCTTTGTAATTTTATTTGATTCAAGCACAATTTTCCATTTAATATTTCATGACCAGTCTACAATCTATAACAAGATGTCAATAGACTCTTACGCAAACCAAACTGATCTTGAGCTTAGCGAGCAACTCAACTCCACTGAATCTCGCTGAGGACTCCTTTGTCTACCAGGCAATTTCTTTGCATTATGAAGTTTCATGACTTTTTCGGGGCGGCAAACAAGATAAGGTTTCAAATGAGTGAGGTAACCCTCCGTCCTGGAGTGAAATAACATGCGTGATATTACTAAAGTGACGTGAAAAATTTATGTTGAGAGAATGAAAGCCTCTTTGTTCTAGAACATAGTTCTAGATACTCTCTGTCAGTTTTAGTTACCTCTTTGAACCGCCATAAAAGGGTTTGAGCCAAGGCACAAAGACCTTCACCATTCTAATAGAGGGCGGATATGGAAGGCTGCTGCCGCTAGCACCACATCTGCTGCGGGTGTTAGCCGACTTCGAGATTCTTCGTGGACCAGGTAAGAGACCCCACTGAGTTGGAACGTGACCTCTTTTCAAATTACCGACTTTCATTTAATTCTAGCAAATCTGGAATTAGATATCGTAATATGTGGTTTATTGATGCAGAAGCTCAAAATGAATAGCGCATCAGTCGCGTGTGTATAAATTACGATAGGCATAATGTTCGCATTCCATGCCTCTTTTCAAGTAGACTGATTCCGATTACAATTGAATACGCCATCCCTCCACGCGCGCGTGTAGGTCATTAAGGCTCCTCCGACCTTACATCCTTCCAAAAGACTTCTGATCGCCTCGCAGAAGACTGTCTTTCGCTAAAGGTAATAAGGATGAACAAAGCAAAACGACGACGAGAATCCCCAATGTTGTCAAATTGAATTTCTGGTAAATTGAAAATAAATTAAAGGTAAAGTTGTCTTCATATACCTGTTTAACCCGAGGGACGCATCATTCTTTCCAAATAGCGTACGAGACTTTCTAGAACAATAGGATTTCTCGAAGATTTTTCTCGAAAACAAAATGATTTTTGTCAAAGTTGCATAAGATTTTCATGAAGTGCTGTCTCTCCTTTCAACTGATATAGAATTCTAAAGTGTGACGTCAAAAAACTACATAAAACTACAGCATGACCCACTCTTGGGGGGGGGGGGGGATTTGGCATGATCATGCCTTGCATAATTGGTTTTGGAAGCCTTATCTTTGCAGAATAAATGAATGTAGTCTATTCATTCAATTCAGTTTGGTACCAGCAATATCAAAATGATTTTGAATGACTCTTTTGGCAATGAAATCGTTAAATTCAGACGCTACTGGTGTCCTAACAGACTGTCGGAACAAACTTGACAGAACATCGAAGCAAGGCAACTACTTGTCAGCTTGCAAAACTGACGGCATTTCTGCAAATCATTTGCTGGCCTGAAACTCAAAGTAGATGTTAACTGCAAAAAGAGTATAGATGAGGAATGCTATCTACAATATAAGACGACAAATACAAAATGGCCTTTGATATTGAAATAGACAAAGACCTTTGCAAGCATTTCATCCGGCTGTTTATTTTGAGAGGCCTATCTGTTTTCGGCTACTACCTTATGTTTATGGACGCTTTTACTTCGGCGTTCATGGTCTATCCTGATCATTTCAAGAAATATAAAGCTGGTGCATTTGGAAATGTAACGAAGAAGACAAATAGCAAAGACCTGTATTGTGACTTTAACAAGAAATGGAGCACAAAGGACCTTGAGCTCCTGTTCGGGACACACAAGTTCAACTTGATGATGCTAATGGGTTTCATGGGTGCAGTTGCTGTATTCTTCCTAATAAAAAATGTCGTTTTTATTCGTTTGATTTTGTTTCCGATAGCCCCAATGGTGGATAAAAAGGGGAACACAGTGATAAGCAAATGGGTGAAGTTAAAGGATCTGTGCTACCGGGCATCAACCCTGCTTGGGGACTTACCAGCAATTGCTATAGCAGTTGCTATATATGGACAATTAAGGGGCAAAACAGGTATTGGATGCTGGGAGTGCCAAATAACAGAGACTTGCAAAAACAAGGCAGCTTTTGACAAACTTCTAAACCCTAGTCAGCTGGCGATTACCATTTTGTACCCCTCTGTTGTATTTCTCACTTTCTACAAAGGATTTTACACTTATTACGTCTGGAGTAATCCGATGGAGTGCGAATGTTACTGTAAATGTCTGCGATGCTGTACTGGGGTGTTCTTTGCCAGCATATTTACAATGCTGATGATGACCCCAGGTTGGATGGTGTTGAACTATGGTTATTACACAAAACCAGGAATCGTAAAGGACGCTGTATCTTCACTGACCGAGAAAATGATGCTGATGGGCGTTATAATTTGGGCAGTTCTCATTCTCATGCTCATTTGCATACCAGTGAAAAACATGCTTTTGGCGGAAAAGAAAGAGAAGAAGTGAGCCTGCGCATTACTCGAATTAGTGGCTGCCTGGCAACATGAATATAGGATAATCACGGAGTATCGAATATAGGAGTATCGAATAAATTCCTTCGACTCTGCTAGAACAAAGACGCTTTGACATCGCGACTAGGAAGCGGTTTTGAGGATACAAACATTGAAGCTTTAAAATTTTGAAGGAAGTTGTCGGTTAAGAGGTTTTTGGGGGCCCATCTACCTCGGGGACTTTATGGAGCCGAGTTTACGCTTAAGCAGCACCTTTAAACAATTGGTTACACAGTATTTAGAAACACAGCTCACAGCAGAGAGAAGTTATGTATGGAAACAGTTTTGTTGTCTACTTGTAGTTTTCACAACCCTTTCAAAACTTTTTTATCTATGGACTTCTGCACCATATTTTTTCAAAAGCAAGTTTTATTGACAACACGGAAATGTCACCAGCATAGTTAGCGTACATTACAGTACAGTACAAGAAAAAATCTAACAATTCCATCTACAGAAATCACTGAAAAGAAACCATGCATTGAATTTTATTCTTCTATTCTTCAAAAATGCATCGATAAATTACCAAAATTTACACGAGACATCAGAAACACTTAATTCTGATCGAGCTTTTAATCCATTCTGAATGATTACTGAGCGGTGACCATATTTTAAATCTAAATATTTACTAACATGAAGCACTGAAATTAACTACAAGCATTCATCTTCTAGATCTATCTGCATATTATTTTCATACAAAATTTTCGATACTCATTCCCTGTATCGATTAATAAGTCAATATTAAGCATAATTCAAAAGCAAATCATCAGCAATGAAACTGAGTTTTCTTTCACCGGGGGCTACTTCCTTTTGATTTCACATTCAATGGTACAGATTTCCATTGGCCCAACCGTGATTATCTTCTTACCCCCTTGTTCTCCGAGGCAACCTTGTGTATCTTGTGCCCCTGTGCCCGACTCTGTTTTCCAGTTCAGCTGCTTTTTGTCAGAAGCAAATTGATTGGCTGCTAAGTTCAGCTCCACCGAATTAACAACATCAAACTCGGAAAAGAGCCCGTCCAGTGCAAATGAAGTAACTTTAGCAAACCTCGGGTCCTCTCCTTTCGCATAAATGTTCTCAAATCTTATAATCGCTTTGTTTGGGCTCGTTGCTTCAAGTGTCAACAAGTGAATGTTTTCAGGAAGAGACCTTTGCAGAGCAGAATATGTTGGTTTGTGAGTCTTCAACCAATCCGGTATTGATTGATCCCTTGCTGCAAAACTAAGGAGAAAATATTTGGGAACTGTCACACTGAAACTTTTGCTTCTAAATTTCAAAAATGTATTGAAAATCTACATTGTACAAAGTACAACAACACTACTTGCCCAAATGTTTGATACTTCATCTTGCAAGCAAATAAGTGATACTGGGACTTAAATACAATACAGTGCCACTCAGACTAACATATCTTATGCATACCACCCTTCTTTCTTTCTACCCTACGTCATCCATAAACAATCTAACAAATACTATCCAGATCACACGTAGGAAGCAGTTCAAAAGTTAGGTGCACATATAGGCAAAAAGGGGCAATCTCGTGATTTCTATTGCTTTAAAAAGTGCATCCAAAGTTTGAAATGCTCAGCAAAATTTGAAGTACCTAAGTTAAGAATGAGAGCTAAGGCTAGGCATTTTACTCCCGAAGCGTCGAAAGAGGGGGGTTAGGAAGGGGCATAAGTACCGGGGTCCGTGCTCCGTTGGGGCCCGTAATAATCTTGCATTTTACGTTACAAGATCTATTTACAAGATAGAAAACATATCACTTCAGTTACTTTTATCAAAGAGAAAAACCACGTCCATATGATTCATGAACACAATGTTTTTGCACAATCTTGTTAAAAATCCTTAAAAGTTTTTAACAAATTTACCTAAAGAGGGTGTTTCCCTAGTTCTCCAAGAGACTGAAGGCCATGGTCGCAGAAAATATTTTAGGTGGTACCTAGTGTTATGAATCACTTCCGGGCCCAAGCTGGATATCGATGGACCTGGTTTGTTCCCATTATTTTGGTTTTTCCTGTCTATATCAAAAGGCCTTCTCTGAAGAACTGGGTAGTTAAAAACAGAGCCACGCTAACGCCTGAATCAACAGAAAGTTCTTGTAGTAACTTAAACTGGTTTATATGCCGTGTTTTTTCCTATTTAGTTACATTCCATCGTATTTCTAGGTCTTTGACAGTGTCAAAATTATGAATACCACCAAGCTCTTGATAAAAGTGGGCGTCGTATATCATTGCATTTCATCCCCTTTCATCGGCTAATCACTGGAAACACAAAACCATTTTATATCGTTTTCATATGGGACGAGATACGACGAAAAACAATACCTGAAAGCCAGCCTTCAAACACTTTCTTACTTAAAATTCTATGAATGTTAATGTACAGTGGGCGCGTCAAAAGATAGAAAACAAAATGTTTCCAGGTTAATAATCAACAAAACGAAAATAATAGAAAATGAATTAGCCTACCTGACTAACGGACTAATCATAATTTTCTCGCCAAGATCTCGATGCGCGCTTGATCCTTCTTCCGGTCTCGTAAGTAAAACCCTGTGTATTCCCCTCACAATCAAACCATTACCATCCAGACCAGGCTCATTCAAGGCTTCACCAACACCCAAGAAGTCATCATGCAACAGTCTGCGGTGGAGCATTATCTCCAGAGAACCGTCTTTGATGCTCGATCCCCCATGTGACCTGTCAGTCATAACTGTCAGCTGTGCTGCTGAATCATTGATGTAGATTCGGCTGTTTACCGGGTAGTAATTCCCAGAAACCGGCTCTGTTACTTTGTAATCCCATGTTGCCCGGTAGTCTCTCTTTCGTTCTTTAATCTCTCTTCCGTTTGCATCTGTGTAAAACAGCTTATTGGACTTAATCTTGCTGTCAAATCTCGAAATGATCTCCTTCCCAAGTCCATCGTTCACTGGTATAGGCCCAACCGTATATTCAAACTCAGCATAGGGTTCGCCCTCGTACAGCCTGATAACCTGACTCACAATAGGTCCAAAGTTCTGCCTAGCTTCCTGGACAACCTTTTACAGACACTGTTTTTGCAATGTTGCCTTCACAAATATTATACGGCTCGGTCTTGTTGGGCCTAAAAATGTAGGCTCCTGACGTTTGCCGGCTTTCTGCATTCCCAGAGCTGCCATTGTACCAGAAAAACTGCTGATCAACATCAATTGATAGACTTATGTCTTTCCTTGAAATTCTGACCAGCCTTCCAGTACCAGGATCAAAGTCTAACTGCAATTTATCGTTTTCTATACTTCCTCCAGCTTCTTTGAAGTCTATGACTGGGGTGAACTGTGAGAAAAACGACTTAACAGAATTTTGCTTTTGCACAAAGGTAGTGTTAAAACCAAGCCCTTGCGCACTACTCTGATAAACGATTTCATACGGCGCAGAACCTCGGCTCCCGCGAATTGCTGCGGTTTCTTTAGAAACAGGTAAAACCTGCGAGTCTAACAGTCCCCCGTTTTCTCCATAAACAGCGAGATTCATTTCTGATACAGGGAACCTTATATATCTACTAACTGGCCTTGCAATGCCATTGAACATATTGACAGCAAGAGATGAGCTCTTTTCAGTAACAGCACACATGCTTATATTAAGAAAATTGCAAAACGTAAACCTCGGCGCTTCTGTCTTTTCTTCTTCGTGTGCCGACTTCTCACCAATAAAGTTTGAAACCAAAAGCTGAAAAAAGGATGCCAAAATTGGACTCAGATTATCTAGATTGCATTCTTTGGTTTCACACGAAACCACTTCTAGACAATTGTACAGAGAACGAAGAGGAGCACAAATCGCCCCTTTTTCTCTGCAACGCATCAACAGACGATAATAAAAGTGGCTCATTATTTTGCCATATCAAGTATGTCTACTGTACCTCATCAATCTCAATAATGTTTTTGGAATTTTCTGAATAACAATAAGAATTTTTAAGCTTATTCCATGATCGAGGAATTTGAAAATAAAACACAAACCTTAAAAAGGGGATGTTTCGATTAAAGATAACTGGACTCTATGTGAGGGCTCTAGGCACAACCTGGTTTACCGCCGGTAAATTTTTATAGGAAGACAGGACAATAAAGGGGCTAGACCCAGAGATATGCGAGAGAGAGGAGTGAGTTATTGTAAAAAAGAGTGGGGAGAAAACAAGAGATAAGTTAAGGTTTTCTTAGACCGATAAGAAACATTTATATCTCGTTGTAACCGAATTAGCGATACAGTTGTGAAGCCGAGATCAAACCGGCCTTGTTGTTCGTGGATTTCTCCTAAAGGACTTCGAACATTGCTGCGTGTGTGTCACATCTAACTTGATCCTAAATCCAAGTAGCAGAAATGTTTGAAGTAAACTCTTGCCAGACGTTAGATCTATTTTCTATACACAGTCATGCCCTGAAAACTTTCTAACACAAATACTTATATTGCTAGGAACTTTCTTTATCAATTTTTGAATTTTGCTTGATTAAATTGAATCGTAACAATAACTTGGATAGACGTTGAAGTTCCAACTTACTTTGCCTTGAATACCTTAAAAAATAAATAGAGCAGAAATAATACTAACATGGCATTCTTCTTCACCGATGGACAACCTTTTGGCATAGTCAAAGGTTACGTGCTGCTTTTCTGTCCCAGTCACGGCATCATGATGCTGGTTCACTGCCATTGCCTTTCTCAGGCTCTCTGAGCTCGGATATTCTCCTGTTGGACCCTTGATTGTTTCCATTTGCTTACATACCTAAAAAACAAGACTTGTTATTGTAATCTTGATGATTCCTTTTTTCTATTATTTTTCATCTTTACTTTATTCTTAAATAGTAAAGACTCATGCAGGAGACATGGCAAATATCAAATGGGGGTGTAGGGTTTCATAGCAGTTATCCAAATAACCATAAAGAAGTTTGGTAATTCCTAAAAGCTACTCAGCACAGGAAAGTTGAGTCACTCAAATCAAGGTGTCAATGCTATATATTGCTGATGTCAATGCAAAGAGTGTTGGGGCTCCATTTTTGAAGAGCAAGCAAATTCAGTTATGGTTTCATGAGAAAGAACTGTTCCTAATTCAGGTGCAGCTCACCTAAGTTTAAGAAAAGACAATAATAAAGTCCTATTTAATGTTTAAAAATCTACATATTTGTCATAAGATTGTATTATAGCATTGAAGCAGCAGTGAAATCTACTTTTTGACATTTTGGAAATAAACATTTAAAAAACCAGAGTATCGTCTGGTATTAAACAAACAAAATGCAAAATTTCAACAGAATGATTCAAGGGTAGTCATTTGTCCCCTACCCTCTACCCATATCAATGCTGCCCCTTCTATGATTAATCTAAACAACAGGTGTAGTGCCAACCAGCCAAACACTATTGTCCTACCGTCTGATATAGCAAATATGAAACACGGCAATACGCTGAGAATAAACAACAATAAATACACGTAAAGCAGTAAAGGCTAATATTTCTCCCCGGCATATGGGGCTTCATCAGAACCATCTACCTATTGATAGCTGCCCTATTTTTCCTAGACTGGCAACAGCAATATGCTAATACTGTTTCCTTGATAACATACTAACATAAGTTAAGTCTCACCTGTAACAAGTTGTTGTTCTTTCTAATGTAGCCTTTAAGAGCTGGGCGGCTTGTAAAGTATCCAGTCCAATAGCAATGAGGACAATGCGCATATGGAAAGAAATCATCAGTCTTGACACCCCAGGTTTTTCCGGCATTATGCAAAGCTTTCAAATAACGTGAAGGACTTGAATAGAAGACATTAACTCTGCCATCCTGAAATAAAAAGCCAAGAAAGGTGTTTATAAAGGTCCCTGTTCATTCTTTTTGGGTGAGTATTTTGTAAAAACAGACTTTATTTTTCTGATGACACTTTTGAAAGAGAGACAAGTGTTTGCTAAAAGGAGAGGAAATGTGGAGTCTGGGGCTTGTCCCTGGGGATTTTATAAAAATTGGTGGGTTTTGAACATCCATCTAGCTACTGTTCCATTGACAAAACAGCTAACTGCAATTCAACCAATGATGTGAAAAAAGTTACCACAATAGCCATTTATTCCATTGTCAAAGGACACAATTGCTTAATTGTTGTTGCTACGACTTCCTTTGAATATATGCCACATCCAGAATAGAAATTTGCAAAAATTATCTTGCTGATGACGTTGAGTCAACATCATTTTGTTGTGGTAAGCAATGGAAAGCCAGAGGCAAACTACAGGACCGTGTTACTTCCACAGAAAACAGTTACTTGCCTACAGCCTCTCTCAACACTCCTATGCGGACTCATTCTTCATACACAAAAAGGAAGTAATGCAGCATTTAAGATTGGAATAAAATGTCATCTTGAAATGAAGTATGCAAAGAAAAAAGGTTATTTGAGCATCCTTTTGAAGAGGAAGGAAATTCGTAGAAACCAGTGAGAAGAATACAGCAGATGCATGTGCCATGTGAGCGTAGTGCTGCATGCTGAAATTTGAGACTAAACACTGAGCTTACTATTATAGCACTATTAAAAACTTTTTTTTTGCATGCCATATGAATAGAAAAGAAGGTTTGCACAAGAAAAATGCTCTATTGGTCAAAGTTTCATCAACGATATTTCTTGGTGATTCCTTTTCAAATTAATGCATGTTAATCACAGCTTTCCACAAAAATGTTTTGAGCCCTCAAATAATAAACATAGACACTGACAGATTTCTGACTTTTGTGTGAGGTTTTGGACCTTTAGTAACAAGGAATTCGAGTTTATTCTGAGATGAAAGTATCTTAGTATCTTACTTCTCATCAAAAGCACAAATAATAGTAGATTTATCAAGCAATAGCCTGTGAGTAATTTTGGAATAACAAAGGAGCTCTGTCAATTAGCATTTCCAATTTTTGGATGAATTGCAATTAAGATTTAAATTACGTACAACAATTGAAATTATGTTGGTAAATTTTTGACAAAGAACAAATCATCTGCTTGAAACTTAACATTCCTTTTTTGCTGTTTTGATAGACATTGGAATTGACTTTGTGATCTTGGAGACAAATTACTACAGCCAGACCCACAGAATAGGAAATAGGCAGAAGGGTAACTCTCGTCGGTTCCTTTGTTGTTGTGAAGCCTGAGTCAACAATAGAACTCCTTAATTCCCCTTTAACCTCGATTTCATTAGAGGAACTTAGCCATGAAAAATTATCATTCATTAATCAGATGTAAATGAATTATGATACATAATTGAATTTGTTTACTATCATGGGGTATTTTGTCTCAAATAAAGTTGTCTACTTTCATTCTCTTTTAAATTTCCCTGACAGATACATGTAAGTTAACGCATGCGCAGGTTTTTCAGGCAGGAGTTCCCCTTCTGCCTAATTCCTATTCTGTGGTCACACACACAGACACGGATGCATGGAAAGATGATGGCTCAAACAAAAAACTTTTTATTTTTACTATGAAGACCTGTATGTTGTGAGTGATTAACTTGACTTTCCAATAAAATTATTTCCTGGAAAAGATTCTTATAATTTGAACTATAACCATTAGAAATCAGGTTCTGTAACTGCAGTGGGTTTTAACTCTGCAATGTAACTACATTAAAATTGCCTATTTGGTAAGGCAACTATCATCATAATTTGTGAGTTAATTCCTGATAGGCCTAGCTTTTTATGCTCCATTTAAATCTTTTGAAGGCACCAGCCTTGCAAAATTTTACCCAGTTCTGTCCCCTTGGCATTCAGCAATGTAACTTCCCTAAAACAAGGATGCTCTAAATTTACCAAAAATAGTTTTTCCGTTGAAAATGGTTTGAAGAAAAGGGAGACAGATCAAGCCCTGGCAGACAAAGTCGTTTTAGGGATGTTTTATGCATGCAAACATTCTTTATGTATGGCATGCATACATAAGTTTTCCATAATAGAGCAATTGCAAATTTGGATTGAAATTCCAAACTTTGGCATGCAGCACTATACCAACTCCAAACATGCACCAGGGGTGGAATCTTCTGTCTGTTCTCTCTGTCAGAGATTTCTGATGTTGATGTATCCTCATGGATGGAATTCTGGCATGAAACTAAGCCTTTTTTGTTTCTTTCCCATGATAACACGTTTATCTTTCGCAACTATAAATATATATAACATCTTTATTTTTATGGTGTAGAATCTCTTATCCACTGGAAAGCCCCTGGCTTAGAAGAAATGCTAATTCCTCCCTGGCCAGGCTGGAAAACTTGCCACGCTAGCAGATACACTGGATTTCTTGTGTCCCCACCTGACCCCAAATATCAATCAAGTCATTTATATTATGTCAACTACGTAATAGTCAGTTGAGTACATATGAGTGCTGTTGCTCTCATTTTAAGTGATTTTAAGTGATTGAACGTATCAGCTGATAGGGTGATAGGGTGCTTTTGCATGCAGCTACAGGCATTCAGAATCATATATGTTTCCAGCCTTGCACCCATGCACACAATTCTTCATACAAAAACAATGCCAGGGCTGGGAAATCAAAAACAAAAATAGCAGCATTACACAATTACAAATCAGCAAGAGCTTGCTACCATTTTCTAGCATTTGAGAATCACTTGCCGACAAACTTACCTCATTCACATACTTTATCAATTTGTCCAAGTTCTTGTACCACAGATTTGCATTTTCATACATAAAATCTGATCCCATTGTCAATATAACATTATTTGTTTTGTAATGTGTCGCTTGGTCACACACTTCTTTCACAAAAGTATCAACCCTTTCTTTTACATTGAAATCAAACATTCTCTTGTCATCCATTATTGGGGGATCTCCACAAAACTCATCAAAACAAAATCCTCCAGGTGGACCATATCCATTATATAGCTCACCAGTAAATATTTGTGTTAATTTTTCAAATGCTCTACTCCCTCTCCAGACCATCTCCATTCTTTGTTCCTTCAGTCTTGTCTGCTTGTCTTCTTCATCTATCCTGCCAAAAAAGAATCCATCAAACGACATCATTGAAAACAAAGAAGCCTGCTCTGCTGAGTGCCCAAATGGGTCGATATGCCAGGCAACTGTGGGTCTAGCTTCTGCACCAAACGTTTCGTTTATGAACCTTAGTCCAAGAGACATTTGATCAATTATGGCGTTATAATGAGTTGCAGCCTCGTCGTTCATACACCAGCCTCCATTAATGAACTCCAGTTGTCTATTTTTGACTAAATTCTTCACAATTTGCTTCATCTGGTCGTTTTGCTGATTCCACCATCTCGTGAAGAAAGCCATTTCGACGTATATAAATGTCCTTTCCTTGTTCTGCAACAGCGAAGCGACAACAGAGTCCAAGATGTATTGCACCCCTGCATGTTGTATCGAGTTGTTGGCGCCATAATAGTATTCATCTACTGTTTTCAGCCAACCAACATCATCATGTGTGTGGGGAACTAGGTGAACTTGCAATTTCCCTTCATCTTTTCCACATTGAAAGCCAAAGACAGCTTGTAAAACGAGCGGAAACACTACCAACGATACCCCCACCAACATCTTTGCACTGTGCAGTAGGCCTCCTCAAATGCAGGGCTCTGTCATGTGATCAGAGTGCTCTCGTGAGACCCTCTCTAAGATCACGTGAACTCTATTATATAACGCCGACCCGATGGCGGCGCCAGCCACTAGGCTCTGGGGGGGACAAAACACCATATTTTGGACCACGCCCCTTTTAGCACCAGAAAACCCCCTTTTACTAACAAGGAACGAAATTTTTGCCTGAAGGGAACGCCCATCACTCACTTTTGGCTATGTAAAGGCAGTTTGAAAATCATAAGATTACATCACAAAAAGTACGTTGCCAAAATATTACCCCTCCCTCAACATTTTCTCATCGAATTTATTCGAAGTACGAAATCGATCCTGCCGAGAACTTGGCGGGTACGTGCCCCCCCCCCCACCCCCCCCCCCCCGTGGCGCCGTTTCTGCTTGAAAAGGTCTCTCCAGTCAAAAAAAATTATAAGACATTTAGAAGTTGCATCAGAAGATGAACGAGAAAAGCTTTATCAATTTGGTGATATTCTGACGTCACAATGTGCTGCTCTTGTTAACCGTGAATTTCTTAAACGTATCTTCCAACGAAGCGTGAGGGAGAGCTTTGTTGGTTGTAAGCACTCGGCTTCCGAAAATCCGGTGTTTGTCTGCCATGCCTTGGCTCGCTGTATTCTTTTTCAGCAAATTATAAATTCAGCTTTGTTTGGAATGTTTCTGCTGGCCGTGGTGTCAGGCAACATTGGCAGCAGTGCTTTTCTACCAAACGAGATGGAGGATGAAGCTGATGAAGCTTTAATTAGAGCAGCAATGGAATACCTCTGGGCTACTGTAGGGGCCTATGCAGAGGCGCCGTCCTAAATGTTAGAAAAGGGGGCTGTGCGGTAGGCAAATTCAAGAGGCAAAACCCATGACCACACCCAATATACTTGAATTTGTGTTAAAGATTCTCTGTTGGGTATAAAAATCATTCAAACTTTTCGATGACTGATAAGAAATTGCTCATTCATGAGGAATCTATAATATGATAAAGTGTTGCCAACACAGAGGCGTTTCATAACACAGAATGGTAGTGCGAGAGGCAAATAACAACGCACTCTACCGTAATCATCTTTCATGAATCAAATCAACTCAGCACTAGCCTGTGTCCCAGACCTCTTACTTTCAAGTTAGGGGTCTGGAGCACAGGCTACTCAACACGCGATTAAATTTCTATTTACAATATATATAGTTAAATGTCATGTTACTATTAATTAACGGCGCATGCGTGACATGTGACAGGAGAGTGAACCTGTTACATCCTCCCCTTCCATATGTTTATATGGCGATGTATAATGAATATATTAATGTCATGTGCGAATTATGAATGTTCGTTATAATGTAAATTGGCTATAAAATGATTTATGAACATAATTAACAACGTAAACGTGAAAAAATGTCTAAAGACAGAGCATAAATTCCATCGCGCAAACAATAGAAATAATAATAATAATAATAATAATAATAATAAATGATAATAATAAATAATAATAATAATAATGAAATCAAGGCCAGTTTCTCCACAGAGTAGTTCTTCACCTGGTCGCTAAAAACTACATTATTTGTTTTAAAAATTAGAATTATTTACAATATAAAAGGTAATTAATTAAGAAAAGAAACAAAAAAATTCATTTCAAACTAAGGTTGTACTAGTTGTCTTTTCCTTGCATCTAAATATATATTTTAATAATATATTTTAGCTTCCTGTCATCATGAACGTACTTATGAGAAAGATTCAATAGATGCCAATCTCGGCGCTCTTTCATTGGCAGCAAACCAAGTGTCATTACATCTTTCTCCTTGGCGTAGTGGCCTAATACAAAACTTGCAGCAGCGTTTTGAACCTTTTGCAATCGTTTTAAAAGTCGTAACGGAAGAGGACGAATAACAGCATCTGCATAGTCCATCTTTGATAAAACGAGGAGCTCGACAACTTGTCGCTTCAATTTATATGGCATAAGATTTTTGAATTTTCGTAGTATGGACATGGTATAGAGGCATGAGGACATTACTTTGACTATGTGGTCATCCCGCGACAGATGCTCGTTAAAGACCACGCCAAGCATTTGACTGCAATATTCTCGTTCAAGGTATGTATTGTGATCGCAATCGCAAACCACGTTCCATATGGAGGAAAGTGCGCGATTAAACTATACCGCGGAGTCTACCATGTCGAGCTATGATTTCTCTGCTTGGAGGGTACGACTCATATAGAAACCTGCCTTTGAAAAAGTAAACGTTATACAACATACTAAAAGCTTTTTCGTCTGACACTCCTCAGAGCATAAAACGTCAGAATAATGGTCCGAAAGAACACGATAAAAAATATATTCCCAGTTGTGGATCAGAAAAACGCAAGCACAAGACCGGTATAGTTGACCAATCAGTGCCGCGAGCCTGAACAAAAATTACCACTGGAGTCCAAGAGAGAAAACGAACTCCTTCTGTCTACACAATGGCGGCTTTTTCGTTTGTATGTAGATCGACTCCAAAAATGCTAGATGGAAGGACGACTGGGCTCTACCAAATATCCGAAACATGTCGTCATTATAGAGTTTTGCACAATCTGGGTTGTCTAAAAGATGTTGACCGATGGCAGAATCACTTATTTTAACAGTGTTTCTAGACCTACAAGATCGAGGAGGCTGTTCTTTTTGAGGGGCATCCTTGTTAGAGGCATACAAGTGCATAGGAGATACGCTAGGGTTCTCATCGGACTCGATTTAAGAATGTGTTTTGTCTAACTTAGAGATGTCAGATGGGTCGGGCTCTGGAAGTACAAATATCTTTTCTATGTTGACAGGGTGCGGCCAGTCATGTTCCGAGATAGCATGGCGCCAATTTAAAAGATCTTGTCGACCATGCAGAGTGTGAGTGTGACTGGCCTGTGACGAGGATGGGGCCATCAAAATTGCGCAGAGTTTGAGTTTTTGACTACTTTTGCATGAAGCGGAGTCCTTGTGCATGTAAACGATTTTGTCATCTGGCACGTGTAAATCGCACGAAGCCATATCGTAGAAATGGCGTTGCCTGCGGTGCAGATTTGGTTTTATGGTGCGAAATTGTCTGTATGCTTGGTGCATTCTTGGACTGCTGGCAAATCAAATCGTTTTCGCGCATCATCGGCATAGAGGGAAACATGGGCAGCTCTGTCACAGGATTCGCTCATCGAGGTCTCAAATCGTTTTGCTGCTTCAATCAGGGCGGTCAAGGAGGAAAATCTGAAATCTCTTGCCATCAAATCCCTTGCAATTGATGGTTTCAGCTTTAATGCAGAAGCATGAACATGTTGGATTTCGTCACCATCGGGGGTTTTGTGTATCCCAGGAAAAATTCTACTGAACAAATTGAATAATTACTTTATTTTCTAGAGATTATATAGCACTCAAGAAAATTCTGTGACACCAGTGACACCAATAGTACATGTGTCTTCCAAATGCAAAGACGAACTTCCAAATGCACATTGCATAGCCAGGCCTCTTCGTTTCACGCGGGCAATGGCCCTCACCCCCACTCTCGTCAAATTATTAATGCGGGCTATTGATCGCCATGGCAAAAGCATGTATCGCCTGCAAGAGAAAGGTAGGCTGTCTCATATTGTCAATCTCCCCTGTTTTGGCATCTACTGCTGGATCTTCATTACAGCATACATCTTGTTGTACAATGGATATTGTCTGACAATTTCCATATGTAAACCTGAAATCATAAAATAAAAAACTAGTCAAAAGTATGAAATTTTTGTTCAAAATCGTCAGGTGGGATTATGCTTCATGCATGAATTCACTCTGAAAATGAACTAACTTTTATCCAACAGAAAAGATGATTTGACTTCTTGAGTTAATTTGAGTGTTTCTCTGTGTGGCTCCATTTTGCAATAAAACAAGCATGTTAGTGTTAAACTCTATTGAGTTACCAATTTTGAAATAAGCCTCAACTCTCTTCTCCACAATCAAATGTGAAATAAAATATTTCCTTGTGTAACTTGTAAAATATCTCTATTTTTAGCTTTTAACCTTATCATTTACTCTTAATAACATTTTCAGAAGCTTTATAACAAGTGAAAAAGCATACTAGAAAATATATCTTAGAATCTATGAGTCCCATTTAAGGTGTGATACATTGAGATGCTTGTTAAAGGGCATAGGGGTAGGGGGCAGGCTGAACATAATACTTCTTTTCATGTAATACTTTAGATATGCCATGGAAATGGCTGTAGTGGCTGTAGAATATATGTTTGATCCAATACTCAAGCATTTCTACATTTCAAATGAAATCAGCCACAAAATGAAAAGGATGACATAACTAAAAGCCCCAAATACAATTTCTTTCTAAATCATCCAGCCAGCAGGAGAGGCAAGGATCTCTGTCACAGGTGGAAAAAAGTTATAATGTCTATTTACTAGCATGTTTGCAGACTTAACTGTATCTAAATCTCCAGCAGAAGCTTTTTAAAATCGAAATATATTAAATACATACCATGATTCCAAGTCTTGATTATTTTGATGACTGTGTCCATGCTATGTTGATGGCGGTTTGAGGCAAGACTATCTGAAACACATTGTGACATCAAAATAGCGCCACAGTGTCACCAAACCAAAAATTTCTTGCTCAGAAATTCAATTATCAAAATGCAAATAAAATGAAGCTATTGCAAATTTTGGCTGAAGAGACCCTTTAAGAATATTGCCTTGGATTTTCTCCTGTTTAATTTATTTTAGATGCAGTTTCTGGCCCTCCTTAGATTATTATAATCTAAAATTTTTTTTGCGGCCAACCATGGTGGCACCCTTTATTTAATATAAACACAATAATTACATGTTTGTCCCTCTAAAAAAAGTTTAGTTGACACTGTATTTTACTTCAAGTGCATCTAGTTGACATGACAAATATTGCCCATTGAGGCAATCCTTCCAGCATTCATCCAGTATCATATCCTTCCATGTCATCATTGGTCTCCCTCTTTCATATCATCCACCTCTCCGAAATTTGAAGCAATAGGCCGGTCTTTCTAATCTCTACTTTAGCCTGGTGAGCCTGAAATCTTATCTTCATTTTGAGCAGCTTTTTGACACAAGATATTGTTATGTTGCTGTTGTGTGCTTGAGTATGAGTTATGATCGTGGTTGGATAAAGAGATTTGTATTTCAAGATGACTGAGTTATGATTCAACATCTAACATGGCAACGAGAAAGGGATAAAATGGCATATTTTGCCATATTTTGGAAAAGGGCACAGTAAAAAGGATGAATCAATATCAATACCGTGGTTTCCGGATGACAGATTAGAAGAAGATAAGGACATTGCAAGTGAAGACACAGACAAACTATGTGAAAAAACAATGATCAAAAAGAGCTCAATGATCTCCTCGATATTTGAGGGACTAGATAGTTGACATTAACTGAAACAAATTTTTGACACTACTGTACTCTCCTATTCCGGGGGGGGGTGTTATGTTGTTGTTCTTGCTGTTGTGTGCTTGAGTATGAATTATGATTGTGGTTGGATAAAAGGGATGTGTTTTGAGATCACTGATTTATGCTTCAATATATATGTTAAAAACTCAGTGACCCCTGAAGAAAATCTACATGTTTTTCTGACACTCAAAAAAAAACTAAAAAAACCCTGGTGTAAAATCTCTAATCTACTGGCAGGTCTTCAGCTTAGAAGAAACAATGATCCCACCCTGACCAGACTAGAAAACTTGCATGTGGTAGATACACAGGTTTTCTTGCACTTGCAGATATACGAAAATATCAATCAAGACATATATATAATACTTAGAGACAATAACATCGACCACTCCATTTCCTGGCACATCCTCTCAAAAAAGCCATCCTACAGCAGCTCAAACAAAAGATGCAGCCTTTGTCTTAAAGAAAAGACCCTCATTATCTGCCACCCCGAGTTATCAACACTCAACAAACGAAACAAACTCGTATCTTCTTGCCGCCATAGAAACAAAGCACTATTATGTAACACCTAAATCCCTTTATGTACCGCCCCTAATTTACCTTTTGTATAACCTCACACATTATGTAACACCTTCTGTACCGTATTATCTATTTATTCGAGGAATATTCCAGTATATCAACATCTCCTGAAGAGTGAGTTACTCATGAAACAGGCTTGTAGAGATAAACCATGTAGTTTTACTTTCTTCAATCTATGATATAATACTTAGAGGTGTATATATAAGCAGTGTTGCTCACAGCCCAAATGATGTTGCTCCCAAGTTGCAGCTGGTATGGTGGTGTTGCATGCAACTATACATAGGCAAAATCAAATATATATATTATATTATATATACATAGATTATAGTCTGTCTGTCTGATGAGTGCGCAAGCACGAAACTCGGAGTAACAGAGAACATGTCTCGTTTCTAGTCTATATTCTATTTTATTATATATATTTATATATATATATGTTTCCCATCCTTGTACCCTGGTGCTGCATACACTTACATTTCTTCCTTGCTAGGTCAATGCCAAGGGCTGGGAAAGCAAAAATCAAAATAGTAGCACAATTACAAATCAGCAAGAGCTTGCTACCATTTTGTAGCATTTGAGAATCACTTGCAGACTAACTTACCTCATTCACATACTTTATCAATTTGTCCAAGTTCTTGTACCATAGATTTGCATTTTCATACATAAAATCCTCTCCCATTGTCAATATGACATTATTTGTTTTGTAATGTATTGCTTGGTCACACACTTCTTTCACAAAAGTATCAACCCTTTCTTTTACATTGAAATCAAACATCCTCTTGTCATCCATTATTGGGGGATCTCCACAAAACTCATCAAAACAAAATCCTCCAGGTGGACCATATCCATTATATAGCTCACCAGTAAATATTTGTGTTAATTTTTCAAATGTTCTACTACCTCTCCAGACCAACTCCATTCTTTGTTCCTTTAGTCTTGTCTGCTTGTCTTCTTCATCTATCCTGCCAAAAAAGAATCCATCAAACGACATCATTGAAAACAAAGAAGCCTGTTCTGCTGAGTGCCCAAACGGGTCAATATGCCAGGCAACTGTGGGCCTAGCCTCTGCACCAAATGTTTCGTTAATGAACCTTAGTCCAAGAGACATTTGATCAATTATGGCGTTATAATGAGTTGCAGCCTCGTCGTTCATACACCAGCCCCCATTAATGAACTCCAGTTGTCTACTTTTGACTAAACCCTTTACAATTTGCTTCATATGGTCGTTTTGCTGATTCCACCATCTCGTGAAGAAAGCCATTTCGACGTATATAAATGTCCTTTCCTTGTTCTGCAACAGCGAAGCGACAACAGAGTCCAAGATGTATTGCACTCCTGCATGTTGTATCGAGTTGTTGGCGCCATAATAGTATTCATCTACTGTTTTCAGCCAACCAACATCATCATGTGTGTGGGGAACTAGGTGAACTTGCAATTTCCCTTCACCTTTTCCACATTGAAAGCCAAAGACAGCTTGTAAAACGAGCGGAAACAGTACCAAGGATACACCCACCAACATCTTGGCACTGTGCAGTAGGCCTCCTCAAATGCAGGGCTCTGTCATGTGATCAGAGTGCTCTCGTGAGACCCTCTCTAAGATCACGTGAACTCTTTTATACAACGCCGACCATGGACAAAATTATTGTCACTTACTGTAGAATTTTGTAGTTAAATTTTTTCGTTTAGCTTTACAAATTTCAAGACTTCATGACTTCCATCACAGGACTTCATGAGAGCTAAAATTGGTGGGAAAAGGATTTTAAAGATCTGTGTTGTCACTGATGAAGACACGACCATGTGAAAAAAATCCTCAGAAAAACAACCTGGTGTTTTCTAAAAATTGCACGAGAAATGGCAATAAAGCCAGGTCTATTTGACTGCTATGTTTTCAATTTTCGACACGATTTTATGAATAGTTGGCTAACACATTGTATATAGATGACAAAATGGTCAGCGAAAAAGCCATTCAGCGCCGCTTGCTGCAGCAGTGCGTGTACAAGAGCCTTCATCGCCGAGGTGTCGTCAGTCACACGTGTCGCAAGGTTGTTTTGTTAAAACTTACTTCATTTTTAGAAATTCACGCCATTTTGTTATCGAACCCTGAGGTAGCATTTTCAAGACCAGGGATGTTGAATAAAATGTAATAGCACTTATAACGTGACGTCATAAAGAGCTATCTTTATTAGCTATCTTCCAAAATTAGAAAGAATGAACGGTTGAAATGGTTAATAAGAGTTTTGCTGCTGAACTGCTTTATGGTCTGGTTTATAGATCAAAGGGCCAAGACAAAATTATATGATTGGACGAGAAAGAGCCTAGACTCATGTGGCCGTATAACAGTCAATTTGTAACACATAAACACATTTTACTTATTTCCCAACTTGAGAGGTATTTCATGATTTTCATTCGGGCTATGTGATCCAAATTAAAATAATTCACATAAAAGATGATTATGAAATTGTAAGTAAGCCAGTCATGGTCGCCAGCAGGGGCGTCGCGACCGGGGGTGTGGGGGAGGGGGGTGTCACACCTTTTCAGGTAAAATCCGCTGGGTGGAAGAAACGCTTTAGTTATTTTAAAGACCTTCATGTCATAAAATCAATAAAGGATCAAGCAAAGGTAGTTGCTCTGTTGGTTAAATATGATGTTCCTTGATATGAATGAAAGTAAACAAACTAACGATTCGAATATTTGAAGATTTCTTGTTGGCACTAAATCGAAAAATCCAGGCCCTCTTTAGGTAAAATTGTGTCCTGTGTCCATTTCCCTTTAAGTTTCTCGGTAGAAGCGTCAACTGTATGTAATTCACTATGAGCTCAAAATTTGTTTAACATTGAAAAGGTATGCTTAGATGGAAAGAGGGATCGAAATTGACAACCAGCGCTGCTTGTTACCTATCTTCAGAAGTAACTGACAACATGGTATTTCTCAAGACCACGGCGAAATTGTACCAGTTGTTTTTATCTGCTGTTCAATTGTTCGCAAAAAAAATTATTTTCAATAGGATTAGGAGGATTTCTTTAGTGAAATGTGCTTGAAAGAGTGCATTTTCCAGAGAACTAAAAGCATCAAAATTCGAAAATTTCCTGCTCCTTCGGCGGCAACCATGGTGCCGCCTCGGGTAGTAACTATATCCTTTGCCCGTTCCGATTTAGAGATTTGACAAAACTATTAGGAAAATTCCGTTATTATCAAATTAAAATGAAAGTTGCGAATTATATACAGCGTTAGATTAACAAAATGCATTGCAGAGGTTTGTGACAGCAACTAAAGAATTTCAGGCCAAAATTTTTCAACCGGGTAAATTTACTGTAGGGACCATGGCACCACCACTTTTTTGGTAAGCAAAATATTTCCATAGAGGCCCTGCTTTGAAGCACTAAATTCATGTTCTATGTATGAAACGAAACTTGGCCCTTCCATCTTGAAATTCGTGATGTGGGCCCTGCATTTACAAACATAATTTCAATTTGAACAGCCTGATTTAACTGAATCTGACAGCAAGATTTGGAAGAAATAACGAACTGAGTACATAATAACTAATAAGATAGGCATTCGTAATATAAGTAGTGTAAGCTTAGTACACTGAGGGGGCTAACACACAACACATAATTATTTCACAAATCATGAACCGGAAGTGGCCCGCGGGCCTTGAAATTGCCGCGCGTGCTTCAAAGCTCATATTCTTGAAAGATTACGAATGTAAACTTGATATAGATGATATCGAAACATTTTTCTAAAGATGAATTGCCTAGTGATTTGTGTTTTTTTCCGTCAAAGTAAATTACTCCTTGGCGGATCTCTGCTTTCCCTCTTTCGCATCGCACCTAATTATGGGATTGAAAATGTTGGTTTCATTCTCTGGAATTCAAAGTTTCCTGGAAATTTCATACTCTGGAATTCGAACGAAAGCGTTTTTCTTGGAAATGGTTTTTTTTAACACGAAAGTAAATTTTACAATGCATATGACATCATGCTGCCGAACATTAGCAGCTCCAACCGCTTCGAGCTGAAAAGAGAGCGGGGTGTTCTGATCTGAGAGGGAGCAACTCACCTTGCCGGTACTTTCATGAGCCAACCATCAGATCCGCATGAACGAAGAATGAGGTAAGGGGTGCACCCATATCGAGCAGCATCCAGGGACTATAAATAATTGCCAGAATGGCCCTCAGAACATTAGAAAAGAAGCAATTGAAAAGTTGGCAAAGCAGACTACACAAACAGTTATTGTACAGGCGAATATGGATTCACATAAAGGTAAGAATGAGTGCCTTAGCACGATAGCCAATATGTTATAAAATGTTTGCTTTTTTCAAAGCCATTTTCAAGTTTTGTACCGCCATAAAACTGTTCTCAATATTTACAAATTCTCTTGTATTCGCATTCCTTGTATACTGCAGTCATTTTTATCTATATTTGCACGTTCTCTTCTTTCTTTTCAAGGTATCTTCTTGGTGCTTCTTGCAACAATAATGGCCAATTCAGATGCTTTTCCAGTTGGTCATCCTAACAATACGACAAACCATCAAGCCAACGCCACTCAAACAGTAGAAAGTATTAGGCAGAGTTTTCATAGCATGACAATCAATGAAATTGCTAAATCAATGAGGGACAGCATATTCAATCTAATAAAAGACTGCCTAATAGTGGAGCAAAATTTCGTAAGTCTACTTTGTTCTAAATTTGATGCCGAAGTTTAACGCTTTTTATTGAATGCTTCAAAATTATCTCCGCTGCTAAATATGATTGGTTTTTCTACAGTAGCGTTTTCTAAGATCCCAATTTTGTCACTTAGTAGATGCAAAAAAGCAATAATCACAAAAATTTTATCTTTGAAACCGATTGATGTGGCAGCGGGTTCTGCGATCTTTTGAGTCTTGTAGAAACAAATAGAAGTAAGAAATGCAGAGTTATAAAAGCATGGATATCATCGAAGGTTGAAAATAACATAAATTATCAACTATATCGAAATGATTACATACCTAAAATTACTGATTGCTACCTTTTCTGCCTGCAGGCGTCAAGCCTTCCACAAAACTTGGAAACAGCATCAGCACCATTCAACCAGCTCAAGCTTGATTCAATTTCATGCCAACCATTTCAGGTGAGGCCATCATCTTTAACAGTTCATAGCATTATAAGGACTATTTCGTAGTAAAAATCAATTGTTGAATATTTCAAACTCAACGAGAATATGTACTGTATTTAATATTTGCTTCAAGGATAACAACATTTATTTTTTTAATTGCTAGATTTTTATTGCATGTGTCAAAATAATTTGTGCTCTAGAACTTTTTCACGAATATAAATAAAGTTTTGTAGAAGAAGAAAGTTTTATAAACAAGGGTTGAAAAATTTTTTAATCAGAATATTTATCGTGTTGCTTTTTCGACAGATCGTTGACCGTATGCGAACATACAGGCATGCCTTGATCCAGTTCACAAACCCGTTAAACACCATGATGAAGGAAGCTCAATGGAGCCCAACACAACGAAGAATGCTTTTAAAACTGAGCAACTCATTGATTTGGCTCAACGTATATCAAATCAAAATGGTAATAATAATAATCATTTATGCCTCCTACATCATTTACACGAGAATCCTACAATCGACGAGCAATCTACGAACTGCTTCACTAAAAAAGTAGTAAACATTTACAATCTAGTCCAAATCCAGTGTTGAAGCAGACCTAAACGAACTTCCCTCTTGATGGAAAACCTTCTTTAGGCCCCCGTTAGAAATTGGAGTCATCCATCTCTTAGTTTTTCTTCGATTGCAAAAAAGTACACGAGCTTATAACAATTATGTTTGTTGGTTCAAAACTTGGTTCTAACTGCAAAAGTTACGTTTCAGTTGGAAAGCTTTGAGGCTGATGAAGTTAAGAGCTCATTATCTCCGTCAGTCTTGCAACTGGAAACTGCCACAAGATCCTACTTGGTAAGTAAAACCAAATTACCAGTAAAATCCTTTAATGCCAAGGCCAAATTTTGTCACACAAAAGGTCACTGGGACAAGTCACAACGAAACACAAACTTTGCAGAAACAAAGGGTAGTTAATCAAAGTTCGAAGTTGCATAAACATATAGCGGTTAACGATTCTTTGGTCTATCAAACATTGCTTTTCTACTTTTGATTGGCAAAGTTGTTAATGAAATGAAAATGGTAATGAAAATTACATTTAAAAGTAGGCCTTCCAAGGAAAATAGAATAAAATTGGGTTGTGATTACGAATTTCCTTTTTGTGGTGTTGGTCATTTGTATTAACATGCAGTAAGAGCTTGCGGAATTCTCTCCGTCACAGAAGAAACTTATTTGGTCTTCTTAAAAAGCTCTGGGCATGTGCAGTGTAATCTACTTGTGGTGCTGTCTCAATACAATGGGACAGGCTCGAGAAAAATTACCCAATTTCTTGGAAAGTTCAAAGTTTCTTGGAAAGTACCTATTTTCGAATGTTTTTTTGGAAACAGGCCCCGTATTTCCACTACCGCTACGCCACTGCTTTCTATTAGCGATCAGGGAACATGCAATTTAAGCCAAGCCTTCAGCCTGCTTTTCATATCACAGTATATGCCTAAATAACCGAATTGTATTTTACCATTGCAGGCAAACAATTTCCCACAGCTGCATGTCACCGAGAACCAAATGAAAACCGTGAGAACCTTAAGCTTTGTAAAAGCCCTGAGTAAAGTTGTTGAGACCATGCAGTTGGAGACAGGACTTGCAATGCCGTTTACGGAATGAATGACAAACTGCATGACTTTTACTAGCTTATTGTAAAATTTTCAATTTGTTGTAAATTTTATGTAGCATATTTTGTAATATAGGAGAAATGTTAAAAAGACCGTTGCTATTTATTGTATAGAAATGTAATAATCTTAAATTATTAGTGTTCAATAAACGTGGAAATAAAGGTGGTGCTTTATCTATTCGCAACCTGAAGATTTATGCTTTACAAAATACTGATCATCAAGATACGAATTTGTTGCAGATTACCGGCAATAGAAATTTAAATACTATCCATTCAATTTCAACTAGTTTTGGGGAAATTAAATTTGCCATTTTCGACTACACAAGTATTTCATTAAGTTCTCATCAACATAATCATTACAAACCTTTTAAACGTTTGAAACTATGTTACAACTATGTTACAACTAATTATTGTCATTAACAACATTTGAAAAACACTGATCTAGCTAGCTAACAAAGATAGCAATGTGCAATGTATTAGGAGACTATTTCATATTTGTCTCAAAGCCAGTAGTGACATCACAACAGCTGCTTGTAAACAAGAAGATGGAGGCGAGAGACAGAGTTTGTGACAATTGAATATTGCCATCTAACGCAGAACTGAAATTACAAGTTATTACTGAGTAACACATCTTAAATAGCTTTTAATCCAAAATCATTGATGAAAATTACGAAAAACTCTTTAAGGTAAGTAGCTGTCCAGAATCAAGCCATAAGGGGAAATTACATCTGTTATATTACGTGCTTTCGTTCACAAAAGAAATTTAAGCATTTACCATCTAAGGTATTTACAGGAAAAGTATGATTAATATGTAATTATATGTTAAAAAGAGTCAAATAATTTAACAATATAAAATTTGACAATATCATGCTTCAGTATATACCAACCAACATGACCCTAACGAAAAATGCTTTTGAATAACGTTAAGAGTGTTACTCATCAAGCAAAAAGCCTAGAAAATTTGAATTCCGTGCAAACTTTTAAAACCACGCCTCGGCATACTGCGTAGGCTCTTTTTTAAACTGATCCTTATTTTGTAATAACTCATGTTCCTGTATCTATTGTAAACATTTTAGTCACAAAATATTGGAGTCACATTATATTGGAGTCACATAATATTGGTGTTATAAACGAATGGCTCGTCTTACCGATCAACAGTAAACTTCAAAATGGCCTTTGTTCCATTTCAAAATACGTTGGACTGACTCCCCTGTAAACACTAACTAAAATACCCCCACCAACAGTCAATCAGTTGTTTAAAGGGGAAAGGCCCATTCCCATAATTGGAAAAAAATTCTAAAGCATTCAAATAAACCACGGTCCAGAGATAAAAAAATGGATCTACAGCGTCCATATGTCATGGCTCTCATGGTTCGTGCACGGGAACTGTTCCTAAAGCCTCGCTTCTTGATCGTCCTACATTGACTACCTGAAAGTGCAATTCAGATTCTTTACTGAGATAATTGAACACGGAAATTAAAATTTGAAGGATGACATGACATTTGCTGTCATATTATACAAATCTATACACATTTAATTTAATCAGACAATCATTAATGTCTTTACCATTCCTCAAATACTGGATATTTTGTTATACAAAAAAGATCAACAAAAAACTGATGTCTGTATGCCTGATAACTCGAGAAAAGCCAACCAATGTACATATTGTTTCCGGTAAAGGTTGTGTGGACGGACCCCTTGTGGACCATCTGAAATTAGATCGAGATTTGGGTGGCCAACTAATGCACCAAATGAACACTGATTTCTTAAGTAAATTGGTTTCCTATTTCTTGGTACTGCGTAACAACCCTTCTTCGTGCAGCACATCCCTATACACATACTGAATGCCCAATACTGAAGACGACACGTTCTGCATTTCACAATCCAAATAACACTTTTCAACTGCTGCTCAATAATATCAGAAATCTCCCTGGGAACAAACTTAAAATCGCATATCTTAAGCTGATCATATTTTCAATACTTTGGCTAATTGAAGAAGAATACGACTTTCTGTGTTTATAAGGAAAAGCGAAGTCACAGGGCCACACAAAAAACTAACTGCATGGGACGAGCACCCTAAAAACCGCATAAATAATATTTTGAATGTAACACAGAAACCATCTGACCAATTTTAGCAGTCGAGTATGAAACAGGAATGTCATCAGCGAGTCTATGAAAATTCCTTCTCACTGTATTACGCAGAAAACCTGATCAACCAAACTGTATGGGAACAACACACTAAACTCACGCAGTTTAAAACTCTAGCTTCTATCTTTTAAGACGTTTGATCCTTTAAACTGTGCAGGATTATTATTTGTTATTATAAATGGTTGAGAGCAACACAGGTTCATAAAGTTACGTACAGAAAAAGTTTGGTGCAGAGATGTAGAAAAAGTGCAGTAAAATTAAGCATTTTGATCCACATCTGAACCTATTGGCAATTTGGACCTTCATTAGGAAGAATAATTTTTCCTTATCCTGGAATGCTTAATTGCGAGACAAGGAAAAATTTGACAATGATGCATGAGTCAGTATCCCCATCTCCTATTTAGAGATTTATCGTTTTATAAGTTAGACCCTATTTGCATTTGGGAAATTTCAATCTTTTTAAGCCTCTTATAATAATACATTTCACTAACTTTATATTTTATTCTTTTCTTCTATTTTCCACATCATTGCATTTGCTCCAGCTAAAGTTAAAGAAAACAACTCTGGTACCATCAAAAACCCTTTAGAGGCGTTAGTGCGTGCGTGCGTGTGTGCGTGTGCGTGTTATTGGATATGTTACCGTGCAATCGTATTTAATGAATGGACGAAAAAACAAAAGCATTGCACTATGTTGTTTTTTTGTATTAATTTTATGTCAAGCTGTTCTTAATTCGAGACAAAACTCAGGGTATTATGAGCAAACATGTCAAGGAGATGATTTAAAATTTCAAATCCTTCGACAAAATGGCTTATTGTAACAACTGAAACTGAAACACAGACAACAAATCGAATTGGAGCCAAAAAGAAACCCGCCATTTACCTAAGGCTCAACAGTTTTCTTCCTCCAAAACTTTGAAATTTTCTCTTTTCCATTTGAAAGCAATTTAGCCATGATTAGCCGCTTGGCAACAAAGTACACTTAGCTTTAGTAGCTTTTTCTCATCAAATATAGAGTAAGAAAAGTTCTTCACTTCAAAAACTGTTCTTTAACTCTGGCTCTTGTTTATATTCGAGCCAGCTTAAACCCTAAACCAGTCCAGTCTTCGAATACACGTTTAAGGTAAGAGCGAGGATAGCCTTGCAGTGAAAATATAGTCGTACAGATGCAGGCTAGTCTCGGAGAGAGGGCTGATGTTTGTTTTAGTAAAACATAAACACGATATTTGGCAAAGAACATTCTATAAGAAACTAAGTACTTATACTGCAGAGCAAAAATATAAGGGTAGACTGAAAAAAGGAAAGAATCGTTTAGAAGCTCTTTCTGTTTCAAGGAGGGGAATGATGCAGTTTTCTTGATGCCTGCAATTTTTAGGCCGTCGCTATACAGTAACATCACAGTACACATAATTCAGTAAAGTCATGCTGCACTATTCCAAATTTCCGCCTTAGCAAACCTGTAAAAATTTGGGAAACTACGATCTTTCAATCTTTATAAACTTTTCAGCATTTAGAAGTTCTCATAAAAATGTGCATAGGTAAAAAAGGTGCGCTCTTTGCTAGCACCGTGTAGCGAAATTCTTGTTTAGGACCGCAGACGGCTTTAGTCAGGGCCATCCTCGCACTCTGAACGTAGAGCTTAGATATCCGTTTTGGCACTGTCCTTGCCTAGAAACTGAAAATATGCTCTAATGCCTAAAAACAGGGAGAGACATGGCTTGTGGGCCATTACTGCAAAATTCCTCAAATCTCAAGTGATACTGAGCGCTAGGCCTCCAATTTTTATTGATTTGAAACAACTTGAACGACACAAAGAGGAACATGCAGCAATCATTAGCTCACTTCTTTAAACGTTCTTTAAAAGAACAAAATGATTCGAAGAAAAAGGGATTTGCGGCACAAAGGTAAAACAGGATCGTTCTAAAAGCCGCTTATAGAAGCCAGCAAATAGTATCTCTTGGAAGGACATGTATGACTCTCAGGGGCATCACCAAAGAAGGGGTTTGGAAGGGCGTGGTACCCCCCAACACTTTGTGCGTCGGCACATTAAGGATTTTTGCCAGGCAAAAGAAGCAATTTTTGTACTGTTCTTGTAACCTTTTTGCAACAATTGCAAAGTATAAACATTTCTGTAGTAGTTAAACTTTCAAAGTGTGGCACTAAAGTATGAAATTTGAAACAGAAACGCATGAAAGCAGCATATAAGAGTATTTATCTTTTGACCACACCCTTTATAGAGTGAGACACGGCCTTTTTGTCGACAAAAATTACTTCTTTACCCCTCCAAAAAATATTTCTGGCTTCGCCCCTGATGACTCTCATGACATCAGCTTAAAATGATGGATTGCTCTATAAGCAGAAATGAAACAGGAACCTGAACATGCTTGTAGATAAATCATCGCATTTGGATCAAGAGGAACACATATCTCTATACAAGGTACCTACCGTCATTACAGTACAATTTATCAACACCAGACATAGGTGACGTGGTAGATCAGATACGTATCAAAGGTTTCTTTATAATGTACCGACATCAAGGAGTCATCTTTGGGTTTATACCCCGAATGTCTACGGATAGGAATTACAACTAAGAATTACTAACTAAGGTAAATCTTGTCAGATTTGATCAATTTAGAATCGACTCCTCTAACTGCAAACGCTGGGGGTACACATCCAGAAATTCTTTCTTTCAAATTGATTAAACGACCAATGGTTTCTGTAATATTTTTGACCCCCCGTTGACCATGAGCGATGACTTCTTGTCGAACTAATGCAAATTTTTCACACATGAAATCATAGAATTCTTGTCGAACTAATGAAAATTTTTCACACATAAAATCACAGAATTTCTTAAACTGCCTAGATGACCGTACCTCTGGCTGCTTTCGATAGGTGTCCACAGATGGCACATCTAATTCGAAAGTTTCCACCCTGCAGCCTACAAAACAGATTGAAAAAATCACAAAATGGCACCTGGATAGAGCCTCGCTTAAATCAATTGATTCGGGCAGACATCAGTACTAGGCAAAAACCTGGTCATACTGAAAACAAAAAAAGATTAAAGACGAAAATGAACCAGGCTACAACAGAAAGAATAAAAATCACGAGCCTCAAGCCAACCAATGTAAAATCTTGAGATCTGAGCTTCTTTCACGTAGCCTCATGCATGTAAAATGTGTTACGATCAGGTCCCGAAAGTGGTAAATTACAGAGGGAAACGGGAACAGATACCAGTCTAAGGAGGTGGTGGAATCGGTATTTTAGGATAATTGAAAACATGCAGTACGGTACTTCTGTTAGGCTATCAAGCCTCCCCATAAGCAAATAGTTTTAAACATATATTGTCCATCAAATACTTACCATATGCAATCGGGGTTAGTTTATAAACGGAATGCAGCGGGACTTTTAAGTAGGGCAGATGACCAGAATTGTGATCCAAGAAATAGGCAAGGAGACATCGCATGACCGCCTGTGCAAAAAATATGAAAAACATAATGATGACTTGTAGGAACAGACAATAAGATTAAGTTACAGGACAAAATCAGGCGTGCATGAAGGACCAACCCTTATAACTTGATATAAACTTTGATGAGTTTCTCAAATGAGACAAGTAAAATACTTTGAAGAATAGCGCCTCATAACAGCTTTCTTAAACCATACGATGTCTGAAGCAAATAAAAAAATGTTCCTTTCTCAAATTGATCATCATGAGGTAAGGACCGAGTGGATAACTAGGTATACGAGTGTACACTGATCAAAGCTTCAAATATCCTGCCTTCGGGTAATCACCTGACGATTCAGTAAAGGATACATTCTTAATTGTAAACTATTCAATTGCGAATTATATATTGGGTGGCGCTTAACCTGACCATGACCATAACTTAAAACTACAAATAGACGCTTAGTGCTATCAGTTGAAGTATGTTCCGAACCATTTTTTCTTAGCTTCATGACAAGGTATCCTTGTTGCTTTTATATAAGCTCACAAAATCCAAGCATACAGAATGCATGGACTAACAGATGTTTACATCAAAGAAGGGTGGAGGTTTTTTAATCAGCTTTGATGATTCTGATGCATTTTGTAGCAACACAAGCCGAATTGGTATCAATCGTACTGTCCTGTCTCGATCCACAAATGAATGCAAATGTAGTCACAATTTGTTCAACTAGCAATAGCTTCTAGTACGGCATGGTTCTTCGCAGTGTTGATCAAATAGGAAGAATTTCCTTCGAACCTAGCATAGACGACAAGAAGATAGAAAGGTTACCTGATGACAAATGACCAAAATATTCTGCTGACGTTCCAGCTCCATTATGACTGGCTCTAGACGAGCAACCAGATCTTCGTACGACTGAAAGCAAATAAGGCGTCTTTATAAGAAGAGTGAGTCTAGAAAATTTCACGCCAAAGAGATTTTGCAGGGGCTGAAACTCTGAAAAATTTGATGGCAACGGTCAAGATATGGGCACAGAAATTGAAACATACTTGGAAAACAATTTCAAAAGGAGAATCGCCCAACAGGCAGGAAAAAAATGAGGGATACGACTTCTGAAATTGGTCATTGTAATTATCAATATATTATAATTGCAATGTGGAGATAAATTGAGAAAATAGATACGGGTTTTGAGGAACAGCGCAGGTGAAAAAGAAAATCGGTTTAAATAGTAATTGTAACTGAATAAGAATGATGAAGATCATTCAAGAACCAATATTGAGAGAACAATGACAGAGGTGGTGACCGTACCTCGCCCCTTGGGTATCTATAATGGTACTTGTCTTGGTCACGTCTTGCAAAGTCTTCTGGGAACTTTTCTTCTATTTCCTCATACATCATTCCATCACAGACACCCTAAAAAACAATCATAAAACTGAATAAAACCCAGCACATTTTTCTTCTATTTCCTCATACATCATTCCATCACAGACACCCTAAAAAACAATCATAAAACTGAATAAAACCCAGCACATACAAAGGTCTACAACCTTTAAATTAGTAGATAAATAGAAAAAACAGACAGAATTGAATATAATAACTATAATAACTGTTATACCTGTGTGTTATTAAGTGCTCATAGCAGCTCGAAAATATTCTGTTTTGATAGTTGCCTAATGAATGTGTTAAGCGTGAAACTCAGAGTAGCAACTTAGAGACGTCCTGTTCTATACATCAAAAACAACAACAAATACCTATGCATGAAATCCACATAATACAAAATTTGCTCATTGTTCATTTCCTACGCATTAAAACGAATTTTGAACTAAAATTCATTCAGATGCCATTGGAGACAAAATCATTTGTTGGCCGGCCCTAAATCCTAAATGGATCGACCAGATGATTCTGGGTTCAAATCAAAAGAAGAACTCAATGAACATCAGTAAACTCACAGCATCCAGTTCATCCAAAGCCTTCCATTGCTCAAGAGACACAGCATCAATATTCTGTGCTGTCTGTATGGTTCTCTTCAGTTGACTAGTCCAAACCTGCAACAAAATTACTTCCATACATTATTCCAAACCTGCAGCATAATTACTTCTATGGATGCTTCCATTGACAAAAGTAACTTGGACGAGCTTTTTTAAAGCCTTAATGCCTTCCAAATTCCATGTTGACAGAAAAATGGAAAATGTGTATTAAAAGCAAAAGAAATAAACAGAAACAAGCCATACCCTCAAGTCTTTGATATTTTGATTAGAGATGAACTCTGCTAATTTTTTACTGTACTAGAAAAAAAGAAAAAAGATGCATGAATATCATATTCCTGAAGTGCAGGAGTATATATTAAAGTAAATAGTTTGTAAACATGATTTGTTGTATATAACTAAGTCTTAAGAAACAAATTATCAACAATTTCTTAAAAAAATCATTAATGCATTTCATGAAAAGCATTGGACAAACTGAATTTGTATTATGTCATCTTACTAATGGGAGTAATAAAATGTTAAAAGAAGCAAATGGTAAAAGTATTGTTTGATATATAGCATATAAAATTTCAATAGGAAAGATATCGATTGAGCAATGATTTTGCTTTATGAAATGTATACATACTGTATGAAAAAAGTTAAATGACGGCTTACATTTCTACCCCTAGGTGAAAGATCTGCATCACCTCCAATGCGTCCTTTTAAATTGAACAAACTCTCACCATGCTGAAATAAAGTTGTTGTCATAATTAAAGAAATTGACAACCTTACCAGTGACAAACTTAGGATTAAAGACTGACTTAAAAACCTTAAAAACCTCAGGCCTTAAAAACTCTTTTACTTTCTTACACTTTTTTACTTTCAACATTTTTTGGGATTCTCATGCAAAAACAAGTTCTAAAAGTTTGAATGATTCCAGTCCATTACAGCTTTAAATGCAAAATGAACAAATATTTGTCTTTGTAGGATGTGATGTAACATCTATTATTCACAACATCATCTCAAGAACAAAGTAGTGATAGTTAGAAACAGAAACTTACTAAATGGCATGTGTTATTCATATAGGGAAGCAGAGCAAAGTTAAGCAATTTGCAGCTAAAATTCACTTACTCTGGTTAAATAAATAGCTCTTGGTGTGATATGAATATTCATGAGAAAATACACAGCTCTACTTTGCAAATAGCCTGGGAAAGATAAGGATTGTGGTTATCAAATTTATACAAAAAGGACAGTTATAAAACCATAAAACACAATAACATGAATTATTCACATTGAAGAATTTGCAGTTTAATATCAATCTGAACATTCTAACAATGTTACAGTTTCAAGATTACTTAAGTATCTGAGTAACATGTCAGAGTGGAACTCCAGCAGTATTATTTGCTTTCAAAGAGATTCATTGCTTTTAATTTCCCATTAATTACAGTGACCACCCAAACTCCAAACAAATGAGTTATACTTTGAACTGCTCTTGTTAAATAATGTCATCAAAATCGGTTCAATTTAAGAAACAAGGAAGACAGCTTGACCAATCCTGCCACAAAAGCTAAACTCATAAGGGTGATAGTTTAGTGAAAAAAATCTCACTATTCCATTGCTGATTTGTGTTAGCAAAAGTCTTCCTTGTTTCTTCCTTGTTTAAGCTTCAGCAGCTTAATATATATTTTGGATGCTCCAAATGATAATTATAGAAACAAATGTTTCTAGAATTCCTCACCTTCTATACGATTTACAAGAAATTTCTGGCCAACATTAATTATCTTGATAAAAGAAAGTTCACTGAAAGAAAAATAGATGCTAATATTATCAAGGAGTTGCTGGATTGAAGTGATGGTAAAATATTTCAATAAAGCATTAATGGAATAGAATAGAGAAGATTTTAAAATAAACAAAATCAATAAATTTAAACAGAATTACCATTCATTTTCCAAATTAATTGCAACATAAAAATCTTGATAATGCTTGATACGAGCATTGAAATCCTGATAGGCTTCTTCAGAAGGTATATCTTTATAATCTGGACTACTGATTTTCACTTCCTATGAAAACAAAGGAAGATGAAAGTTAATTCAACTATGTGATCAGTCCTTTTCGTGAGCAAAATTACGCGTGTGTGGCAAATCGCACATGTAAACAAATTTGCGCGTGCGATCGCACTTGTAAGAAAATTTGAAGTACAAACCTGATAAAATTGGTAAAAGGAGCAAGAAGGAAAAAGCCACTCGAATACGTGCAAGAGCAAAACTCAATTAATCAATACATAACAGATTTTGTTGCCCTTAGCAGCCATCTTTTAAAAGTCGTCGTAACTCTCCAAAGTTACAAGAGCAAGTAAAAATTGTTTCCAACAGCTACTTGCTTTCAGGGCCTAATTACGTTTTGACAGGAAATGAGTTATTACACTTAACATGCTAATGGCGACTTAGCTGAAAGACGAGACGCTAAGTTGAATGGAGCACTCAGTCAAAAGCCAAACATCACTTCCGAAAATTGGAAAAATCATATTGTGGTCAAAAGTGCGAATCAAGTAACAAGGGAAAGGATAAACAATCATGAGACCATGGGAAATTTATGTTAAAGGGCCTCTCCAGCAAAAAAAAATTTTTTTAATGACTTAAAAGTTAGCATCTGGTGCGTGTATTATGACAAAGTCATTGTTTTTGAAAAATTCCAATTAGTTTAGAAGTTGTAAGGCTTTAAAGTTGCACCTTTCCGAGAAAAAAAACGACAAAAGCCGAATCAGTTTGGTGACATTCTGACGTCACAATGTGCGGCTCTCGTTCGCCATGAATTTCGTATATCTTCCACCGAAGCGTGAAGGAGTCGTGGTCACGCGTTGATAACTGCATCCAGTTCCAGTTCCTGTTCCAGCTCTTCCCTCGCATATAATTAATCGAAATTGTCACTTCAGTTGTTCTCCAGAAACGATGAACAACTAAAGGCTTCAGAATTGGTGTCTGAAATGCTCAAACTAAAAGCTGGCGGAACAGAACTGAAAGTACCATCACTTGCAGTGTTCAATTTGCGAATCGCCGTCGTTCGATTCGGTTTGAGGCGAGACTATCCGAAATACACTGTGACGTCAAAATTGCGTCACAGTGTCACCAAACCAGAAATTTTTGTCGGTTAATTCAATTAAATTATCGAAATGCAAGAGCTTATATCTCACAAACTGTAAAAAATATCGAAAAACAAATAACGAATTCGTGATCAGCAGGCTCAACTTCTTTATAAAAATTGCCAATAAAATGCAAGTGCAAAATTTGGCTGGAGAGGCCCTTTAACAGAAAACTGCAAAACACCTGTTTGCGCGTGTGGTCAAAAGCACGCGCAATTTAACTTGCGCGTGTGCAGGCGTGTGCGGGTGCGATCGCACGCGCTAAACGAAAAGGACTGCACTGTGATATAAGTGATATTAACCAATTGGTAGAACTGTGACAGAAAACAGTTTATTATCTAGAAAACAGCTTTGATAATACTGCTCAGAAACAGATTTATTTGGAGAAAAACAAGAAAGCTTAATTTTAACTGAGTGGGAAAGACACATGACTAAAAGGTTTTGGACTTGTTTTCATTGCCAGTATTGGTCTTGAGAGGCCTAGCATTGCAACTGCATTGTAATCACAAAGTCTGCTTTGAAGAGTCACCAGCACAGTCCAGAAAAGGCTATAACATTTCTTAGACCAATAACCCAACATTCTGATAATCTTCCCCAGCAAAACAGAAAAAAATGCATGGTGATATGGATCTGAAAAATCAATTTTTTCTATGTCCAGTTCCAATGCTACTGTTTCTTGATCATTTAAAACTTAATATTTTTGCACGATAAAGCACACAGTTAAGTCTGCATTCTGGTAGATGAAGCCCATACTAAAGAAAACCCAATGAGTTGGAAAATATGACGAAAATATCCTTCTGTCTCCTGTAGTTCTGCCACTGGTCACCTCCAAGTGGTTGACAAGATAGAAACAACAATAGACATAATGGATATTCATACAAGCAGTTATTTACTTACTACAATGTTCTGTTGAACAACTTCAGGATCATCACAAATTGATTCAATAAAAAAGGTCTAGAACAAACAGAGAAAAATTAATATAACTCTTCAAACTCAATAAGTTCAATTTAAATTCATCTTCAGGCTAGCAATTTGCTGATAATTTCTATTATTCAGGCCTGGCCATTTGAGGAGAGCCATAGCTCTTGCTCCCCTCCAGGCTCTTCTCAAATGCTGGAGGGGAGCTAGAGATTGCCCTCCTAAATTGTTCCAAAAAGCAAATTTTCTCTCCTTGAAATAAATTTTTCCTTTGTTTCTATTCTTATAGCTCACCTGAATATTACTAGGAGAGCTGTTTACTGCTCCCCTGTTAAAAGTCTTACGGCCAGGCCTGATTATTCATTCTTTAAATAGCCCAATCCACTCGAGGAATTCATTTTCCAAATGGAAGAAACTGTGACATTGATTTTAAATGGAGGGATACATGCTTAGTTCTCTGTTGGTTGGTTCAATTTGCTAAAGCTGTTTCTGCCTGTTCTTTCTCTTACTAAGTTGAACTGAATTCAACCCGGCCAATAGTCTAAAGTCACTGAACCCTTTCTATATTGCTCAGTGTTTCAGTTAAAAAATTTCATCATCTTATGTTATCAAATAAATTTCAATTGCATTCCTCATTTTGATCACACAAGTTTTGGGTTACACATGTTAACATTATTAATTATTTTATTTAACAATATTTTAACATGAAGCTCTGTCGTCGCTAAATGCAACTTACTACAATATTAAAAACAGACATTATTTCATCAAGATAGTGCCTCAACAGCAAAAAAGATGGAAAAACAGCAAAAAACTGGAAAACTCGTTCAAATAACAAACCTTAATTCCATTCTTTTTACACTCTGAATAAACATACTCTCTTCTTTCTCTGGTTGTATTTGTTGCATCAAATATCTGAATTTGAAATCAAGATTTAGAAACTTCCTAAAATACTACTGGTGATGTTCTTTAAAATTTGGTTGTAATGGAAGAATGACATAAAGTCCTACTGTAACGTTTTAGGATTTATGTTCTTTAGTAACTATTATTATTCTGTTCAGCTAAATTCTTTTATTCTGTTGCGTGTTCATGTCACATGTTTGTCACACTTTTGTGTTAGTAGCTCCCTTTCCAGGAAATGTGCGTCACTATCATCGTGTTATGTGATGTTTCACAGTGTTGCTTTGTTTATGTTTTAATATCATGTAATCCAAGTTAGAATAATTTAGTCTTACTGTTTTGACGATAGAGATAACATCAACAAAGGAGTATATCTTATGTGCTATCTATTTGGGGCTTAGGCCCTTTGGCCTAGCCCATTGGTTCGATTCCAAAATTGACACCATAAGAAGAGCCTGTATCGTTACACTACTAGATGGAAAATCATAGCCTGCCTGTATACTTTGGTACTATGTACATGCCAAAATAAGGTCCACCTGATTCTTCTTAACATAAACAAAATATTTTTAAGCAAAGGTAAATCTTTATTTTGAATATCAACTAAAGGAAAATGACACAATGGCACAAACCATATTACTAAACAAAAGATTGAATAACATTATTTTCAATTTAAAAAATGCAATAATGGAAATAGAGAGACAAATAATTAATGATCCAGTTTTTGCAGTCTGAATCTGCTGTGACCACTTAATATTAGAAAAACTAAGTAAAACTTGAAGAGTCCTGAAAATGTCAAACATCCTCTAAATTATTCATCTCTTAACATCTAAAACAAGAAGCTGCTAACCATGGATTTAAATTTACTTGTTGTTTTAGCTGACATGTATCTTTGCAGCAATCTCAAGTTAAAACCATTTTAGGATTAAAAAAGCTCATGAATTATAGTCAACATCAATATCACTGAAGTAATTTTGATGGCAATTGAGGCCAGTCTATTCATTTTATTAAGATTGACCAAATATTTCCTTATTCTTTTATAAAATTTTGCTTTTTTTCTCAAGTGCTGTTCCATTTCAGCTGTTGCTCTATTACCTATAAACATTCGCAAAAAAATAACAACCAACATGTGAAAGAAACAGTTGACTTTTCATGAAAATACACATGGCAAATGATCTTCACTCACAGATACTTGTCCTTCCTCTTTTAGATACCTGATCACTTCATCAAGGGCTAACTGTGCACATTTGCTGCAAAAAACAACATAAATATACTCTAAAGAAATTGAAAACCCTCAAGGTCATATACCCTAGCATTCCTTATGCTGCAAAAATCTGCAACAAATAACCTTTAACTTTCTTAGAGTGAAATATAATTCATTCTAAATTAATGTCTTAGTATGAAGTTTTAAAAATCTTTCTGACCAAACTCTCATCTTTTCATTTTCATATCTGAGCATCCATCTAAAAAGCCAAAGACATCCCCACAATACAAAGTTAACAAATTTTAAACTAAATATTTTGTCAATTCGTTGAACTCATCTCTATATCCATAGAAATCATAGCTTACAAATCTAATTTATATTTTGATGTGCATGACTTATTTGTATAAAAATTCTAACAATTAATGTAGCCATAGGATAATCTTCTTATAAGCAAAGGGTTTATATACATGCGGAAACTTGTTACACAAAAAAACAGATAGCAACATGACAAAAACTAAACAAATAAATAAATTGGTCTGAGCACTCACTCTCGTGCTTTTTGTCCACTTTCATTTCTTGAATCAAAAAAGTCATGTTTACAGTTGACAGTTCCATACAACTTCCTTCTGAATTCACCAACATTAAAAACTAAAAATACAAACAATGTTTAACAGAAATTAGACCTTAGAAAATGGTCTAATTTCTGTTAACAAAATGCCCAACAAAATGGATACAACATTTAACTGCAAACTTTAATGTAAATGATGAATTGTGAATTTTTGTTTGCAAACACAAGCTAGCTATCACATTTCTTCAAGGATCATGGTGGCAAGGATTGTAAAGATAGTTTAGGCTAGCAGTTTTCATCTATTGTTATTAATACCTGCCAGTATTTGGCAGTCAAATGTTCACCTGCCTAATATTCATTTCATGGCACTTAGGAGAATTGAGGAGCACTATAGCTGATCATGCTCAGGCAAGAGGTCCTCTTTTAGTAGATTTTGTAAAATGTTAATACAAGGTTAAGCAGGCCTGGGCATTTATGGAGAGCCATAGCTCTTGCTCCCCTCGAGGCTCTCCTCAAATGCTAGGGAGGAGCTAAAAATTGCTCTCCTTAAATGCTCTGAAAAGAAAAACCTCTCCTTGAAATCAATTTTTCCTTTGCTTCTTTTCTTACTTATCTATAAATAGCTAACCTGGAAATAACTAGGAGAGCTGTTTAATGCTGCCCTGATTAAAATCTCATGGCTAGGTCTGGGTTAAGTATGTCAATTGTGGGATCAAAAACACACTAAACTTAGACTTGCTCATGCTCAAACTGTTGTTAAACCTAAATATGAAGATAGTTTTGGTTTTAATATGAGACTCTTAGGGCTGGTTCATGTGTAAGACTGTGGGACAATGATGTTGTGTTGATGCTCGTGGGTGGGATGAATCCACCACAGCCACTTGATGAAACTTGGAACAACAGAGAATAGCAATGCATCAAGAAGATTTCAATGTCCTTTGTTACTAAAAAAATGTTTGTCATTGCCAAAGCCTTAAAATTGTTTTTTATGCATATTTCAGCATAATTTCATTTGTCAATCCACAAAAAAGAAACCATTTGTACTCAAGCAGGATTACAAGAAGTAAACATTTAAACAGGTTGTTTGGCCAAAGGGATAGCACATCTGTCTGTAGAAGCCCTGGTTCATATTTATGAATATTCCAGACTTGGCAGCATTGCTACCAGCATCAAGATGCCACAGCCTGTCATTTTATCAGACACTCTGCTTTGATAATTGGTAAACAAAATCCCTCTTATAGGCAGACTTTCCTGCATAAAATTTTTGTTTATGTTTACTAGACCCAGCCCCTTTAATGGTGGTGGAAAATGGACAATTGCCCCTCTAACCCTTCTTCTCAGTAGGTTTGTTTAGGGTAATTGGGAGAAGTAGAAATTTTTTAGAAGTATTCAAACAATGGAATCACACAAATTTTTAAAATTTTTAAAAGTTTTTAAGCAAACTGAGCCCATGTCCAAAAACTAAACAAAAATATATACCTACATAATAACGTTATTTAGAACATAGAAATGAAAGAAAATAATACCTTTGGTTGTAACTCCAATCCAGTTCAAGTATCTTGTTAACTTCTTTGAAATATAAGTCTTGCCTCTGGCAGGCAATCCAACCATCACGAAACATGTTGGGACATTTGCTAAATTAGGAATAGTAGAAGGATATAAATTCCGGTCTGGTATCGGTTCAATAAAATCACACATTGAGAACGGGCCTAATGTCAACAAGTAATGCGTAGAGTTTATGAAATTACGAGGCCCTTTGGTTTTTAAAAGTCTCTCTCTGATCTAATCAAGAACGTGTTTGCCTAGGCATCCGGTTTCCTAGCTGGATGTTCGATTCGATAACCTGTTAAGTTTGAAGCGTCTATTTCGGCAAACTTGACTTGTCAACCTGTTGATCAGCGGCAGGCTTGCTTTATAACTGCTCTCAACTAAACCTGATCTCATCAGCAAAAAGTTGGAGGAAATTATCTAGAAACTTTAACAGTGTATTTTGACCATCTGACATTCACCTCACATGCGCACACCCGGGCACGGGATTTTACTCGGAAAAATTAAAAAAATCAAGAAATGTCATTGGTTGTCTGCGACCTTGGTTTTGACCAACAACAAAGTCAGTCCATTCGCTTATCTCTGAATTGGATTGTAACTGAATTTTAAATTACTTTACGCGTATTATAAAAAACCTGCCTGCTTTTTAGCTATCATTCACGATTGAGAATGGACGCTTTTGGGTTGAAATGAATGCGATACGACAACAGCCGTAGTTACCGTAATAACAACAAAAGATCGGCATAATAGGCCTAAACAAATCAAGGCCTACCCGAATGCTAATCAAGGTTTATTTGAATCGGAGAAAGCCTTAAACCATTCAAAACAAGCCCAAGCATGACTAGCAGATACAATTTGCTCTGGAAACTCTTACAGAAAATGTACCTTGTAATTTGTAAAATGTCCTAGATGCCAGGAATTCAAGGTAATTTCGGCATGAAAGTTATCAATAGACTGTCATAAGCACTAAAATAGAAGACTTACGTGCAATTGTGTGAGCCATTTTTAAACTGGATTGATCATGCAAAGATTATCAGTTCCATCCAAGGTTATTCATTGCAAATTTTGAACAAAGATCTGACCACGTTCAAAGATTTTTCCGTTAAAATATTCTCTCGTGCACCTTCCTCCCCTCCATGTTGTTCGCCAACACGTCCACACGGCACGGACAAATTCGTTACGTCACAATACAACGCGCTTCCTTTTAAGTACAAGGAATGGGCACTACTCCGCTCCGCCCACATTTTTTTTGTTTGAGGATCCTTCCTCCAACACGTGGAAATACAGTAGATATATTGAAATTCAAATTCAAATTCATTTCATATTCAGCAACAAATGACAAAATTAGATGTCAATAAAGCGATTAATATTAAAGTATAATTAGCAAATTACAATAGCATAAAAAATTTAACAATATGGTTCCCTAGGATGCTGGGACGGTTTTCGAGCCCAACAACCTAAATACTGAGCTGAAAATATAAAAATGGTAACAATGAAAATCAAATTTTATGACAGTGAAAACTATTGAAAATGATATGAATCAAATTCCGAGTTTAAGAACAGGAACAGAACAATCACAATATGAATTAAGATAAACAAAAGAAAAGAAAGGGCAAAATTGGGTGAAGAGAGAAAGTAGGTGGGAGGGGGAGACACATAAGTCTCGTTTGATTTGTAAAGAAGGAATCAAAGAGTAAGGGAAGATGAATAACTATTGACCTTATGTTTATATTTGAGAATATTTTTGTAGAAACCAGTTGCGAAGATGCTTTTGAAATGTAGTTTTGTTTGACATCGTGCGAAGTTCTAGTGGAATCTCATTCCATATTTTAACTCCGTTGAACATGATGGATCGCTTTTTGAGGTTTGTTTTGGCTTAGGGGTCGGCAAACTTTTTATTTGCAGCCTGTCTCGTATTATAGTTATTATGTCTTGAGGTAGTTTTTTGGAACAGATCACAAAAATATGCCATTTGAGATCCTGCATTTATAACGTACGTTGCAAAGCATAACTATCATCAAAGTTTAATATTCCAAATTTATGAAAATTTGGTTTAGAGCTTGCTGTATTTTTGTCGAAGTTCATTATTCTTACAGCTTTATTTAAATTGCGACTTACAGGTTGATACTTACAGATATCATATGCAGCCTCGGAACATGAATTTTATTGACTGAAAAGAAAGTTTTGAATCCTCTTGGTCAAACTTAGGCGTATTCAGTTCTTCCGGACCATAACACACCAAATTCAGTAAATTACCTAATAAATTATAAAGATTTACAATTTTCTTTTAAATTCTGAAATATGATGTATTTCTCAAATCTAATAACGCAAAGGCTCTTTTTATTGTCAAATAACAAGAATGTCGGAATTAGCCCTACAATGAAAGAATAAACATATCCAAGCAAGTGACAGCAACAGTTTGTAACAGAAAAAACAAGTCCATTACAACTATGAAATCACTAAGTTGCTAAATTCCTTTTGCTTAAACCTAAGGAACCCAAACACAATGTCTTGGTAGAGCAGCACCATAAAATTTCAAATTTCGGTTGTAACATAGATAATCTGGTCTCTATTCAATAGACAATTTATTTCAATGCAATACTAAATTTTTTTAATTTAGCTGAAAGGGCCAAGTGCATTAATCTTGATGAAAATGAAAAATCAATAGCTTAGCTATGCTTAACTTGTCTCCCATCAGGGCCTACGCCACGAATTTGGAAGTGGGGGGAGGGGGGCAAGGCTAGCAAAAGTAGGAGGCAAAGGCTTTTCCCCTTTTACTGCAGCTTTGAAACTGCTTGCTACGCAAAAAAGTGGGGGAGACCATGGCCCCTCCGCCCCCTTGGTGGCGTGGGCCCTGCCCATCCAAATCTGCGAAAAGGTCATCCAAAATAGGAAGGGTGGCGCGGCACATAATCATCATTTGTTGTTGTTGGGGTTTGTCAAGGTGGATCGTTGGTGTGGGTTGTCAACACGAAGTATTATGAAAGACACAGCTCAACGTAACTGCTGTCTCCAGCCAACCTAGTCATGCTTATGTAAAAAAAAGGACCTTCTTAATATATTCGTTTTTCAAAGAGCCAAAAAGAAAACGTGCTGAAATTTCTGTAAGGATAAGTCAGTGATGAAAGTCGGTCAGTTTTAATAGTAAATTTGCAGATGAAGGCAAAAAAGTAATAGAAAAAGGTTTTTAAGTGTTAAAATATGAATGATAATGATGCAGAGAAACACCGGGTAAAAATTGTATCGTTAAATATCATGTGATAATACAACGTCATTGATAATGTATAATTTGATTGTGTTTATTATAGCGACGGTATGGCAATTAACATAATCCGAATGCGAAATTTGTGAAGAAGACCAATGTTGACATCGAAAATGTTGCCTACTTCAAGATATATAGTCAATTTGGTTAGCAGTGTTTGTATATCGATTTTTGAATTGAAAAATTTACCATTAACATAAATCGTTACAATACAAGTCTGACTGTACAATCACATCAAAGTGAGGCCAGCCTCACGTTCTAATTAGCAATTGGAAATAAAAAAGAATTTCGTCACAAACAAAATTTTACAAAACCTCCAAACAACCGGAGATTACAAAAACTGAAAAACATTACAAATCGTGATACTGAAAATTCACACCGATAGAAATGGCAACAGGAAGCTAATAAAACTAATGAGCACTTTTTGAAGTATTTAATGACTAGATATAGCCAGCATTCGATTCAGCTTTCAAATTGAGAGGAGTTTCCAAAATAAATAAAAAAATCAAGTTCAAAATAGGTCTAAGGCAAAAATCTCAGTTATGAATTAAAAACAATGGGTTTTTAAGGATAAATGAAACAGGATCAAGACATGATTTATAAATAGGGTTTCAGCTTTAAGGTTTTTTGGGCTGAAGGGTCATGCATGAAAAATTCTGTAAATGGTCATCTAAAATGCACGCACCCCATCAACCTTACTTTCAACTGGGCTAAAACCCACACCTTACCCTCATTCTAATGAAATCAAATTAAATATAATCATGGGAGATCAAATTCAGACAAAAGGCAATGTTGACATCGCCTCAAACCTCTGACTTCAGACTTCGTGTGATATTACGAAACCGAACTCTAGTTCGGTCCCAGGTCCCTGGCTTTTTTCTACAGTAAATCACCGTTCCAATGATGAGGACGAACAAAAAGGCGCAGGCCAAACTAACGCCAGCAATCATGCCAACATCTCTGTGTTTTCTGGCCACATAAACGCCACCTATGGAAAAAGGAGAAATTCAGAGGCTGAAAATAAAGTTGTGTATCGATTTGCTCTATAATGGCATTGAAAAAACGAGACGAACAGACATACTTACTGAAGACAGGGGCATAGGGGCAAAGGAGCAAGGCGGCAAGGGGACACATGCTCTGGGCCCGTTGCCACCAGTGAACTCGTTCAGATGTCAAAAGAATTGTGTTACAACAGTTTGATCAAAAATGTTTGGACGGGAAATGAAGATAATAATGAACTAGTCTGGGGTCAGTCAGTTATTAACCTCACAAACCGTACTCCTCCTCTAGTTGTTGTGAGCAAATGTAATAAAAAGCGCCTGACATTAAAATTATAATCTAGGCACCATTTGCATTGTTTTCTGTTAGCATCGGCAACTAATTAAGCATTGGCAATGTAAATGAGGCCTGCGTATAAAAATTCCACGACCCCATAGACCTTAAAATAATCCTACCTGCACTAGCTTTGAATGTAGCAGTACCATCAGAGATTGACGCATCTGAAATTTTCGACCAAGTCTTCATATCAGACGAATGGTATACATAGGTGCTATGGCCTGCTGATTCCTCAACCTTCAACTTGACAGTAAACGTCTTCCCGTCCTTCGTTAGCCTTTGCATTGGATATACAGCCAAGAAATTGCTGCTAAAGTCATCACCGACCGTTATGCTTCCCCCACCTTTCTTCAATTGATCACTGCCTGCGTCGGGCGACCATTCCTCTAACTGAATGGACTTCAAACCATCTAAAACATCCTTTTCAATCCAAAGACCTTGCGATCTGCAAACACAGAACAATTTAACTTTGCAAAAGGTTCTTTAAAGGATGAACTATAAGAATTTTCTCAAACCTATGAGTCCGTTAAATAGTCTTTGTTGATCTTAGATGTTTTTCAAACAAACACCATTCTCTCGGATCCGTGGGTTTTCAAAACGTTTTCCCTTAGGACGGCAACTATTTAACAGTAATAGCAAATCAGACATAATACACATTAAGTAAAGTCTTGAAAAATGCACTCATTATATTAAGCAATGCTAATTAGGAGTACGAATGCATATGAAAATACCACTTAAGCACTTAAACGAGTTTTGTTTCAAGAGTTTTGTTTCAAGTTCTACAGAAGTTCCATTGAGATCCTTAGTACTATAAAGGTAAATGATTTTCGTATTGATTGTTGTCAAAATTTTCATTACTTTATTTTTCACATAGCAGATACAACTGTAATGAAAGAAAATCAAATAGTTTTTTGTTATAAGAAAGCTTAATGAAAAACTTACATAAAAATTTATGTGGTGTTGCATATACACAACATGGAACAATTTGGAACATGACACAATTTGGTGCATGAACGATACTGGGGCATGGTTTGAAGTAAAAACTCACCCATCTTTCAAAAGTATATTTCCTCCTCCCCATCCAACCTGCCTCTGTACAACCGCATTACCATTAACAACGATTTTTCCTTTCTGACTTCGATTTGAAAAGTTGTTGTTTCGCGTGCTCATGTAAAAGTATGTACCAATACCAGTCACTTTCCGTGGACCAAGGTCAAAGTACGTGCCAGCGTCATCCAGCTCGGACATCTCGCCGCCATATTGGCCTAAACGTATTTTAAAAGAGAGACTTTAATTCAATAGATAGCAAATGGCACTATTGAAAGATGGCAAAAACTGTAGAAGAAATGAAGAAGTGCTGATAGAGAATCAGGAGGAATCTAGAATCAAGCAGAAAACTGGGCTGCTTATTCATGTCGATTTGATACTGTGACCACAATTCTAGTTAAGGTGTGATGTGGTGAGAAAATATCGACAGTTTTGGATGTTGCCACACAAAAAATTGCTAAATTGTACAGTGGATTCTTAAGGTATGGTCAAATTGATTTTTATTGACTTGAAATAAACCATTTTTGGGCTATCCTTCGACAAAGATCTTTCAAAGCACTATAAAGTAAAACAAAAGTTAAACTGAAAGACGTAGTAAGTCTGTGTGAGTAGATATGAAAGTTCTGGTCAAATGAAGAAAAGAAGAAGAATTGTTTTGCTTTGTTTTTCTTTTCTTTGCCTGTTTACAAGTAGTGTAAATTTATAGAATAGGTTTGCTAAAACTTGTGAACCTACCTGGCAGTAAAAGTGCAAGAGAATTCAGGTCCTGCCTGCTTAGCCCAAGCCACGTGACTTTATCGACTCTCTGTGGATAATTGTTTCCAAAATGACCATATTTTGTGCCAGCACCTCTGAAATTTCCTTCTGCGTATTTCTGTTTTTCAAGAAGAATCACATTGGATCTATCCGTGCCAGCCAATCCTTGACCATCGTTATTGCCAGGGTTTGTGTTGGAACCTGTCCACCTGACAAATAACCGGAGAGTTAGAGAAGCTGGAATTATTGGGAAAGTTCTTAAGGCCACAGAGCACCCATTCGAGTAAATTATACCCAGAATTCCCCTATGGGTTCAACGTTATCATAATAAGAAAACATGCTGGAGGTTCTAGAACAAAATTTGTCCCGAACGTATTTGTGAGCCGCAGCTAACTTTTTAAAAGAAATTTTGTGAGATTTACTCTTAATGCATCTCATACTCTAAGAGTAGGTGAAGGACTTGGAAGGCTCTTAAACGATGGTTACAAAATGCCGTCTAATGCTATGGCCTATTTCGATAATCAGAAAAAAGTACTGCTAAATTTCTTCTATCTAGAGTAACAAATAATTCTACATGGTTGAAAATATTCGTGCCTCCATTAAAATATACTGGCTAAAATTGCAGGCTTCTTCTGTCCACGAACAGAACTCGACGACTAAAGCGATTCAAAAACCATGAATAAACATTTTAGAAGCAGATGAATGCTGCATGCCTTTGCTCAAGAACGAGTTGTCAGGCACAGGGGCGCAGTTGGACCAATGTTTTAGGGTAGGACCAAATTTCTGAAAAAATTCTCTAATACCTGAAAGAGTATAACAGGATAGGAAGTTGCCCACCGTGACCCCTTAGGAACAAATTAGGTCGTCATAATTCAGCCTCAAGCAGCACTTGCTGGAAAGACGAAAAACAATTTTCAATTAAACTACTTACTGGAAATGTATGTAATCTCCTTCACCCAGCTGGAGTCTGTTTGGGACAAAATCGTATTCCACGGCAGGGTATACTTGGACAATATTGCCACGTTTTCCACGGACATTCAAATTAACAATTTTGACATTTTCAAGATTGGACGGACGCTTTCGAATTGCAAAAAGGTGTGATCTGAAAGTCAGAAAATGTATATTAAATACTTAAGAAAGCTCAGAATATGTGGATTGTGATCTACGATGCTTTTTATAACATGAAAATTCCGAAAAAAATTTAAAGAGATAAAACTTGTTGAAATAGTTAACATTTACTCTTATTCTTGACAAAAATGTAAGAAAATTTGCTGTCAATCACATTGTATTAAATAACTTTTGGGCGACAAAGTTGCAGGAACTTTCAGCATTCACATAGAAAGAAAGCATGAAGCTTCTTATTTGGAAGAATTTGCATTAAGCATTGCCTGTCAGTAAAAATCTAAAAAACTTTTGACCAGTGTAACTTTTGCATAGTTTCTTTCCCTAAAGAGTTTCTCAAATCTTCTGGTTGGTTCTACGAATAAAAAGATTTCAAAAATATCAGTTATGCGATTTCAAAACTTTCTAACCTGTCTTGAAATGTTCTTCCGTACTGGGCTGTGTTGATTGCCAATCTAACTTGGAACTTGTTTGAACTCCCAAACGGCTGTACAACTGGGTTGTTTTTGAAGACGTAGCCTCTTGTTTTAGCCTCGTCTGAAGCCAGTCCAATCATGCTGCCAATATTGACATCAGTTTGTTTGTTCCCATTTTTAGATGCATTGGTCTTCCAAGTATCATAATCATTGGTTGAAATGTTGTACCTTCATTGACGAAATTAAATACAAAATATAAGCATTACGAAAAACGGTTCACAGCCAAAGATATTTTTGTTTTGTGTCACAAAATCAGAATTATAAATAAACAGCTAATAAATTTTAACTTTGTAAAAATCAGTGCAGTTTAAGATTGCTTTTCTGAACTGAAAGCATAATGTGACAAAATGACACTTGTTTACACGATATCAGTGCGACAGACCGGTTGAAATCCTTCGTGTTCATTACATTTTCATTAAAGTAAAGATATATCTTTGTATCAGAACCATTCTGCTTTGCTCTCCTCAAGCACTTACAAATTGGACAACATTTGCATCAATACAATTGTCCAAGAGTTTCACTGTTTTCCAAATCTTTTCGACATCAGCTATTACATTGCTTGCTGATAGACACAAAACAACCCTAGAACGAATCACTTCTAATAATTTTTTTTATCAAATGCAAAAATCTCTTACATTCTTATATGTTCTCTTGTAAAATTCTTAGATGCTTGCGACTAAGTTACTTGTGAGAGTGAACTGTAAGGCATCACTGTATAGTGGGTCCCTTCTAAATACTCTACTACTGTTTTCATTTCAAGAAAGCGTTTGTATTGAAATTTAACAAAGTGTTCCTGAAGAAAACCATCAGAAAATTGATATACTTTTTAGAAGTATTTGAAGACCTACCTTATACGCAACACACAATTATTCTCTTCGATTTTCGGCAAAATCCAATCATATTTGTTTGTAAATCCACCTTTGCCATTACCAAGGTGATTGTCCCGAGACCATACAGTTTCCCTGCATTCTGGGGCCTTTATTCCGTGAGATGGAAATTTGGTCCAAACAGCGCGTGTCCCGTTGATACTACCAATAGGCCAAACGATTTTCTGTCAACAAAAGGCAGTGAAAAATAAGCAATATCACGGAGAGTTAAGCAACTAGAGTTCATAAAGGCTTATCGATGATCGGAAAACCAATATAAATTAGCCCTACCTCACAATTTTCTTTGTCAATGGGAATTGCCAGCCTCCGACTTCTTGCGAATTTGGTGTATTCAGCGGGTGGCACACAGGCCCATTTGTCCTTCACATTTTGGCTCTCCTTCTGGTAGTAGTCGCATCTTGTGACGTCATTGGTCATGATAACAATATCCTAAAGGAGTATATAAAGTAATAGTTACTGCTTCAAGAATTTCTACTTGCTCTAAACTGCAGAATGTTGGATGTTTCTAAATTTTTCTGAAAACCTTGAGGTCTTAGAGAAAATCCTAAAGATTTGATGAAATTTTACAATTTTATAAAGGTCCAATTTCATCAGTCATTCTAAGTCAGACTGGTGTTATAGAATAATCACCTTCTGCTGTTTAGAAGGAAGAAGAATATTTCGTGAAGCAAAGAAAAATGATAATTTTTGAAAGTTGAATGAAAACTCTTGAAACTGCTTGCTGAGCATAAAATGAAAAAATTACTCACAAATTCAAACTGAGGATCTAATAAGTTTCAAAGTTACAAAGAGATGATGCTGAAAGCCATGAAACTCTTACTAAAAACTTAAAGAAGAATGTTCCATAATTTTTTACGTCAAACCTTTCAGCTTAATGGACCCTTACCTTCCATGGGTTGGGATGCCAATATGGATAATAGTCTCGTTCTTCTGGGCATTCATAGCCCCTTCTGGTACCTCCAGGGTTCTGCCTGGTGTACTTGGATGTTTTTCCTTTCAATTGCTAGGAGAAGAGTAGAGAGAGCTTCATGATCCGTTTACAGAATCTTCAAGGCTACAGGCTTGGCCGTGGCGAGCGATAGCCTTCGCGCTCCCCTCACAACCTGAGGCGAGCTGTTAATTGCTGTTCATTGGTTTATTTTTTGCAACAGCAATTAAAAGGGTTCATTGGTTTATTTTTGCAACAGCAATTTCTTTCGTCATTGCATCTTTTGCGGATAATTTTTTGTTTGTTGGGCAGTTTTGGTCATGATAGTTACGAACTTAAATCTATTTGGAAAAGGATAGTGAAGCGAAAGGTACTTTTGCAGAGTTTAGAACCTTTCATTCTTATGAAAACAGGCATATTCTTGGTAGGAAAGTCAAAGAAATTGTTGATTGGGGGATAGAATAAAACAGCAGGTCCCTTCCAGCATTGGGAACAAAATTACCCCTCAAACAGAACAGCTTTCTCGGTCTTGCAGATCAAAACAGACAACTAAAACATGCGATTCCACTATCAAGGGGAATTTACCGGGAAACCTAGACTGTGTGAAAAATTATAATGAAGACAGTTTATTGGGAATTCAGATTATTGGTAGAGTTCGATCGTTGTTCCATCTAGCACTTTTGGAATCCATCAGAATAAACATGAAAAAGCTAGTATTGTCTAGTATTGTTTTCAAGCAAAAGACAACTTTGCAAGTAAATGCCAGATATTTGTGAATCCTAACAATAGGCCCATCACTCCCTTGTGGCTATGCCCATCAGTGCCATCGCTTTAGAAGTGTACTTTTTGGGAAATCTTGCAACCTGTCAGTAATTTGCAAGTTGTATGCTTTTAGTAAGTTAGTGTTAATTAGCTGTTTATTAGCTAGTATTTTTTTAACCAACATTAAATAAAGTGAATAAAAAAAATTATTACAAGTCCACTCATCAGATTGTCAACAAATGGAATCCCATTCCCTTTAGCACAATAGCTAGCATCAATTCTGACACCTAAATTTGAACTGGTTTTCAAAATTGACAGTATCTGAATCAGCATTAAATTTCTTACCTGATCAGCTGTGAAAAGACCTTGGTTTCTCTGTCTGTATTTACAATCCATGTAATAGTTGTAATTTTCATGCATGCCAAACCTATGTAACACATCATTAAGAATTAGGTAAAAGCTTAAACATTTAAAAAATGCCAAACAATAAGGGCATAAAATGAGGATGATGGTGCAAAAGGACCAAAGGGTTTCCCCTTATTGCAAGCTCCACAAGCCTGTTAAAAATGTAATTTATTGATCCAATGGATACACTGATTTCATTGGTGAAATAACTTTCAGTCTCAACTCATGAATCTCTTATTTGCTTTTTTAAAGCATCTGTTTTGCTAAGTCAAAAGGCAGACTCTCAGGTCAGAGAATCTGCAACTTGATTCAACAATTGATGTGAGGAGCCTGTGTATCAAAGCCTGTTAAAATCTGCAAAATTTACTACATCTGTAAAATTATATATTTAATGATTTATATTCTTTCCATAAAAAATTTATGTTCATGTGAAGGCTGATAATTTCTCACTGATGTCTTGCTTCCTACAGTATTCTATTCTAAGCACCAAAACATGTAATAGACTAGATAACAATCACCATGGAATTTACATACCGTAAATCATTGTTGCAGTCATATCCACGACATTGGACTGGATTTTCTGGGATGGTTCTGTAATCACAAAAGAAATTATTATTAAAATATTTTTAGTAAGACAAAAATATGTTACATCAAGGTAGAATTTTACACATGCCTTATTACATAGTTTTACTGCTTACAAAAAAAGTAACAGAATTTGAGCTGTTTTAATAACACTACAAAGATGTTTCCTAAATACTGAATAAAATTGCTTACGTTGTAGTTGTTCCATCTCGAACCCTGCTTCCACACATGTACTGAATGATAATCTCACAATTACTGTTTGGGTTATCACACGAATGCTGATTTGTCCACTCTATTGGCAATGTAGACCCAGCATAGTAGTACAAATTTCCAACATTATATCCACCTCTGTTGTTGTTTTGTGAATCAAACAACCTGGAAAGCCAAACAAAATGACAGATAATCTAAAAGCCTGAAACCCAGAAAAAAATGCTCCTGGCATTTAAAACTGTCAATTTTCCTATAAAGGTATCTTATTAAGTTAACTAGAGTAGTGTATTATAACAAAATAAAACCAAGTGCTATCAAATAACAATCACACAATCATGTCACACCAAATAATATAGAGTACAGAAAAGGCTAGGCAACATCAAATGCTTTGTCAATTTTGTAAATGGCATCATCTTCTTCAAACCAGCAGATAAGAAACTGATCTTTTATACATAAATGTAACCAGCACAGTTTGGGTAAGAAATACAGGTCAATAAAGCACAAATCTTTGTTAAGAACATGAAAAGAAATGCTTTAAGGTAGATTAAAGTTCAATTAATTGGTTTTCGGACATCGATAATGGAACCTATGTTACCTTACGATACACAAAGGTATTGTATGAGTACAAACCGATTGCCATTATTTCTTTCTCTTCCTCTTTCATCTAATCTGTTATTACTTCCTCTAAAATAAATGATAAAATATGCAATAATTCATCTACTTTTGAACATATGAGTATTACTGTTTTCCCATCTGTCATATGGTGGTCTATGAAGTGGTAGAGCTATTCAACTTGTTGTATAGAACCTGGACAATTCTAAGTTGCACCTCTAAGTTTCATGCGAAACTTGTCCATTAGCATAACTATATCACTAATCAATGTTATTCTAGTTAGTTGCATATCAATTATTGGCACTTCATTTGTACATTCGAATTAATTACTATGTTGCTGAAAAAGTTTGAGTTTTGAGTTCAAATTGTGACTGTGATACTTTTCAGGAGATTTTTCCATGTCTCCATTAAATGTCTTCTGTTAAACTTACGACTGTTAAATCATTATCAACTCAATAGATGTAGAACTCATTTCAGTGGCATTAAAGAAGTTAATTTTTATAATATAAGTTAATTAATGCCTTACTAATGATATATCAAAAAGTTTTGAGAAAGCAAACATATTGAAGGATACTTAAACTTTTAAACAGACAGCGAAGCCTAAAGCATGTTAAAAAATGTTCGCCTTTTTTCAAAGTCATTTTGGAAATTTCTACCACCAAAAAACTTTTGAATAAAATGTTTGTATTTGAATTAAGATAGGGCTTTCCCATTTATTTTGGGGAAAGTATTTAACACTGATTTTTTTTATGATATTTATAACAGAGAAAGGTAAGAAAGTTTCATAAACTAAATATCAGTGTCAGACAAATACTGGTCCATGTTTTAAACATACCACATTTGTGCTGATTTCACAATGTCAATATCAAACACAAAATTTAAACATTCCATCACATCCATTACTTTTATTAAAGATTATATCATTCACTGTTATTCTTAAGTAAATTTGCCAATCACATTTGGATATATTCCTTCTTTTTTCTTTAAATAATTCTTTAGGCCTCTTGGTAGGGTCAGCCTAGGCCTATCTTACAATCGGTTATTACTTCACAGATCGATATCTTTTGCAATTAACAAAAAAGCTTTACATGAAACACGTTTGCTAACCTCGGATTATGCATGTAAATATCTGCGTTTACGAAGCAGTGAATAAAAAACAGAGCCAAAAAGTTCTTCATGGTGTTGTGTTGCTCTGTCCAGTTTCCTTGTCGACCATAACACTTCGACCAGAGGAAATGAGTGTAGTGTGGAGGCGGGACATTCGAAGTTGAGAGTTACTTCCGCTTTATAGCTGACAAACAGACCCATATTTGGTCTCGGCATTTTGGATTGAGTAATAGATGAATGATCGAGGGAGTCACATGCATCATGCAAAGAGAAAAATTTAACTATGAGATAACTTTGCTAAAACCAAAAGCAAAGACTTTGATTCTTTTCTTTTCGAGACATAATAAAAACTGAGCTCAGTCTTCTGTGCTTGTTTGTACAAAAACTACCATCTTTACTTCGCAGCTCGCAGCATGTTTACTGTCATTTTTCTTTAATCACACTTCTGTGAAAGAATACCTAGATTTTTGTCGAATCTCGATACGACCAGCTCCTTCGAGGAAAGGCCGATCAAACAAATAACTCGGAAAACCCTCAATGTCCTGGAGAACATTTTGAATATTTTTTTAACAGCTGATATCTATTAATTTTTAACATTATATATTTGATTAAAACATCATTGATTGAAACATGCGATAAAGTGTAAAAATGTTGTGATGATATGAATTTGAAAAAATGGAAAATTTGCTTCACTTGTTCGATTGAAAGTTATTAACAAAGCGAAGTTCTTTACACGTGGTTAGAAAACTTTTACTAGTTATCTATCTGCTATACGCTCTTTTTTTAAAAGAATAATTTTTTAAGAACATGAGCCTCAAAATTGGTCAAAGTTAAAAACAAATTAAGAACAAGCTGATGCTGAGCTACTGTAAAGTGCAATTTTGAATAACGTTTTATCACAAAAACAAGGATTTTTAGCCATGTGAGGGTACCATTTCGGTGAATATTCAAACTGTTGTCTCACTCACTTTGTTGGAAAATGGGGCCTTGACACCTCCCCAAAGCGAAAAAGGTAACAATCGCACTGCTTACATTATCATTTTTAAAACAAATTAAGAACAATGCAGCTTCAGATTTTCGAAAAAGATTAGGTGATTTGTACCAGGTTAACTTTCCTTAGGGATTTTGATCTACCCTTAGTTACCCAGCACTTTTTAATCCATTTTTAGAAGAAATATGTAGACCATATTCTCAGAAAAGTGGATGGTGAATTACCCCCCCCCCCATACCACCCCTTGGCACCACCACTGATTCCGATCGCCAATCAAACGCACAAGAAATGTACTGTTAATTGAGAATCTTAACTTTTAAAAGCAAATTTTATATTTGTCGTCTTTAAAATCAATAAAATATGCAGTTCTTTTTAATGACGAGTTATTCTGCATCATGAAGCTTCAAGGGATGGCTGAACACCCCCTTCTAAAATTTCCGGGGGGGCTCAAGCCCCCCCCCCCCCCTCAACAAAGTCGGCGCCCACGTGTCACGTGGTTCCCGGTGAACTTTTTCTCCCCCTTTCTAAGATTGCATCAATATTCTTTTTTCAGAATCTTTACAGAATCTAGCTCTCGTATAAATCCAAAACAGCTAATTAAACCAAGGAAACAGGAAAATACGAATATCGATGCTTTCTACTGAAATAGATTTAGTGTCATTTTGTGGTGATGATATCGGAAGAGAATATATTTCATTACGAAAAGCTTAATTCAAAAGGATAATGCTGATTATTCAGTGGTTGAAATTTCTCTATCATGTTCCGTGTTGTAAATGGTTCCTTCTCGACTTTTGAAGCATGTTTCATCTTGAATTTCTCTATAGCTAATGAATATGGGTTGATCCGAGTTAATCCTTTGAAAATGCTACAACTGGGTCGCTCTTTAAACATACTACCCCAATCGGGGCCTTCTTTAAAAACTTTGGTAAAGAATCCGTGTGTAGAATGTGTTTAAGTCGTCCAGAGAACGGAACAACTCTGTCTAAAAAGTGGCCAGTTTACAAAGTTAAAAGGTAGCTTTGCACATCATTGTATAACCGATTCCTTATCAAATGTATGCTTTGATTTATTCCACATAGAGAATGGCTGAATCCACATAAAACGAAGGAACACGACATGAAGAAGATAACTTACTTAAGTGTTGCTCTATTTCCCATTTTACAAAAAGATTTGATTGCAAAATTCTAAAAACCCGACGTACCAGTGGCGGAAATTCAGGCCATTTTGGGGGGCTAAGGCTCCGATTTTCCGACAAGACAACATATTTGACGGGCTTTCGGCATGTTAAAGATTTGTAAAATCTCGGACGTTGAAAACCAACGCGATTGGGGAGCCGAACCCCAAGCCCCCAAGCCCCCGAGCCACTGCAACAAACAGCAAAATCACAGTGTCATTCCTTTTGTCGTCACTTCTAAAAATTACAAAACAATTAGAATAGAGGATCATTTTAAATATGATAAAGATGTTGGAATTATCCACTAGGCTCTAGGGTTTCCCTCCCCACAAGTTACCCCGTGATCACCGACAAATATGTTCACAGCATTTTTGTTGTTGTATTGCGTATGTTTCAAGTTATTTGCTACATTAGTTAACATCAATGATTCACACACATTTCCATTTCTCGTTTTTAGCCTCAGTTACGTCACAGGAAAAAGTCAATTTCCCCACCATTAAAAATTCTTTAAAATATCCGAGGGATCGAGATGCTGTTATAATTTAATTCTCTCACTTCTTGATTGAACAGAGACTTGATGAAAAACAAAACTTCTGACAGGTGCATTTAATGAGTTAATCTCATGTCTACTGGGCGTAAAAAACTGATAATTATGATACTGTTCATGCAACGTTACTTGTATAAATCTATATCCAATAAGTTCACATCGCATAATCAAACATAACAATTAAAGAGACAAATGTAAATATATTCCAGTATTAGTAGAAAAACATTTTTGCTAATCAAATTAATTCATCTCTGATCCTGATAAAAATAAGTTTGCCTTTCCAACTTCCTTATTCATAGAGCCAGAGGGCTTATGGCACATTACAGTGTTCCTTACTTTGGGCAAACTAAAAATTCAAACCCACGAATTTCAGTTACTGGAGAATTAAATAGCAGAGTTTATATATATATAGGATATGGCTCAATATATTGGGCGGCTTAATGATCTGACAAATGATGCGTAGAGGCTGACCCAGTTTGTCAATGTCCTGAACCTCATTTATGATTATGACCTTTCCAAACGCTCTTCTTTAAGACTAGATTTTTCTAAGACAGTTTGTAGCATCAAATTAAAAAACAAGTTTTCATGCAGGGCTATCGTTCATTCAGGGGTTACCTGAAAACTCAGAAACAATATGGACAGGCAGCATCACACACCTTCAGATACATAGTTTATGGGAGACATCGATGTGCAACCAGTGGGTTTAAGATTGAAAATTTACCCTGGTATATGATGATTTAAGCAATTTGGAAGAAAGACGCGGAGTGCTGACTTTCAGCGTTATAAACTGAAACTTCCCCTGTCACTGCTGTTGGCCTTCCTCGCGAACAATCTCCTTGTATTGCATCTTCCACTGCTGAATATCAACCCCATAAATCTGGAATAAAGAATCAACATAATTAATGGCTTACACCCTAATAACTTAAAAACAAACTAAAAACAATTCAACCTCAGATTTTCGAAAAATTAAGAACAGACAGCCTCGACTTCAATGAAAATCATCCCTAACTAGTATGTTTTATAGTGACGGATTCATATAAATAGAGCTGTGCACGCTTTGGAGTTAGAAAAGCAGGAAAGTTCTGATATGCGAATGTTATGATCAGGCTTTCACTAACCTCAGAGATGAACTCGAGAATTCTACGTTTTGAAGTTTCAGCCATTGTCCTTGGGCCCATTTTGTAGTTGAAGGTAACAAGATCTGGGGTTACCACTTTCTCTTTGATGATATAACTGGAACGAGCGCATAAAAGCATTTTATTTGACTCTTATATTCAATCCATAACTTGTGAAGGCAAAGTAATACCCGATATTTTGTACACAAAGAATATTCATCTCCTAAATTGGCGAAAACCTTATATATCTTGATAGCAAACTATATCAGCATGTGCTAGGGGTATATTTTTTGGAAAAGGGGGGTTTTTAGGGACATAAAACCCCCAGCCTTTGTTAAACATGGTCAAATCCCATCCTATTAAAAACTTTTTCAAATTACCTTTCAGTTTCTAATTAGTGTTTTTTGCATAAAGTATTGTGAAAATTTATGAATAGGTGGAATTAGAGAAGGGTGAGGTAGACAAGGGTGCTTTTTTTCGCCAGACCTTTTCAACATCTACAGTGAAACAATAACGAGAGAGCTACACTAATTGGAAGGACTTATTGTTGGGGGAAGAAACAGTACAAATATAAGATAGGCAGACGACACGGCGATCATAGCAATATCAGAAGAGAAGCTACAAGCACTACTGGACAAGGTAGTGGAAGAGAGTAGGAAAGTGGGTCTTTCAATCAACATCAAAAAACGCAAAGTATGGTAATCAGGAAAATACGCCCAGGATGTAATCTAAAGGTAGAGAGGAACAACATCACGCAAGTAGAGAAGTTTAAACAACCTAGAAAGTTTGATAACAGACAACGGTAAATGTGATGCAGAGATTAAGAGAAGAATCGGTATTGCCAAAGAAACGTTTCACAAAATGCAAAGCATACTCAAAGATCGAAAAATGCCAATGACCACTAAAATCAGGATTCTGAAATGCTGCATCTATCCTGTGCTTGCCTATGGCTGTGAATGCTGGACCATCACAAAAACAATGGTAGAACGAATGCAGGCAGCGGAAATGTGGTTTCTGAGGAGGATGTTAAGGATTTCATAGACTGAACACACACGCAATGAGGAAGTTTTGAGAAGAGCAGGTACAAAAAAGGGGACTATTAACATCAATCAGGAAATGGCAGATGGAGTTTTTTGGGCACGTGATGAGAAGGGAAGGCTTGGAACACCTAGCGGTTACTGGAAAGATAGAAGGAAAGAAAGGAAGAGGAAGACCAAGAATTGGATATGTGAAGGCTTTGCGTACTTGGGAAAATGTAGAAGCTAAGAGCAGGGTAGAGTGGAAGGCCATGACAGTCAACGCTTTGAAGGAGCACGGCACAGAGAGAGAGAGAGAGAGAGAGAGAGAGAGAGAGAGAGAGAGAGGTGGAATTATAAGTATAAAATGGGGAAGCCTCAAGCAGATTTTTTCTTTTGAATTTGAAATGGAATCTTTCTGCAAACTTGACAGAAACACTAAATTTTCTGGTTCAAAGAAGAAAATATAAATAGAGATGAAGATCGAGGGGGGGGGGGGTTCCTTAACATGTTTGAAGATAGGGGGACGTGCCACTATTTAGGGCTACCTTTTTTCTGAAAAGTGTGGAATTATCGGTAACAGTTTTTGAAATATGTGCGGAACTATGGGTGCCATTTGAAAAAAACATGCAGAATTATGGGTACCATTTTTGGAAAATATTGCAAAATTATTAGGAGGGATATTTAGCATTAACAAAATAAATGACCAGTTAGAAACAAAAACTATGAAATCTGTGTAATATTGAGATTTTGGGGCAAAGGACATGCAAAATTTGTTTCCTGATTTTTGTGCTTTAAAAATTTTATTTCCTTTGCGGAATTAATTGCAGCAGGAGGGGGCATAGAAATTAGAAAAGTAACAGGAGAAGCTATCCAAGGATTGTTTATTTGAATATGTAAGCTCTTATTCATTCAAGGGCAAATTCAATCCAAATTTCACTGGCTGTTATTTAGTAAGGAAAAATAAAGGTAAGACCATAACGAAGTAAATGGTTGTCCTTCATCTGGCCAAAAATCCACTTTAAAATACACACTTTTATCGAACTAGCTTTTTCCTCGGGATCACCTGACCGGCAATTTCCTAATCTTCTTGAATCCGGGCGCGATTAAGTTTTCCCGCTTACGTTTGACCTAACCCTGATTTGGTAGTTGCTCAAATATTCATAGGCGGTTAGAAACCAAAAAACAAAAAAGGCGTTTACTTTTTTGTTTGGAAGATATCAATTACTCACGTTTGTTTCACGAATTCCTGTATCGTCTTTTCAATATCTCCAAACTCTTTATGATTCACGCTGACGTAAAAAAATTTTTTTATATACAATAAACAATTTACACAAGAAACAATCTATCTAGCATCACTAATTAAAAACATTATGTTTGTTACTTAATTGTGTGTTTATTTAATTTTGTAAACCGGCAGCCTGTCGGTATATAAACAGTGCTGAATTCATATATATTTTATTTCTTGTTTATTTGTAAATGGATGCAAATGATTATGAACCAGCATTGATAAAAAAAAATTTAAAATATAATTGATTGATGCTATGGTTTTACAGAATTACAGCAAATCGATTGATCAATTGATTTACAGCAAATTCAAGCTTACTTTCAGCGTTTCAACGCCCTGAAGAGCACTGGATATGGTGACGTGGTCTTCTTAGTTCATTCAGACAAGCAACTTAAAATGCTAAAGCACAGAATAGAGATATGGCAGGTTGACGCAGACAAATTACGCAATGTTCTGTTCGTAACCACAAACCATAACCACGGTGGATACGAAATCTTAACATAGAATCTTAGGTTAATACAATCGTAGAAAGCCAAGTCTAGCGATAACAGCGAGTAAATTAATTTGCAAAGTTATCCTTCCGGCTGCGTGGAATATGACCTGCACAAGGACATCATATTGCCGCGGCAAAAATAGCAAACACTGATAATCTACGGGTTGGAAACCGGAATAGAAGCGATACTGCAGTTCCTCGTGATGTGAAGTACATAATCAATTAACTTAGTGAAAAAATGATACTGTATCTATAATATGTTTTGTGAGTAGGCAACCAAACTGAAATCGATAAACAGCACCACTTCAAAGGGGCTGCAAGAAACTTCCTTCAAAACTCCATTCACATGTTCCTTTAGCTTTAACACACTAGAGAACAAGGAGACTGATTTTTCTTCACCATTTCCGCGAGATTATTACACATTTTGCACGACTGGCCAGCAGACATTGCAAAAATATTGACCACAAGTAGCATAGCCCCCCCCCCCCTAGCATTCAGTGCTTATAGTTAACTAGCACTAACCACAAAACATGAAGTTTCGGAAAATCAAATGATAGATCTTGGCAGCAAACGAATACTCACTCCTTACGGATGCCCAGTTGTTTAAGAGTTCGTTTCAAGATATCTGTGGAAGGGAAATTCAAACTTTTATGGATAGTTTTCAGCACAAAACCTTTCAAGGCCAGTTGATGTTAATGCGGGTCTTCCTCTGGGACAAGTTTACAGCTTCCATAAAACATACAAGGAAAAAGAACTAGTCTAACAAAAACCCCTCCATTTACCTCCCTTTTTGTATCTCAATTTATCTTGATAAAGATGTACAACAGTATCTCACTTAGTAGAGAGTAATTTCCATTCTAAATTGTTCAATACAATTGTCCTAGAATTTAGAATTACTGCTTGAAACATTATATTCAGCATTGATTGAGAGTATTTTTTAGGCAGTGACGTCGGAAAAAAATCCCTTCTCATTCAGTACACTGTTATAAAGGAAATATACTACAGTCTGACAATTTCTATAGGGAGACTCCAGTCCCCTGCTTCTGGCAACTCTGATAGGGTTGTAGTGGCATACAGAAAAATAAAGTTTTATAAGATATTAGTAACATTGACTAGTATTGAATAGAACTTTTGAGTTTCTAGCAGTTTTCTGTAGTATCTAGTCATATCAAGTGTGGGATTACAGGGCTTTGTATTAGTCTTTTGATGAAATCAAGCAATTGATACTTCACCATCACTGACAACTCCATCTGACATGTAGATGAGACTGATGATAATCATAAGCAAACCAGAATGCTTCACTTCTTTTGACCTAAAAATAGTGCTTCTTTCTCTCAGCGGTTTCAGCAAAATTCCATCACAGATTAATCTTTATAAAGAATTAGTCTCTTGTTTATACAGGAGCAGAGGTGACCTAGACCAAACTTGCTTGAGTATGACAGGTTTTGGGACAGAGTGTAATGATATGTGAATGTGTGTAGTGCAAAAAAGTGCAAAGATATAGACCAGACGAGTGTGATACACTATAGGGTGAGAACAGATTGCAATAGAGTGTAAATCTTTGCAGCCATTTAAGCAGAAATTTTACTTTTTGAGATACAAACCATGGTATAACGTCTTCGTTTCTTGTGTCAAGGTCATTCACCAAGAAATAAGATTTTGTCTTTCCAACTTCACTTTCAACAACATCAATTCCAAATATCTACAAAAAGTTTTTTATCTTTATTTTTGTGCAATTGTGTCCCTTTTTGTAATAGATATCAATCAGGCTCTGCTGGCAGACTTTTAGAGAATCTGAAAATTATCAAACAGGTTTCATTCCACAGTTTTGTTTGAATCTTTTTTGAAAATGAGAACAAAGGTTAATCTTCATTTGTTGAAAGGCTGAAACATAGCACAATGCAAACTAAACATATTATGATTCAACCCTTCCTTGGTATCCATTTGAAATTATGTCAGAGGTACCAATAGAGAATGTATGGCTTTCTTTACCCATGAATACAGCTAATTCATTTTGATAACATTTTCACTTAAATTTTGAAAAAAGCCTCAGTGGGCTTCCTATCTAATGAAAACAAAGTTTGTTTTTGTAGATAGGAACTATAAATTTTCAGCAATCTTAAGAAAAGACAGTTTTTGAGAGCTGCAAGCATACAAAGGTTTTAGTATCATAAACTCAACACAGCCTCTAAAGGCCTCTGAAGCTTTGCACAAACAGTGAACTTATTGATAGAATTAGGCAATCTGTAGGGTTGTGCAAATCTTTCCTAAAAGCATTTTATCTTGCTAAAAGTAATTGTGTAAAGAATCTCACATTAAGTAAAAATTCCTTTGCTTTTTCAAATATGGGCTGAAAACACCTGACATGCTCCTTCAGGACATTCCTGTTGATGTCTGTAAGTAAAGAAAACATTTGTTTAAATTCCATTTAATTTAGTTTACTCCAACTAGATCACCAAAAACACAAATACCCTCCCCTTTAGAAATATATAAGCTTTTTCTAACTTCCCTAGACAAAATTCTCAACCTTTGTTTTCAAATCCAGTCCGATTTTTCCAATGTTATTTGAAGTGTAGTGAATTTATTGGAGTCACGATGATGGTAATTCCCAAGATGCTTGAACAATGTTTAATCTCTGAACTTTTACAATTCTGATAAAAATTTAAAATCAAAATTAAAGCAGTTTTGCTATGATTTGCTATGATGTAAATATGGAAACAAAATATGTGCATGCAGTGCTTACTGCTAAAGTTAAAGTGAAATGCTTAGTCAATATAAAGTGAAAAAATTATTTTGGCATGTATCATCCTGGAAAACTAATTTCGTATTTATCAGATAAATATCAGCATACAAGTATGATTACACATGAACAGGATCTACCTGGCCTTTTTATTGGTAGTTTTTTCTTGTCCTGACAAAGCATGTATCTGACTAGCTCTGAAACCTACAAATAGAGATGGATTTACAAATTTAAGCTCTTCCAAAATTGTTTCCTTGTTCTCATTAGAAATAATCTTTCAAATATTGAGAATAATCCCCACTTCTATACTTCTATATCATTAAAATGAAGCATAAAAGCCAGAAACAGCAACAGGCATATAATCAGGGACGGACACTTGGTCAAATATAAGGGGCAAGCCTATTGTTTTCATAAAATGATGTCACATGTCCCCATTATTTAAGAACCGAAGACAATTGGCTTTGAAAACATTGTCCACTGTCCCCAGGTGTCTACTACTGCATAAAATATAATAAACAGTAGTTCTGAGCAGCACAAAATGATAAGAAATTATGCAATATTATTTTGATATGCTTAGAAAAAGCTCATGGGTTATTCATACTTTGCGCTGGAATTCAGCTGGGCCAAGATTTTCTATAGCTCTGCTTGCTTGTGAACTCTGTGAAGACATTGTGAACCAAGGATGCACACTTTAGTTCCAAGGATGCCTTTTTTCTATCTGTTATGATACTAGAAAATAAATCCACACTTAGGCAATACATATAATGGATTTTCTAGATAATGATCATTCAGTTTCGATTATACCCCTTTATACTAGCCATATTTGCATGGTAAGTGGAAGCTTGAGGAAATTTTATCATGAGCAAAACTTTAATTTACCGTTGATTAAAAAATCTGTGAGCTTTTGACTGGAAATAAACTGAAGGGGCACTTTCAAGGTTGGAAAACAAGTTTTATTTTTCCTACGTTATGTAGCTGACAGTTTGAACTGCTGAATGAGCATCTAGTTCGTCTTATAGCCTGGATCCTAATGTAATTTCGGAACTACACTTCCGTTGCAACTGACATACACTAGATAGGGCCCGCGTAGGCCCTGAGCCTAATTAGGTTGTCGCTAAACCCTTGGGTAGATGCAAAAATAAAAGGCTCCACCCTAGGTGTATGTCCCCTTAAGGCAAATATAAAACAATTCATCAAATAAATGGTTAATAAGCATTTCCTACCTCTACTCTTTGACTAGAGAATGGTATACAAATACAGCACACACAACCTTTTGCCGCCAAAATCAATCGTGAACGAGACTCAGAGCCTCGCTTCAGGACTCAGGTTTGAACATTCGTATGAAACAAAGTAGTGCGAGAGTAATGCACAATATCTTGTCAACGGAAAAGCAAATAGTGGACGCACGGAGAACTCTGAAGAGAAGATTTCACTGATGGTTTTGGGCTGATGAGTGTGGAGGTGAACTTCTGCTCATAATGATGCCCAGAATAGGCTTTGTTCAGTCTGCCAGCAGCCCCCCCCACTTTTGTAGTAGGACGCTCCCCAGGTCACATGACCTATTTTAATCACGTGTAATGACCTATTGTAGAATATAATCTCAAGTTCTATATATCGTAGTTCAGTTATCTTTTTAACCTCGTTCAGATCAATCAAGATATGAAAATGTAAAGAGTGTCTTTCTTTGCTCTACAATCTAAACGATGTAATTAAAAGCACAACCTCTCACACTTTTTCCATATAAAGGATTTAAATTTGCCTAGTTTTCAAATTAGAAATCGATGATGCCTCTCAGTTTTTAAAGGCATTGAGTCATGATAAAAAAAGGGGGTATACCCAAACGTAGGAGGTACTAGGTGGTATCAAGCCCCCTCCATGACACCAGTGCTCTAGCACCAACAGTATTCACCAAATTGGTCTTTTTGAGCAATTAAATTTTGATCAACAGTGGCCAGGTCAAAAACTGGGAAACTGCAGAACAAGCGGAACGCACAGAAAAGTGAAATTCGGATTTAAGCTTCTAGAATGCAAATACATAAATAAAGCAACAGAGCTCTTTCAAGAATTAAAATATAAGACCTCTTTTAAGGAATGAGAATATGCTTGCAGCAGTCATTTTCACACAGTCAGGCCATGAGTCATGCAAATTCACAGATCATGCCCAAATGTCTATTCGCACATTCACGCATAACAAAAATCTTTCCCTGAATTCTTGCATTGAAAATATTTGGCTGATCATGCAATCATGCCAAAATACCTGGTACCCCCTTTAACTAGCAGTGCTGGCCCTAGACATGTTAAATTTGCCACACAATTTTCTTCTTTAAAAAATCTATTAAGAAACCTATAACCTGTCTCATCATTTAAAGTCCATCTCTTGCAAAAAATTTGGCTTTTTTATTGGCATATTACACAGCTCAATTGAATAGTTGGACTGGAATTATAGGACCGTCAATTAAAAAGATCTTTCAACATGCTAAACACTGAAATAAACATTAACATTTCTTTGCAACTGTCAGCATTTTAATTTCTGAGACCCAGCACAAACCTCTGCTAAATCCTAATCAATAAACATTTTTCATTATAATTTGAAATCGTTATTCTTCTAAGAAATTTAACTTTGAGCCAGATGATTGATGCCGGCCTGGCCATAAAACTTCAACGAGGGGAGCAGTAAACAGCTATGGGTAGTATTCAGTTGAGCTATATGAATACAAAGGAAAAATTGATTTTAAGGAGAGCAAATTTGCTTTCTAGAACAATTTAAGAGAGCAATCTGTAGCTCCCCTCCAGCATTTGAAGAGAGCCCAGAGGGAAGCAAGAGTTATGGCTCTCCTCAAATGGCCAGGCAGATTAATGTCTGTGCTTCATATTGTGTTTGGATATTGCTTGTCTCTCGATATCAAAAAATACTCAACTGCTAAAAACAGTTCAATGATTTCAGGTCAGTTTTTAATTTGAAATTCCACTACACAAAAACATTATTAAAGATAACATCATTAAAAATGGAGCTAACATAAAAAGGTTAATTTTCACCTTTCATTGTTCTTCTCAATTCTAGAATAACTAACTCGTGCATAGACTTTTAACATGTGATTAAATTAGAGAGAGAAAAGAGAAAACATTGTCTGTGGGTCTTGAAAATGATTAAATATTTTAACCCTTGACTAAATGAACTGAAAAATACATAGAATAGGAGAAATTGTTTAGCTGTTAAGAAAATTACAAACTAGTCAGTTTAATATCTAAATAAATTTGATGCGAGCATCACAAAGGAATATTTAAAATAAACCATCATGATGACTTGATGCTCTGCTTTTATCTACAGCAGTATTAAGTGAATTGTTTCTATACATTCCACATTTTCCTAAATTTTCTGTGAAAGTCTGGCTTTTGGCATGAAAGGATGAAGGCATTGTATGTACTGTTGGGCTCACTGCGCTGAAATACAGGAAGAAAAACATCTGTAAACAACACTGAAAATATAAGAATTCACAAACAAATGGGTTGGATGTTGAATTCATAGCATGTTTCACAGAAATCATCTGTAGCAAAAATATATTAGCTTCTCTGCCAAAATGGAGAAATTTATACCATGCTCTATTTTCAAGAAAATTATTTCACACACAAATGGAAAAACATAAAACTTTGTATAAAAAACCTGTCAAGCAAGAAAAAATAAGTATAGGAATAGATAGCAGCACATTAAATGTTGAGATCTTACCCATAATCACTGCCACTTGTTCTATACATTGGATGTGACTCTTTTCTGTTATATCCATCAAACATATCTAAAAATCAATTAGAAATTTCAATCTGCTGTATCTATCTAAGTTCAGAAAAATTACTCAAATCTTGCTTGGTTATTTTTCTTTATAAATGCTAACAATTAATAGTACTTTTTTTGCTAAGGACCAAGGCTAAGTCTATACTTTTGGGTTTTGTATATGACCATTTTGTCACTCACAAAGCTACAGTAAACATGTAAATTGATTTGAGAAAAAAAATAATTGAAATTAAAGACAATGCCAGTACAATTTTCAATCTACTACAAAGTTGTTTATTTAGTATTTCAAAATATTATTTCATTTCATCTAGAATTCCAGATAAAATAGTTTGCTGTGATAACAGTAAAAAGCCTTGAAAAAGACATGAAAACACTGTGCCTAAATTAGTTAAGAAAAAAACTGGAAGGGTTTGTTAAAACTGACCTTTAGAAGTCAAGACTGGTGCTACAGAGTTTAACTGACATGTGAAGACAGGATTTCCAAGGTTATTAGGAGTTTGATCCTGAGATTTTTCATCCAAGTCTGTTAAATGCATAAATACCCTGCATCCTTAAAATGTTGATTTACTAGTTATAGCATTACTCAGGAAACTTAGTAATCCTTTCAAAACTTAAAGCTCTATTTTTCGCCCCTACCAATTTCCTATAAATTTATTGCGATCCACCAATTGCATTGCATGTAAACCTCGCCTACAGGGACACTTTGTGGATGACAATGAAAGATGTTATAAAAAGTGAACCTCAAGCAGAAATTGCTTTCAACAAAACTGAAATCAACTGAAATATAAGCATCATCCTTTATAATGACTGTTCTCATTTATCTGTATGCTGAGAGTATTGATAGGTCTTGCAAGCTACTTATACTTAATGGGAAATATTTTATAAAATCCTTTTAAATTCAGACCATGCATAAAGGATTCAGGCCTAACCAAACAACTGAATTTGTTGCTCCTACCTGGATTGTCAAACCTTGAGGGTATACTGTTTACTTTATAAAAGTCTGATGTCTTGGCTCCCTTTCCTGGTAGTGTTTCTTGATATTCACGATCCTGGAAGTAAATTACTTTTTATGAAAATATGACTACCCAAATTATGACATCATCACACATCAAACATGAACCTCACAACATATGTGGATAATGATGGAGCAAGTACTTTCAATGCTACACGGGAATGGATTCACCAAAACAAAAGGAATTACAAGACCTAATCTTTCCATCAGAAGTTAACTTTTATTTTTACGAATGTGTTGAAGGAAAAACTTGCGTAAAGGCCTAATTTTCTATGCGGAGAAAGCCATTTAATATCTAGCAGAAAACAACTTACAAGCTTCTGGCGAAGTTCCTTTGATTTCATTGAAGTCCCCATGATCTTACTCCAATATAAAGACGCAAGAACGACGTTGTTATAAGGCGGTATTTTCCACTTCCCTCAAATGTTTTTCTGCCTTGCGACAGTACCTGTTTAGTTTCTAGGCCACGATGTTTCCATAGCAACAGCGTATTAGTACCCAGACTTCGAGAATGGCTTTTGAGGGAATGTGCCACCTTGGTCCCCAGCTCCCACGTTTCTATCAAGAGACATTTTTTCACATGTCCCATAACTTCCAAAATAGAAATAATCGGTGTTTCTTTTACATTATTAACATTTGTTGTTCCTTTGTTTTTAACTTTCTTTTTAACTTATAAGCCTCCCCTCAGCTAGCCAGTATTTGTTTGGTTGAGCGAATTCCTTACTTGGCAAAGCAAATAAACCCTTTATTTGGCTATTTGTCCAGGAATGAACAGATTCTACTAACCTTTTAGCGACTGTGAATAGTTTGGACGATTCTATAGATGCAACAGAAAATCGCATAAACAACTGCAAGCACACAGAGGTATAAGTGTGGCTCCTGGAATCTACCCACAGCAAGGGCCCCTTCCTAACACCCCTGCCGTGAATACACTAGACATGTAGAAATGTTTTCTATGAATAGAATTTTTAAATTGTGATTTATATGAGATAAGAATTTTTGGGGGCAAGACCCCCCCTGACTCTGAACAAGAGTCTGAATATGTCGATGTTTTGTGTTCCACTCCACATCATATAGTTACTCACTTTGCAAACACAGGGAACGCGGAAGTGGGGGAGGGGGGCTACATTGGCTTCAGCTTCTCAATAATCTCTAAAAAGAACTTAAAACCACACTAAAGATCACCTTGCTCTTGATTTTCAGCATGCTTAACCCCCTCCCTCCAAAAACATTTTAGTACAATCTGTAAAGTGCCCTGCGGTCCTTGCGCAAACATATAACTAATTACAGGAATTTTTCTTAATGAAGACCTATTATAAGACAAATAGAAGTAGAGAATTGAGTTAAGATCTTGGATGATAAATTTGAAAGAAATTAGTGTGAACAAACTAGCTAATACTATTTTTTATAGTGTTTATTTGTAAAAAAAAGTCCCTAAATGAGCATATTAATTTCCCATACTGACAAAACCGGAGCTGCAATATTACCACAGTGATATCACCGCCTTTGACGCACAAAAGTTTATTGCTTTATCACAGAGCCGAAGCAAAGTTACATTTAGCACAAGAATTCCCAGAACTTTTAACGATCTCTACAAAATTAATTCTTTATGATGCAATAAGGAGTCAACTCTCAGAGTTTATGACGTCAGAGATTGACTTACAGGTGACAGAAGTCGTGACCAGATGCGAATGTTCTGACAGCAACTTTGTCGCAAATTCAAATTTGTCCTATTTTGACCTTTCACTGGCTGTTCAGTGGTGTCCGTGCAAACTTCCAAATCTTGTAAAAACGTTAATGTCTTCTGTTAATCTTATAAATAATATGCGTTCATTTCTTCTTTTTTTCCAACTGAACAAAATTGTTCGGTTGAATGTCGAGAAAATCTGAAAAAGGCCTTTTCCTGAAAGAGCTTTCATATCAAATCATTTCTAGCCTGCGACAGTCCTAATCAGATATACCGAGCTTCTCCAAGTAATCTCGACTATCCCTTATTGCAAAAATCAAAATACAAACTTATTTCATTAATAACCGTAAATCCTCGAATTGGACCCCCTGAAACCCCGAAACCTCTCGAATAGGCCACCACCCTAGAACTACAAATTGTCAATAAGCTCCCCCCTCGAATAAGCCCCCATTGCTACTTTAAATTCTCGAATTGGATCTCTCCATTTGATGATTTTTGCCATCTGAGGCTGCCTGTGGCGTTTTATTGAATTACAACAACAAATTCATACTTTTGGTAGTAATTAGTTAAATGCTCATAAATAAATTCCTACTAAAAACGAGGTCTTTTAATAATGTCTTCTTAATGTCTACAATGATTATAAACCCCCCCCTCGAATAAGCCCCCATCCAAAAATATCAAAAATAAATAATTCCCCAGGAGGGGGGGCTAATTCAAGGATTTACGGTATAATGAAGTTCCGCGATATAGAGCTCCGCTATAAAGCATTATTACAAGGAATCTATTCTCTTTGGGTTCATACTCCAGCAAACAGTAATCAGATATAGTTTTCCTTTTTTGGCTTTTGGGTCTTAGGGCTTTCTAGTACCACTTGCCTTAGAAAATAAAAAGAACAAAAAGAGGCTTGACTACAGTATTCGAGAGAGTTAATGATAATGGAAATTTCCTGAATCTTATTTAAGAGCTCTACAACTCTGTAGATCTGATAATAAATATATCGTAAGACCTGCGTCTTAATTAATATTTCGCTAGATAACTTTTCATGGAAATGTTATACAAAAAACCGTTAGGACCATTTTGAGCTGCAAAGTTAGGATTATAAACAAATTTTTAAAGAACGATATTTAGCAAAAGTAACCATTTTCTATACAGAGATGGATTCTGAAAGATCTAAGTATTTTTACAGAAATAGTGGGGCGTGTCTTCGAAACCAGAAATTACTCAACCAGAAACTTAGTGAACAGTGGACAGAAATAAATAGCGAAGAGAATTTAGCCAACCATGGATATTTTGCTAATCTTTATATCATGTGGGCAAGTCTTTCGCGTCATTTGCCAGATTGCAATGTTCTGCCTTTTATTGAATGACATAGATTACATCTTAGTGCAACAAGATTTGTTTCTTGATTAAGAGAGGTGAATAAAAGAGTGACTTCCAAAACCCTACCTGAAATAAAACGTTTCTTAACAAGTACCAAAAACTTCAAATAAGGAATTATCAAGAGCAGATCGTCATATGAGATGACGTCATGAATTGGAGCTTACTCCGTTGTTCGATTCATAGTTGCGGCAAAAACAGCACTTCCCTTTCCTAAAACCTGCGATACAACAAAAGCACTAAAGTGATTCTGACCGCGAGCGTGATAAAGCTATAAAATATCCTCATAAGCCGTATTCATCCAGGACAGCGAAGTTATTCACAGGCGAGCTGTTGTCAGGCTTACGTCACAGAATAAGGCAATTCAACATTTCATAACATCCTTCTTCCCTACAAATTATGTCTCACAAATGCCATCCACGGAAGGAAAACAAAAAAATGTGTTTGCAAAGTTGTGTTTTAGTTTGAAAGGTCAAGATAACACAACGCCTACCTATTCAAATATTGATCCTAGTAATAGGCTACAAAGCGCCCCCCCAAAATTAGGAATACACGGTTACTAGCGTCCGATGATTATACAACAGTACAGCTACGTAGTGAAGGGGGGGCAAAAGGGGGTGGATGCCCCCTAAAAGTGTGTAGACCCCAATTTTTCCCTCGCTCAACACGATTTGCCACCCAATCTTCCAAAGGGCGTGGACCCCAATTTTTCCCTCGCTCAACACGCTTTTGCTCCCAAATCTTACTACTCTGGATACGCTGCTCCAGCGATACAATTTACATTCTCCCTAATTTGAACATGAGCTTTCTAAAAATAACCATTCCCGTTTTTAAAAAACTTTTGATAGCTTAAATTGTTCTTTCGATAGCTCAAGAGGATTTGAAATGAATTTTTTTAATGAACAGAGTACAGAGTTAAAGGTGTGTGTCATTTTCAAGGAAAAATAGGGATCATAATTCCTGGTTTTTATGTGGCAACAATGAGTTCTTGTTTATGGGGCTTTACTGTGCATCATGAAAGGATCGACAGGATTTGGCCTATAGTCTCCTGGGTCTCTTGGTGGCATGAAATTCAAATTGGGATGGAGGTTCCCATCATATTGCTTACCATTTAGTCACAGTGATTAAGTATACTGTTATAAAGGAAATAAATAGCTTGTTGACAATTATTTGGGGGCATCAATGTTTTATAGATTTATAGTTTAGACTTTTTCCTCTTGCTTTCAACGATTCGGGGGGAGGGAGGATTCAATTTTACAGGGGCAATTCGGGGGGAGGGTGGATTCAAATTTACAGGGGCAATTCGGGGGGAGGGTGGATTCAAATTTACAGGGGCAACGTGAAGTAGAAAAATGTGACAATCCCCTGCTGCCTCCTGCTTTCTACGTCCATTTTAAAGACTTAAAGTTAAACAACATTTAATTTCACCCGTAACATAGTATAAAACAGCATTGCTGAATGGGCTACCATGTTTGAATAAATGAAAATAAAATAAAATCAAAATAATATTGTATTCATTGTGTGAAGGCTGGTCATTTATATCAAAGATAAAATATTATGATTTTCCGATTCCGCAGATCGCTTATGCGAAACTAACCACTTTTGAATTCCTTGATACTACAAACCAGTCAGTGCAATCTTGTGGGAGAATGAGGAACATGAATTTAAAATTATTCTAAGCTAGAAACGATATTTGAACACATAGCTACTATTTCAAACGGAACCGAAAACTACCAATTAGCAAATATTTACGGCTTGTTATTAGCAAATATGTTTAGTAGGTTCAGGTACCGTGCACCAGTCTAACTAAAATGGTTGCGTTGAGAAGGGTGTGACCGAAATTTTTTGCGGCCGCGCCATTTAGAACGCTGGAGAAATACTTGCTTAGATTCAGATTTAGATTCATGAACAGAAATGGTTCCCAATCCAGAAGAACTATTACTTCTTAAGACCCGTTACAGTTAACTTTCAAAAGTTGCGTTAGAGCAAAGCTTCTAAAGCCATGCCCCCACCTTTTTTTGCAAAATAATATTCCTTTTTTCTTCAAAATCCTTGCTATGATAGTTACGTCTTCCCTTGGCCCATCTACTTTCCAACCTTTGTCGGAGCCCATGCTTAAAACCGTCAAAAATTTCAAATGTGTCCAGGGCACTTCATGTAGGAATTGCGCTAATTTACAATACACTGGGGAGTCAAACCCTGTTCTGTTTTCTTTGGAGTTTTTCTCTTAATTTTTCTGCAGCCGCAAGTTGTATTGGCTCTTGAAATTGTTTCTCACACATTATTGTAGACAGAAAATATATTTAAACAATTAAATCTAAATGAGTTTTTTCGTCATTCTATTTTGAGTAGTGACTGCGTGTTTTCAAACAATCACCGACTACGAAAAACATACCAATCATTATTTTTATTGAGTTATTCCTGTTTGATAAGATAATAAAACGACCAAGAACATCTTACAACATATTTCCTGTCGAAACTTTGTTGTCCGACACCTAGACAAAAGCGATATCAAACTGCGCCAACTGTGACCTCAGCTCTCTGGTTCCGCCCGCAATTGACGTAGACACAGGAAGGGATGTCAACAGTGTCTCAATAAAAACGGCAGTAAACTTGTTTGCAGTCAGTAAGCTTCTAGTATCACCACAAGTCAGAGAAACTACACTTTCACGATGAATTTAGTAATTTTCAAGTTTCTACTGGTACTCAGTACGCAGCTGATTATTCAAGAAATAGTGGCAATGAAATTACTGAAATTAGAAGATAAAGTTAAAAAGGCGTTAGATAAGGGTAAAACTGACAAAGCCAAGGTGAGTTTTTCAGCATATCTGAAATATACCGTTTACATATTTTATGAATAGAGCTTGTTGTATTCACTTACCTCTAATGATGTTACGTCATTCCGAGAAAATTGTGTTAGCCATTCCGAGGCACTGTTTACTGTTTACTGAGCGAAAAACCACTGAATCACAAACAATCTGAAATTTCAGTGAATAGAATAAGGCCCATGAAACTCTGCATTTGCCCTGAAGTGTTGTCAGCCTGTTTTTGTGTTGACTTTTTGCAGTTTTATTGTATTTCCACAAATATGGCACCAATTTGTTGTTTCCCTGAGGGGATGTTTTGTCATGGTGACAGGGTACTGCAAGAGGCCGATCGAATGAAGCCTACTCTGAATTTTCTACTGGGAGAGAAACACTGAATTTTCCAATCAACTAATTATCCAATCAACTAATTATCCAATCTACTAAATTTCCAATAAACTAAATTTTCCAATCAACTAGATTCATCTCTGGGAAAACCAGTCGAGTCTGCCGGCAGGCTAGATTTAATGGAATTTGAAATGAAAAAATTATACGATTTCTACTATCAAGTGCTCTGGTGAAAGACACTCAAAATATAATCTGATTTCGGGCAACCTTTTCAATCAGTTTGGTTAGCAAAAATTTGATATCGAAGAGACTTGATACTTGTGGTTTTGTATTGATAAGCTTCCCATTAATGGCTACAATTTCAGTCCTTAAGGAGATCAAGTGTTCCTGTTTCTAATACCCATTTCCAGCTGTTTAGTCACAAAAAGATACCGGGGCTGGGCATGTTCTGACGCGGTTCGTTGTTTTTGTTGGCAAAACGAACCCTAGTTTTCTTGTAAAGAGCGTTTATTTAGATACATGTAGCGCCAGTTATAGCAATTGGTGTTTTCCCTCGCGTTTCGTTGTTTTGTTGGCAAAACGAACCTCAGTTTCTTTTGAAGAGTGTTTATTTAGATTAATGATAAATGTAGATTTACTCCTTCATCGTCCCAAGTAGCTCCTGTGTTATGCAAATAATGTTAATCTTTCGCATAGTAAAAATTACAGCAAGATAAAATACACTCTTTTTTATAAGAACCAGTAAATCTAAGTTCAGGCTGAATCTTCGTATCTTTTCGATAAAATCTGAGGCTGGATTGTTCTTAATTTTTTATTTAAGTTACACTTTTATGCAATCATCCTAAGCTAATGCAGATATATCCACAAACTCTTAAAATGGCACACGCATTTTACTTTCCAAGCACTACATTTCATTTTCAGTGCAAAATAATTTATATTTGATATTTTATTTATTTTAGAAATACTTACGGTATTTTGGATATCTGAGTGGTGATTTTAACACCGAACAAGATATGAAGAAATCCTTGAAAGGCTTTCAGTATTATGCTGGTATTCCAATGACTGGTATGTGCTTGACATGGGTCCTTTCTATGAACCTTTCGAGACCCCGTTCTCTCAGTTGCTTTTCATTCTTCGTGGCTTGATTCAAACTCGTTGTAAAGATACTGTCCCTTATTTAGACAATTACACTCTTTTTATAAGAACCAGTAAATTCAAGTTTGTTTATAATTTGCTCTTAATAAAATAGGGTGTAAGCAGTGCGAGTTCTAGCTTTTTCACTCTAGGGAGGTGTTCAGGCATCATCTGCCGACAAAGTGAGTGAGACAACCCTCATTTGCCGACAAGTTTGAGTATTCACTGAGAAAGCACCCACACGTGGCTAAAAGTCCCCGTTTTTGAGATAAAACATTGTTCAAAATTTAATGTTACCGTAGCTCAGCCTCGGCTTGTTCTTCGTTTGTTCTTAATTATTGACCAATTTTGAGGCTCGTTTTCTTATAAAATTGTTCTTTTAAAAAAATGCTATAAAATTTTAAGAAGTTTCGAGATTGTAGCTAAACCCCTTTTGGATTATCTAGTCTCTCTTGAAAATTGATATTTAGTCAAAGCATGAGCTCCGACGCAGATTGGAAAGTGGGGGGGGGAGGAAAAATTTTGAACAAATAACGAATGACTTCGGACAAGTCCTATTATTTTGCCCCCACGACACCCGACACCCCACCCCCTTTCCCGGAGGCCCTGCAAAGTGGGTTTTAATTGCTTTCAATTTATCAAGGCGAGAGACAACGCGAAATGTATCTCGTTTCAATTATCTTGATTCTCAGGCCAGCTCGACGACGCAACTGTCAACCAGATGCAAAAACCAAGATGTGGAATGAAGGATCCCAAAATCTCTTTTGAGGTTGGAAGAAGAAGACGGTACAATCTGCAGGGAGCAAAATGGGAGTTTCCGGAAGGGTCAGACGTAAGATATATTTATATTATATTTCACAAGCCTCTTTATCAAATCTGAAGTTCCCCATCACAATTCTGTTTACAGTGATAGACTTAGACTCTTGCTATCAATTTTTTGAAATTTATCTCACCCGGATCTTGTCATGACACCCCCTTTTTTTAGAGCTTTTCATTTGTATTTTTGCAATGGAGCCAAAAATTATGAGTTTTTGCAGATATTCCCAATCTGAGCTTTTGAGAATAGCCCTCCACCCCCACATGCCTCCCCACTCCACATCCCCCCCACCACCACCACCATACACATTTTTATGTACATTTGGCAACAAGTCTCGAGTATTGGAGAATTACGCATCATATATAATTCTTTTCTCAAACAGCGCACACTAACATGGTATTTGAAAAACAGTGGAAGCTCAATTGGTTACCAGAGAATGAGATTTGTTGTACACGAGGCTCTTAGCAAATGGCAGAAAGTGGCGAACATCAACTTTAAAGAATCCCCAAGGTCTGACAAGGCTGACATCTTCGTCAGCTTCGGGTCCGGGCACCATGGAGATCATTACCCCTTCGATGGTCCTGGTGGCACCCTCGCACACGCTTTTTATCCACTTGCGGGCTATGGTGAGTATTTTCCATAGCGCCATTCTGTCTGCCTATTGATAACTGTTTAGGTAGGTGGGTCTTGGAGATGCAACCTACGAATTGGAAATGCAAGGGTGTGTGGTTTTGTTTTCTGCTGTGGAAAATGTCAAGATATTCAGATTGTAACAACTCAAGTAGGCCCTATGGGGTTGGGTCTGTTCGAGAGGGAGCCTATTCGAAACTCGACGCTAAAAGGAAATAATATTTCGAGAGGAGGCTAATTTGAGAGGGGTGGTGGTTTATTCGAATTTTTACGGTACATCATAACAACGAATGAGAACATCCTTTTTAGACACTAACCTCTGTTTCGGCCGTATTGTCTACTTTTGTCCAGTGGCGGCTCTTGCTAATGGGCATCTGGGGCAATGCCCCCTCAAAAAGATTCAAAGGAAATCTATGATATTCATATTTAATTTTGAAGATAGTCTTACTGTGGTTAATTATATAAGTTTGTATCTCTTCTAGAAAAAGCTCCTCGCTATCCAGTCTCGTCCTTAGCCTCGCTTCTGGCCTGCTAGTGCCTTGAGCGATGATGTCATTTTACGGGCAAAATTTTTTTTGCCCCTAGCCGACATGCGCACAAGCCAATTTTCGACCTCGTGCATTGCGAAACGCGGCCTGTGATTGGCTTATTTGGAGGAATTCGGGGCAAGAAAAATTTTGCCCATAAAATGACATCATCGCTAAACAACAACCACATCTATATATGCGTTTTCTTCTGCGCTCCATGACGATCAACATCGAACCATGAATACAGTGAAAAATTTGCAAACGCTGCAGCAATATTTATGGTCTGCCCTCCCAACTGTGAAAGTCACGAGCCGCCACTGCTTTTGTCACCTTGACCGTTTCAGGAGTCTTTTAAAGTTCCAAGTCAAAATTAATAATAATGTTCCAGCAAGGAAGGGAATTTAAGGGAGCCATTATAATCCACGAAGGCTCGAGGACAACCTGATCCCTAGTTTCTTTCATATAATTTCATCGGTTTTATATTTGAAACCAACTTTAACGAGTTAACATTCTACAAAATCTGTTTTGAAAAGTTCCATTTGTTTACTCTTATGTTTAACCTTAGACATCGGGGGTGACATGCACTTCGACAACGATGAAACTTTCACCTACAAAAAAAACTATGGCTCTGACATCATGTGGGTAACTGTGCATGAGGCCGGTCACAGCCTTGGACTGGAACATTCGTACGAAAAAAGTGCCATTATGTACGCTTGGTACCAAGGAGGTTACAAAGGAGATTTTGATCTGACTCCAGATGATATTAGAGGAATACAACATTTGTACGGTATGTATTTAAATTTACTTTTGATGGGAAGTAGGTCTAAATTTATGTATTAAAAGTCTTCAAGCATCATTCTTGTACCAGGAACCAGGAGTTCTGACCTACTTGTTAAATGATTTTCATAAGGTGATGCTTAAATGAATCTTTGTGAAGATATAATTTAATTCTAACAGGAAAAAGACCTGAAACGCCTGCAACACCGCCACCAACCACTACACAGGAACCCACGACAACGCAGCCTCCAACGACCACTCAAGAGCCAACGACCACTCAAGAGCCAACGACCACTCAAGAACCAACGACCACTCAAAGGCCAACGACTACACAAATGCCACCAGAGCCACCAACAACCACACAAGTGCCAGATCCACCAACGACCACACAATCGCCACCAGAGCCACCAACGACCACACAATCGCCACCAGAGCCACCAACGACCACACAATCACCACCAGAGCCAAGAAAGCCGCACGGTATGAAAGACTGTATGTCAAAGATTGATGCAGCGGTACACGATCCTACGACTGGCTGGGTTTTTGTATTTTCAGGGGAGAACTTCTATTTAGCTTCCAAAAGAGGTTTGCGTTATGGACCTATCGGGGTAAATAGTTACTTCCGGGCCGTGAAAGGGGCAGTGACAGCAGCTTACATCCGGCAAAACGATTTTTCACTCGTTCTGTTCGCAGGAGATAAGTAAGTAAAGCCTGGTTATAACGCTTTCTACCTGTGATTACATGGCTTAATATCTGTAGAGCCCAGTTCAGAGATGTTCAGTTGCTGAACTTTGCTTAACATCGCTGAACATCACCAAACAAAATGTTAAACACGCTCTCGACATTTCGCTAAGGGTTTATGGAAGTTCAATGTCATTTTTATTGAATAAGTATATTGTTCATTGTTTGGTATATTGAGTATTTTACCCCTTTTGGGAATTTTTTATTTCGGTAGGTAGAGGATAAGCGAATGTGTGCGCATATCCACACTCCGCATGCATATGTAGTGTAAGAAGAACGATGGTTCAATAAATAAAAGACTTTGGCCTGTTCTTCTTTTCAATGATCGCTCCTTTAACTTAAGCTGGAGGCAGTGCTATTACTATTAATTAAATTACTTGAACTCCCCTTCTTTTAAACTCGTGTCTGAATCCCATGCATCGTAAATCACATGCTGTGTAGACTGGGAAGATTTTTCTGATCGTGTTATTTGACTTTTAGATATTACATATACAAAGATTTTCAACTGGTTCAAGGTGAGCGACCAGTAACAGACTTCGGGTTGCCCCATGGGACAAAAGTTGATGCCGCTCTTCAATGGCAAGGCAGCAGCCGTGTAACATGGACTGCAGGCACGAGAACGTACCTCTTTACAGGAACCAAGTATTACCGATACAATGAAATCAAAAAGAAAATTGACAGGTATGCATGCTCGCATTAGAAATGCCATTCATTGCTGTTTCAAAAGCATTCATAAGAATGATAGAAATAATTCATAATTACAAATTGCAAATGTTAGCTATTTATCGAACACTTTTCCCAACCTGCAAGCACAATATTCCTTTTTACAGCTGACAGTGCCATGGCAACTTTTCATGGAAACCATGGCAATGAATGATTGTTCAACATCTTTATTAGTTATTTCCCAAATATGTTTTTTTATGAGACCTTAATTTGTGCACAGCTTAAAAGTGCTTCATTTTTTGATTAAAAATACCTTAATTTAAAGACATAGTGATAAATGTTTTGGAAAGGAGGGAAAACGACCCTTGAAAATAGGTCATGCTCTGTTTGAAAAAAGATAGGATATCTATCAGTTTTGAAGCTTTAATAAAAATTTCCCGGTATAGCTCTAAGCTTTGATAAAAATTTTGGAATAGCTCTAAGCGTTGATAACAATTTCCTGGTATAGCTCTAGTTCATAACAAAAATCAGTCACTAACTCATCTGGACTTTGCAAGAAAAACATTAGCTAGATGTGCTTAGAAGGTTAGAATTTTCATCAGGTTATTCAGAGTAAAGGTACTAGTCCAAAGTTTCATTTTCTGAAACTTGAATTTCTTCCCTCTTGTATAGAGCTCCCCTCGCTAGATCTATGCTGAAGATAGAGAAGAAGCTCTACGTTTTCTTTACAATGTCAATATCTTCAGAATTGATTTGCTTTCAAACTATCAAAATTACACCAGGCATGTCAATCGGCATTGAGATTATTCCTGCATTGAGATTTGCTTATGGCTTGTATAAGAACCTCAAATCGACCTTCACGTCGAACAAATGAGTTGCAGTGCATTAGACCCAGCCAAACAGCATCATTTCAATCAGCTTTCATTTCAAACAGCTTCAGGTCTCTCGGACATATTTGGAATAGCTTGCCCGAGGACTAATTGAAATATAGAGCAGGGCCACCTGTAGATGTAGCATATGCCTACGTAAAAATTGTTTTTTCAATATTATTTAATATGAAAATCAAACAATTTAAAATCTATTCGGAAATTGTAACTCTGACATTTGTAACTAATCAAATTAGACACGGTAGTAAAATACGTCACACACATTTCTTTCGCAGATTTTATCCTCGAGTGATCAGCAAGGCGTGGAGGGGCCTTCCTTCTAAAATTTCTGGTGCCGTGACCTGGTTTAAAGTGAATGGCCGTGGGGACACACACTTCGCTGCTGGAAATTCAGTTTACGTTTTTAATGATGAGTACGTATATTACATCGGCGCTCAAATTTAAAAGCAAAGCACACAGACAGAAATGCCGAAAAGTGGCACTTGATACTCCTTAATAAAAATACTACCGGGAGCGGCTGCAAATTTGTGGGAACTAAACATCATGTGGCAGAAATGCAAATACCAAATACAATTAGTAACGTTTGTTCGTATGAATTCGCTTCTGATGTGTGCCATTCTGTTATTAAGCTGAAATCTAAATGCTTTTGTTTCTGCATAGCTTGTATACACGTCTCTGATACTTAAGTTTATTGTGAAATTTAAGTTGCAAGCCCTCTGTTGAATATGTAGAAATAATTTCCACAAGGAATTTTTCACGTTTAGGAATATTTTTCTACTTCAAACCAATCTATGGAGTTTTGTGACCTACTATGTAGATCTTGAACGCAAGAAGCTTTTTATCTTATGAATTCGATTAAGGAAAAGAAGAGCTAATCGTTAGGTAATTTCTTATTTACATTATGGAATAGCTGGCCTTCTTTCTGTAATATTATTTTCATTTAAACTCTTTGTTTTAGAATGATCAAAGTGAAACCTGGATACCCACGCCATATTAGCAATTGGCTCAAATGTTGGTCTGACGATGCTCCTCCACAGTCAAGACGATTCCCTGGCATTGGTTCGCTGATGTTTGCCTCGGAAGAAAGTGCAAAGGATCGAGGCTCCTCGCCTTAGAATCACTTTGTTATACGAATGAAGATGGAAACTTTCTTTTGAATTCTATCAGATATATAGATTAAAAAAATAAAGCTTTGGATTGTATGATATATATTAAACAGTTTTACATTTTTGCTAATAGTTTTATAGTTTTAAGCTAACAGTGTGAAAAGTCATATATTATGATATTCGTATACATATTCGAGACCATCTCTAATCTTATACTATTTTAACATACTTAACTTAAAGACTTTTTAACTTTCAATTTGCCAGGACATGGCAACACTCAGATCAAGGTTAAGGTATCTAGAAAATAACAATCTCAAATTTTCTAAGGCCCCGTTCACACGGGAACGCAATCGTTCCGTTCCGTTCTTTTCCGTTCCGAAAAGCGGAACGCTCAGGGGTTGTGTTCACACGGGAACGCTTCAAACGACATCGTTCCGTTCCAAAAAGTGGAACGATAAAATAAGTGATACGAAAAGTGGAACGGTACGCAATCGTTCCGTTCCGTTCCCGTGTGAACGCGCAGAACTGGTCCAGAAAATGGAACGATAAGAGTTTTGCCCTTGGCGCATGCGTCTGTGTTGTTGTTGAGGGAAGGAAAAGGTGACAATAACAAACTCAGCGAAGAAAATGGAGGATTTCAAAAACACCATTGGCTGAATCTCGCCGTTAGTCCATTTAAAAGATTCAACACCATTCTGCAAACATTGAAATTCCTTCCTTTTAGGGTTGGCTTCAATTTACCCACGAGCTTGCTTATTTTGGGGCGCTTTTGTATTATCCATTTATTCAAATTTTTTAAAAAATTCAGAGATAGCTCAAGGATAAATCGAAATGATGAAATCTATCTCCATTATGGACATGCGCATTAAAAATCATTCGCTTATTTTGGCGCGCAAATTGCAGAACGGAACGATTGCGTTCCCGTCTGAACATAAACAAAAATCGATACGCAATCGTTCCGTTACCGTGTGAACAGTATACCTTTTCGTTCCAGAAACTGGAACAAAAATGGAACGGAACGATTGCGTTCCCGTGTGAACGGGGCCTAATTCATCCATCCACGCAAAATCAATGTTATATTTTTGTTCCTGACCGGTATGATCCTTTGGACCGATATAAAGTTTTTGATTGATTGATTGATTGATTGATTGATTGAAGATCAAACCGGTCTCGTCACTTAGATCGGTCTAGGAAGGGTCATATTGGTCTGGGCAAGAAAAAATAATTTAAGGCTTTAATAGCGGCTACCGAGGCCCTCTATTGGTCTTTTGCGGGCAACAGGGTGGCCCATCCGAATTTTCTTTATCCAAATTCCTCCAATCTTTATTCCAAATTCAATTTTGTTTTCGTTCCACACCTGGATATAAAAGTTTTGCTTACTTTCGGTCATTATCAGAAGTTCATACCCTGAAGGGTGTCGGACGAAAAATGCCTCAGGATGCTATGTGTCCGCTATTTCGTGCCATCTTCAAATATTGCGGTAACAAAAACTTTTAGCTAAATGTGTATAAATAAAGATTTGTGTTGCTTGCAAAATATGATTTGGACTTTGCAAATTATTCAGCCAATTCTCCAAATTGGCTGAATATTTAAACTTCTAAGCAACTGTTTTTGCTACTTTTATGACCTATTGGCTTTAAGGGAGCACCTTGTGCCACTCGTTTAATTCAAAAGTATCTCATGATCAACTGTGTCGAAGGCCTTCTTTAGATCGATGAAGACTGCTGCCGTGTATAAGCCTTTATCCATGTTAAGATACAAATCATTCATGCACTTGAGCAGGCTTGTGAGAAATGAATAGAGTGATCGAAAACCTGACTGATCCGAAAATATCAGTTTATTGTCGTTTAAATAGGAACACAACTGGTCAAAGACTAATTTTTCAAAAACGTGCGAGACGACGGGAAGTATTGAAATCGGTCTATAATTTGATTTTTCATCAGTGCACCCTTGTTTGAAGATAGGCGCAACCCGAGCTATCTTCCAGTTGTCATGAAAATGTCTAACAGACAAAGTCCAGTTGAACAACTGTACTAAGGATGAGGTAAAAATTTCAATGCCAATTTTGAGGAAAAAGCTGGGGATCATGTCAGTACCGAACCCATTAGGTGTTTTACTGTTCGATAAAGCTTTGAAAACCCTTTCAAAGTCAATAAGGGTGAACGAAAACGAAGATAGACTGATTTTATCTCTAAAGTCTCCATTAAGTAAAGGATTCATAGAAGCCGGTATTTTACCACCGGGATCTTTTCCAATGCTGCAAAAAAGTAATTCATAGTTTCAGCTATATCTTGCGGATCAGAAATCACTTTATCATTCTCTTTAATAGAAAGAATGTTGGTTGTTTTGGATCATTTATTTATCAGTTGATTATAGGGTGCCAAATGGGCCAAAATTTCAAGACGGGATAGAATCTTATGAAAACTTTAAAATATCATCAAGATTAGGATATATCTCTCTTTACAACAAAAATTCTTCACAAGATAGCATATATTCATTTCTTCATGACATTCCTAGTATCTTTATCAGAATATTTGCACAACTTCTTGATGAGATTTTCGCTGATCGCTTGATGAGATTTTCAAACTGAATTTTGTCCCAATCGGCATGTTCACAGAATGGTCCGCAAATTGTGAGCCCGCAACATGCAAACGAGGCCTTTACTCAAATTACACCCAAAGATGGCGTTGGTGTTGCTAGAGATCGTGGGTGCGATGCAATCTGGTGCGTTTCTGTTTGAAGACCTGAAAAGGTTTCGTTTCTGTAACGACGATTTAACGAATGATTTAATATTTTAAAAGAATATTAAGACTCAAATATTCTAAAATTTAAGAAGGCATCAGGATTAAAAGTCAGGCCCACAATATTCGCCAAAAGTATGATTCTTTGTTTAACAAAAGTTGCTCTCAATAATTGCAAATTTTATCTAGCTTTTTAAACTTGTAATTTCCAACAGGTCTGATTTTCATAAGTAATTGTCCGACTAAATGCGAGTTTTAGGCGACACTTCAAAATTTTGCCAAATGTATCTTTTTTTCTAATTCCATGGTGTTCCTCGTCTAAATGCCGTAAATTTTTTTTAGAATATCCATCCTCAGAATATTGAATAAGATTATTTATTTCTTCTCAAGCTTGTTGCAAGGATACATGAAATTTCATCAAAGCACCGCTTGTCTCATGAAAATGGTCTACATAAGAAATTATAGAAAGCAATAATCATTTTAGAAAACCGGGTGTGACCAAAAAATGGGTGTGGTCTAAAGGGTGTGGTCAACCCTCTATCTCATTTCGGCGGTAGTCAGATTTTTGGCTGGATCCGCCACTGAGAACCATCTTATTGTCACAAGTTGAAAAAGTTGCTGTCTGTAGCTAAATTAGAGAAAATGTACTACTTTTGCTATATGCATTGTAGCTTGCAGTAAATCATTCGTTAAATCGTCGTTACAGAAACGAAACCTTTTCAGGTCTTCAAACAAAAACGAACCAGATTGCATCGCACCCACGATCTCTAGCAACACCAACGCCATCTTTGGGTGTCGTTTGAGTAAAGGCCTCGTTTGCATGACGCGGGCTCACAATTTGCGGACCATTCTGTGAACATGCCGATTGGGACAAAATTCAGTTTGAAAATCTCATCAAGCGATCAGCGAAAATCTCATCAAGAAGTTGTGCAAATATTCTGGTAAAGATACTAGGAATGTCATGAAAAAATGAATATATGCTATCTTGTGAAGAATTTTTGATGTAAAGTGAGATATATCCAACTCTTGATGATATTTTAAAGTCTTCATAAAATTTTATCCCGTCTTAAAATTTTGGCCCATTAGGCACCCCATAGTTGATTGACAGTTTTCCAAGTTTCCTTTATGCTCCCCTCACAGGATTCTAGCTTATTGGAAAGATTTTCCCTTTTTATTTTGCGGTTCAAATTGTTTGCTTTGCAGCACACTTGCTTATACGCCCTCATTAGCATATGAGATTTCATTTTCACTGCCTTGATTTTGAGTTTATCTCTCGCTTTGAAGAGTTGTTTCAGGGATGGAGTAATCCAAGGACAGAAACGATCAGCTACCCCTCGTTCTTTGATTGGTGCATGCTTTTCGGTCACATAAGAAACCAGTTCAGACCATTATTTAACTGCATTGTTAATGCTAGACGCATTATTCACTATACCTTGCCAGTCGTAAGATGCAAGATCTAAGAGAAAACGATCTTTGTCGAAATTTTTTTGTCGTTGGTGTTTCTCTTTGCCTATTTATCGATAGCGAAATAAATTGCCTTCTCTAGCGAAGCATTTTCCATGTTGGCGAGGATGTCTCTCACAAAAATTATCGTGTAAAATTGAAATATTTATCTTGAAATTGTGTTGCTATCCAAGGTCTAAGCTGTCGGTCTAACGCTTATTAAATGATAGCTCGATCATGTGAACTAAACTTTTATTCATATGTGAACTAAATTTTCACGTTATTATTGTGAATTCAAACGGGGTATTTTCGAAAACTTAGTCCTATCAACATTTCAGTCTCATATTCCATAATTCTGTTATTATGTTTATTCGTCATTGGGGATTCACACAACACCAATTGCTGAGGGGATTCCAAGGTGTAAATTGTTTAAAACCTGCAATAACATCAAGGCCAAATGCTCACAGATAACGTGAACCTTTTTAAGTCAAAGGTCTCAAAATTCATGTCAAGAGTCAAAGTCAATCAATACAGAGGTCTAGTTTTCAAAGGGACTTAGCAACAATAACGCACAAGAGATTTGGTACCAAGAACCTTTCTGCAAAAAGTATAAGGTCTTGTCCTAAGCCCCCGTTTTTGCTCGCCCTACAGATTCCAACTGTCAAAGCAGACCTTCCACATCCAAAACGCCTGAACGGTTTCAAGCATCGTACAACCAGGGGCATAGCGTGCGGGGAGTGTGGGGGTTCCTACATAGCGTGCGGGGAACTACAGCCCGTCCGTCGGAAGCATCTAGCCCCCCCCCACAATCGCAGGAAATTTAACGATATTGTTAGACCAAATTTGACAAACTAACGTACGAAAACTGCATATTTTAGTCATTTGAACCCCTCTGTCGGAGGATTTCTGGCGCCATTGTATTGCAATCAAATTTAAGCATAATTATGATTTGCTAACGAGATAAGTATCACGTTTTAAAAACAGACAGAAAATAGCTTGCATGTTGAAAAATCTGCCAAAAAACCTTATGTAGTTGCCAAGATATATAGCTTTTGCAGCGACATTTAAAAAGGCATGACCAGTAATACAATTAAAGTACTTTCTTCCCTAATTTTGAATAGATTGTTCTCGCTGGTATCAGATTGTATCAGTTACCCTATATTCTATTACTATATAGTTGGAGCTTATTTTTGTTGGCTTGTTTGGTACTTTATTGGTTTTTCAATTGAATTGAAAATTGAAAAATTTGCTATATGGCAGCTACAAAAACCTTGATAACGCCAATTTCTATAAAGTGAGTTAGGCCTTAATTTCATCTTACTTTTCTCTATTATAATTTTAACAAACGAATTTGTATTAAGGCTTATTGCAAGAGGGAAGTAAAGGAGGAAAATGGAGAACAATTGAAAGCAGTGGAGGCCTGAAGATAAGTCGAAGAATAGTAAATGGATTAATATGCACTAGCAACAAATACGTTAGGGGTTCGGTCAAGCCTCTTGGAAGTCGTTGTGCAAATGAAACGATCGCCTGTCTACAAATTTGAAATCATTTCGCAGCTTGCATCAGGCCTCAATGTCTTTGAGTGAGTACATATTATCCTATAAACTTTATGATTTTGTGCAGATACTACTTTCATTTCTGCAAGCATTTGGTATGTTATACGGAAATCTGTCATAGAGGGTAAATTCGTGTGATAATAAGAATAATAACTTATAGTCACTACAGTATCAAACACTGCAGATGATTTTGTTCTTTCTTGCCATGAATGAGTGCTGTCTTATGAAGCGTGGGTGATATGTAGAAGCGTCTGGTGATATACAAAATTAAGGGGTTTCTGTATTGTTCTTCATGAAGCTTATCGAAGGCGTTGTTAACATCCTGTTCGAATAGGCATCAGTATTGCATATTTTCTACAACTTTGGGAAAAGAATCGAGATTCCTTATACTAAACTAAATAACAACCTGAAAGGAAGAAGCAATACAGAAAACAAATACGTTATTGTGAAGGAGTATTATACGGGAAAATGATTAAATATCTTTAAAAGAGATTGACTTCGTGCAAAAAGAAGATACACATTTTAAAATCTTCCTACATTGGTAGGAATTGGTACAAAAAAGTCAAGTTGATCGATAAAGGAAGTACAAAGCCAGTAGTAACAGTTCAGCATTTTAATAACTCCTTCATCGGTTGTGGATAGCTATCTTTAACTTGAACTCGCCTAGAAAAAATATTTTAGCTAGTTATCGAAGGGCATTGTCAATATTGGACTGGGGATGGCATTCCCGAAGGCCAGAAAAGAGCCGCCTGGGCCTTTTTAACTTACTAACTTACTAACTTACTCAAATAGTCAAACAAATAATGGAAATACGGCAGAATGTACCGAACAGCACATCCCTAGCTTTTCTCAAAGCTCTTGCTTGGGAAATGATGTCACAGAAAGTATTTCTGGTGTTGCGATTAGGCCTGACAGTGACAGAAGTAAAAAACATGGATACAAACTATGGAAAGAAGGATATTTACGTTCGGCATTCGTGACGCCCATTATTCCGGGGAGGAAACTGTTATTTCTTTTGAAAACTAAGGTTTGTTCTTCATTAAAGCATCTGAAGATCTGTTTCCAATCTGATGGGAAAATATCCAGCACGCTGCTGAGAATGATGAATTTCTTTATTTATATTGCAGCAATTTGTCTTCAGCTCTTCTTGTGCAGACAGATAATCCTTTGCCCCCCCCCCAAAGAAGGGGTTATATCTAAGCTAACACCATTTGGTAAACCTTTCTTAAGATCAAAGCCTTTTTCAAGTTTGACAGGATCTTAGTCATCAAACAGTGTATGACTTTACAATCAGATGTAGTATAATCTTGTAAATTGGTTTAAAATTTCAAAACCAATCCCAACAGTGGATAACCCTTGTAAGATAACCCTTTAAAGCAAGCTGTAGTACAACTGCTGGTTCAAAATTTCCTTTGAAAACAGTTTTCTTGCATGAATTTTGAACATTTGTCCACTTTTTGCCACATAATGGCACAACCATAACTGGCACCTCATTGCTCCTTCCGAAATCACAACTACATAATACTAGAAGCATTATCCCCTTGGTTCGTTTGGCCTAGGCCTTATCACATCGTTGCTCGCTGCCAAATTGCCGTCGGAACGACTTTCTGCAGCGCTGATTTCCAGGCAAGAGCTTTGTGAAAACCTTGGAATGTGCTGCTCGGTATATTTTGCCGTATTTTCCATGATTTGTTTGATTATTCGAGCAAAGAGCGTTGGAGAATAACAGAACTTCATCTGATCGCCGTACAAAACATAAGCAAATAATTGCGGGTTTAACTACAAGTACCAGAATGCATTGCGCCATGACGTAATTAGGGGAAAGGCCTATTACCCTTCCAGCTCCAGTGACTTTCCATTGTGTTGAGCAGTAGGTTATTGTCTGATTCATATACAAAAAATATTCGACATAAATATTCCAAATCGTCAAGAGGAGATGCAGTTTGCCCCCAAGCCCCCAATATCTTCTGGCACTGGGTGGACTATTCGGACAAAATACCAAAGAAAGATCTCACCTGTCATCGAATATGAGGAATTGGTTTTTGGATATGAAATGAGTTTGCCATGTGAAGCCAAATGAGGAGTAACCAGAAAATGCAGCATTTACTTCAGAGGGAAGACCATGCCATCTTTCGCTGATCACTGCCGGGTAGCCACTGAAAGAAAACAACTGATTTTATTCAAACTTGTCATCACGGACAGACAGGCCCGTCGCTATAACCGAAGGAAGGGTGAAAAATATGAAGATTTGCGACAGACTGAAAGTGAAGAGGAAAGGGAGATTGACCTTGGAAACTCGTGTGGAAACAAAAAAAGAGTTAAGCTTGAGACACTTGTAAAGTCGGTAGAAGGATATATAGCTTGAAAAAGAAAGGGTTAGAATAGGAGTCAGTTTACAAGTGTCTCCCGCATGGAGCAATGTTGGTTTACTATTAAATGGGTAAAGGAATGTAGAAGTTGATGGTAAGGGAATCTTCTTTTTTGTTACTTGCAGTGGCGGCGCCAGCTACTGCCGAGTGGGAGGGTAATGGGCGTGGCCAGTAAGACCACGCCTTAATAACCTCGTTTCAGTGCTTTGTACCAGATCAAATTTCCTTAGGAAATATGATCTACCCCTATCTTGTGCTTTTTAACCCGCTTTTAGACGAAATATGTAGACCATGTTTTGAAAAAAGTGGGGGGGAGGGGGGTAATTACCCCCCCTACCACTTACTTGTATAATGTTTATCGTAAATATCAACATTGTTCTAGGGAGAAGGGGGAGGAAATGATTTTTTTTTCGGAAAAGGAGTGAAAGATATCAAAAATTGTAAGAGAGGAGAAGTCATTAGAGAAAAAAAGAGATAAATCTTCTGTTTTCTCGAATAGTTAAAAACTCGTTAACAGAAATAGGCCTGATGCTTCACCTGTCAATTGTTCCTGTTCTTACATCATGTCTGAAGTACATTACTCCTGAGAATAGATAGACTTTATCCCCTCTTTCCCAATCAGCATTTGAGTTTCCATTCCAAACAAGTGCTGCATCAACTTTAGTACCAGATGGCAGTCCGAAGTCTGTTACTGGCCCTGGGCCTGCTATTCTTACATATCCATTATATATGTAATATCTAGAAAATTAAAACAATGATTTGCCAATAACGCTTATCAACCAGTGTGAGACTACAGATACATTGTGGCTTTGATTAAGCCTTCATTCGTCAAATGGTCTTCATTTGCAAAGGTATATTAGCGGGATAATATTTCTGAGATCAGTTTTATAAGCTAGTTGTAGTAGGTTTGTGAGAACGATCTTGCTAAAGAGGTTCTCTGCTTTTATCATTCTAAGTAAACCTCAAAAGTTTCGTGTAACATTTGCAATTTATTTCGGCAAAGATCAGAGAGCCTATTTAGAATCGTTCATGCTTAGCCTGTGCTCATGAAATACAGAGTTGCTCGGCAGTGCCAATTAATCAAGATAAGTTAAAGATACGAACTTGTCTCCAGTAAACAGCACAAGGCTGTCATCCTTTTTTCTAAAAGCTGCCGTTATTGTATCAGTGATCCCGAAGAAATAGGTATTGACTTTGAAAGGACCATACTCCAGTCCCCGCCGTGAAATCAGGAAAAAAGAATGTCCTGAAAATATATACACCCATCCATCAGGAGCAACAACAGCTGCATCTATACTGGGAATGCAGCTCGGATTTGTTGGCTCAACGGGTTCGGGGGTTTTCACAGGTGTAGTTTTGGGGGTAGTAGTGGGGGCATCTGTTGGGGCAGCAGTTGGAGCCTCCGTTGGGGCAGCAGTGGGGGCATCTGTTGGGGCAGCAGTGGGGGCATCCGTTGGGGCAGCAGTTGGAGCATCCGTTGGGGCAGCAGTGGGGGCATCTGTTGGGGCAGCAGTTGGGGCATCTGTTGGGGCAGCAGTTGGAGCATCCGTTGGGGCAGCAGTGGGGGCATCTGTTGGGGCAGCAGTGGGGGCATCTGTTGGGGCAGCAGTTGGAGCATCCGTTGGGGCAGCAGTGGGGGCATCCGTTGGGGCAGCAGTTGGAGCATCCGTTGGGGCAGCAGTGGGGGCATCTGTTGGGGCAGCAGTTGGAGCATCCGTTGGGGCAGCAGTGGGGGCATCTGTTGGGGCAGCAGTTGGAGCATCCGTTGGGGCAGCAGTTGGGGCAGCAGTGGGGGCATCTGTTGGGGCAGCAGTTGGAGCATCCGTTGGGGCAGCAGTTGTGGCTTCAGTAGGAGGAGCGGTAGGAGCAATCGTTGTAGATTTTTCAGTTGGAACTGGTGGTTCCACTATTTTTGTAGTTGTTGTTGCTTGCTTTGTCGTTGTTGCTGGAACTGTTGTTGGGTTCAGAGCTGGGCCTAAAAATGGTGATTAAAGTAAAGCCTCGGCGAAGGTGAAGGATCCGGTTCGAATAATCCGATTAACCTCGTGTCATACACATCAAGGAGTTTTTTGACTGCCTCAACGAATCACAGGTCGCCTAGGGTCAGGGAACGCTCTCCTAGAAATATGACATCAAGCAAAACATGGTAGCTCTCCGGATTGTTCATGTCCGCCTAAAGCCTCTACATTAGAAACTTTGTTCATACAATTGTGAAGTTAATAATGCTTTCATCATGGATATTATTCAAGGAAGAACTAGAAGAAGAATTACTTTCTTCAGCAGCATATTAGATGCAGTATACAAAAACAAGGTCATTGGTTACTACGCAGATGTATTTTCTTTCAAACCAGGGGGCTGCAACCCTCATTTTTGCAATCTCTTTTCTTTTAGCTAAAATCTGGCGTGTAGTCCCTATGGTGTCTACAACATAATTGAATTGTTGAGACCTGAACCTGGCAAAAACATTTTGAAATAGACTGAACATATTTTTGAGCCATCGAGTCTTATAAATATGCGGAAGAGGATAAATAAAATACATAATAGTAAACAGTGAAGTACGGTAATGAACTGGGCAATTTCTGAAATTAAAGGGACTTGCTTGTTATCATAGTCCCTTGAACTATATTTTAGATGCATATTCATCATGTTGCTGAATACAGACAAAGCTTCCATACCATATATGTGCTGGATTCCTCTTACATCATCATTTGTCAGATCAAAATCTTTGCCGGTCGACCCCCTGTACCAAGGATACATAATGGCTTCAAGTCTGTCAGAGTGTTCCAAACCGAGACTGTGTCCAACCTCGTGTACAGCGACCCACATGATATCAGTACCAAAATCTTTTCTGTATGTAAAGTGTTCATCGTTATCAAAGTGAACATCGCCACTGATTGCTGTAGACAGATCAGTCAAAAGGGTTTACAAAAGATTCTCAGGAGAGTAATTTGAGAATGGGCTTACATCAGGTATTACGTTACCGAAAACGAGGTCATATTGTAATCATCAGGACAATACACAATATAAAAACAAGTCACCTGCTCCAGGAAATGGGTAAAAAGCATGGGCCAGCGTGCCCCCTCTTCCATCGAATGGATAAAAATCTCCATGACTGCCAGCAGCAAAGGAGACAAGAATGTCTGCATCATCGCTTGTTGTCTCTTCAAAGTGCAAATTAGCTGCTTTGGACCATTTTGCAAATGAATCAAACATAATTTTTCGTGTTAACTCTTTGTTTATATAGCTTCCACCGTTGATTACTTTCCATGTTAACTTTCTCTGAAAAAGCAAGTTTAGAATATTTTGGAATGCCAAAACTGAAAAAAATACCTTGCGTGGATTTGAAGCACCTGACATTGAGAGAAAGTATTTGTTCAAATAGATGCGAACTTCTACTAATCATTTTGGTAGTGTGTATTGGCCAAATTCGAGAAAATCTAAAAAATATATTTGATAATATCATGACGTTGACATTCTCAGATAGTGATTGACAAAACAATATTTGGCGCCCAAGGTGGGGCTAGACACAAAGGAACATGACCGTTTAGTGTACATTATAAGTTAATTGATTTGATACTAAGTCCATTTTGCTTTCTATTGATTTTCTTATGTTTTTTCGTGAAGTAGGTATTCGGTAACTTTCTCAAACTGAACGAAGTTTATACATGACTACGTTTCACTGACTTAAATGACAAAAAGAGAATGCACAACCATCGGAGATTAATATCCATCAAATCAAAAAGAAACGTGTCAGAAAAAGAGGTAACCTCAGGAGATAAAAACAGCGGGAAATTGAATTTTATTGAATTTTGTATCGCTAAATATTGAGTGAGTGTTTGTTACTGAAGAGTCTGCAGACGAAAATTCTGTAACTTACATCGGGCCCTAGTTTATGCAGCCAATCACCTCCTTGTAGAACATACCGCCTCTGTCGCTTCCCTTTTATCTTGAATACTTTTCTTGGATCACGCATTCCACATCTTGATTCTTTCATTTTTGCTACTGTTGTGTTATCAAGTGTCCCTAGCAAACAAAACTGTGTGATTTCAGGGCCGGCAAAAAAACCCACCTGTAAAGCTAAACTGCTATTTTATCGGAAAGGTTCTGATCCAGGGCCAGCGAAGACGGGGGGGGGGGGGGCATGAGCAAAGGAAATGATTGACAAATTAAAAAATAAGAAGAAAAATAAAAAATAAAAAGAAAATAAAATAAAAAAAGTGGTCTAATTTTTTTTTCAAGAGTATGACCAAGAAAGCTTCAAATTTTGATAACGATAATCCATCCCTAATGAAAAAGAGAAAATCTAGGCGCAACTATAAATTCTATTAAAGCTCGTTCTGTCCAGCCCAGGTTGAATTTTTTTCAAATCTAGAGTCTTTTTTGCTAAAATTGAGATCAAATGTTACAAAGTAATATCGTAACTGTGCAAAATTACTAAATCTTTTGTTTTTAGTTGATAGCTCCTTTGTTGATATTTCAATGTTAATGTTTTTTACTAAACCGTGTTTCACTTGTTTTTCTCCTCCATATTACTTTGGGTACTTTTAAAATCTGAAATAAAAAGTTTATTACGAGCTATATTATAAACGTTATTCTTAAACTTTGCAAGACCTTTCCTATTTCAAGTTGACATTACAATCATGTTACAGTAGACGAGACTATGGGACAGATTGATGAAACAAACTGAATGAAAAATATTGCCTTGGATTTTCCTTCAGTCAAAATCCATTTTTAGATTGGTGCTTTCCCTAAGACACCATAACAATAAAAATCCATTTATTTTTTGATTTAATACTTTATATAATTATTTATGTGATGTTTATTATGTTTATTTTTATCAACATTTTCAATGATGTTTTCAACCTGAAGGCTATCAGTGTGTTATCTTCCGTGCTATCTATGACGTTTAATCTAATTTTTGTTCAGGGTCGTCAGAACCAGGGGGCTTGGGGGCTGGAGCTCCCCCACAATAATTAATTATCAAGCTGTAGTATACTTCTTTTATATTAGCGTACTGAATGAGAAGGAATACGATGAGCCACCCCCTTCCCCCCCGATATGAATTTCGTTCCAACGGCACTGTTGTTAATCCCGAGGGTGGTGGTGGTGCTAGAACAATTATTTCTGCAGTTTTGTCTGTAACTAACCCTATATAGAGAGTAAGTGGCTACCAGCTCGTCCCTCAGTAAACCTGTAAACAGCCCCATAACAGCTATCCTCGTACAATAAGAAATCATTATGTCAACAAACCTGTTACGGGGATGGCAGCGTAGGATTGGAAACTTGTAAGAAAATCCTTAATTCCGTCCTCTGTTGGATCTTCATCGCTAAAGTCATCTGGTGTATAACCGAAACTTTTTAGATAATTCTAAGGGAATGAAAATTACATTATTAACAAAAATAGTGAACATATTATAAAATCTGATATGAAAGAATACTGAACATAAGATATTAAGTTCGTCGTCTAGAGTAACAGTATTACAACCGGGCTTTTTAAAGGTTTGAGATTCCCATATGAGTTTGGCTCAACTACCTTTTTATACGAGTGAAGCCTTCTTCGTTATTGGGATTATTTAAGTATATGAAGGTCCTGCTTGTTGGTAAAGACTCTTTTCTGCAAGTTGCAGACCACCTTGGGCTGGAGGACAAAATGTTTGTTTCCTTACCAACTATACCCGATGCCGGACGAAACAAATTTTTTTTGGCCACACCTTTTTTTGCCAGAAAACGCCCTTTTCCCAACAAGAAACGCCAATTTCACCTCAACAGAACATCCATGACTTAAATTTGGTTATGTAATCAAAATCATAGGATTCCATCACAAGGACGTTGCTAAATTATTACCCTCCCTAAACATTTTCTCACCGAATTTTGCCCAAATAAAAAGCTGATCCTGCCAAGAACTGGGGTAGAGGTCCTCCTAGCGTTCCCTTTTGATTAAGAATAAAACCTGGAACAAATATTAAGAATTTTCTTTAGCTAAAATATCCTGCCACTGCGAAATTATCCCATAGATTTCTTTGAACACGATTCTCTAATACAAGGCTAGAAGGGAAGCGTCTAAATCGGGTTATAAAATGCGCCTCTTTGTTGTGTTACAATTATTTATCAAGATGACGAAAACATTCTCAGTTGCACAAAATGCGCACTTTGAAAAACCTTTGGAATGTATGCATGCATTGATTCAGATCTAAGTCTGTGGTCAGTTATATTAGATACACATGGTTATTGTTGTATATAGTGCCGTAGCAACATTTGGACAAAGGTTGCAATTTAGTGTGAATTGTACGGTTAATGGATCAACCCCTTGATATAGGATTAAATTTAGGTTGCCCCCGTAAATGGCCCGTCTTCTGGAGAAGGGAACGCAGCGCAAGCAAAAATTCGCTTCTGACGTCCAGTTTTGGTTTGATTTCTTTAAGCTAGTCTTCCGCCGTTAAAAGCCTTCCAAGAGTCAATGTTAATGGCTCGCCTGCGTGTTCATCCAAACTGCCTTGTCTTCTCATAGCTGGTAAACTTCCTACGTTATTTAAATAGAAAATCCAGAATACAAAGTAAGTTGCTGACAGCCTACCAATGTCTGAGACCTGAAAGCTTAAGGTTGAGATTTCTCATAATTTTCATTGTTTGAAAATAGATTCATAAAGCATGCAAATATTTTGCCCCGAGGTGCCTTTATGTTTGTTATGCAATGTTATTGCCAAGGGGCAACCGCTTAGATAAAATAGCCGTTCTTCAAACATTGGTTTGCTGTAAGGCGGGTGAAGCGTATATAAGATTGTAAGGATTCTAGCTGTTTATAAATTACAGGAAAAAGCGATGTGACTCTATCGACGAAACATGAACTGATAGATGAATAACGAGACGTTTGCCTTCTTCAAGACAATTTAAAAAGAGATGGAGAATTCGCAAAAACATTATCGCAAAAATTTAACTTACGGCTGCTTTTTTTAATCCAAAGCGATTGCCTGGTTTGTTTTCCTTGTCTTTTTCACGCGCTTTGTTTGGCAACGGAATACAGTTGAATAGAGCCAGTCCATGAACCAAAAGTACCAGTGCGGGTGTATATAGCCAATTCATCCTACTAGTGTTGATTGCCACTGCCCGAATTCGCAGGTTGCCGAACGTCTTTGAAGCAGAGAGTTGTTTTGAAGAAGTACTCTCTTTTTATAGACGCAGTTGACACAACGATATCCTGGTCTATTTATTGTCAGACTATCGAAACCATCCTTAACAGCAATGAATTGCAAAGCGCTCCCATTGTACCCATTATGTAGAATATGAAAATGTCCGCAGGACATATCTCTCATCTCTATTAATCGCGTGCCATTTTCGCATGACCTGGGATTACAACTACTAACAAATATATCATGGCTGGATTTTTCTATATCCTACATTCCTTTACCGAATAATATTTCATTACAAAAGCCTTGTTATTGGCCTTGGAAGTCATAAATGCAGATAACAACCAATTTATTTTCATTTTTAACTTTCATTTCATTAAACTTTCATTAAAATGTTTTATACAGGTTATAAGTTTCATATCAAGATATGTTTTTTAATCCGACCTGTTTAAACGAAAACACTAAACTAAGAACAAAAGAAATTAAAATACCTAATTTACAATAAAATATGATACAGAATCTACGAAAAAGAACGTCAAAATAAAATTAAAGTTACAACCCCTCTTATAGATGTTCTGTGAAGATTTTCAGGGGGGATGCCAATTTTGTTTCTTTTTCTAGATCGTTCCAAAGCTTTGGGCCGCGATGAGAAAATGTTGGCCATTTTGACCATTCAGTAACGGAATCCTAAACATCAGTATCTGATGAGCGCAGAAACCGTTCTCTGTCATCTGAATATTTAAAGAATAATTTTCTCAAGTAGAAAGGGGCAGTCTCTTTTCTCAGAAGACTACCGATCGTTGACCAGCCAAGGCTCTGAATTAGCAGAAGCATCGTATGGGCTGTTTGTTACAATTCTTGCAGCTCTATTTTAGATTATTTGCAGGACGCTAACTTTTGATTCACCAAAGCAGCCCCAAATGGAGCAACAGTTACTCAAATGGGGCTTGTTGGATTTTGTTATCTTTTTTATTACTTCGGACCCCTGTGGTCAGTCGAGGATAGGGAGTCGAGAATCGAACATACACGGAGCGGTCACGCATGGAGTTGTGTCCGCATTTGAACTCAACGAACGGTTTTTTTAGCAATTACGAATCATACATTGTACTATCGAGTTGTGTAAGTCACCCAATTGGTTTTATTTACGATATAAATATACACACTAACTATAAACCTCGTTTTTCATTTTGGACGTCTTTGGTCGTATTACGCCGAACCCCGTATACTAATTACAGACATAAAGCTTCTACAGTTCGTGCCTTGTAATGGTGCCTGTAAGATAGTCAATATTCAACAGGGCTCAACGATTCCGCTATACATTTTTTGAGAACGTCAGATGACAGATATTTCTTAGGATACTTAATAAGTCCAAGGGATTGATTTGCCTTGGTTTTGGCAGTATAGATATGTTTGTCCCATTTTAGTTGATTGTCTATCTGAGCACCTAAATACTTTGTATTGGTAATCGTTTCAATTTCCTGATCACCTATTGAAAGGTGGTAGAGCAACAGGCTGGCCTTCGATCCTACTGATGTTTTGACTAGAACCTATAAAAAGTGACTGTGTTTTCACAACGTTCAGAGAAAGTTTGTTTGCATGTAGCCAATCCTGTAGCTTCAAAAGATCTAAGTTTAGGTCATTCTGTAGGTCATCAATGCTTTTTTGAGGAAAGAGAAATAGCCGTGTCATCAGCATACAGGCTGACATGAGATTTTTGCAGAGAAAAATGCAGATTATCGATGTAGATCAGGAATAAGAGTAAGAGTAATAGGAATAAGAGTGGACCAAGACAAGAGCCTTGAGGAACTCCACAATTTATTTCCTTCACATCACAAGAAGTGCCACCTAAACTGCAAAACTGTTTACGATTATCCAAGTATGATGTAAACCAGTTGTGTTCCAAGCCAGTTACTCCGTACATTTTCAGTTTTCTTGGCAGAATTTTACTCAAGATCTCAATCATACTGTCTAGTCAAGCTTGGAGACTCTGGAAACTGAGACTGATATTTTGTAACTTGACAGTTTCAAAGGAGATTCTTTTTGCTCATTTGCATAACTAAAGCTGTCTCCTTTAGAGTATCCTCTATGCCTGGTACTTACCATAAGGTAATTTATTCCATGGTCAGTTATGAATATATTTTGCTATTATCAATAACACCAACTGACTGACATCCATGAAAGCTTTCTCTTGCATGTGTATCAGTTGTACTAATGAATTGAGTATCTGTTTGTGTCAAACAAACCACTCCCATCTCCAGACAATCCTAACTGGTTACAACAGTTATCCCTATTCACTCTCCCTCTATCACCTGCATCTGCGGCCTATAGCCAACAGCCGGGTCAAGGGGTACAAAAGCAGTGTGTGAATAAAGGAGAGGCCACGATAGCAGGCTGCTCGACGGACTCCGATGGAATATTTGCGGCGAAAAATCGATAAAATAGTAGTAATTAAGTAACACCGCAACGCGACTAGAATAACAACAAATAGACATAAGTCAGTTATGGCTAATATTTCGCCCCGGGGTACGGGGCTTCATCAGAGCAAAAGTTAAAAGCAGACCCGTTTTGGCGACATTTGGATGAAGTGACAGTCAACTACAGCCCGAATGCTTCGCTGCTACAACCTTCATAACAATTCAAAAGTGCGAAGCAAAACTACGGGGCTACAGCCCCCTTCACTCCTTCCTGGGTGGCTCTCACCTCGAAAATTAACTACATGGGGCTGCAGTCTGAAAATCCTTTCGCGTACGCCATATCACAATGATTATGCCTGGTAACTGACGCTTGCTATTTTCTACCAGCCCGAAAAGGAATAAAAAACAGCCCACTGTCAATCCTAACAAGAATTTGGTAAGTTAAGAAATCGGTCGCAAAAGTCACCCTCAATCGTCACCCAGACTCCAGATTTACGCAAAATCCACTTTAATCTTTGACATTAATATATGCATCACTTTTAAAGCCAACAGTCACCACCATGCTGACTTTAAGCCCTAATATTCTCACTTACGGCATAACAATAGCTTATCTTCCAGGAATTTTGATGAATTCGAGCGATGAATTTAGCATAATTAGGATAAGTTAGCATGAAGCGTGACAAATATAACAAAATGCGAGGCAAGAAGATCGGACCTCTGTTAGTTTACGAAATGTATCAGTCGATTCACCAATTCAACTTACGGCCTCGTTTTGGAAATTTCTCCAAATCTAATTATACGACTTTTTTTCAGCTCAGATGTGGTTTATCTCCATAATTCTAGGTTGGATACAATTTTTCACATTGTTTGTGCTTGTATTTTAGATTTTGCGGAGAAATGAAGTTTGAAAACCTTTGAGGGACTTGCCCCCAAACTTTTTTAAGCTCAGATTTGGTTTTATCACCATAATTTTAGGCTGGATACAATTTTTCACATTGTTTGTGCTTGTATTTTAGATTTTACGGAGAATTGAAATTTGAAAACTTGTAAGGAATTCGACCGCAAAAATCGCTTTGGCGGGAAACTTTACCCCCCTAGTTGCCAATCACAGTCAAATCCCTTATGAAAATTTCATCTTTATGTCGTCATAAAATCAAAACCGTAAGCAATACCATAATAAAAACTTCCAAGTATACTAAAATCTTTGCTCTCAATCCGAATCCGAGGTTAAAAACTTTTTACCAAAAGAATTTGAAGAATTTTTCAAAATGAGGCAGTAACTTGAATTGGTGTTTAGTTGACAATTCGCCAATGATTAGTTTCCAGTTTATTTATCGTAGTTTCAAAGTCTTCTCGTTAAATTTATGTACCAAATATTTTCATCTCTTTCCGTCAAGAAATAAACAGGTAACAATTTGAAGGATGGTAGCGGATATAAGTGCCTCCGCTTATAAGCGCTCTTTCGTTGATAAGCGCTCACCCAAATTATGAAAATACTTTCACAAACAATCAGGCACTTATCGGGAAAAAATGGTTTGCCCATTTGCCCAATTTGAAAATATTGGGTTTTACAAAGTCTAAAGATCTCTACCCTGGGTACCAGACTCACTATATATGAAATAAAATAGAGAGTCTGGTCTAGTGAGCCCCATTCTCGTTCTGGTGTGCTGATATTAACCAATCAGGAGCGAGTGTACAGATTTCTGTACGTTCAAAGGTCAGAGCGAAACAATAAACGTAGCTATGGTGTAAAACATTGAACAGAACAATCTTCTTCAATCTTCAATCGTTAACTCCTAAAGGCTATACAACCAATCTGGAGTAAAAAAAAAAAATTGGAAAAGGAAAATTAACTAAGGAGTAGGAATACCATTTCCTCCCAGCGCTCCAGTTTGTTAATTTCTACAAAATGTTGCAACATAAATAAATGCTAGCGACCGTAACGTTTGAGTTTGACACAAGTAAATCAGTTATGGCTAATATTTCGCCCGGCATACGGGGCTTCGCTTGTCGTATTGGCCATATTTGCTGTGATGAACTTCCAACGTGATGATTCTAACCGCCGCGGTGTCTAAGCGCGCTGCCTTCACAGTGAGGAAGTAGACTTTGAAAGTACACACAATTTATGAGGAAAATTACAAAAGACTTATTTTAAGTTGTATACGAAATTTAATAATGATTAACATTAAATAACTGCATTGTGCTAACTTTAATTTCATGCTTCGCATATGTTTTTTGCTACCAAATGGCGTTTTAAACCTGATTTGATTGGAATCTTGAGGCAGAAAAGTCTATTATCACTGTATTAATAATGTCGACTTTACCGACATATATAAAACACATTTGCTTCAAGATTTCCCAAAACTCCTCTGACTACTGAGTATCTTTGTTATTTATCTGACAGTCTTGTTTCACAGGCCTAGTCTTTCAAGTAAATTCACCAGAACGAGAATGGGGCGCACTAGACCAGACTCTCTATTATTTTATATAGCGAGTCTGGTACCCAGGGTAAAAGATCTCCAAAGAACGTTTTGTTACCCCTCCCCCCAAGAGTAACTACCCACGATGCAATGGCGGCGCCAGCCACTAAGCTCTGGGGGGGACAAACCAAAAAAAATTTAAGCCACGCCCTTTCAACCACCAGAAAACGCCTTTTACCAACAGGGAACGCCAATTTTATCCGAAGGGAACGCCTATGACAAACTTTTGTCTGAAAATTGGCAGTTTGAAAATCATAGGATTACATCAAAAAAAGTACGGTGTCAAAATATTACCCCTCCCCCAACATTCTCTCATCGAATTTAGACGAAATACAAAATCGCTTCTGCTGAAAACTGGGGGGGGGACGTGTCCCCCCCGTGGCGCCGCTACTGCCACGATGCTCTTTTTCCTCCAGTGCATCTACTAAGCGGCCTGTCAACAAATCTCGTTAAAAGACAATTCATCGCACAACTGGGTCTTACCGCCAATATCTCTTCAAATAGATAGAAATCCTGGTCTTATTTTCTTATCCTTGGGCAAATATGGTTCTCTACTTACTAAAACTAGGTCTCTAAATAAAGAACACACAGTTCACAGAAAAACTACTGGGAAATAGTAAACTAGTTTTTGGTATCTTTTGGAGTCAAATACAACGCCAATGTTGGCACTTGGCTGCTAGAACCTGATAAACGCATTCTTTTGTACCTTACTGCGATGTTGGTATAAATGCATTCAAAGCTCTTGTCAAGAAAGTTCAGGTAAAAGTTCCCAAAATTTAAATCGAAATAAATTTGCTTACTTGGCAGACGTCGAAGACTTTCATCGTGGCAGTTAAGCACTAGATGGGCATGAAAGGACATCGAAATTTACCAAAGCTTTCAATTATACGCAGGTCCAGAGGGACGTTGACGCTTTTGTATTTAACATTTTTCATATCCCATGTGTATATGCGAATGCCACGCAGTTCCTCTGTTGTCAGTGTTGCTGTGTGGTCCCTTGCTTCCCAGAAAATACCTATTTCAAACAAAATGATATCACTATGACGAATTTTAATAAAGAAAGTGACTGGTGGCCTCTAAACTTTATTATTTAGCTTCTTAATTACAAAAGAGTAGATACGCTTAGATAACTAAATCGAATACCTAGAAAACAAAAGCCGAACGAACACAAATCAAAGCGTTAGAAATAACAGTCATTCAGATATTTTTGCGTCACTCCTGTACAGCAGCGGTTTTAGGGACTGCGGGGCCCGGGGCCAAAAACATTTGTGGGGCTCTTGTTTTTTGAAATCTCTACCTTTTTTTAGGTGTGGGGCCCCTTTTGGCTACCATAAGCGCGAGGCCTGGGGCCATGCCTCCTGGACCCCCCTTAAAACCGTCACTGCTCTGGTACTGTATGTACAGAGGGGTGACGATCAGCTAAGCTGTAACCTAGAGATTTCTTTCAAGTTTGGTAGCAAAATTTCCTGCTAATCTCCTTTCTTATCTCCAGATTTCTTACAAATTACAGGGCTTTAAGCTATCTTGATAAACTTACTTTGTTTTAGAAGATATAATAAACTAATTTAAAGATAGGATAGCGCATTGAAACATCTTTAATGAAACTATGGAATGTGAAACAATTAAATCAGTGATTTCATTAAATAACGGCGTTCTTTTTAAATCTGAAATCTTGTCCGCTTAGGGCGAGGGATTGTAGGTTCTCTTCATTTTATGTAGAAAGACTTTGAGTGCAGGAAAGAAAGTTTGGGAAAAAACAATTGACTATTAACTGTGGTTCATTTTCCAGTGCCCGCCACTGGATTGTGTCCATTAGTAGAGATTGTACTCTAACAGCACTGAAAACTTTCGGGACTCTCGAACAGGAAGCGCCATGACGCTGAAGGATATTTTTCCCTGCTAAAAACTGGATGGTACTTAAATTAAAGTTTTATTTTGATACAATGAATACATAAATGTGGGAAGTTTATATTGTTTCTTTGGGTTTTTTAAAACGTCGGAATTTATCGGGACGAAACTGCGTTATTGCTCAACCACTGATGACGACGATGAACAAAAAACCTCATCCCTTTGAGGTTTAAAACTTCACCAACATCCGGGTTATAATATCCGAAGAGTGTTGAACGCAACCAGTTTTCATAATGCACAAACAAGATGTAGTTCCACTTGTTCAAATTTCCTGGTCTGCTTCGGTTACATAATGCTTCTTTGTTGTGTTACATGAGCAAAACAAATTAAATACGGAGCAAACGTTGTTTTCAATTCCTAGGTTTAAGAAACCACTTATTTTGGCTGAATAACTTTGTTTCTGCTAGGCTAAGGGAGATAAAGGGATTATACCATACAAAATTGGGGTGCAAACTATTATTCTTAAGACTTAATACTGCGACGATGTGGTTTTGTATCTCTTAGCTAGCAGACAAATTATACTGTTGAATTTCATTACTGAATTCTTCTGGTTTTAGTATCTGAAAGTCTAATTTTGTATTTGGTGTTTCATGTAGGTCTGGGTCTAGGTAAGCAAATTTGAAAGTGCGCAAACCATTTCTTCAATAATATTATTTATTGAGATAATGAATAATCTGACAATTGGAACAGCTCCAATTTATAATGAAAATACAGAAAACTTTATATTAAAGTCAAAATTAAAACATAGACACTTCTGAATCAAGTGTAGAGTTTGATCTCGGGTACGGCTGACAAATTTTGCTAGCCTCGTAGCTACGAACAGTATTACCTGGAATAGAGGCCAACCTCAGTTACAGCTTGGCAGGAAAATTGATAATTTGAAAGTCGATAAAAGACATTGTAATTCAAAACAAACGGAAAGTTTTTTCTGCTCTCGAATGCAAAGGAACATCCGTTTTTGTTAATTTAATTGACTGTTTTTACTATTCTGGTTTCTTTTGTTTAAAAAATGACAAGCTTCTCCAACTGAGGTTCATTCTGCTCGCGACCCCTGGAAAACTCTTCCGTCCCCTCGATACTGCACAGAAACTCGCAACGTTTTAAAGCAGAAACGCTTAATACGACAGACACCTAGAGAACTCGGACGCACTATGAATACTCTCTTAAAAAGTTCTTAAGAATAGACTGCTATTTATAAAAACAAATTTCTAACAGACTTCAGCGAGAAAAGAAAAATTGGTTCGATAAAAGTATAAACAAATACAGGCAAAAAAATATCACTCCAACAGGAATGGTCTTTAAATGTTTGTAACTTCTCATTCACAGTTTAGCCAACTAGGCCTTCGGTATCATTCCCACTAGCCTGATGACTTTGAAAATGGGGGATGCCGAAGCCAAATGCCAGTTACAGGCAAAATCCGTTCATGGTTCATTCAAGCTGCTCGGCTTGAGTATGATCACCCCTGAGCATGACTGTGCCAAGCAGGGTTACTTTACGACAAACAATAATTTATTTTCAAGTCTGGCTTTGCGACAGGAGTGTGTTCGAAACCTTCTAAGCCTCCTTCTTTCAATAGGCATTTGGAACCTCTGCCTATATCTGGCACTCTGCGTCCATCAAAGACTGTTTTCCACCTTGCACACATGAACCCGGTACAATGAGTTTAGTTATCATCATCTGAGTCAATGCATATCACCTCGATATTATGTGGCCTTTCCATGCACTGGCTAGCAGATATAGAGTTATCTTCCTGATACTGGCTGTCAAGTTGGTTTTGTTCAGAAACAGGATGCTCGCTGCAATCACCTGATCTCACAATAGTTTCTGCTGCTGTCGTGACATTTTGGTTGCCAGGCAATATTGATAGTGGGTGTTGGTTGATATTAGAGTTCTGCAAACTGGAGGATGGAGGGAAATTGTGTGCACTGGCTACGGATGGGTTTTGGAAGATTGATAATTGTGCTTCGGGAGAAATGTTGGATACAGATAGGTTGTCTGGAAGAAAAATTTGTAATTTCAAAATACGTCTTTGCTTGTCTGGTAGCTAACTAGATGACAAAAATCGGAGAAGAGTTATTTTTCCAGACGTATGAATGGGTTCTGATGTTGCTTATTGAACACGCAATGACACCTTACACACTTCCAAGCAGGTGGCGACATTATTTGATCCATCTAAATCGTCTAGTATCCGAATGAAGGGGACTTGAGGGATTATAAACTTGCTCAAAGTTTGCTTAAATGCAAAAGAGATGGATCGGGGCTTAGTACCAATATAAACCAACTTTGCTCTCTGATTTCAAAAAGGCTACAAAATGACATGTTCCAGGATAAAGAATTTTTAGAATGTGAGCCAGGAATAAGCAACTAAAATGCAAGAAAGCCAAACCTCTGAATGCTGGAGCGTTGCTTGCAGAATTAAGTCGATGCTGTCGAAGAAGCTCTGCGCGTCTAAGAATACTTGCTAACGCGATGTTTGTTTGCAAATTCATGGCGTTTACATGAGGTAGCAGGGGATGCTGCGATGCCATGTTGTTCCCAGCAAGCAGCGAGTAATTGTTAAACATAGACTGTGGGTTAGCAGCCATTTGCAACGGGCCTCCTTGTAAGTATGGAGGGAATCTACGAAGAAGGATAACCATCTAATATCCGTTGAGAAGAAGATCAGTACGTTTGAAAAATCAGTAATCAAGAATCTGAAACTGTGCTGTATTGCAAAACATAAAAAATAGTTCGATTTATATAATTTCGATTATTTTGAAAGAGGCTCTGGTAATGGTTTTTTTTAAAAATTTCGCTTCGTAGGCTTCACTTTCATATCTAAAAACAAAACCCTTGGCTGAAGAATTAGCATCTCAGAATAACAGAGAAAAATGCTCTTTCCTTTCTATACAATTCAGGCAGTACGGAATTATAATATCGATTGGGGTGATGGAAATTAATTGGCAGATAAACCGACAGAAAGTCCCATTTTCCAAGCTGTAAAAATTAGCAGCATGAGTTGTCTCTGACGGTGTCTCTTTTCATAAGCAAAACGGACATCTCTAGATGAAAGGCACTAATAAAGCCCTCCTCCTCCAAAGACACAAAATATACTTTGTGTGCCAAAATAACACAGTCTTGTAACCACTGAAAGACCTATCCGTGGCGTTTTCAAAACAACTTTATTTACCTGTTTACTAAAGGCCCATTCATCATACTGGAAACTTTGCGTTTTTCTTCCTCGTAACCTTTGGGGCAAAAAATAAAGTGAACCGTAAGTCAAATATTTATGTCAAACAGACTTGACTTTAACAGCTGTTTCAAAGCTCCTCAAGAAACATTTCATCTGGCAACAACAGTCTTGTTGTAGGTAGACAATGTTTAGAAAATATTCAAAATATTTTCTTGAATATAAAAATGAGGTGAATCTTATTAAGGTCCTAGGGTTTAGGGTTGTTTACGATGACCTCCACCGGGTAGTCTGCAAACATATATGACAGCAATCAGAAACACAAATAACCATCCATTATCTAACGGTCTCAAACAATGTATGAGGAAATTTGTATCAAAACGTCTCTCCTTTTGTCAATGTCTTATACGAGTATCTACGAGACAGTAGCACCATCTCTAACAAACAGTGTGAGTCTGGTTTCACAGCTATACGCTTTACTGAGATTTCACCGTGTTCTCATATCAACAGAAAGAAATAGCAGGATTGGTTTTCCTTTATCTGGTCAAGAAGGCTGAAACATCAAAGATGGAAATTTGTCTCGTTCATTTATTTGGCTTTACACGTTGGTAGCCGCGTAGAATCTTTAAGCTCCAGTCATATATCCAAATTACTATAGTAAAAACCTTTTTAAAAATCACATCTAAAATCACATAAAATGATATCAAAAAGTTGCCAATACCAATATAAAAAGGCATGCCTAGTTGTTGCCATGCCAAAAGGGCTGTGTTTACAAACTACAAGAAACACAAAGAATGAAAATTAACCTCTTTTGGCCTCTCTTTTTTCTTTACTTGATAACTTTGACGAAGTTTCATCTTGTAAAAGCGACTCGTGTTTAAATGGCAGCTAAAAGACAAAATTTCATCATAAATCTTCCAAGAAATGTGCGTAACAAAAGCAAGTCTCCATTAGATCAAGTCTCAGCAACAATAGCAATGCTGATAATACAACTACACTAGGTGAAAAACCTTCGTAAATAGCTACATCAGATCTTTAAACGTACCTGCGCAATCCATTGACCACATGACTGTAAGAGTCGTTTTAAGATAGGGTCGTTAATCAATTTAGAGTCTTCTGCGTAGTCTAATTGAGGCTCATTATCCTAAAACAAAAACAGTTATTCTACCTTTAGATGATAAAATACAAAAAAGTCTAAAAACAACAAATTAAGAAGGTGATTCTGGAAAAAAACACTGAAAGAGCTGTTCAAGAATAAAAGATGTGTGTTTTTCTTGAATAGCAGATAAATCGTGCTGATTCAAATGACTAGCAAATCTAAATACAAAACTTTTCGATATTTTTCAAAGAAAAACAGAAGTTTTTCGCCTTTTACAAAGTAATTACCCGAACAAAACCTGGCTTGTCTTTGGCAAGTAGCACAATCCCTGAGACAAAAGCCTCAACACTTGGCAGGAATAATGCATAAATACCCGAACAAATAAAGTTATCCGCGTTCACCCATATAAAGTTTGTGCTTGTGCTTAAAGGTTCAAGATCTCAAGAATATATCTGTCTGGATATATCCATATTCATTGCCCAAATCCTTACGTTAAACTCAATTTAAAAGTGAATTACCCAAGAGGAAGACAACAATTTGTTGAGTTCATCTTTTGTGAAGTTTTCGACTGGATTCAACTCATCAATAACACGATCTGAAAAAGGAAATTACAAATGAATATTTGTCAAAATTTTAACAAATTTTTTCATCTCAAGCTAGACTTGATGAATGACAATTTCTCTCAGACAGTTCGTATTCTCATTTTTTTGAAAATGGCACTGCACAAGCAATTGTGTCGCAGAACACTGCTTCGATAAGGGGCAGCTTTACCACCCCCTCAAGCGATAAACATGCCTTACGTTAGGGTAGGGTAGTTAACGGGTACCGTACCCTTACGTTATCTTGAGTCGCTAGCATAACTGAACGGTATATTTGATACTAACCGAATCAGATGTCTTACCGTTGAGCCTTCAACCTTATTCAAGCAAACAGTAAAAGCCAGCATTATCGGAACTAGAACTAGTGACATAATCGAAACTAGACCCAAAACCACTAAATTTGCAGGTCAATTTTAATCGACGTTGGGTAAGGGCTTATCAATTTTCATTACCATGAAAAAACTGTCTTTTTAGCTGGTAATATAACGTATCCATTTACAAACTAGTGCTTTCCGTGTCACTGTTTTGTCTTTACATCTGAAAAGGGATGTCCCACTCGATTAAACTAATACGTCACTTTCTATCTGATGAATCAGGCAATGGTTGAAAATGCGGGCAGCAGATGACCATTAGAAACAGAATAGCTACCTGAAACTCCTTGCTTTGAAATTTGCCGATAATACATTCTTTTTTCCATCGTGTTTGAAGCGATAAGTCTGTATATGTAACATGGCTTTTCCTGGCCATATCTGTAAACTCTAAAACATCAAAGAAAAAACATTACTAGCAAAAACAAAACAAAACCCTTCACAAAGGAAAAGAACTGCAGGGAATTAGTTTTTCTGCTTCTGTTATATACAATTAATTCAATTAGTTATTTCATGAATGCGCTATTTCATGCAATCTTCAACTATTGTCTTCAACAATCTTTATTCAATTAATTTCAATTTCATGCAATTTTCCATCGTGTTTTTTCGGAACCTTATTCTGACGTTTTATGCTCTGAGTAGTGTCAGACGAAAAAGGTTTTAGTATGTCGTAAAATGTTTGCTTTTTCAAAGCCATTTTTAAATTCTGTACCGCAAAAAATTGTTCAAATCTTCAACTAGTTCAATAAATACTATCAAAAAAACTAAATAATATATTGAATACATGGAGGAATTAAGCAAAAAGCAAGTCAAAAAAGAAATGTGAAGAAACTAAATAAGGAATATCTATTTAGCAAATGGCGGGAGCACATTTTAATATTTACTCGATAGAAAATGGTCCTCTCTTAATATTAAGGCAACAATGAGCGTGAAACTTTAGAAGCATTCCATTTTCGGTCCTTAGGTAAATAAGCGCGACTTTAAAGTAACCGATTCATATTATTCAATATAACATTAAATTCCTTTCACATTCATATCATGACATATTTTAATTACATGGCCATGGTGAGATTTTCCTTAACTGTCAGTAAAATACTGAGGTTTATATCCGTACAGGCAAACAAAGAACTTTAAGGGGATTTTCAACTTGAAAGTATTTGTGAAACAACCACAGAAAGCATTGAGAACACGCTTTGGTTGCAAATGAAAAAATTAGATGACGATTTTGGTGGCAAGCTAAGAAAGATCTTGTCATATTGAAGCTCTTTGATAGTATATCAAGATTGCGGCATTAGATAAAAGGAACTAACAGCAATAATGTTTGCTTCTGCTAAAGTTTGCGGCAAATGGTTTACATGTATGAACTTCATGAATGATCTAAATTCAACTTGCAAACAAAGAACTTCCTTTTTTAAAAGAACATACTTTATAGGAACACCGAGACACGGTTTTTCAAAAAAAGTGGAATAATGTATGAATATGCTTAGCCTCAGATTAGAAATAAGAAGAAATTTTTTTCTGTTATGCAAAACTATCATTTGCTGTTCTTGAAAACAACTTATCGCATGGAGTTGTAGAAAAACCACGTTGAAATAAGAACAAGATTGAAAGAAAGCCCCAGCCTAAAATTATCCCACTATAAAATTATCCATAAAACAAGAATATCGAGCCTCAGCAACTTTATCCCACATAGACTGATTCACTTTGCCTTAGATCACACTTTCTTGACGAGCCGCCTTGATAAAAATCTGTATTCATTAGTTTCATCAGGATGGTGAATTTCAAGCCCTTTAAATAGAGGTTATAACCTCTTAATAGGTATTTCAAAGTTCGGCAAAGCGATTCATGTTTCTTTTGATTTCGCTTTGAAAAAGGATAGAAGTTCGTGGCATGCTAGCTGTTATTGAGGGCATCTTGAATTACTGTCCTTAGTTTTTTTCAAAAAGCGCCAGCTCTAATTGGGTCATGACTCTCATCGTAAACTTAAAAAATTTCTCTTGTAATCTCTGACCAGTAACAACATGAGAAAATATTTTGACGCTATTACGTCATCATAAGCCGCATTTCTGTTTGACACCTGGAATGAAATACCACATCTAAAACATATCGTATGGAAGAATCGACAAGCCTAAAAGGTGTAGGGGTGGTTCTGTGGTAAGGGTTGCGGACTACAGATCCAACGGGCTGGTGCTCAAGTTTCTGCCATCACCCAGAGTGCGGAGACTAACCAGCTATGTTAAATTCCAGGCATAGGAATCAGGAGGTATGGTCATATCGAAGCGAGGGGCACTGCTTCTCAGCATCCCAAAATCTATTTTACGCAGATAGACAGAAACAAATACAGAGAAAAAAGGTGAACCAATAATTGTTCTTGAGTAGGTTCTAAGAAGGGAAACTTTAGAGAAAAGACGAGTCTTTATGTTGCTTCTCAAAATCATGGAACACTCCAGGGGGCTTTCATCGATAAACTGCAATTACATCACACAAAACTTCGAAATATAATGATATATATGCATGGATTGTATTTTGGCATGGAAGCTTTCCAAAATAATTTGTGTTCCCTGGGCGAAAAAATACATCTGCCTCTGCTTGCAACGAAGAATGCATTCCAGTATTTGGTCATTTCAGCAGCTAAGAGAAGGTCAATGACATCAGGCTTTAATGACATACAGGCCTAGGGTATTAAGTACAAAGAAATCACAAGTGGATGTGCTTTACCTGCAAACTGCTTGAGCGTCATGACATGGATTCCAAGAAACATCAAACACAACTACACGATTGGCACCAACCAAATTGATGCCAAGACACCCGGCACTAGAGTAGCAAAAAAATGTTCCTATTAGTAAAAGTTCAATACCGACAGAGTTCCTAACTAAATTTAGAGAAAACAAGTTCATAAAAAGCGATCAGTACCGCTGTTGGTAAAAGGTTTATGTGATTTTTCATGTGATCAGTTGGGCTTGCTCGCAAACTTTCCAACGGAATCACGTGATTAGTTGCGTTTTAGCAAATTTACCACACTGTGCGTTTATTGAAACACAGTAAGTTTATTGAAACTCAGAGGTTTTTCGGGCAAACATTTAAGCTTGTTGTTGTTGTTGTAGTTTTACAATCTGCCACTAGTATCAAACATGAAATAACACAACTGGTTTGAGCCAAAAACATGAAGCTATAAAATCATCCGTTCCTTCCAAAATAACCTAAAACCTCTTATTAGCAAGTTCTGACTGAGCTTTTACGTGTGTCCCAAGCTTACTAGCTTTAAAGTCACCACATTTAGCTAAATGGAGACTTTGTAATTAAAAGCTTGAATGTCAAAGATTGAATTGAACTAAACTGGGATTAAATGCGTCTCTACAGGCAAAGATTGTGTCTGATATTGAAACAGGGCCTTAACCTAAGGTAGGATAAAGAGTAAAGAATTCAGTATTTGAACACATTTTGCGAAAATCCTATTGTTTTATCTGAAAATCCCCAGAAACCTTTTGGTTTAGGGAAAATCTCGTACGCTATTTTCAATTTGCGAAATCTCGAACGACTTGAATTTACCAAATCACCGATTGATTAAATTGATTTATTAAATGACCACTAAATAAATTTCACGGGGCTTAAACAAAAACCTTTGACTTGGGGTTGATTTGAAACAAAGTGAAAAATCTCTGATATGAAAAGATGTGGACTTGAAAGCAAAACAAAAACCAAAACAAAACAACAAATGAGATGTTGGTTTACCGTGTTGAAAGAAGAAACAATTTGGCGGTCGAGTTTTCTTTGTCGTTGAAATTGTCAATAAGTCGCTCCCTCTCAGAAGAGCTGGTGCTACCATCGATACCTGCAAAAAAGGTGGTTTAAGCGATCAGAAATATTAATACGGGAAAAATAATTCTTCATTCAATAATCTGTTCATTTTCAAAAATTACATCCAGCTTGTGCAGATGAAAGCTCAACATGTGGTCAAATTAAAAAACGGGGTTCTTGGCATGAGCAGAATAGGAATTTTATACTGCTAAATTGGATAGTGTGCTCACATAAGAAAATTGTTGTCCCCCTTACATATCGCTTGAATTAACAGAGACCCAGGTTGGCAGGTCAGTTTATCATCCCGGGTAAGTTCGGGATTAAGGCTAGGATTAACCAAGGATAAAGCAAGATCTCAGCTAAACAAACAGACCCTAGCAATGAGTTTATCGCTAAAAAGGATGACGTTAGAAAATGAAACACATACTACTGCTTGGTAGCAAGTCTTCGGCGAGGAAAATCGTTTAAATGCAGGATAGAGCTCTGCCAACACAAACATGGCTTATATGCACATTCTACTTAATGAAATTAATATAAACAAATGAAATTAAAAATAAAAATAAATAAATAAGTAAACATAACTAAATGCCAATAATAAAAATGATTTCCTTTTCGAAATGAGGTGGAGGCCTACTACCAATTCAATTGGATATAATGCAGCCGGAAAATGCAACTAAATATGCATTATGTGTGAACCAAGAAAAGTAAAGCTAGAGGAGAATAGACAACAGGGTCTAGTGAATTAAGTCTGATTTCAATTCTCGTACAAAAACTTCCCTTTTAATTTTAGTATCGCTTCCTATATTTTAGATTGTTCCTTAAAAGAAAATTTCTAAAATGGCTTCTATATTCACCGAAGTTAACTAGCACAGTTCCTCAAAACTACAACTGCTTTCAGTCTTGGTCAAAATAGACTTTGGAAAGAACAGCACTTTTTGGAAAATAATTTATACATTGCACCAGGTAAATTATATAACGAAAAAAGGTCGACCAAACAAACATCCGTTAAGTCTGGGCCGACACGTTCAGAATGATGATGGTCATGTTGAAGTATGAACAATAGAAACTTGACTAGACTATGTCACTTTGATCAAATTGTATGCATTTCATTGAGCGTGTTTGCATTCATTTGTTTAATCGATTATTTTGAAATTTGATTTTTAGCACACGTGGGTGTATCGATCGAATCCTACTGGATGGAGCAAGTTTTGAATTTCCTGCGCGCCCACGAAGGTCGGTCAATACACAATTAGACTCTCGCCGTAAAACGTGCAATCGTATCAACTCCGGATAGCGAAGGTATTCATACAATCATTAGAAACAAAAGAACACAAACTAAAGATTTTCCTTTCTCTTTCAGTTTTAATTTGGACCGAGGATCTTGCAAAGATGCAGGCTTCAGTTTAGACAGTCACATACATATCATACAGGTCACATAAGTTAAAACCATTCTTTAACCTTTGATATTCTTTTCCGGTACACCAACATTGTTTACGAGGGAATTGTGATGCCTGTATCTACACTTACGTTCAAAAAGTATTGGGACACACGGCGAAATTCCGAAGAAATTTTATGCAACAAACTTGAAAAGACTTTTTCAAAATCTTTCTCATTAAGAAAGTACGGCAGCTATTTCCATGAAATTTTCACAAGACATTGTTGATATTTTGAAGCCTTTTATGTACGCCAAACAATTAAAAAAATATCGACCATAAAATTTCTATAGGCCCGAGACGAAAACAAGGAAGTTCCTAAAATTCAAGAACTGAGTTAAGAGAAGCGCTTACAAATTGCTTTCTACTGAAATAAAGTAACGGAATTTGTGAAATTGCGTCAATTGTTGATTGCTCAATGAATGCAGCTTTTTGGTGTGTAAAAAGTTTTTCCGTACAAGAACAGTAAAAATTTACAAAGGGTTGGCAGACCGAAGAAGTTTACGACGCCGAAGGAAGAAAGGTCATTTCTGCGGGAACTGCGAAGTAATAGGTTTGAAAACTTACCAGAAACTATGTTGTCATGTAAAAAGAAGCTAAATCTTTGAACATAAGCAAAATCATGGCTATAAAAACATAAGAAATAAAAATTTTCCAGCTTTATAAGAAGAAAATGCTCCCTCATAACAAAAATTAAACATCGCCGAAGAATACAATGGCTTCTCCTTGAATGTTACGCAATTCTAAAAGTAGCTTAAATAAATGCAATGATTTACTAATGAAATTGTAGCGTTTTCGTTTATGTAGTAAATTCTATTTGAAGTTTAAAAATTTGATTTTGTAATTTGTTATATAAATATCTTTGTTATGCAAACGTGAAATTAAAAAATTGTATTTGTTTGGACAGCTCTAAAACTTTTAGAAGGTCATGTGACTTTGCCATTGTTAGGCCATACAACCCTTCTGCATATTTTGCTGTTATATAATCAGGAAAATCGAAAGAATCCTATGTTTTTATGGTTATGCTTCAAAAGTTGAGTATTTTTTTAACTTTTAATTCCATTTTGGGGATGCGTAGCCCTAGATTATTTGGAGAAAGACTGCCCCAATCTGAAAAAAGTTTCCATTGCAAACCGAATTCGTTTATCGAATTTGTCCCAATACTTTTTGAACGCAAGTGTGATATTTAATATTCTAATACTTTTATATTAAAATTTTTGGTAGTGTAAATTATGAGGGCTTATGAGGCGGTCAAAAAAGGATCTTTGGAGTTTACCAAGAACTGTTTACCTGTGATTATGAATCCATCACAAAATGTTACACCCACTCAGGTGGACACCAAATATCACTAAATATAAAACCAATATCCGAATAGTGGCATATAATACAGGAGCAAACTCACGAAAGAAGTCTGTGTTTTTAGTCCACGTTCTTCCTCCATCATTGGAGGGATTCGCAACATCCCCGAATTGTTGAACGGGTATTCGACCAAGAAATTCTTCGATCAGATCCAATGTCAACAAGCTCTGACTGAAATGAGGTGAATTGATTACACGAGAAATTAATCCAAGACTTTCCTCAAGATTGACTTACAAGAGGTCCAAGATAAATGTCGATAAAAACTTTATAGCTTCAAGCTTCTATTTGCTTAAAGTCTTCATCGAAAGTTTAGTTTTCATAAACCGCTAAAACATAAATAGACAAACTGCTTCCCTTTAAATTAAAATACCTTGGTTTGCAAGTTGCCTGCATATTGTCGACTTAGAGGAGTCAGAAGATCAACAAAAAGACAACGATCAACTTTAAGGCACATGGAGTAAGTTACAAAATACCATAGCCTAACGAACAAGAAGCTTCACCATTGTAACACTGCATTGTTTATTGACAAATTGTACAACTTGAGCAGTACCTAAACCAGAACTTTCTATGGCATGCCTTAAACACCAAAAGGTTTTTTTTTATATTCTCATAAAATTTTACAAAACGGACAACTGCAAGACGATACCACAGGGAGCATGGAAATACATAGCAACCCTGTGGCCATCACATTAAACATATTTGATTCAAATTAGAGTTACCAAACGGTTGAACATACCTAAAAACTAGAAGTTTATCTCCTCTGGCTAACGACTCGTTGAGAATCTCCAGCAGAACAATCAGCTTTCCACTCATTTCCGCCACCCCTTCTTTGTATTCATGTAAATCAAAGATCTCCTTCGCCTTTTGAAAAAGAAGCAAGCAAAAAACATTATTCATCTTTCATGAACAACACCAGGCGTTGTTTGATTGGAGGAAAGAACTATTTTGATTGGAAGAAATAATATTTGTATGCAATGATATGCTATGATATTAAGTACTTCAATCAATATTGCTTTTAATTTGGAGGTTGATATTTGCAGATTGGAAATTCCTTTAAAATTATCTTTTGCCAACTACAGACATTCAGGCTTTTTTAGCAGTAAATTGGTCAATAGGTAAGAAAAATTTTAAAGCTATGTACATCCTATTCACAATTCAAATTTCTGGATAGTTATTTTAGAATTTTGGGTAGCAGCATATTTTTTGTTTTGATTCCTGCAATTTGTAGATAACGGGACCGTCTTAAAAAGTACAGAGGTTAAATGTAGTGTAACTTAAGAAAAGAAAGCATCTTAGTCACATCAAAAACAGACGACTCATAAAATAATCCAACTAAACTCAAATCTAATGCCAAAAAGTCTTAGAAAGTACAAACCCAATCGGTTATTTTCGACAACAAAGAGCGCGCATCCACCGAAAAAGTGCTTTGACCTTCATCGCCAATTGTCAAAGGTGAATTTCGCGTCTCTTTAGAAGCAAATTTGGAGTTCCTTGACAATTTTGCACCATCTTCTGTCATAGAATCCTCGTCCGTTTCAAACAAGACCTGCAAGATACAAGCACAACCATAACCAACAGATAACAAATACATTTAAAATCTTATATTAGCGTGGATGATATTAGCTTTGTTCATATGACATCAGTATCGGCTAACTTGATAGGCCCTTCCCGGGTCTAAAAGTATTTGTAAATGCTTTATCAAAACGTTCTTAGATTAAAATTTTGATTGTTATATGCTGCTGGAAGTGTTAACCATGCTTTCTCGGGGGGTGTTCATTGGATGTTCAACCTATTTTTGAATACGGTGCTAGATAACTTATTGCTAAACATATTGGACATAATTTTACAGATAATTGCAGAAATATCACGATTTAGAAAGATAAAAATAAAACAAAGTAAATTTCAGGTATCCTACATCTTTTTTCGACTTGTCAGCTTTCATTGCTTTGAAAAGAATATCAGGGTGATTCCAAATCTGAAAATGAAGGATACAATTGGTTTGACGAATTTATCGGTCACTTGCAAAATCAAAATCAATTCTGAATTAAACAAGCCTTATCGAAGGGGTGGCAACTTTAATCGACCTTTGCATATACGTAGCTCAACTGCTGGGGTCATATCCTGCTAAAATGTGGGGTGTAAATTCTAGCAGGATATGTGGGGTGTAAATGTCTTCATGAAATATGCAAACAATCTTTTGGTGGTACAAAACTTGTAAATGGCTTTGAAAAAAGCAAACATTTAGTAAACTAAAGCTTTTCGTCTGACACTCTTCAGAGTTTAAAACGTCAGAAAATAGATCGCAAACTCTACGCTAGGAAATATATATACCCAGTTGTGGATCGAAATAGGCCAATCAGAATGTCTTCAGCTAAAACATGTTTACTCTGTTTTTTCAGTATAATAGTTTCTCGTTAGAGATGATTGCTCAAAAAGGGTTTTTAGGATTTTTTTGTGACTTTTGGTCGTTCGTTTTGATGGCGATTTCGACACGTAGAGAGACGTTACAATGGGAGAGATATAATGTGCAAAATGTTTCCCTTTGTCACTAGCTTTTGTCTGTTTTTCACCAAAACAGCTTACTTTTAGCACAACGGTGTAGTTTTGGGTATTTGGAAAACTTTCTCAAAGAAGGTTTTAATTGCAGAAGCGACCGCAAGCAGTGCTACAAAGGGGCCACAGATTTTACCGCAGACAAACAAAGTAAAGTCTAATATAAGAAAGCATAGGTTGTGAAAGAAGTCACATGCATTTTCAGTTTAACAAATTGTTTCTAGATTTTAGTTGGTCTCGTGAAGGCTAAGTAGCTTTCGCTAAAAGGCATACAAGTACAAAGGATGGTCAAAAAATAGGAATCTATGGAGAGAAAACTATTCTTTTTTATTCCCAATCTTTGTTCCCACTCTTTGTCAGGACTATAGCGATGCCCTTCTGAATGTATCAGCCTGACACGATGAATAAGGTTCAAATGGTAGATCAATCAGAGTCAGGAAAACATTAAGGTCGCACGGCCATTGACCGGAGGAAGGTCCACGAAAAACAATAGAAGCTCCTATGACACGCCCAAGCCACGCCCAATTTATATTGTTTTGTGAGGAAGGTTAAGGTTTCTGGGATGTTTTTGTCTGGGGGGAGGTTAACAACTTTTCTGGACACTGAGATCAATAACAATCGAACGTATAATCAAGCAACAGTACCTTACTACACACTGCAAATATCTTGATTGGATTAAGCTGATCACCATAACTTTCTTGCATTAGTGCAATAAATCGCCTGTAAACCCCCTGCTGGACTGGCGAAAGTCTAATCATTATAACGTGCTCTTGTTTTGGTGGCAGGGCGACTTTCAGTGCTGAGTAGTCACTCCTTAAATAAAATTGTTTAAAAGCATTAACAATAACGACTTAAGGCGAAAATGTGGACAAATTTGTGAATACACTGATACAATGCGTGCGTCTAAAACAAAGCCTTTATAAAACTGAAATGACAGTAAAGGCAAAATCGTTTATTACTTATTCTCAACTACCAATTTTCATTCATGAATAGACTCTATCACTACGTTGTTCGTTTTCAACATATATTGTCTTTTTTGAATAAACCATTAGTTATCTTCTCGCACCATCTAACGCTGTCACATTTACTTTCAATTCATGATTACTGATGTCACTTCCTGTTGTTTCTTTGCCCATTTAAAAAACTTTATAGACAGAAAAAACACAGTTGAGAATAAGGACACTACAATGGTAAAATAAAACGACGACAAAGCATTTTCTCAAGCTTACTTGCTTGTAAAAAAAAATAGTTTTCAAATCATGGCTTGTTTACATCAAGGACCATAGTGATAAAATGTTCCAGTCACTCCTTGTTGAATTACTTTTGCATGCAAGAACAAGAACACATTGGACATCAAACAAAATGGCAGGCTCCCTCCTACCATGAGTCTAAAGATAAAATCTCACTTAATTAGAGAATCAATTCCTCTTTACAAATAATTGCTGTAAGGTCCTTTCGCAGTCAGTGTTTACAACGACTGACTGTGTGAGAAATGCACTTACCTCTGTACAAACCCTTTAAGAAGTGAAGAAAGCACGTGCGCTCTGTATTTCATCAACCTTTTATCCTGAAAAAGAAGCAGGTCAGGAGGCCGTTGCCTTTGAGACTGGTTAAGCCGCGAACTTTTTCGAGCAATACCAACAAATCTTCATTGATGAAAAATTAAAAAAAAACACAAGCTGATGAAGAAATGAGCAGACAAAGTAGGTAAGTGGCTAATAGTTTCTGTTGCGACGTGACCCGTTGAGAAAGCAATTTTGTGAAAGCGTGGCCTTCACTACTCACCGCTGTAGTACTATCTAGACACTGGCCATTCACGATTGGTCTTTCAAACATGTTTTGAAACTCCTGCCTAGAACCGAGATAGTTAGGCCGAACAAAATCTACCATACACCAGTATTCTGTCAGGTTATTCTGTAACGGGTAGCCAGTGAGCACAAGTCGTTTCCTGTGAAAGCAAGTACAATATATCAGTGACAAGTATGATTAAGGAAACATTAAATGATACAGCTCATCAAATCAACGATGTTTAACCTTACTGAAAACATATCCATATTTTCCATAGCTATCGTTGCAAAATGTATTTGCAAATGGCCGCATGAACTTCGAGCCATGGTCTTTCTAAACGCTTAAGAAGACGCCATGTTTCTCCTTGACTGTGTAAAAGTATGACAAGAGGATTCGATAGGCCGTTGCTTTTATAAACGCGTAGGGTAGAATTAGTTTCTTATTTCTTAGCGTCCAATACTGAAGCGGATAGTGTCAAGCAAAATATAAGTATCTGTTCTTTATTTACGGTTTTGATTATCTGAGGAGAGCCCTAGCTACAACAAGACATAAACTGGAAGAATCTTCAAAACAGTTTGTAACATATCGTGATATATTTGTACTGTACAAAACCTGGTCTGGATTTTATGTAGTGCATGATGTATATTTGACTGGTGGTTCTTTATTCTATGTCCTTCATCACAGACAACAAGATCTGGGCCTGGCTTGCACAAAGCACATTGCATTCCTCCAAAGAAAAGGCACGATATGTTAGTCGGCACACAGAATTTGAACAGCCAGATTACAAGGGAACTGAACATTAACTCAATCATGTAATCATGTAATCCGTTCTATGAATGTTTCCTAGCAGAACTAGCCTGGAACTGTTGTATCATGTTAACAAAGAAACTGGCTGTAGAGTAAACATTGCTGTTACAATAATGACGTCATCAGGTCTTGAGAAACATAGATCTAAATCTATAACAATAGATCCGTGTGCTATGTATGTTTCTTCATGCATATGGAAAAGAACATGCAGCTCCTTTGTATTAATACAGATCAACATTATCAGTGTCATATTAGGAACAGAAACAGAGAAGAAATTAGCATCTAACACAAAAGTTAGGGCTTTAAATGATCGTATTTGAAAAGAAGAAGACTTAACAGTAGACATGTGCTAAAATGGGAACTTTGAGTAATGTATTGTCAAGAAAATCCATGGAACTCTGAGGTCATCATGTTTAAGACAGGTATTTTATTGAAATGTATGAAGGCCTGTTGAAAAGTTACAGAAATGTTGTACTTGACAATGTTATACAAAATTGGAATTTTCAAATTTTACCAAGCAGAAGTTTCATCTCCTTTTCCTCTTCATCAATATCAATGACGGCTGCTGATTTTTTGGCCTGTTTCTTCTTCTTCCCCTTTGTATTTGTAACACTATTGCACAAAGATGGTGTGTACATTGCAATCATTCGAAACATTTCATAGCCCATGATCAACACACCTCCCTCATTGTTCCATTGATCTGCAAATAAACAGGAACAAGAATAACTTACATCCATAAATGTCGTATCACCACAACTTCAATATATGGTAATCAAAAGTGTCCTTGTATTATACAGTATATTAGAAGTAAAACAATTTCAAATAGCCTCAAAATATTCTACTCTTTGCAAAAAAGTTGGGTTAAACAAATATATATCATATATAAGCAATAATTTTATCAGGAAACACAGATTGGATTGTTTGTTTTAGATTTCCAGATTGTTCGCATCTTACAATGTTCGTATGAGGGCATAATTTCATCAAAGGTATATATTATATAAGGTAAGTTGTGCAATGCTTTATATCGAATATAAAATAAACTTAAACAAAAACCATTGTTATACTAATCAGGTTCACACATTCTAAGTCAGTGTATAATTTTTGTATGAGGGCATACTTTCATCAAAAGTACATATTATACAAGGTACGTTGTGCAATGATTTAAATCAAATATAAAATAAACTTAAACAAAAACCATTGTTAGATCATTCTGGTTCATAAATTCTAGGACAGCGAGGTATACTAAAACATTGTTGCACAAAAACCTGAGAATAATGTGATAAGAATGCTAATTCAACTGACCTATGGTCTTTGATCTTGCAGCTGTTGTCTTGTGACTGTCATTTATAATAAAAACTTTATATTTTCTATTTTCACCATTATCCTGTTGGCAAACACAATGTTCAGCTGCTTGACTTTTGCCACCTGGTTCTTTTGTTTCATATTTGTTTGTATGTTCATCAGAGGTTTTACTTTCTTCGTCAAAATTTGAGTTGCATTTTCCAACTTCAGTTTCAACATCACTTTTGCAACCATTTTCCAACAAACTCATGCTTTCCTCTACTCTGACATCATTTTCTAGCTTACCGTCCTCCGTAGCAGATGTCATTTCAGAAGTAGCATCCCCAGATGTTGATGGCCCATTTTCAAACGCACAGTTTTCTGCATGAGCCTTAAATCCACTTGATTCAGAATCAGTTGCTTCTGGAACCCACATGTTAAACTCATTTAGCCAGTTCTGCAAAGTATTTATGGGCACCAAAATAAGCACCTTCTTTGCTTTTGTGAACCTGCCATTCAAGTGCAACAAAGTTTATAACAGTGAAAGAACTTAATCAAACTCAGATTTTGCCTGAAAACATATCATAAAGTTTTTAAATTTGTTTTTAGCTGAAAAATTTTGAAAGACGGCAACTTTATTGACATGAGAAATAAACTATTAATAAAACTGAAATGACAGAGTTTATTCATTTAAAAAGACAAAAGATAAGAATTGAAAAAACACTTTAAACAAAGATCAAACTCAACACTACAATACAGGTAAAGAAGTGTTAAGAATACATGTAGTTGAGAAGAGAGTAGGTAGAGGTAGGTAGTGGTAGTGGCCATCTTGCTTGTTCAAACTTAAGGCTTTTGTACATTAACAATTTATCCATGTTTTGGGCCTCTCTAAAGCATTTGGAGCCTAACTATGTTAATCTTTATTGGTACTTGTTGAGTAAATAAAATGGGCACCAAAATAAGCACCTTCTCTGCTTTTGTGAACCTGCCATTCAAGTACAATAAAGTTAGCTTAGCTTTTCAAAGATATACGTACGTTAGAAAGACATGTACAAGAGAAATTGTCTGAACTGTCTTTCCAAGACCCATTGCATGTGCCAATATGCATCCTAAACCATGCTTTCCCTTGAAATCTTTAACTGATTCAATGAGGTTGTCATAAAGAAATCTAACACCAAGGATCTAGTGAGGAAATGTTACAAACAGGGCATGAATCAAGTTGAATAACAAAAACTGATTATGGCTTTGAAAAAAGCAAACATTTTACAATCATTCTAAAAGCTTTTTCGCCTGACACTCCTCAGAGTATAAAACACCAGATTAAGGGTGTGAAAGAACATGATGGATAATATATACCCAGTTGTGGATCGAAATAGGCCAATCAGAAAAACGCAAGCACATGACCAGCATAGTTGTTAAATCTGTGCTGCATCCCTATAGAAAATTACCACTGGAGTCAAAGAGAATACAAACTCCTTCCGTCTACACAATAACAGCTTTTTTTGTAAGTAGATCGATACCGAAACTGCTAGATGGAAAGACAGCTGGGCTCTGCCAATTATCTGAAACATGATGTCACTACAGAGAGTCTAACACAATCTGGGTTAACTAAAAGATGTTGACCAATGGCAGAATCATTTGTTTTAACAATGTTTCTAGACCTACAAGATAGAGGTACCTAAAAGACCCACAAGATAATAAATGACTAAAACCAGAATCCTACATAATGTTCTGGTTCTTAGAAAACAGCAGTTTGACCTATTGCTCAATCTGATATGCATGTCAATCTTGATTGTTTGCTAGAATTCTCAAGAAATTAATTCACTGAATGCTTCGTAAATTTGACCCATTTCAAAAACATAGAATTGCAGACTAATTCGTATTGAGAATTTTTCAGCTAAATAAGTGATACAACATACTCTAGTGTCTCTAATAGATGGCCCCCCCTGTGTATTAATTTCAGAAGAACTGCCCCCCCCCCCAATGTTGCTTATTAGCACTCCCTTCTATTAAATTTTACAAATCAAGTCATTTGATTTTCATTATTCATTGTTCTTCAGAGTTTTTTGTAAAATCTCAACCGTATAAAGGAAACCAATGATTTTTTACTTGGAAGTTAAAAGCTGTAAATTTAATTTATCTTTGTATGATTGCAATTTTCTCTAAAACTATGCAAAAAAATGAAACAAAATTTTGACAGTATATTGTAAAAGGTATTTCGATTTCAAAAAAGGATTGCCAGCATGAACACCCCCTACTGTTAGCACCCCCTTCTATTGAAAACTGGTCAACATGAACAACCCCCTTCTATAAGCACCCCCCTTCTATTGAAAATTAGCCAGAATCAACACCCCCTTCTATTACCTCCCTCTTCTTTAGAGACACTAAAGTAAGCTCCTGTTCAACACACACATTGAGTTTGTATTACCAAAGATATTGAGGACCTTAACCTTTTTCACAGAAAACATTCAATGATACTTATATTGTGCCTGTTTCTGAATAAAACCTATTCATAATACAAAGTATTAAAAAATAAAATTTATTCTTAAGACATTTATTTATTTCTAGCTTTACAGAAGCAATTTACTCCCCACTTTGAGCCAGTTTGAAAAATTATAACTTGTCACAAGAACAGCAACTGGAGGTATATAACACATTTACCTGATGTGGCTTTATAGCTTTTGATATCTGTTGTGGCAAAAAAATGTCTGGTTCACCATCAGCATGGCCAACATTGACTAAAATTTTGCCATTTTCATTCCGAAAACCTGTTGTTGATATCAAACTTCTACATTCATCTGCACTGTCTGATTCATCATCTATTTCATTTTGATTATATTCATCCTCAGATTCTGAGCTTGAAATTAATATAATGGAATCATCAAAGGATTGCCCTTCACCATTTTGAATACTGCTACTTTGTAAACTGTCTGTCATTTCAATATGATCGTCATCTATAATCATGATAGGACCTTTTTCGTCATCAACTTTACAAGTATCAATTTCTTCTTCATCAAAGTTCTCTGATGTTTGCTCTGACCCACTCTTTTGTAACAAAAGTCTACGAAGTCTTTCTTGCTCTTCTTTTTGTGCCTCCACTGTCTTTTGATCTAACTGGTCAAGTCTTAAGACTTTCCTAATGTTCCGTCTTCTGTTTGATGGCTTCCTCCTCTTCTTCCCTCTTACATCTTTCCCTACATTGTTAGAGTTTTTAGATTTTGGTTGAAATTTTGCATTACCACTATTTTCGTCTAAAACAGAACTGTTGTTGTCTTCTTCATCAACACCATCACTGGCTTCATTGTCAGTTGAGTAACTGTCCTCCTCACTTTTTGTTCCTTCAGCATTTTCTGCATCTTCAGCCAAAGTATCTGCTCCTACAAGCTCATCACCTTCGAAAATATCATTTCCATCCATTTTTGTATATTATTATCTGAAAATCTTAAACTAATTCAAACTTCAATTTATAAAATTAACATCAAGCTTAATTAAAAACAAATGTGGTATTAGGCCATCTTCCCGATCTTTCAATCTGTATAATGTCTTGAATTTGAAAAAGAAGCATATCCTTTCAAAAACATTCCGTGAAATAACAACGTAGCATATCCAACCATGTAGCTTTTCAAAAATACTCCTGGCAAGCCTCAAATCCGGCGCAGTAACGGCAGAAGGTATTCTACTAGGTCAATAGGCAACCGTAATGACACTGACTTTCAGAATCATTTACGCGCTTTGAAAGTTCCATATTGAGCAGATATCGGTCGCGCTGCCTCTCTGGTTGTAAATAAAAATAGCTCGCCAGTGAAACCATAAAGCTACTCTTCTTACATGTGCAGCGAATCAATTCTCTCGGTTTAGGACAACAGTGAGTGAGCGAAGCCTTTTGAAAATGCAGGGCCTCCGTTCCATTAAGAGACGAGAGAGAGACCTGCTTATATATTGTGTTAATGGCTTTGACAAAAGCAAATATTTTATATCATATTGGCTGGAAGCTTTTTCGCCGACACTCGTGAGAGCATAAAACATCAGAATAAGGACCCGAAAGAACATGATGAAAAATATATACCCAGTTGTAAATTTATTATCCAAAAATATATTATCCACACCTGGGTATGCATTTTTCATCGTGTTCTTTCGGACCCATATTCCGGCATTTTATGCTCTGAGCAGTGTCAGACGAAGATCTTCTAGCCAATATGATATGAAAATTTTGCTTCTTTCAAAGCCATTTTCAAGTTCTGTACCCCAATTTCCATTAATTTCCTCGAGGGCACTCAATTTGTCTAGGCTCCCTCTCTGTATCGCCACTGAATAGTAAGCAAGGAGAACGGATCCTTTAAGAATGTACTTTATCATAATCATATCAAGACTCAAGAGGTATCATTCTATTTTGCACTGAGTTATAAAGTGTACTTTTCTTGAAAACTGGGCAATTTTTTGTCTCTTTAGGGCATGGTTTATCTTTTTGTGTCGTAAGAATCTAAAAAAGAGTAATATTTAAGAAAAGCATTACAAAAGACAGAGGTTTTAAAAAATAAGGACTGCACTTTTTTCATACAAATTTTTTATTTTCATCAGAGTGTTTACAAGATTTAAATACTCTAACATTATAAAGGCAATAATTTAGCGATTTGAGCACGTAACAGAGGAAGTGAAATTTATCTTAGTTTTTTACAGAGAGCATTGCTTTGATCCAGGTATCTAACTTACAGGAGGTTTTCAGTTCACTATATGTACTCTGAGATTTGTGTTGGGTTTTATGTCTAAACCAAAAATTTTAAGTTTTCTTGATAAATTCAGAAAATGAATCCACTATAAGCAGCCTTTTTTGGTCTTGGAAGTTACATTGCTCCTTTTCCTTTCGAAGCACTGCTTATATCCGCTATATACAAGTTGAGTCAGTGATGTAAAGAGGTTTTACCACTATGATCCAACATTTAGTCGTCTGCTAAGGCTTGAAAAAGTGTGCAAAGGAATAACTCTATGAAATCTGAATAAACTGCAAATATAACGTAGAAATACCTATATTGAAAGTGACGTAGAGACAATATTTCAGTCTTGAAGGAAAAGGTTTTAAATGTCGCTTTATACTCGCGTTTTTTATTTGGACAATGCCCTTTGTACAAAACTACAATAAGGAAATAGTTTTACAGCCTTTTAAATTTTAGTGTTCTTTTTGCTTAACGTTATCTTCTACTTCATTCTGACATAGAGATTTCCATCAAGGCTAATCCTTAATTTTTTTGAATACATCAAAAGGGCAAAAACAGAACTCGTCTTACGCGATGTAAACACGTTACACGGAGATATACGATAAGGTCAAACAATTTGGAAGAGGCAGAGTTTTAATGCACTCATGCTAGCTCAATGTAAAAATGATAACATTAATATTTGGTTACTAAAAAGGCTTTTTAAGGGAGAGGCAGGGGTGTCGTCCTAAACGGTTAGGAAGGGGGTTGTTATATATAAATTGCTCATTCACGAAAATCCTACCTTCTTAACCTACTACCTAAGACAAATCGCCAATTTTCGGGAACCTACCTAACATATGTAAAAACGTAACTAGGAAATAGCTCTTACGTCTATTTTTTATGTGAAGACTAATAGCATTTTTCCCTTGAAACGTTATCAAACAAGAAACTAGCGATGATAGCATAATAATTTATCAAATACCTACCATATATATTATCAAACTTTGTAATAAATTTTCAGCAACATTAACAAGAGCCATAATATTCAAAAACACAATTTTATGTACATACTAGAGTTACAATATTATTATGTATCTAAATTCTCTTCATTAGAAAATTTTGAATGTTGTCCTTGGTCTGAAAATACTCTTGTCTTTAGCTTAGCGATTTCAGCAACTGCTTCTGGTGTAGTAAGCTTGTATCCAAATAAAGAGCTAGTACTGCCACTAAGATAAACAATAAATTCAGCGGTCAAAACTTTGTAAAAACGTAACTGTTGTAAAAGTTCGTGTCCAGTCCCCACGTGTTGAGGTCACGTGGTGCGATAGCCAGGGGGTATGTATTTTTAAATTAGTATACGCACGAGAGTTGGAGAAGTTGCTTACAAACGCTAGACGTTGCATATAATCAAAGTTCGTTAACGAAGTTGTTTTTCTTTATGTTCCTGCCCTAACTATACAACAGTAACGTTTTTTTAAAAAAGGTAGTCAAGATCGATATTGTGCAGCCTAGCAATCAGTCTAGAACCATTAACAATGCCAGTTTCGGGAGAGCGGTATCCTCAAATGACCCTATTAATTTTTAAAAAAGTTTGTCACTAGCGAATCGTGGATAGCTTGTAGTTATTCTAGCCTCAATTATCATTGTTTTAATTTCACTATACGCAACCCAAACTATACTAGCCACTGCTATCCTAGGTACGGTAAAGTAAAGTTTTGCATAAACTCAATCTAGAGGTTCGTTACATTGGTAATCAAGGCTGGTAGATGCAAAGGCTTAAAGATCGACATTCCAGGCCATCTACAATGCCGCACCGACGGCGATTAGATCTTGCAACCCTACAAAGTTAAATGTTAACATCTCTGTTGCAGGGTTCAGAAAATGCTGCAGCCCTCCTTATTACGAAATTTTGTTCTAATTGCCTTTTAGAACAGAAATTTTCTTGTACCTTTTCAATTAAAGTTTCATATAGATGGAATTTAAGCAAAATCATATTTTCTTTGGTCTTTACACTTTGCCAGAAAAAAAGAATAGGTCAACACACATTCAAGCACAACGGTAAATTGCTCTCGCATCATATACTTTTGTCAACTTCATCAAAGCTAATGTTTCATAACCTTCCTCTGTCTTACAGCCGTGGAGCCGTGATGTTTTTTGGATTCAGCTCTGCTGTTAAAGTACATATGCATCAACTTTGGTTGGAGGGAAGGAAGAAGAGGATGGATTTTTCAATACATGCATGCTACAAAAACATGTTGAGGGGGTTGTCTCAACAGCTCTGTCAAAGTTGGCAGATAATTCGTTGTGTCTTACTTTTTAATGAAATCATCAATAGACGAGCGTGCATATTTCCTATCTTCTGTAGCTTGCCCGGACGCTGCCAGTGTCGCCATCCGTGACTTCAATGATTTCTCCCGATTCTTCATCATCAACGTAGGATCTTTTAAAAAAGAATTTTAAAACATTAGCATTAGCAGTCATGACAAATGTCGAACAGTTCTGTCGCTTAAGCCACGTATTATCATAAGAGCGAATAAAAGATTTTACCCATGATGCATTGACGCCGATACTTTGGTTTAGTAAATGGAAATGTAAGCGATTAGCAGTGGTATGGGTGGCCTAAAATGTTATGCTAAAATATAATGTTATGGCCTAAAATGAAGTTGAGAGCCGCCTTTAGCAGGAATCAATGCACCAGCATATTACACAGCCAGATTGTTATCCGTAGTTAAAAGTTAATTGTTATTAAGAGGTGTCCCTTAACAAAACTTTCACATTAAAACATAAAGAAAAGTTTAGGGGCAAACTAAAACTTGCAAAAGGGTAAAAACATGCTTGTATTTGCATTGTTTCAGAAACAGCTTTGAAATTATTTGGGGGCCTATCTGGGCAAACTGTCCATGGTCCCTGGGCAAACTTACAACTCTCTCTAATGTGTATTCCATTGACGAGATGAAAGAAAGAGGCATCGGTTTCCTTTCAGAGCATTTTTGCCGTAGAGTAGCTTGCTGCGACTTCTCTAAAAATATTTGATAATTCCAACTACTCTCTTTTTTGATTGCCCCACACTTTTTGCGCTCTTGTTGGCTTTACCCAGTAACAAAAAAGCCTAACAACGCTGTTAACTGATAAGAATGCATGAACTAAACCTTCTTACCTTCTTGAGGAAAGCATTCACTATATATCCTAAAACACCTCTTTGTTGTAGGAGATCCTGGCTCGGGACTTATTCCTTGAAGAGCAGCTATTTGATTGGCTACTTCCAGAGCAGAGCACGCAACCATAGTGCCATTCCGTACCTAAGAATTGATATTTAATAATTACAAATCTTTGAAACTTAGTCTTTCAAATTGCGGAGTTGGAAAAAGAGGAACATACAGATCCGTATTGGTCACTCTTTAAGCGTTAAAAGCAGTAAAATTACTATTGCTAAATAATTTCTTTATAGAACTTGTAAGAAAGAAAAAACGGATCTGTATTGGTCATTCTTTTGGACCTTGAACGTTAATAAACAGTAAATTTAGTATAGCTAAATAATTTCTTTCTAGAACCTGTTATAAACACTGTCATTCTGACTTAGCTAACTCAGACACAGATCTAAACTATAAGGTTAAATTAATCCTTACTATAACCATATGGTCCACGTAATCCTCCATTAACGATTTGCATTCAGGTTTGAGCTTATCAAGCGGTGACACAAATCCCCTGCTCTCCATCAAATTAGTCAGCTCTGAGTTCCTGCTCTGCCAACCACGCGCAGCGGCTAAGATGACCCTTGCGATGTCTTTTGCACGCTTCAGCCTGCATTTGCCTGTTTGGTGCTGAAGAACCACCACTCCCTTCTGCACAAAATCTTCTGCCATCGAGCATTTCAATGGATCTTTTAAATCTGCAATAATAATGCATTTACATCTTTTAGCATGTCAAAAAAATGACTGTGAAATTAGGTGTTGAAGAAAGTTAAATGTTTGGAAAAAGCTGGTGGAAAAACTGTGGTAGAAAAACAGATCTACGTCATAACAGCGATCCAGAAGGGAGAGATCGTGGTTTACATTGCACCCTGGTGGTACTAATGTCTAGTGCAAGGGTAGTTAACCGTATATGCTTATGCTATAAATCTACCATTAAGCTTCCAATTATCTTAGCAATCAATTATCTTAGTGGCAGTTTGCCTTTGAACAAGCCCACCCCCTCCTGGAGGATCCACTTATTTCTACTCTAGAGGATATCATTTCACTGCACCGTCCCAAAAACTAGTTGATGCAGATACTTCTGGTAATGACCAAATTGGTGGAAAAATTAATTACTAGATTTGTTACCCGCTGATTATCTGATGAAAAATCTTGACAGCTCTAAAATCTACTATACAATCTGAGCCCCCCCCCCCTCGATTAAGCCCCCATCCAAAAATTCATTTTTACAAATAAGCCCATAGTGCGCTTTTCAAAGATTTACTGCAAATCTGTAATAAATTGGTAGTGCTAGATTCAAACAATCGAACAATCAAGCAATCAATTAACTTGAATTAGCCACATATTTATTTAGATGTTTCATACAAATGGGATTTTGCCGTAAAGACAGATTTTTACGATGAAGAAGATTAATTTTCTCTAAAAGTAAATGTTAGCATCTCGGATCTTATCCAAGAAGTTAAATGTGAATCTGATGTAATGCGAATCTCATAAAATCGTTTAAACGAACCTTCTTTGACAATAGGAGGCCACTCGTTTTCAAGATCCTGCAGCGCCTTCTTGAGGTTGATTTTTCTTTCCGCCCGTTCGAAAAGCTCCGCAGCGGCCCATTTCTCGCAATCCTGGGGTCCATTGGGAGATTCGCTCAGCAATCCCGATTTCATATAAGCTTTAATGTCCTTTGGGAAATTTTCTTTAATGAAGGAAAATGTTCTGTTTGCCTCTTGAGTTGTCACGTGGCTACACGTTACTACTGAGCCAATACTGAAAGTAGGAAATGCAAACGTTATTAAACAAATGTAGGCTGAAACTGCGGATACATACATTATTGTACATAAAAAAGTAATTAGCTTTTTTCTGTGCTATTCTGTCATCCCACTCGGTCTAAATCTTATTCATCCACCCCCGTTAGAAAGCGAAGGAAAGCAATGGCAGACTGCAACTGTCCCAAAAGAATATCAAAAAACTTTGGTCAGTTCAAGGTCACTGATTTAAAAAATTCGACGTTTTACATGAAATTTGCGGCCTCGAGTCTCTATTAATCTCCCAAATTATCGCCCGTCTGTCAAAAAATCTCCATGAAACATTGTTCTTGAAATCAATGGCGGTATCAGAGGGGCAACACGTCTTCCAAGTTCTCGGAAGGATCAATTTTGTATTTCATCTAAATTCGACGAGAAAATGTTTGATGATACCATGGCAAAGCAGTCTTTGCCATGTGATTCTTTGACTTTGAAACCACCTTTACTTAACCAAATGTTAGTCGTGGGCGTCCCTTTTTGGTAAAAAAGATGTTTTCTTACAGTAAAACTGCGTGGCCTAAGACTTTTATCTGCCCTACCCCCAACAGCTTAGTGGCTAGCGTTGCCACTGTTTGAAGGTACATTATTCTTAGCAACTTGAGAGAAGGCATCGTCCTGCAATGCTGAGTTATTCATACCAATCACAACATTGAGTTCGGCAACATAACATTCACAAGAATATCTTAGCTCATATGGAGTGATGGCTAAACGACACGACTTTAATGATAAAAATCTGCAAACAAACCTTTGGGACGGCATATTTTTGCAGCCTTTGCATCTTGAAGACTGTATCAAAATTTGGTTCAAAAGACATTTGTACCGTGCCTTGTACCTATGTTTCATCGAGATGAGCCAAAGTGCGGCGTCATCAGCTGTTTGTGACGAACATCTCCGATACGTTGCTGGGATAGAGACAAATGGCATGAACCTCGAGTCGACTACGCGCACATCTCTGCAAAAAATTGCGTTGGGTTATTTTCTACTGCAAGTTGTGAGCTGGGTAAAATGTACTTCAAGTTTACCAAAATTGTTGCTTCATCACGATGGAACGTAAACTTGCACACATTAACTAACAAACAAAACAGATGGACTCTTTTAACATTTTCTCTCTCCCTCCAAACTTGCAAATATGGGTTATCGCTGGCAGAAGGTGCATGCCCTCAACTTCTTTTGCCACAAAACATAGCTCGCTTGGATGCGTATATGAAAATATCATCATAAGAACTAGAATCAAGGCCCAACAGTTACTCAACAGGGCAGGATCTGTTCTACACAACAAAGCGTAGTTAATCTCAGAGTCCAGAAAGTAAACTGGCAGTAAACTTCTAAGGATTAACCAAAATTGATTTCAGACTGTCTAAAAATGCATTATGGGGTGCTTGCGGAGCGCAATGGCTCATTGTTAGCAATGAGTCTTTAAAATTCTTTTTAACCAAAACCTTCCTCCAAAATTTCTATTGTTTGTCAAACATTCCTCCGGTCAATGACCGTGCGACCGTAATGTTTTCTGGACTCTGGTTTATCTTTAAATGTATCAAGGTCAAAAGGAAGAATGGGAATTTTATTTCTAAAGGGTTGGGTGAGAGGAAAGGTGCAATTTTATTTAACGAGCTAACGAGATCTCAGGGGACCCTTTCTTCTACAAGAATCTTCAATATCCCCCACCCCCCTCCTCCTCTTCTAAAGCAAAACCATCAATGCATCTTATATATACCTATATGTGCTTCTATTTCGCATCAAAGCATCGACAACCTCCGATTCTCGTTTGACCAAACTACATTCTTTTTCAGCTTCTCGTCTCATTTTCAGGTCTTTCTTCTCCTGTAAGCGCTGTTCCAAGCCATCTTTGCCTCCGTATTTTGTTCGAGCAAGGAATATTAGGTCTGTTATTAAATACTCATACCCATTGCTTACGATGAGGTGTAAATCTCTCTCCGTCAAACCGAATTGCTCCTGGTAATTGAAGAGTAGTGGAAGAGTTACCAATTGCATAAAAAAATACTAACTAAATATTAGAAATAGAATGAATAGGGGAGCCCTTGTTATCTTTTGGTGTTGATTTCTCAAGCTTTTTAGCAATATCTAATTTTATTTGTGAGTCTCAATATTCTTAACTTTTTTCATTTTGAACGTAAGATTGTTCTTAAATTATCCTAAAGTGACACAAGGTGAGACCGAGTTTCATTATAGTTTTAATGACTCCAAAGTTGGATTTCAAGACATAAAGTGTAAACATTTCAAGACAAATAAACAAAAGACTATAATCTTAGAAAAAAAGTATGGAGCAATTCCAAAACCTACTAATGCTGATAGATTTTGATAAGTCTTTGAAACTAAAGCATCGTTTCAAAAGGATTGTTTTGTCATTTACTATCCCAGGAATTATAACAAAACGGGGCTCTTAAAGAAAACCATTCCAATTTTTCGCTTAATTGCTATCAAAGAAAATTAGCAAAATAACAAAGGAAGTAAGAAAACCCAACCTTCACTTAAGGTTTTCAAACAAAATCCGTTAAAAGTATAAAAAACCTGATAGAAAGGCGACAAAAAGAATAGTAGCTAGAAATTTAGTGTCTACGCAACACATAAATCAAAATGAAAGGAACTTGACAAAAGACGAGAGCTCTTGCTACTTTTTGAATTTCTGGAGGTGACAAGAGGGTCCAGTGCCCCCACTCTACACGAAAAATGTCATCAAAGTATACCGACCTTGGCACAGCTCTTTCTTTTGTAAAACACAGGGTGACATGACTCACAGAGAAGAATGTCACGGTGTGGGTCTGAACGTCTGGCACAGCTTCTGAAGCAAACGACGCATTTCCAACGACAGCAAAGCCAGTAACGTATTGCTATTATTCGCCATTTACTACTGTCACTAGTGCACTTTCGCAACGCTTCGTCATAATAATATAGCGATGACGTAACAGAAGGTGACGCAACGCAGAGAGGTGTTGGTGTGTAGTCGAGGGTGAGTTTTCTGCACAGCGTTTTCCAAGCCTTCTGGGTTTGCTCGTGCAATTTTTTGCACGCACACGATATCGAGGAAAGAGATGGTGCGTCTAAGTGACTGAGAACGATTTCAACAATCTCCGTTGGAAGGTCTTTGAAGTAACCCATGTTTTCTATCATTTGGCAATGAACGGCTGCCCTTTCCGAGTCACGTTTCCGCTTGCGAGTGATTGGAGCCATCTTTAAGATCTTCACGGCCTAAATGCAACAAGAAGGACAGTCGTAAAATATTTCGCGTGATTTTGTCAGAATGTCTTATTGACCTGCTATGGAAATTCTCGTAACGCGTTTGAAGAGGAAGGTTTCTAGGCACAGCGGTGTTCAAAGAAGTCTGAACCCATTAAAGTACAACAACAATTATTTTTATAAGATCAAACATCTTTTTTGTAGCACCCGAGGGACAGCTTTAAGGAATTAAAACATTTAAGAATATTTTCGTGATCTCGGATGCCAACCTTCAGTTTTTGTCAAATTGAAGCTAAAATTATTGACATATGTAAATAAAATTATTGTGGAAATTTGATTGTGGTAAAAACATCAAACAAGGTCAAATGCATAATGCTTTATCAAAGCATAGCATTGATGCAATTAAACTATACAGCTTTAAATGGTCGCTGAACTATACCTCTTTCTTCGAAGGATCATGAACGGTCATTGCAACTACAATGGCAAAATACTACACAAGCCAAAGTTTCTAATCTTTGTCAATCAACTTGGATATAAGGAAAGGTGACTATAGGGCCCAAGTCGGGCCTTAAAGTTATACCCATGTGTACAGATCGGATCTCCCATTTCTATGAGGAACATTAAGGGGTCTTCACGAGTCTTACTAGGTATTATGCATTCATGATCAGGTACTTCGATCAGTTCTGATCCGAAAAATAACTTCCAGCAAATATTTTGGTTATGGTATCAAAGTAAATTCCGTTTGCAAACTGACAAGTCTTCGACGGGTCGATGACCACCCCCGATCACCCCCGAACAAATGCCATGTAAATCCCCGCATCTTTTAGCCTTATCCCATGTGGAAGCAGGGCCTAGCCATTCGAGGATACACTGGCAGTTGCCACTTGATATACTTACACAGCCAGAATATGTATGATGTTTGTAACATTGTTTATATACCTTTTTTCTCCTAAAGGCAGTTCTTAGACGGCGATGAGATGATAAATGCTTGTAGTCTCAAAAAAAATTGAAAAACACCTTTACCCGGCCAGTCGTCTTTACAAGATGATGCACTGATGCACTGATGATCGACGAACTTCAATCCTTAAATGTTCCCTTGGCTGCGAAACAGTTTAATATGACTGCTTGATAATTATGCTGACACGCATTCTAAGGCCAATGCAGTGTAGAGGAAGTAGGCCTGTCTGTCTCAGTGAAACCGAGCTCTCACAGCAGCAATGCGTATAATAGAACTACATTCACATTTCGCTCTTTAATCAGGCTATTTTCAATAGTTCTGTGTAAATAGGTTAGGCAGATGTAGAAGTACGTAGAAGAATAAAGGACGCGAGAGCAGATCGGGTCGCATATTATCTTCGAATGTGAATAGATGTAAGAACTTGGGCAGGTATCTCATCGTATTAGGACAAATGGGAAGCGTAAAGATCACTGGCTTTTCAAAGAACCTCTCCTTACTCATTCTTCAGTTCATAAGTTTTGTTTGAGAACCTGTTTATTGTTGACGCTCGTTTTACACGATGAGCGTAGCTACGGAAACTTTAAAAATCAAACAATACAAAGCAGCAGTCCAGTGGAGGCCTTGAAAGTCGCGGGCGGGAACTGTTTTTGGTCACTTTGTCTCATGCCTCTGGCCTAAGCTAGGATACATATAAAAATAAACAAAAGCCAGACATTGCAACAACGTAATGGAAATTTGTCGACTAAAGTCATGGTAAAAGAAAACCATTTGATATGTTTGTTAGATATAAATATTCTCAAATAGATTAGTTTTATGTGAAAAATCTTCAGCTGCGAAATTATCGGCGCTTTCCCTGGAAGGTTTACTTAAAGTGACACTGCTGGCTACAGTCACATACAATTTCATCCAAAATACCCAAAACTGTTTAATCTAGCTTTGATCATAATCACATACTGCCTACAGTCACAACTTTATCTTCAAGTAACATTTGGTGTGACAATAAGCGTCCACTGTAGATTTACGGGTAGGGGTAACGAGGATAGCATGGACGTAATGTTAATACAGCTTAGAATCACAATAATACATTTAGAAAATTGACAGACTCTGATATTGAGTTAAAGTTGAGCTAAGTTTCAAGTTTGGCCAAGGAAATATTTACAGAAAGACAAAAATCAGAAATACACTATAGTCAGCGAGGGCAGAAACATCTTTCAACTTTTTAAAACAAATTGTACCTAACGAGAAATATAAGAAGATCAAGAAATATATAAATTGTAGCGGAACTACACGAAGACCATGTAGCTGTATTTTGTATAATGGTGAGTTGAAGGAGTTTCAGAAAAATCTCAATTATCTTAAAGACAAAGCTGTATACGATAGGTCGATTAGATACATATCGATCCAAATTGAAATTAATGCCTATAAAATCAAACTAAAAGAAACTTACAAATTCTTGATTAGTTGAAGAACCGAGACTTCAACGCTGACTTTTCTTCAAGATTTCTGTAAATCAATGTATTGAAAGTGATGTAAAAAATCTGCAAAATATTTCCCCGTCGTGAGGTCAAAGACGAAAGCACAATTTCACGCCATGAGCACAAATCTTTGAAGTGATGTGGACGAACCTGCACGTCAGAACAATATCCAACCAGAAGCCCGAACGAACAGCGAACATTGAGCCTAATTACACACACAGTATGTTTAAGACAAGTTGGCATAATCGTTTTCCTAACTGCATGTTCATGGGTGGATCATTGTTCTGGTATCAAAGGAAAATAATAAAGAAAGGAAGCGTTGATGCCTTGGCCTTTATGTCCATTGACGAGGCGTGAACGCCTTGGTGTATAGCAAAGTATAGTGATAAAGACTATCAAAGGCAATTCAAAAGAATTATTCATCTTTCAAGTGTTCAAGTTTAGATAATAAACTGACGATTTCTTCGCACAGAGGATCTTTGACGTTTCCTGTCAAGGGGAGTGGCCATCAGTTCATTTTATGATGAAGTCTCACTGTCCTCGTCCCTTTATGATGATCTTTATTTCCTCATTGAATTTCAAAATGAAAATATATCGTTTTCAATTCATCATAAGGGATTCCCATTCATTCTCTTAATTAAAGAATAATACAGAAACCATTATGTTTATTTAATTATCATCTTAATAGAATCTAGAATATTTGCTTTCAAAATGTTGAACATTCGACTGAAATATCGAACACTGCCAGACAAAAGACGTGAAAATGCATAGAGCTTAGAAGAAAACGTAGAAATCGCAACGTCTTTAAAAGTTTCTTCTCATAAAGAGAAAATGGTTCCTCAATCTCCTTTCCGAAAGATATGCGGCTTTTGCAAGAAAAAGAAATAATTACGCATTGTCAGATGCTCTCAAAATGCCACAGATAGCAGCATCATGACACACTCCAATTTATGTCTCTAAATTAGCCAGTAACCATGTTTGCTTGATGATAAAAAGACCGACTTTTCAATTCGTTTCTATAGCAAAAATTATCAGCCATATCTTTCCCATGCCATGATTTTCCAACCGGTGGGCGGTATCTTTGGAATGCTTGATGTATATTAAAGCTTGAAAAATAGCCTTTACTAATCCCAAATAATGTTTTTGACCCTGATCACCTTTCAGTCACTATTTCATTAACTATTTCCTGCAATTTCAATTAAGTTGTAAGAACAATAAGGAAGACAGAGCCAGAAGCAGCAATAATGTGATATCAAAAATGTGAAATGATGTCGTGAGAAATGGTGAGGCAGAATAACGTAGTGTTTCTCTTACAGTGCATGGTTACTAGTTGAGAAATTCTCGAAAAAACAAACCAAATAATGAAATTCCAATTTTTCAGGAAAATTTAAAATTTTTGACTAAGAAAGTATCATTATGGGCCATGAACGTATATCCCTTTTTGTCAATGTAGACATTTCACATCACTTTGCATTATCTAAGCCTTTATCCTGTTGTGCATTCTGAAGCCAACAGTCATGGATAGAAGCACAAAAGCCAAAAGAATTTGTCCGTTAGGATGTTTATGTAAATGCATAACGTTTATATCATGTCAAAGAAGTAAACAAAGCTCAGGAGGTCACAGTAAGATACAATAGTAGGCTTTGAAACAGGTGACGGACTAGTTGCGAGGATGACAGAAACAGTAGCTTTTCTAATAGAACTGAAACTGATAAAGATGCATTAAGTACACTTTTGCATGTTTTGTTGATTGTGATGGTAACTCTTTGTTAGAAAGTCGTCTTCTAAGGATTGCTTCAAGCAGCAAATTGATCAGCACGATTGCCTATCTTTAGAAACACGCGTCAGAGAAAGCATTGCTGAAGGGCTTCACTGGAATACTAATGGAATAACATTCTTTACGATTGCTACAAATGAAGTTTTTGGCGGGATAAATCGTAGGAGAGGTGATGGTTTTAGATAAATTTGTATCCAAGTCTCTGCTCAAATTGCAGGATTTAGCACAACTTTTTTGCAAATTAGAGAAAATGATCACTTTTTCAAATTCGTTCTATTTTAGAACATGTTTTTCTTGCAGATTCTTAGCTACGACCGTTCCTCGTAAACGCTTTAGAGCAGGGAGAAAAATGTCATATGTGCAACACATTATAGCATTTATGTTCTGCATTTAGCTACTCACCAGTTTGCTTATGCATTACAACTTCGCTGCACTCTTCGATTCCTTGAAGACGATGACAATCAGCACTGTTTACTGAAGAACTTACAAAATGAATACAGCTAATGACGATGATACTTTGTGAGGTAAAGAAGATAGTTTGTGCTGCATGAATCGTCGAATTTGTTGATATATAATTTCAAGATGCAAATCTATAAACTGTTTGTTATCGTCTTTATTTCGAAGAAGACTGACAGCAAATTAATCCTGTGGGCCTACTCTACAACTGTCTTGGATTGTAACATGAGAGGCCATGCTGTTGCCCTAAAATTTGCAATATATGAAAAATGTTTTTCTCTTCAATAAAAGTTGGAAATTACACCATTTGAGTGCTTATCAAATCACACAGGAAGCTCAATGGCTAGAGGCTTAAGCGACACGCTTCATTTACTCCTCAAGAACTTGTGCATGAACTCCATTGTTTGTTTCACACGTGAACAGAACCATTAACAAAGGTCTTGAACACCAGGAGGTTTTATCTCGGCACAGACTGGTTTCATCGCTGTCATCTATGTTTTGATATTTGACAGTTTGATATGACTTAACAACATTGAACGATTAGAAAAATCAAGAAACAATTAAGAAGATCTAGAATATAAGAGATAAGCTGGTACTTGAAAAACCTGCTTAAAGATAACCATACTGCATTGTTACAAACAGTCAAGTATATGAATCCTGATGTTAATGATTTAATAGATTTTGCCATCTGCAAATTCACATATGTTGCATTGTCATTTGTTGCATACATGTAATTGATGAGGCCTGAGTCTTCATTAGGAACATATATTGGTCCTCGACCCAACCACAAGTTTCTGGAGAACATTCGTATTTTCGTTGTGTCTTTTAAGTACAAAATTGAGTTCGAGCCTTGTGGGACAACACCTTTTATACAACGCAGATTGTGCAAAATTCTATAATGTTTGCGACATGTTTCAGATAATTGGCAGAGCCCGGTCGTCTTTTCATCTAGCAGTTTTGGAATCGATCGACGTACAAACGAAAAAGCCACCATTAACCACTGCATGCAACTTCTTGTGGTAAATTGACTTAGCCAACACAGCATGCTTTAAGTGAGCGAAAGAAATCAGTGGCCATCTGTGTGCATGATATGTCAAATTTTATACTTGCTTTGCAAATATATATACTTTCGAAAGAGCTTGTGTCATGTTAAATACGCAAAACAATTTCCTCGATCTTCAAAAGAAGCCATTTTGCAAGAAAAAAAATATAAAATTGCCTGAATCGGTTCTAGGTTTTCCTCAAGGAAAGCATCTACCAAGAAGCAAATTTGTCAACGCTTTGTTCATTAGGACAAAGACAATTGACTTTTTTTGGGAAAGGCTGGATACACACGGAGCTTTCTTAATGAAATCTGCATCAACTGTTCCCAAACCAAACAGTCTAAAAAAACCAGTAAAAGATGTTCAGTGATTTTCTTTTGATTTTTTCCACTCGAGTAGAATAGCACGCACTAAGTATTGTATTTTTGTATATATGATTTGTATAAGTCATTTGTATAAGCCACTCGAGTATAATTTGTATAAGTCATTTTTAGTAGTTGCAGTACAACACATGCAAAATTCAACGCTAAGCGCAACGTGTGCTGTATGTATGGCATCTTTGTTCGCCAATATATGAATGATTGAAATTAGAAAAAGTTAAGCTTTGTACAATTTTTTGTGCGAAAAAGCGGCGAGTTCAAAACATCTCATTTTCTAATCCTCACAGCATCGCCACTGATTTCGAAGAACAGGTTTAAATGCAAAAGGCTGCTGGGAAAACGTCGTAATTAGTTCGCCACATTCAGCGAGCCTCATCTCGAAGATCTGAACAAGTGTAATACGAGGCTTTGAAAAAGTGCATGATACCCCCGTCGCAAACCAGTCATATTCATTAAGACGCATGAAAATACAATGATGTGTAATTGAGCGTGGGGGAACCTCAACAATGATGATCACCATACAGTTAAAATTTTTGGAACTATTTAAAACTCGTTTCTGCTTGATAACCGGTCATGTGTTTAAATGCGAATAAGCAGAGTAACAAAAAGCAAATGTGTTGTTCATCATGCACAGCAATTTTGACTGTTGGCTCATCGCAAAGAGATTTCTGGATTTTATACAATAAACCCGACCTACACCGGAATGCATATTACGCATATTACACCGGAACAAACAAAGCTGGAATTTGTTTAGTCTAGCAAACCGACTACGAACAAGCTTTTCCGCTTGGCACTGAGATGGAATTTTTGCTGAAATGTTTTACAAAACTGCCGTGATCCTAAACTTGTTCAATATAGGTTCGCTCACATCACTGGGCAACAAAGCACGGGGCAAGTGAAAGACAACCTTTAAAGGGTTATACATCACCAGAGCAGGGACACCGGAACACCCTTTGGAGGGGGGGGGGGTGGAATGAGTTCTAGACCAATTGGCAAACTTTCGTGGTAGTTTTTCCCCCATTTTATTTGATACAACTACCTAAATATCATAGTTCAGCAAAAAGTGAGGGAACTATATTATTTTCCCGCACTCTCTATTAATTATCTTCAAAAATCCTGTTGTCTGCAAACAATATATTTTCCAATAACAAGTATTTGCATCATCACTTTTTGCTTTTCTATTCGCGCAGGCCTCCAAGCATTCTCTTTCTATTCGTCTGCTATCGTTTTCTGTTCAATCTCTTAAGTTGAAAAGATCTAGAGATTGAGATAGAAGAAGCAAAAACCAATGCAATTCTCACATAAATATGTGCATTCTACTTAAATCTAATGCGTTTACAAGAAAACAAGTCATGAATATATACAGATAAAGATTTTATGTACACGATTTAGGTAACATCCGCGTTTACATTAACCTAGTCGATACGTACCAACCTTAAGAAACCTCACATAATGTCTTAATTTGTCTACAGTAATCATTAGTGTTTCTTATGGAGTTGCGTTTTATGAAACGTTCTATATAGTTTCGAGTGTTTTTTACATTTTATAAAAAGTTTTATACTGCATTTGTTCCTCATGAACGTGTTTAGGTACATAAGAACCCGTTGGCTTCGGTGTCAAAGCACCACGTTTTATGAAATTACAAGTAAAAATGCGAAATCCAAAGTTTATTTAATTGTTGTTCCTCGTGATTTGATTTGTTGAAATACAAACTCCCAAAATGCTGCCTTGCAACAGAACCTACAGTAATATCAAAGCAAGATAACATCTGGTTTTCCCTTATACAAAGATGTTCAGCTGAAAACATTCTTACAAAAACGTTAATTCACGGCCAGATAATATTAAACTTAATTGATCTTGTTATTTCATCTAAATGGCATATATATCTAAGATAAAAATGTTTTTTAAAGACAATGCTGGTTAACCATTGCTTAGTTTTTGGTCACTATTTTACAGGAGTTTTACAAAATGAATGAGCATGGTGTTAACTTTAACCTTGTTTAAATCGTTTTTTTTCAACTATCAACTTGAAAACGCTATCTGATGTAAAAAAAGACTGGCTATATCGCATTGAGTTGTGCTTGGTTGCACCACCCATTGCAGTGTCCACGATCCTGCATAGAAATTCTAGATATAGTTCAATATTGATCGAGTATACCAAATCCAGAGCTAGTTTAGCCCCCAACATTCCTGTCAAAGCTGGAGCATTCGTTACCAGCTGCAATGTATTCTGTTATGCTTGGTATGCAACAGAATTCAGCTGCATGTCACAGCAGCCCTTGTCACATGCGCAGATACTGCAGGTGAAACGGGTTGCTGACGACTAAAAGTGCTATGTTGATGCTGCGCATGCTCTATTGGAAATGCAGAGTGGATGCTTGAAGCTGTGAAATGAGAACGAAAGCAGTTGTAGAGGAATGAACTAACAGCTATATTACGGTGGAAAAAACTAGGCCATTTTGGGCAATGAATAAATCATCCAACATAAAAAATGGTGCTTTAGTGCAAGAACAGGACGGTTGTAAGTTGCAACTCCGAGTTTTATTCTGATTGTGATCATAAGGCAACTTTTTCGACTCAGAAATACAGCTGAAAACCGTCCTATTCTATACATCAAGCCTGACAGCCCTGCCTTACGGCATTGAGCACTTTATGACAGACCATTAAAACAGTTAAACAGTAATGTCCACAACTCCAAAAAAGAAATATCTTCAACAATGAAATTCCATGACGGTGTTGCTCCTTCTCAAATCTTCCTTCTGGAAGTACCTTTGTTTAAGGTCGAAGACTAAACTATAATCACATTATCAACAAAGACATGCAAAATTTGTTTGTTTGATAGAGGAGGAAGAGAATCAGAGAGTAATTTAAACAGCAAAAGCAAAAATAAACAAAGAAATGTAACAACGACCATGATCTTAACTAAAATAAAAATCAATATTCCGCCATGGTGTACAGGATATTGTCAGTGTGACGGAGTAGGACCGCACCTTTGTGATTCAAGACGTGTGGTTCCCAAAAAGAAACCCTAGAGCAACCGTGGGAATGCAGAACTTTAATTTTTTTCAAGAATCATTACAAATCAATCTGTTAAAAAACCGGAAAAAAATAAAAATGATTTCTTTAAAAAAGGTAAAACAATCGACTACTCTAGCCTTCTTGTAGTTTTAGTAAACCTTCGGCTTTAAAAAAATAGGTGGGACTTGTATTATTAGTTTTTATAAAGAGATCCAATGCTGGCTACATTACCGGAGCTGGGTACGTGTATATGGTGGATGACTGCTGATCACCTGCGACCATGCTTGGGTGTATGGCTGTTCCTAAATAAAAAAGAAGATTGGAAGTGATGTGACGTTCAAGAATAGGATCTCATAAAAATATCGCTGGTTCCAAACAGGGACTTTGGAAGTATTTCAATGTTGTAGGAGCGGAGACAGGGTGTTTGCAATTCTTCCTAGCACAATGCTTCACAGACAACAGATAACTTCTATGATAAGGGCATTTTCTTGAAAGTTACAGGATCTGTGCCCATGTTGTTCCCCTGTTCCGACGTCCTTGGCACTTGGCACTTATCTAGCTAGTCAGCCTACAAATAGATCACCTCATGTCAGTCAATGACCTAAATGTGACTGACTGCATGGTATGATGGTTTTTCGTTCTTTTTGCTGTACAATCTTGACTCATGTATTCTCTCTTAACTGTTAATTTGCAATGGTTTTGCTATTGCTCATTTATCGATGCATACGGCCACGAAGACATGTTGCAGCTACTCGTCTCCCCGTCAGTTTCATACTATGCTACAGTGAATATTCCAAAATTGCTAAAGTCCTCTATGTGTTCATAAACACAGCAATCTTTAGCGGGAGTTTCCAGGCGATAATGTTTGCCAGTGAATGGGCAGTCAGGAACCGAATCAACTTACAGATACCGCCCCGTTTTCCCCTTGTAATTTCATAACATAAACAAAATGTTCGACCTACCAGCAACTTGAAACTGGATTGATTGCGGATTGTTCTCGGCATTTTCATCCATGTCTTGATCAGTTTCAACCCTAATATTCTCTGAAGAGGAATTCATGGCACCTTTCTCGTTTTTTATCGACTAGAAACAAGAGCAAAGAATGCTAGAGTTCATAAATCGGACAAAAAGAAGCAAAACACTAGATAAATTTACTTTCAGTGTAAAATTTCATTTGCTAACTTTTATATTTAGACTGAACAGCAGAAAAAATAATGACTTGGGATTCAGGGTCCTCCTCACTGATGTACCGTGAATAGAAGCAGCATTAGTTGTGACATACTTGGCGGTATAATAACGATCAAATTGAGCAGGCAGTTAAATGAACAAAATCAGATTTATACAGATATGGTTATAAAGCACAAAGCAAAACTTACATCACGGTACTTTGCCAGATATTGTTTTAGTGGGTCAACGTAGTTATCAAATCCAAGTGTTGACATTGCGAACAAAATATCTTCTCCGTTTATAGTCTTCCTTTTCTCTTGCTGACACCGCTCGCTCGCTCTTAGGTTTACTTAAGGAAATTAGCGATTCGTAAAAGTCGAGAAGCGGAAGTGCGTATTTCTTAGAAGTATTAACCATAAATAAGAGAGCAGAGCCCAGAAGACTTGGGGCACAAAAAAATCACTACAGTCTTTCAGACAAAGTATAATACACATTAGACAGTAAAAGCAATCCAAAGTTGCCTCCCTTACTAGTTTAACTACTGGTGTGTAGAAGACATGAAAAGGATACTCGCTAGTTATAAAACTAATAAATTCAGACACACATTCCTGAACACATTCTTTTGCATCCTTTGCAATCTGAAACAAGCAAAGGAAAACACATATTTTTACCCTTATAAGACAGCCTTACTAACTAGTGCTTTCAGTAAACAGTTCGTTTTCTTATCATACACAAACTGTACCATTTTCCACATTGCAACCTGTTTGCATATAGATAAGAAGCAACTGTTGGGCTAAGGGTCTATAACTGTTACACCGATTCAGTTCCAAGAATCTAAAAACAATGCTAAAATGGTTTGTGAAAGGGTGAAAGTGTGAATCTGCAAAAGCAAAAATTCTTACAAAATTCAAGTGTCGGCAGATAAGTATAAGACTTAAAATTCAATCTAATTTAAAAATGTAAACAGCATAATTAAATCAGAATGGCTTCAATTAACTTACAGCAAACAACACTATTATCTTACAGCATAGCATGTGACTCTTTGATACTTTAAAATGCTTATTTGAGTGCAATCCTAATGATGCATTGCCTTAGATTGCCTATCTCATCTTTGAATAAGCACTTTGTGGAAAATTGATTTTCTTTTCCCATATCATAACATTGTTTTGTGAATACTCTTGACATCCCTAGCTGGCTTATATCAAAGGAGCCTTTGTGAATATAAACGTGAATATCTCAGTCAAATGAAATACATCCTACAGAAAAGAACCCAGCTAAACTTTGTGAGTACTTCTACAAATTGCTAATGTCCAGATGGCTTTCATTTGAACAACTTTGTGATGATGATAGAAGTGTCATTAATGTGTCAAAACATGTTTCAGTAATTAAAAAAGCATTACTTACCTTGCCTTGCTTCGGAATACCCTTTTTCATTATTCTTGCAACATTGGCAATTGGTAAAAAACGATCCTATAAAGAACAAATTATCAAATGAAATCAATACTCGTTGCCTATAAATCCACTTAAAAATAAAAATCTGATTTTGATTAATTAATACAGAATATGACTAGGCTATCAAGCTTTATTTCACTAGAACAATTTCAACAGTTCTTCAGTAAACACCATTTCAACATTTTAGCATTCTTCATCTGCAGATGCTAGAAATAGTTTGGACTGCTTGGTGTGATTAAAGCACTGAAGCCACTCTCCATCAGTTCTAGCGACAGCCTCCCTTTATGTTAAATTTAAGTGTCAGGCCATGCCACTATCTCCCAAATGGTAAAAAATTAAAAACATACCATTTAATGACCTTATTCATAAATTTCTGCCACTGGGCATTACCATTGCAAGGATGCCAATCAACAAAATTATTCCTAATTCACAAAAAATAAATAAAGTATTCTTTGGGTACAAATTATCTTTCCCACCTGCTCTCGAAGTTCATCTTTGTCTCCCCTACTATCTTCATCCATTTCTCGATATCCTGAGCCATCTAAAAAGAATTACAACAAATTTCACTAAAATAGTGCTTTTCAAAAAAATTTTTAATGAAAATAGTTGAGAAGCCAAGAATTTCCATGCATTGTTTTTAAATTGCTGGCATGATGGCCATTTTTATGAAACTTGGCTACTTATACAGCAAGGTATTTTAGAAATACTTTATGACAAAATAAATCAAAATATCAGTTTTTTTCAAAAAATTGTCTTACATTTTAGAGCATCAAATAAGCAGGTAAAAGCAAACAGATTTATGGTGCAAAATGACAGAAAGTAGGCTTCACTAAAAAAATTTTTCACTTGAATGTAGTTTTACTTTGGATATGGCTCGCATATACAACATGGCCATTGACTTTTACTCTGTTTGTACCTTTGTTATAAGATGTTGGACTGCTGTGCTCTGCCAAGACAAAAATCCATTTTTTGTGTTTTTGAAGGATCTCTCTTTGGCAGTAACAGACAATCATCCAAAAGTCTCTTTAAAGTTATCTTATCAAGGAGAATTTTGAATTTATAGTATTTATAGAAAATGGGCTTTGAAATAAAGAAGATTAGATTGGTTTCCAATTCTCTTCTTTAAGAGATTGACTTTCATTCAGTTTCGCAAAGTGGAGTGATTTAGATTGCTATTGCATTGTGTAACTAAAATTCCTATTGGAATTGAAAACTATCCCCAAGTGCCCATACCCTTCATCTTCAATTCAGGCTTTAATTAAAATGTCAAGTGACTCCTTTTGCTATTAAATTTATTGAATTTGCATCATAAAAACTGTCCACTAGTGCAAATATTATTTTGAAAAGTATCTATATACTTCCACAAAGTGATTTTGGCTGAGGTGTAAAGAAAGGTTATACGAAAAGCATAACATTGATAAAGGTGAGAGAGTGGCTGATTTCTATTACTACTGAATACCCTTTTGTAACATATGTAAAGTAGCCAGCAGTCATTCGAATAAAAAATTAATACCTTCACTTCCCCCTTCTTGTTGTGACATAACTGGCACATGAACATGGAAACCTTGTGTTCCAGATGAAATCATATTTGTTCCAGGTATGACATACTCTGGTGGTAGCCCAGTTGCAGTTGTATATAATCCACCAATATGTGGGTGTTCTGAAGATGCCTGAGCTTGACCAGCTGAGACTACTTGGGAAGACGCGCCTGATGCTGGAACAAGACCAACTGCTGATGGGATACCAGGTTGAATTACCATAATTGATCCTGCACTACTAGAAACTTGCTGAATATTTTCCACTTGTGGATTGATTGGAATTGATGAAGACTGTGACTGTTTATTGCTCTGAACTGAGTTTTGCTGTGTGACAAAAGTTGGAAGCTGGTTTGCAGACAATTGTGGAGAATTTGAAGTAGACACAGAAGAGTTGGAATTGTCCATCTTCTAACACACAGTGCACCGCCCTAAAAATTATTTTTCATGTAACAACAGGTACCCACATCACTTCATTGCTAAACAAATTAATCTGCTTTTACACCCATGGTAAATAAGCAAAATCCAGATTGCAATCCCAGCTGCTATCACACTCATTTTTTAGTGTAACTATGATGAAGCACTCATGTCTTATTTTTAAGGGTCAAAGACTTCATTTTGCCAAAGGCAATTAAAAAAAGCAGTTTTGATGATCAATAAAAAACCAAAATAAACCAGCTGCTCTAGTGACTCTGGTGCAGAAGAGACCTCTAGGAAAATACTCTATCTGAGATTTGGTCAATTTTAAAATCCCTTTGTTATAAAAGATCTCTCGGCAATGGGAAATAATATAAATAAAATTCAATAGCATTAAATTGGACTTTGAGGGGGACAAGGAAATGATCCAAATAAGGGAACATCTAACTTATCCAGGGTAAAATTTTTAATTGGATTAAGGTAGGAAAATTGAATGAGAATTGAAAACAAGTCTGATTTTGTGAAGTCTTTGTTATCTACTGTACAATTATAAAGAGCTTCAAATGCAGTAAAATATAAACTAGTCTAGTAATAAAGATGAGAATCCATTTAAAAAAGTAACCATGTTTCATACCCAGTCACAAAACTGACAGTTTTAAAAAGAAAAAAAAAGCATGCCCGTCTGAAAGGAAATATAATTTTAAAGGACATGGGAAATGGGATCCCTAAAACATTAATGAAGTTGCGAATAGCTCTACATGCATTCAAGAAAACAAACAATCAATACAGAATTAAACTGATATTTTGTGATGTAAAATTCAAAAAACTGAACTTATACCCCTTTTACACCAACGTTATGCCAAGAGCCACAAGCAAAATGATTTACAGAATTTAACTTACCCTGGAAAACATGGACCAATGTTTAACATGGAAAACATTGACAAAACAATTTTTGATGCAGTATGAATTATATCGAGTGTAGAAAATTACCAAATAAATATACCCCACAAAAGGATAGTTAGATGATAACAAAGTAAAAAATCGTTTTTATGCTAGCTTTGTCATCTAGAATCCGATCCCTGTTCTTGCAGATGTAAACGAAGCGGGCGGCTCGAAAATCATCTTAGAGAAGCAGCTGCCATGTCAAAGTTTCCTGTAGATATTCCTCGAAACTCTACCGACAAATTAGCGTAAAGGGCATATGTGTAAAATTTAGCCTCGAAAACGATCAATTTCACGAGCTTTGTATATAATACAGTAATTGTACATGAACAGTAACTTTGACAGCACTAGAGAGGTTTTTCTGTGGAGATGGCAGTATATGATTCGGCCTATGGAGATTCGAATCGACAGAGCACACATGGCGGGTTCGGTTTCGATTCGCTCAATTCTCACAGTAGTTTAGATAACTCGCTTATAGAGGAAGCAAACGACTCAAAAAATTGTTCTAGTGCTGCTTCCAAGAAACATAAACAAATGACCATTTACATACCCCCTCATGCAATTGAAATGATGCAATAATCTCCAATAGCCAACGAAATTTCGAGTTGATTTTGGTCGATTTCGATTTGCTGCTTCTTCTCCACTCACGAACAAGAAAGGCCTCAAGAGCTTCTCTGCGCCCTACGAGAGGTCAAAATTTGAACCAATCAAAACGATAGAAAAAGTCACGTTGCAACAGCCCCCTCGCAGTGTCATCTGACAATGGTCCGCATCAATGATTGAAATTTTGGCGACACTTCAACATTTTCATTCTTTTTTAAATTAACAAATATAAAAAATAAATTGACATTTAACGACATTTTCCCGTACAATGATAGTTTAAAATTGTAACTTGTCTTGTAAGAGGGATGGTTTTACAGGGGGCTGCCTAGGTGTGTGAAACCACCAAAGAGTCATAAAGTTTGTGTTCCATCGGCAAATTCGGCATTTGCTTATTCGATTACCTAACTTGTTGCTCCGTTGGCTAAATATGATATTGCTTTATATGAATTAAAGTAAAGAAACTAATGAGTTGTAGATTTGAATACTTCCTGTTGGCACTAAATAAAAAAATCCAGGCCCTTTTTAGGTAAAATTATGCCTTGTGTCCATTTCCCCTAAAGCTTAGAGGCATCAACTGCAATTCACTATGAGCTCCAAATTTTTTAACATTCAAGAGGCATGCTAAGATGGAAAGAGGGATCTAAATTGACAACAATTGCTGCTTGTTATCTAGCTTCAGAAGTAACTGACAACATGGTGTTTTTAAGACCACGTCGAAATTGTACCAGTTGTTTTTATCTGCTGTACAATTTGTTTACAAAAAATAAGTTTCGATTGGACTAAGAAGATTGCTTTACTGAAATGTGCTTAAAAGAGTGCATATTCCAGGGAACTAGAAACATCAAATTTCGAAAATTTCTTGCTCCTTTGGCAGCAATCATGGTGCCGCCTCGAGAAGTAACTACATCCTTTTGCCTGTCTGGATATAGAGATTTGACAAAACTATTAGGTAAGTCCGTTACTATCATATAAAATTGAAAAGTTGCGAATTATATACAGAGCTCGATTTACAAAATGCATTGCAGAGGTTTTTGACAGCAACTAAAGAATTTCAGGCAAAATTTTTTTAATCAGGCAAATTTGTAATCAACACACTCCCCCCCACCCCCCAACAAGGCTTGCCTCGCGACAGCCCTGCTAGGTTTAAACAAGTTTGTTTTTGATATCAAAGATCTAAATGGAGAAAATGAAAAACAAAACATACTAGATAGCTTCTAGATGCTGCATTTGATAAAATTTTGGAGATGTTTCATAGATTATGATAATTATTACTGTTATGCTTTTGTTTTTGAAATAATAATGCTCTAATGGTAAGCTTCATGTCTCTAATGGTAGTTGCTGCAATTTCACTTTTCCACTACTAAACATTTTTTCTTTAGTTTTATCACTGCACAAATTCGAGTTTCCACTGCAAAAATTGGTTATCACTGCCCATTTCTTAGAATTTCGTGAATTTCAGTTGCCTGCGAGCGGGCCTCGGTTTCGCGTCACGAGGGCCTTGCAAGATGGCGGATACAATCATGTCCATCCCAGAAGATGAAAAAGCAAGTAATGTGGGCCCAGTCTCAAATGGCAGCGAAAGAGTAAAGAAATTATTTACCTCAAGGTGTTACATTTGTATTCAAGCATCTATGCGTCACTTTTTAATGAATCATTTTCTTTTTTTCTACACACTTTGTGACTAAAAGTAATCTAAACTCAATATTTTCTTTTTCAAACACAAAGACATTTTTCTCAGTTCAGTTGATCTCAGCACAATTTTTGTAGGGACATTTGTAGGGTATTTTTACAGCCATTTTTGACATCAGCCCTAAGGTGCCTGACTCTTTTGCAATTGCCCTCGTTACCCCCCTTCTCCCATGCTCTTCTCAATTGGCCTGTGATACATTGCATAAATTTTTCCTTAGTGATTCAGAGTTATATCAGAATGCATCTCTGGCTACTGGAGTAGCAAGTCTGCTTGGTTTCACTATTGGTGGAAAGTTGGGTGGAAATTCCTCAGGTACAGATCACATTCTGGCCAACCAGCTCACTCCTTATCGTGGCAAGATGGTTGCACATGTAGGTTATACTTAAAACCTTATTCATTACAATTAACATCTTATTTGCCTCATTTTCCACTGCAGTTGGTATTTTTCATGATATATAAATTTGGCTCAAGCTTATATCAAGATAATTTTTTTCACTTTTAGAGAAAGCTTCCAACAATGTCCCCATTTTCTTTTATCTATTGTTCCTATAACTTGTATTGGCCAACTTTTTATGTAGCAATTACTTCTGTCCATCCATTCGCAGAGGGCATATCATTCAGCAGTATTGAAAGGCTTCATCAGAAATGGAAGTAGATGGGGGTGGAGAGCTGGATTATTTGCAGGTCTTTATAGGTAAAGTGCTGTTGTCTTTTTACCAGGTTATGTGTCAGTTAAATTTTATTGTGCAGAGACAATGAATTGCAAATTGATGACATCACTTATGTATTGATCTGTATAACACTTTAATGAAAATTGCTGTTTATCTGTCAGTCATAAATTGTTTGATGCCATATAGGCAGATCTGTACATGGCTACAGATGATTGCATTGAGAGTAAAAATTGGGATAGGAACTTAAACTGTCTTGTTTTATATCAAATGCATTAGGGCAAGGCTAGCAAGGCAAGGCAAGGTAAGGGGCCAAGGCTTTTCCCCTTTTACTGCAGCTTTAAAACTACTTTTTGCTGCGCCCTAGTGACGTGGGCCCTGCTACATTTGTTTCTTACTGTAACTTGTTTATGCCATGTTATGGTGATAATTTCTATGAACATTTTAGTTATGGTTTCTGGTTTGTATTATATAATTTACATTGTATGATTATTTACATTGAAGAATATCTGGTTTGTTTTCAGTGCTGTGATGACAATTGTGGCAGAATACAGAAATAAACAAGATGGAATTAATGTTATTGTTGCTGGAGGTAATAGCAAAATGTCATTCAATATGGCCCAATTCAAATTATGGATTAAAAACAACTCTAAGGATAATTCACTTTAAATTGATTAAATGCTCAAGCCCCTGAGCCCTTGCCACGCTGTACTTTGGTTGAATAATGATAAAAAGGTGTTGAAAATTGAAAATACTTCTGCAGGGAGGGATATGGAGAAGCTTTGGGTGGATGCCCTCTAAATTTGGTAGAGCAATGTTTGTTTGGCCACAGACCCCCAACTTGGACTTTTTACTTCTATGCTGAAATCCTGGATCCTCCCGATTCATGTGTGACTGATGACAATATTTGAAAGTATTTTTATTGTTTTAATATGAAACAATATTATTTCTTATTTTTCTTTAAAAAGACACAAGAAGGAAAAGTTTTGATTTAAAAAAAATGGAATCTTGACATTGTTTCATTTACTGTCTCTTTTAGCTGCCACTGGTGCAACCTATAAAATGCTATCTGGTTTTAGAGGAATAATAGTTGGTACAGTGTTGGGCTCACTTTTCAGGTATGGAAGAAAATTTTTCGATTTGCTTGTGTATATTATCTAATAGGAAAATGGTTCAAATATCTTTTTTGTTCTGAAGCTGAAGTTATCATTTTGTATGTTTCTCCAGCATAAGTCAATGTGAAGCTATACTTTTCACTTTCATTTCTTGTTCCAAATGTTTGAGAAATCTGCTATGTGCTTTGTAATGATTTATGTTGCCTTCTTCAGTTTCTGATATGGAACTAAGCAAATTTGTTTACTTTGCCAAGTCTACCAATAGCCGCAGGAGCAGAAGCATTATTTTGGATTGTCCCAGAAGATTTTAAAGAAAGTATAAGGCAGCTAGAGAATGAAAAGAAGGAAAAGAAGAAAAACAAAGCCGAACCTTGGTAAGATGTCACATTTTTTTAAGGGTTTTCTATCTCTGACCCCCATAATACTACCATTGTAAATTTTGAAAAATAATATATGCGAAATAGAGAAGAAGGGATGATATTAAAACCCAACAGATGTAAATGCCATAAATAATATCTAAATAAAACATCCCTTCTGATCATCCATGAAACGGAAAAGGTTTTCTGACACAATGATTCAAAGAAAATTTTGATAAATATATGTCTAAGGGGCTGCGGAGTGAAATTAATTTAATGAAGTGAACTCAACAATTTACCTTTAAAGTTACTTTTTGGCTTTTCTATTTTTCTATAGGAAAACAAATTTGGAAGTTACAAAAAATATGATAGAACAGATGGAAACTGAATTAGAATCAACTTTTGGAGACAAAGAAGATGCCAAAAAATGATAATTAATGCTGTCTGGAAGCCTGGTATTTTGATTCAATTTCATGCATCTACTTAGAGGTGTGGTATGCCCCAGTGAATCAAATGCCCAATTGCACAATGGTTTGTGCACTTGCTTATAGCAGAAACAATAAGTGAGTGAATCTTCCAAATGACATGGCTGAATTGTAATGGATTGCAATGGAGCAGGTCACAAACCTTTGGAGGCCCAACAAATGGTACTGCAGGAAAAGTATGTTTCATGATTGCATGGAGTGTTGTTGTGTTCATAGACAGAAAATTCAGCAATGATAATAAAACGGCCAAGGGATACCAAAATTAAAAAGACATGACTCAGTTGGCAAATTTGAAGCAGCCAAACTAGCATATGCTTTAATGCCCTCTGTTGTTGCGGCAGTATGTAATAAGATAATAATTATGCAAGTGAAAATTACATAAATTCCCAAAGGATCAATACACTTCTCATTGCTAATAAATTTCTGAAACTGAACAAAAATCCTCAGAAACTGAAAAGGCAAAATTTAGAGGAACAGGAAAGAGTGGATTGATATCTTGATCTGAGGTTTTATAAAGAACTTTCCTGCTAACAGAATAATTAGAATAAGTCAAATATTTGATTTTATTCAGTTTGTTTTTAATTAAAACCAAGAATGTGCTTTAACTGAAATTTTGATATACTTCTGTGTGTGGCATGTGATCTTTCTATATCTTAATATCCTTTTTCTATAATGTTTCAATTTTAGAGCGAATAGAGAACTTTTAAAGAGATAACAATGGGGTAACCATAATTTCTAGTTTTGACAACCCTTAATGAATATAATTTTTTAATTTGGAAGAAGAAGCACTATTTAGGTATATTAGGGATTTTTAAACAGGAGATGGAAATTTTAAAGTCTTTAAGACAAGTCATTATCATGCATCAAATCACGTGTTCAAGAACCAAAAAAATAATTAACGGCATAATCGAACCTTGATATATTTTCAGGCTGCTTTGACCAATTAGTATTTTTTTATTGGCATGACACTCATAAACCTCAGGTAACTGAGTAGACAAAGGCGACAAAGAATAGTAAAGTTTGAAAATCACTATCAATTATTTGTATCTAAAAATTTCTGAAGAAAACAAAAAATCAAAAAAAAATTACGAAAAGGTCAAGAAAGAATCCAAACAAAGAATTCTCTATAAAAAGACTTCATTCAAGAGAAATTTCCAGAATTAATCACAACCATACTTTGAGCTTAATGGAAAATTTTCAAGTAGCAAATCTAGAACCCTTTCAAACCGATTTCAACCCATATTTTTTGGCTACTTTTGAAATGTTTTCTTTCTCAATTTTTCTTGATTCTTCTGTATCCATTATGTTTTTAAAGAGTTCGGCAATAACTAAAAAAGAGTGTGTACATAAATTATTCGAAACGGTTAATTACTTTTTAAAGTTCTAAGTTTCAAAACGCCAATAACTAAAAATTCAACCCATTTCAAAACCCTTAACACATGATATCAGCAATCATCAATCAACAATATCGTTCAATCAAAATCATGCCAACACTAAATGGCGGAATAGGTTGTTATGAAGGATCTGTAATTTACAATGTTCTTCCCTTTGCTAGATTTGACAAACCTATTGTACAGTAGCATAGCCGTTGTGGTAAGATTGGGGGAGGCAGGTTGAGTGAGGAAAAGTTTGGAATCCACATCCTTTGCGACACCGAAAACACCCTTTTTTAAAGAGATTTTTTACCGTCGGGGCCCCCTCTTGCCCCCCTTACTACGCTACTGCTAGTGTATAATACAGAGTCACAATATCCGAATTAAGTTTGAAATACATGAAGCAAGAAATACTCAATGCATACCATTTTTCGAATCCTTGTTGAGAAACATAAGTGCCATTTCAAAGCGAGGTACTTCAGTTAAAGAAGACAACTGTTCCCAATATTCCTTGTTGTCTCTAAAAAAGGAATTATGCATCAATGCTCCAAACAAGGGACAAATACCACAAAGCAGACTTGGCCAAGGACGGATACTGATCAAATGCCTATGTGCTTTAGGGGACAGAAGATTAACATTCTGAATTTTAATATAGAGCGTTCTCTTAAAAAATACTTCATCGACTACGGTGTTGTTTCCAACCTGAGTACCCAAAACATGACTTTATTTTTTAATTTCATGACTACTTGACTAGTTAAATCACTGATGATTACATAATTATATGTTGCCTGATGATAGCATTAAGCATGAGACTTCGAGTAGCAACTTGGAACTGTCTTTTCTTAGCACCAAAAGTGTATATGTGATATGTAGGCAATGATATTGAATATTCAGAGTTTTCTTGTCATGGATAACGGTGAGAAGAAAAATGAATCTAGCATAACTCAGATGAATGCGACTGAAAACACTAGAATGGTGAATGCCGTATGGTATGTGTAATTAAGTTATAAATTGTCTATGACGTGTTTTGAATAAGAAAAATAAACAAATTTGGAAAGTAAAAATTTGTCCATTACGGCAATTGTTATGAAGGGTTTGAAGAAGGAGCAAAATCCTTTTTTAAAAGATCGAAAGTTCTCTTACCTTAGGTAGTGTTTGTGAAGACAATTCAAGGCCAGAGGCAACACCTCATCCATTGAATGGTGAAATAAGCTTTTATATGATTTTGGAGGTATTGCCTAGAACATTAAAGGAGATGGCATTAAGGTGTCAAAGTGTCAGGGAAATTAACATCGACAAAGAAATCGCATCAATGAGTTGTTAACTCTGAATCTATATATATGGTACAAATAAAACTCGTTCCTATGAAGATTTCCCTAAAAACCAAAGAGGACATAGTCACAGGATACTGCTCACAAGATATTGTAATATTGTAATATACGAGATATGGCATTAAAGTTATGTTTCCCGTAATACAATTTTAGGTGGGTCCTACATCCTAGGCCCAGTCTTTTGAGCGCTCAAACCTACAGAGATACAGAGGGTAGCCAGCAAAAATCTTTCACGGTGTTCGTTTCGGTGACAAGTTTGCTTATTCCTTATTTGGGCCAGGTGTAGATTGATCCAAAATACAAGAAAGAGATTTAAGCAACTAGGAATCACTTGATTTATAGATGAAAAAGAGGACTGTCATCCAATGCAGGAGCTTTATACATACAATGGAATCCCGCTATAAGGAATTTTCTAGAGACCAAGAAAAAGTTCTTAGTAGCGGGAGTTAGTTTTACCAAGAGTTTGCTTATACAAGAAGCACTCAAAGGGATTGGGGTTGAATTTCGTAACTGTGAGAAGTTTCAAAACATTTTAAGTGGGCTCCGTAATAACAGCTGTCATAACATACCACTGTACTGTATGGTTAATACAGCCAAAGTTCCTCAATGGAAGGTAGGTATGGGGTGGAGGGGGGTGTTGGAGACTATGTAGAAAATCAAAGTGAGATCCAATATGAATAAAAGATGATTTCAATATCAAAAGTTTACACAGTTTCTTACCTGGAAATATCTATTAAACTGTTCAGGGTTCTTTTTCAACTTTTTAAAGTCAGTTTCAAACTGGACAGGTGATTTTGGGACAGCGAATTCTTCGGCAAGGTCTTTAGCATGTTCTTCACATTTCCCTCTGCAAAAGATATTGCCTCAAGTAGAATAATTCAACTAATAGGTATTGTAATATACAGAAAATAGGTAAAACCGGGAGAACTGGTACATTTCAAGTTCTCCAGAAGAGTGGAAATGTTTTCAGTGCAAACTAAAATCAGATTCGTTCGAATACCAATATGCAGCTGGAGCTCAGCCAATAGAAAACCAAGCATGCTTATACCTCGGCTAGACCAACCAGTGTTCTCCACGATTTAAAGTAACCAAAAGAAATTCAAGGAGAAAACAATCTCTGAGAGCTTATGAAGGCCCATAAGACAACTTCACAATATTAAAATTGAAAAATTTTAACTTAAAAATTCAAACAGAATCAAGGTTTGCACTTCTCTAAACATAAACACACAAAATCCAGCAAAAATTAGTATTCTAAGCATAATTACCTTATTTATTGTGACAAATGAAAGGTATGAAAAATATCTTTAGCTCCACTAAATGTGAAACAATATTTTCGAATAATCTTGATACTTACACTAATTGCTGGGGTTCAGCTTGAGATTTCTTCTTCTCTAACGTTTTTAGTTTATTATTTTCTTCTTTGTCTGATACTTTTTCTTTCAAAGGTTGCTTTTTACCACCACTGTCCTCCTCATCACTCCCAATTTCTTCGATAACGATTCTTTTTAAATTTTTCTTTGAATGCAACATAATTTGGGTCATTAGCTTCCAAATTCAATAATAATCCAAAGATTATCAATTGAAATAAGTTGCTGAAAAGATTTCTGACAAATGTTGGATTGATTAAAAAAATGGTTGCGTTAACAAAGACATATTTAGTGACAAAAGCGGAAAAATGGGTAGAGTTCGGTAGAACTAAATGCAAAGTTATATGCGTTGATGGATCCCACATGAAATAGAATTTGATGTAATGCAAGATGTTTCTGAACTCCAGGGCTATAATCAAAAGTAAAGAAAGTTAAGCCTACTTAATAGCGCTAGTACCACAGACTATGCAAACAAATACCAGAGACTGTTAATTTGTATAATACAGTAAATTCTCGATAACTCGAACCTCTAAAGGAGGATAAATAAGGATAAATTATGATAAATTAGGATAAATTAGGACAAATTAGGACAAATTAGGATAAATAAGGATAAATAAGGATAAATAAGGATAAATAAGTGGAAAAAAACTCACTCGAATTCTTTTTGATTCAGTTGCATTTGACTTCTTTAACTTTTCTAATTCCTTTGGGTTTTAAATCAGAAATAATCACATAAATGCTTTGCAAAATAAGTTTAAGCTATTCACATCTAAGCATAAATTCTTTCATAGTATGATTCTATAAATATATTGGCGCTTTCCTTTACCACTGTCCAGAAATAAAAAGTTACCTTTGATCTTGTGTTGTTATTGCATACAGTGCTCTCGGGTTTTCAGTCAATCATTAATTGCTTTATCCATATAATTATGACAATTGTAAAAGCTTAAATTGATTGAATCTTTCTAATTTCATTCAAATAGGAATTGTAGAGCATTTCATATAAAGAACCAAACTTGCAAGCAAATATAACATTTTCTATTAGATATCCAAATAATGATAATATAATGTCTGAAAAATTAAGTACCAAAATGAAATAAATTTAGTTTCTAATGGTGAAACGTGATGTTTTGAGGATGCAATAGTTATCAAAACCATGATAACTTATTACTTGATAATGAGAACATGGTCATGTTTTCAACAATAAAATATTAATTTATTTCATTTTATAATTTATTTGTACATAACAAAATTTCTTACTTTCTCTAACTTTTCGATTTCCGTCTTTGCCTGCCGATTATTTGGCTGCAATTCCAATAAGTATTCCTGGTCTTCTTTGGCTTCTTTATATTTCTTCAGCTTGGTTCTTGCAATTGCTCTCCTAGCTACTGCTTTTGCATATGTTGGGTCCAGTTCCATAGCTTTACTGCAATCTGCTTCTGCTGCAGCAAACCTAATGATTATTAAACAAAAGTTAAGTATTAAGTATATCTAGGAACCAATGAATTACTTTCTGAAAAATGTGTACTTTGTTAGTAATACTGTGTACTTTTTATATCAAACAACTAGATTTAGAAAATTTCTTGGAATGATTAAAAGCTTAATAGACATAAATGTCAGGTTATAAAAAGTTCTTAAAGGTTTCAATAAACTTCAAAAATCTGAATCACTAATATCAGATTGAAAGCTTGTTTTAAAGAATAATTTTGTTTGATTTAGTTGCCTAACTGAAGCACATTCTCTGAAAATGTTCACCTCTCGACCTTGATCAATGCTATTGCTCTGTTTGCATATATTATTGAATTGAGTGGATCCAGATTACAGGCAATTGTGTATCTATTAATAGCTGCTTCATATTTGCCTTCCTTGAATAGCATGTTTCCCTGAAATAAAATAATTCAAGTGAAATGAGCAAGTATTTCTAATAAATGCAAACTAGAAAGGTCTATATTATTGACTAGATGCTTGAGCATACATGAAAAGGAAAAGTACAGTTAATGATTCTAGGACCTTTCTGGTGACTCCTAATATCTCCATGTTACCTTTCTGCAGAGGACGAATTATGGTAAAAGGTAAAAATACCTAATCAGAATTTTTTAGATCCTAATTTGCAACTTTATCACAAAAGTCATAAAAGGCCAGATAGACAATATACTGTTCTGTCTATTTGATCTTTCTTGAAAAACAGACTTAGTAGTCTAACACATTATCTGATGTCTAACACATTTTGTGTATAATATTGATACTGAAAAGTACAATTGTGATTTGAAAATGGTTCCTAGAACATTCACTGTTTTGCCTTTAGTTGTTCATTAACAAGGTCAGTACTTGGTTTCTAAAACTTACAATGCAATCTAGATTGAGGGGCATGATAAATGTTTATCAACTGGGCAGTAAAAAATTGGTTTCCTAACACAAGGTAAGAGCACTGATGTGTATTATTGCACCTGATTACTCATTTTTTTTGTGATACACCAGAAGTAAATATCACATTGACTTGCTAAATATGGCATAAATACATTAGATGTACCTTTTTGAAATTGTTTAAAAAATGATTTACCATTAAAGGGATTGAAAAATCAAAACTTCTGAGGTATACGTATACAAATATGTGCTCCTTGGAGCTGTTACAGAAGCAAGATATCCTTAATATGGTACAACTTGCAAGGTATGTCACCTTTTCTTTCTCAAACTCAGATTTTTGTTTCCTCCTTCGCTCTTCAGCTTCAAAAAGGGCTTCAGAATCAACTTCCTCTTCTTCTTCTTCTTCTTCTGAACTACTACTATCTCCACCATTCTGACCTTCATTCTCATCAACATTTTTACAAGCAGTATCCTATTAATTCATTGAAAGAAATGAAATTCAATTGTTGCTTTTTAGAAGAAAAGGGACCACCTCAGAGAAAACATTCCTTGATTGCATAAGAAAATAATTATTTGTAGTTTATTTTGTAAATAAAATAAATTGAGGCAAATATGATAAGGTTTATGCTTAAATGTCAAAACTGGTCTTGATCATTTCTCAGTACAGGGGAAAAGTTCATAAGCTGCCTTCTACCAGCTCTTGGCAACCTCTGGGGTTGAAATTGCAATTCAGGTACAACCCCTTTTCAGTTCCTTGCATCAGAGCCCTTTTCCTAGAATATTAACAAGACTAACAGGCCAGTATACATTACAGTTCATAACCTGCACATCACATTAATTTTCAATTTTTTCAAATCAAGCAATTTGTTTGCCATAAAAGACACTATTCTCAAAAAGCCCTCCACACAAGGTTTTAATGTACGATTTTGGCATGTCTCTCCCATTTTACAGGAAAATTTTTAAACAACACCTATTGAGGTCAAGCTGTTTGGAGCATATTGAAAAAGCATACAAAGGAATATATGTCAAGCTAGACTTTTATTACCACATCAAACTTGGACCAGGCATCGTAATCATATGAACTGATTCTTGATTGCTTTGGTTGTTCTTTTATATCTTCTGCAAATTTCACTTTGTTTTTCTTTGAATCTTGCCTTTTCTGTTTCTTTTTCTTGCTGCTTCTGATTGGCTGACCTATCTGATCAATTTGAAAATATGCACATGAAACAAGGCTTGTTAGATGAATCTATCTTGCTAGACCAACAACAAGAAGCATGTTAAACCTAAAAAGTTGACAAATACATACAGCAGCTTTTTATTCCATTGATAATTCAAGAATTAAGACTACAGCAAAACATAGATGAGGTTCAGTGGTAGCTAAACCTGGTCTCTAAAAGCATTGATGCAGATACTTAGTTACATAGAACTTTATACAGAGACGAACCGCAGACAAGTTGGATTCAATGTTGAAATGAGCTGTTCCATATAAGGATGGAACGTCCCAATAAATGGCAATGTTGAAAAAGCAAACGCAGTCGTGTATCGCAGTTGCCAGCATTTTATTTTTGTTTAAGCATTTGTGCAGCAATATTCTTCAAGGTACAAATGAAGAATAAGGATCTGTCAATTTAGATCCTAAAAGGTGTTTGTAACACCAGATCACTAACAGGCCAGATTGGAATCTTTGAAAGATGCGCAGGGGATCTGTTGCATGCCCATAAAAATTGCGCATTTGCAAATAACACAGATAAAATTTTGTGCAGTTGAGACTAATTACCATAAAAACACAGTATGTAACTTTTGGGTATACATTGCAGAGAAAAACATTAGTAACATCATTAGTGGTAATAAAAACAATATAGCAAAGATTTTTCATAATTCCTAAAAATAAGAATGAGAGGGACCCAACCAGATTAGAATTGTTTCAGTAAACCAAAATCTGCTCAAACTTTGAAAACTTTGTGCATGGTAATAAATTAGATCATCCTGTTCCATGTGTATTTTACTCCCAGAAATGATAAAAATATCCTTCAGCTGTTTTTATGTCCATCAGGCAGACAGCTATTGTGACCTTTTCTTCATTCACACCTTCAAATTTTTGCTGTTATTTGGCATATGTGTGTACAAAAACCAGCCTCGTGTCTACACAAGCAAAAAGTAATGACGATTTAGACGATCTGCAACTCTGAGGGTCTACAAATTCAAATTTCATTATAAGTATCAATTCAAGTACATACAAGATAAGTTTTACACTTAAAGAAGAACCCTGAGCAGCTGGATGAATCATTTCAATAGAAATTGCGCGGCTGCAATCGCGGCTGACACCTGATGTGCGCGGGGGATTTATCCATAACAGCAAGTTCACAAACTAACTAACAGCCAAAAAAGTTTGACATCTTAAAGCTAAACAAACCTCGTCAATTTTAGCTGTTTTTTTAAGATCTTCGTCCTTTTGCTTAATTTCATCCTCCCATTTGTTAAGATCATGCAAGAAGTCACCCAGTTCTTGTGCGTTCTCACGTATTTGTTGATGCAAATTCAAGGCTTTTTCCGCCATTTTTTTCAAATCGACCTCGAGTGTCGTGAGTCTCGTTTGCAAGGCCAATTCAATTCAATAATGTTTTTGGAAATGTTGGTAAAGTTAGAGTATGATGTTATCACCCGCTTCGAGCCACGATTCAAAACACGAGCTCTGGCTTACATGTGAGGATATTTTGCTAACGCAGAATGTTACGACCTTCGTTTAAAAAACTCTTCCAGGAGGATAATTTCAGTGAATCTTTAACCATGAATGAGGATGATGCAGAGTCTTGTGTGGATGTTAAGCCGGATTGGACCCCATCGGATAGTAGTTCGACCAAGGGAAAGGGTGACGATAAGAAGTCAGAATCCACAGATCGTGTGAAAGATGACCCAGGCTGGGATTCAGATAGATCGATTTACGAAATGCAATTAAATCAATTGCAAGAACAGTTAGTAGAAACGATGGTGGAGAACCAACAACTTGGTAAGTTTGACATTCCATGTTTTTCTTCCTATCTGTGCTGTCCTAACCTAACCCATTGTCGCAGTTCTAAGAACACTCCATCTTTGAAGGAAGAGCTTAGAGCTACGTCACAAGTATCTTGCATAGAGGTTAGCCAGAAAAATATCTTTTTTGACCAATTCAATGGTATGGATCGATTTCTAGTCGCTTTTTCATAATAAATTTATGCGTAAGGTTAGATTAGCACTTGAGCGCTAGGCAGTGGAATAGCTGGGTTTTCAGGCGGTCATTTTGGCAAATGAATAATTCTGGTTTTGGCAATGTTTTTAATGATGCAATTAAAGGTTTTGCTAAAGATTATGCTAATGCAGATGGCAGAAAAAAAAATTAAAAATTCATGCCAAAAGGGATCATGTTACAGATTCAATTAAATATGTAGTTATGAAATAGTAGGGGTAAAGGATGGTGGGAAGGGTGTATCAGGGAGATGTTTTTTGAAACTTTAAAGAAAGCATACTAAAAGTTGCCTTTTCGGTCAAAATATGGTCAAAATATGAATCAATGTTTAAGATTTTATAAGAAAGGAAACATTTCTCAAAATTCTACTGAAAGTTTTTCCACCTGATGCTCCTTAGAGTATAAAACATTAGCACGAGGGCTGAAAGAAAACAATGGAAAATATATACCCAATTGTGGATCAAAATAAGCCAATAAGAAAAACGCAAGCATATGACCGGCATAGTTGTCCATCAGAGTATTGCGTGCCTTTAGAAAAATTACCACTGGAGTCCAACAAGCAACGCAGCTCTTTAGGTGACCACCAAAGAAAATTTTTGACACATTATATGACAAAGGCTCATGCAAAGGTATCTACTTATTCATTACGTTTACTCTGATGAACCCCTTTATGAGTGAAATATTTTTGTATTTATTTTTAATTTATTTTAAAATTCTATTGCACAGCATTGGAACCCTTTCATTGTTTTGCTTAGTTCCTGACCATTATCTTTGCATAAATACAGTTTAATCCTGTTATAGCGTACTTCTTTTGCTCTCTATTGTGGCTTATCACTTTGTTTTGATTAAATTCTCCTGGAAACATGGTGGTTGTCAGGTAGTGTTCGAAACTTTTACCTTCCCGTTTTCGACATTATCGGGTAAATGTTAATAAAATTGCTCAAAAGAAAATGGGCAGGCGACAAATAGACCCACAAAAAGAAGATCTTCCAACAAACAATGTCATAAATCATACTACTTGAATATTTTTCTTGTCTTTTCCTCTGAAAAAAGGCATTTTTAAGTTCTATACCTTATTGAAAGAGATTGCCAATCTGATTCAGAACAACAGAAAAGATCACCATATTCAGCTTTAAAATATTTTCTCTCAAAATATAACATTTGGATTTAAATAGACAACCATGTAAATTTCCGATCAGATCAGAGGTTTTGTTCCAATTAGTTTCCATTAATTTTCCAGGTGAAGAGTTAAGGCAGTTGAAAGAAAAAGGAAAGCTTGAGCAACTATCAAAAGAACTTGAAGAAGAAAAGAAGAAAAATAGAAAGTTAGAGGAAAGATTGAAAAAGATGCGACCAAAGCGACCCCCAGATCCTAAGTATGAAAGTCTTATTAATTTGCATAGTGTTCACATTCTGCCTATCTTTATTTTTCTTTCTTTGACATTTCCGCTTTGAAAAAATTGCTAGTTCTGTAATTTTATTTTGAATTTTTACAGATTACTAAAATCCACTTACATTTTTATAAGGAAAATGCAATCTTATTGGTCACTAAGTACTTGATGATATTGGTTCTTGAACAACATAATCATCTAATTCTTTGAGACTCAATTTGATTCTCCAATTGTTTACTTTTGAACAGTATAATTTATACTATTGTTTTATTTTCCATTGTTAAATGTTAACAAGAATATTTTCTTTTTTAGCTCAAAAGAAAAGAGGAATTCTGGTGAACATGCTCATGCTACAGATGGATGGGAAGATTTGACTTCTGTTGCTGACAACACAATTTTTCCTGAAAGTGTTTTGCTTGCATCTGGAGTAGCATCAGTAAACAGCATTGCATTTGCAGGAGCATTACCATCTACAGATACACCTGATTTAGATAAAGCCAATGCCGCAAAAGGTATTAGAACACAGTTTATTAGAACAGATGATTTATTCTCTTTTAGTCAGTGGAATATTCTTAGAACTGTAGAAATATTCCTTTGATCCTTTTCTTTCTTATTTCTTCTTCTATTTCTCCTTTTTTTTCCTCCAGTGTGTCTCTTTTTGTTATATATTCTATTTACCTCAATTTGAGAGCTACTTTTGGTGCAACTTTACTATATAGTGTTTGATTTTGCTCCTTTTGAATTTTTATAATCTGGGAAAATATCCCTGTCTCACTTTTTTTTATGTGGAATGAAAACATGCTTAAAATATTTTGGCAGCTTTACTAATTCCACCTTGCTGTTTGCTTATTTTATAACCAGAATTATGTTTTGTAGCAAATCTTGAAAAACCAGCAACTGAAGAAGTTTCAAAATTTGTTGCATTCAAAATAAAGGCCTGGAATTGTGTAAGTAAAAATGCTCTGTGAAACAATCTTGAACTTCTTGATGGGAACTTGTAGGAAAATTTTCAAACATGCTTCTTTTTGGTTTGAATAATTTAATAAAAAGTATAATTTTTATCAAAGAAATTTTAGTTTGAAATTTTAGTTTGAAATAATATCCCTTTGTCAAATTTTCATTTTTTGGAGGCACTATAAATTTTATCTGCTGTTGATCAAAATTATAATGTTACTTCTTTTTTTGTTAGGGTTTCAATTTAGACAGTTTCTTAAGACTAAGAAATCTGATTCAATCAACAACCTTGGATAAAAAGCTTTTGAAAAAGTTTTAGCTAGAGAGATCTATAAACAAACATCTTGAATCCACACAGTCTCATTTTGCTTTTATATGCAAACCGTACCAGTTTCATCCCTTTAGACTCTGCTATATTTTGTTATAGTTCCATGATAGAATATCTGATTTCTTCAATGACGAAGCAGCTGATAATGAAGCAGAACAAGAAGAAGACCCATTGGCAATAAAAACGTGCGTTTCTTTTTATTTGATATTGTTCTGCCTGTTAGATCGTGATCCCCCTATATCTTGAAGGCCATTGAACAGTTTTAAATTAAGGCCCTTCTGGAGAAACAGACAAATATGTTTTGACTATGCAAACAATGCAATGAGAAAATATTCTATCTGTCCAAGAACAATATATTTTATGGCAACTTTTATCATATGTTTTCAGGCTGTTTTGATCCCGAAGCTAATTGCTTTCCATGCTTCCTTTTGCACCACTGGTTGTATAATCCTATAGGCAAAGCTACTTTTTTCATCCAGAGTAGTCTTCCAACATATTTACTTGATCATCCCTTTACTTCTTGCTCTTGAATGCCAAGATAATTCCTGATAACGCAAGAAATCGTATGCAATTGATGTTAATTTTTAAAAAGAATCTAGGGCAAAGAATTACGAAAAGGATGGTTAATAAAATTTTGAATTTGCAGGCTAATTTATTTTCTTAGAAGATGGTTTTGGTATATGAACCTTTTTATCCTGTTATCAATCCCTACTGTGTATATTTCTGTCCTTTGAGTTGAGAGCCATTTTGCATCTTGAAAAAAATTATACCTTGGGCTTGTACGTTATGAGCTATCATCATCATCATCATTAGCCTGTCACACCACTGCTGGCGGATGGCCTCCACATCTTTCTCCACTCATCACGGTTTTGGGCACTCTGGGTCCACGTGCTGCCTGCCTTCTGCTCGATCTCATCTCTCCATCTTTTCTTTGGTCTTCCCTTTCCTCTCTTCCTGTCCCACGGAGTCCATTCTGTCGTTTTCTTAGCCCATTCGTGGTTCTTAATTCGTGCTACATGTCCTGCCCACTTGCCTTTGGCTTCAATCACTTTCTCGATGACATCCTTCACCCCTGTCTTGATCTTAAGTCTTCGTTCCTGATCTTATCTCTCCTCGTAACACCCAGCATTGATCGTTCCATGCTCCTCTGGGTGACTGCCAGTTTCTCTCTTTGGCGGTTGGTAAGTGACCATGTCTCAGCTCCATACGTCATTGATGGCAGTATGACAGTGTTCATGATCTTCCTTTTGAGACACATGGGCATTCTTTGATCTCTCAGAAACGTGCTGTACTGTCCGAATCTCTTCGAAGCAGATGTTACTCTCTCGTCTATTTCTTTCGCCATCTCATTTCCTGGTGTTAGCAGTCTTCCCAAGTACTTGTACTCATCCACCTCCTCCAGTTGTTCTCCATCCACAATTATTCCTTTCCTTCTCCTTTTCCTAGCTATTTCATTGCACATTATTTTCGTTTTCTTTCTGTTCATTTTCATGCCATCTTTTCTCCCTTCCTTGTTCAGATCGTTGAGCAGCTTGCTGAGATCCTCTTCCTTTTCTGCAAATAAGATGATATCATCTGCAAATCTCAGGTTGTTCAATCTCTCTCCGTTGATGTTAATTCCCACTTCAACTTCCATTCTCCTGAATATTTCTTCCAACGCTGCTGTGAACATCACTGGTGACAAGGTGTCTCCTTGCCGCACTCCCTTCATGATCTTAATCTTTCGGCTAAGTGATTCGTTCCGAACCTGAGCAGTGCCTCCATCATATGTCTCTTTCAGGATGTTGATGTACTTCTCCTCTACGCTGTGCTGTTTTAGCGCTTCAAAAACAGCCTTGTGCAGTACAGAATCAAAGGCTTTTTCGTAGTCTACAAACGCCATATGAATGGGTATTTTATACTCATTGGTTTTCTCGAGTATTTGCACTACTGACTGCAGATGGTCGATGGTTGAATGACCTCTTTTGTAGGCAGTTTGTTCTGGCGGCTGGTGGTCACTCAGATTGTTATTCAACCTGTTCTTCAAGATCTTCATGAAGAGTTTGTAGACTTGGGAGAGTAAACTGATTGGTCTATAATTAGCAAGGTCTTTCTTGTCTCCCTTCTTAAATATGAGTGTTATAATGGCATTTTTCCACTCGTTGGGTATCTTTTCTTCAGTCATCACTCTATTGAAGAGTGTTCTCAGCTTTGATCTCACAACTTCACCTCCGGCTTTGAGCATTTCAATCACAATCTGATCTTCTCCAGGTGCTTTGTTATTCTTCATACCTTTTATGGCATGCTCGATTTCACTATCAAGGATTGGTGGTACATCCTCTGCTTCTTCTTTTCTGATGTTCTGGGCTGCATCTTTGTATAGCGTTTCATAGATTTCTGCGCACCTCTCAAGAATTCTCTCTCTGTTGGTGATGACGGTTCCATCTTGCTCTTTCAATGCTGGTATAAGAACCTTGCAGCCTTCTTTTTCTTTTGCTCTTTTCAATCCTTTCCCACTCTCAATTGCCTCCTTCACTTGCATGGTGTTGTGCTCTCTAAGATCTTCTCTCAATCTCTTCCTGATGGTTTGACATAATTTGTTGTACTCTCTTCTCTCTTGGTCATTCAGATCTTTCTTTGCCATTGCTCTCCTTTCTTTTAGCAGTTCTTTAGTTTCCTGCTTGAGCTTCTCCTCTCGCCGTCTTTCCTCTTTTCCTGCTGTTTCCATAGCACATTCCTTAATGGTCTTTGTGATGTTGAGTGCCATTTCCTCCACACTGTCCTCTTCTTGCAAGGCTTCAAAGCGATTTTGCAACTCCAGTTGAAATTCATTCTCTCTTTGTTTCAGGGCGTTGATGTTTACTTTCACTCCTTTTGGTCTCATCATTTTCATTCTTTCCAGTCTTGTATTCATTTTGATCTTACTTCTGACCATTCTGTGATCACTACCCTTTTTATGACATTGACATTCTGGATCATGTTTTTATTTGCCAAAATATAATCGATCTCGTTCCTGGTTTCGCCATTAGGACTTATCCAGGTCCATTTTCTGATCTTCCTCTTCCTGTAGAAGGTATTTCCGATCTTCAAACCTTTTGATTTTGCAAATTGCATCAGTCTGGTTCCCCTTTCGTTCCTTTCTCCAAGACCAAACTGTCGCTCCGTCGCTTTGATGATGTTGTCCAACCTTTGCATTAAAGTCACCCATTACGATCTTGTATTGACTTTTATTCTTCTCCATTGATTTTCCAATCTCCTCATATAGCATAGTTATGAGCTATATGCTTGTAAAATTCTGTATGGTTCAAGGTTGAATGTATGTTTGAATAAAGCCTGATAAACAGACCCCGATTTCACTGTTTCGTTTGGAGGCGGGTTCTATTTATCAGGCAAGTTAAACTTCTTCCTTCTTCTAAGAAGTTTTGCTCATATACTAAATTAAATATTTTTCAGACTGAGAGAAAACGTTTCCAGGTTCAGTAAGTACAGTTCAATTTCCTTTAAATCAACTGCTGTTAAGAATTTTAAAATAAAATCGATCCTTTCTGTGAATTTTTATAAGATCTTTGTATGTTACCAGAAGTTTTTATATGCGTAGGACTAATCTTGTCTCTATGAAATCGTGATGTGCTTTGGGCCAATCTAGACTCGGTGAAATTTCCATATTCATATGATCTTTTGCCGTGGAACATGCTTTACGCAGTAAGAGAGTTTTTCTATTTCAACTTAACCACACTGCCTTACTTTTTCTTTCTAGCTGATGGTATCTCACCGATACGGCGATTTATTGCAGCGTTTAGACATATGTTGAACTGGAAAAACCCATGGTTCTCATTGTCTGTGTTTGTTGTAAGTATTTTCTTTAGATTGAAACGTACTTTTTTAAATAAAATATACAAAAATTAGTATACGATGGATAAACCTCAATAGATGCTTTCTTTTTTCTAATTAGGCCTATTTGGATATGAAAGCACCCTTTAAATTGAACACGATAATATAATAAGGTTTTTGTATGGCTATTCTTAGAATTCGAAATTTGTATTTTTTAGATATATTCCACAACCTTAAAGTGTATATCACCTCAATTGCAAACTTTGCGATCCCTTACTATACTTGATGCGCTGTTTACGAAAATCGAATCGATAATTTGCTATTTCTTTTGCTTTTCCTGTTGTATGCACGCAAAAGTGGCATTTTGCCCTGTCTGGCGAGCACCAAACCGTGCCAAAAAGGGGACTGGATCATAGTCTTTTTGTGACGTAGAAACCAGAACCAAAGTAAAACGTGCTGAGAATATTCAATGGTATATTTAGAGATGTGGATGGACATAATAAGCAAACAAGGATCGTCAATGAAGTTTATGCGATTTATTCATTCATCAATTTGCTTTCTTTGCAATCAGCCTTCAATATTTTCCTCCCTCCGCATTCCTATCAGCTTATTTTTACGTCATACTACTACACATACGTCAGACCTGACCTACTCTGATCTGAGTCATATGAAGTCGAATCTGTCCTCACACAACCAGAAATCATCCGGAATGAATTTATTTTAATTCCTAAAAACGGATTTAGTCGACAACAAAGTCCTAGACGGGCCTTAATAAGCATATTTCTTATTTTTGCATCCACGCCGCATCAGCCATTGGTTCATCAGCGTAAGCTTCTAAGCACCCAGCTTCGACGTTTTCAGTCCCCGCATGCTCAAAATCTAAACTTTCATCCACTAATTCGTGATCAGTAAAGGAACTAGGATTTGACGAGATGTTGGATGCTTCGGAATCAGAGTCGGCAATAATTTATTGCGCAAGGTTTCGAAAGACGTTCTGGTTTCTACGTCATGAAAGACTAGAGCCTAGACCTCTATAACATGCGCGGATTGGAGGCAAAATGTAGAGACTTTGGGGGCCTTTTTCGAGGGCTTGCGTTGCTCAAAACGCTTTTTAAATTTGATGTTTGAACTCAGCGCAGTTGTTTCAGTTGGTTTAATCTCTATCCCAAATTAGGTGACATGCACTTTAAAAAGCTATTTTTATAGCCGTCAGTTGCATTCTTTCTGCTTTTAATTTCAAAAGACAATGAATAACCTATGTTAACTGACGTCATTAATGTTTTTGTAATATCAAGGATATCAAGGCCTAAGGTCAATGGGTCATCGGCTGATTGTTGGCATCTCTCTCTGTTTATAGATCTATCTTTACTCCATCTGGCTTGGATGTTTCATACCGCTGGTTCTTCTGATTGCAATCGTCAAACTGTCATTCAATTATATGTATGCAAAGTAAGTGCTGCTCATTTTTTGTGCCATTTTATCTTTAGCTGGTTCTCAGTTTATTGCAAATTGTCAGCATAGGATGGACTATTTTAGCTCTGTCGAAGGAAGGGTAGAATTCTGGGGGGCACCTGTTTTTGATAAGCAATAGGAACAAAAGGGGCTATTTGTTCTGATTTGATGCTTGAACTAGTTCTGATTTTTATACTTATGGGGAGGAGCCCCTCCCCCCAAGATCACTAGTAACTACGGCCCTGTTTCAAACTGAAAATCAAATAAAAAAGGCTACATAGCCCACAGCTGAAAATGTAGAAAATTATGTTCAGGCTCTGGAGAACAATTTTCTCCAGAGTTGGGTAAAAAATGCCAATAATGAAAAATTGCAAATTGATTGGTTTTCTCTTTAAGATCTATTCACCTCTATTAACGTCTGCAACCATCCAGTAGACCATGCAAAATGACAGGCACTTTATTTATACACGAGGTCGGATCTTTTTATGTAGATACTCAAATGCCCCTTCCACATTTATCTGGATGTTTCTGAGAACGTATATTTTTTGTTTCCACTCATAATTATTGCCCTTTCACGAATCATGTCAATGGGATGACTTTTGAATACTGGTCTACTGTGCAGAGAAATGTTTTTCAGGAAAGATTTCTAAAGATGTGGAACAGGTTTCCCAAAAGCTGAAGTAAAATGTTTCTACCTTGATATGCATTGAATTAGGCAGCAAGAAAGAAAAAAGTTTAATGCGTCTGTTTGTACCAGTCAACTTTCCGTTCATAGAGTGTCCAAGTGAAAGCAGAGGTTTTCTGTCTTTCCCCCGTCCTTAAAAGTTATATTTCTATACAATTACCCAATTTTTCCTATACGAAATTAGCTATGATTAAGTAGGATTTACCTTAAGGTTCCAGATTTAGCACTTTCTCTGTTCTTGATGCCGAGTACTGTGTTTTAGGGGGATCGCACAAAAATTTGGTTACCACGACAAGAGCAGTGATTCAGAAGAGGTAATACTGGTTTTATGTTTCCTGTATTTTGAATTCGAAACTCTGAAATCTACTTTTTTTATTTTCATATGTTTCAATCTCAGCGTAGGCGTCAAAGAAAAACCAAGAACATCTTAGTCAAAAATGCTCTCGAAAAAAGCGTCAGTGGGATCTTCGGGATTAAATCTCAAACCTAGAAGAGACATTTGGGAGTCATCCAGTTTGGATCTGTTTATCACGGCATTATGGAATTCGCTTAATTTGCAGGCTTTGTATTAAGAGATCTGCAGCAAACTCGACTTTTGCTTTGTAAGGCTAAACATGTATTTTATGTTACAGGAATGTTGCAATGTAAGCTAATCGTTGTTACTTTTTCGTTTTTAACCGCAGTCCAGTTCCAGTCAAGACAGTAAACTTTTTTAGAATTTATTTTGTTTTATCTTTGAATTTTAACCAGTTTTACTTGATTAAATACCTATCCTTTTGACATGAAGTTTTATGGTCTTTTAATTCTATTGCGTGTTACATAACCTGTGCTCTTAGTGGGAAGACATTTTAGAATCAAACTTAAAAAGGTTTAGCGCAAGAAAAAACCATGTCAAGATTTGATTGCAATCAAGACTTTACTTTTCCCCTTCCCTTCTGCCTGCGATTCATAAAATATTTCGTGGACGCAACATCCTCGGAATGATAACACGTACTGCTTTCGTTATGTTGCATGGTAGAGTCTTGTCAAACACTCTCTTGTGATAACAAAATAACGTTATATATTAGAAACTGCTAAATATAGCCACGAAAAGTTTTATCAATTTTAAACATCCTGCATTTGTCACAGAGGAATTCTTCTGTTTGTATTTCCAGGAGCTCATAGATTTCAAGGCTGATCAAGATTGCTACCTCAATTGGATTGCAATAAGGCCTCATTTTAAGACCTAATTTTAAAAAGATTGGAACTTGAATATGATATAAGCATCATTGTACTAATCACATATACGGTAGTTATCTGTTGTTTTTTCTATGGAATGATGAATTTCTGTTTTTTTAAATCAGGATAAAGCAGAAGTGACAAGTTGGTCGGAACGGTATCAACTGGTATTGCAGATTGCAAGAAAAGTACAGGTAATTTCTTGAATGCTTCATTTTATCTACTTTACAGAAGGTCAAACTCATAAAATGTCCCGCCCTTGATATAATCTCCTTTTTGGGTCCCTTTTCCTGCCAAGCGCTCACGAACTTGAAGAAGCTTAGTTATTTGAAATTGTTTAAATTAGTAAGGTAAACACAGGCCTTCAAACATTGTTTTCAGTTTTCAAAACTGTCAAGGAATCCGAAACGACAAAAAAACGACAGTCGAACTACGAAGATTCGATATCTCTTTATTTTCACTCTTTTTGATAAATATATCCTTTTAAGTTGTTGATCTTCATTTTAACATTTAAAACTTTCTTTTTGTATCACGCTTTTGTTTCAATTTTTTAGAATACTCTAGGCAATCTTGCAGATACATTGGAAAAATTTGAGAGGTTTGTAAGCCTACCATGTCATTTTGAGTTGTTAACATCTAGCATAAAACACGGCTTGGCACCTTCCATGAGTATACTGAATCGTCTTAAAACTTTTTAGTGAATTATGTTGCAATTTTTCTGCAGTCTTTTCACATGGAGGCACGACGAAGCATCAGGAAAGCTCTACCTTGGGCTCTGGGTTGCTTTTCTTGCAACACTCATTCTTCCATCAAGATATTTTTATCTACCTTTTGGTATGTATAGTTTTTTAAATGTATACTTTAGAGCAAAGGTGATGAAAAGGAATAATATCGACCCTGAGTTGCATCACAAAAGCATTCTCACGTTCAGATTGATAGTACCAACTGTCCTTTACCTGACATCTGATGCTTCATACCATCATTAGGACTTGTGTAGCCAGAAAAGTCCCCTCATTTATCATATTTTCAAAGAAGAACATTTTTGTGTATTTAATGTTATTTGTGTTTCTGATCTACTGTTGCTTTTTTTTCGAAATTTGGTTTATTTTGAGGAAACATTTATTGTTGTGAAACGAAGAGTGAAAGCTTAACTTACGCGATTATCTATAGGGGACTGCTCCGAACACGAAATTTCGTTTCGTTTTGCCTCGTTTCGTTTCCTTTCGTTTATTGTGTCAAGGCACAAAATTTAATGCTAAGTGACTGCAATTTTTGCGCGGCCACATTTGATATTTGTAATCTGAAACTGAAGTTTTTGTAGAAGCGAAAAGTGGAAATATTGAATAACCACATAAATCGATTATTAATTTCATCTTTTCGATATCGTTTTTTGGCTCTCATTGATATTGTCAAAAGCTTTCTTGTGTTCAAACCTTTCCTGTCGCATGCTCCCAAGGAAATTTATAGAAACGTCGACGATTTTTCGTTGTTGTTTTTCTAGGTTTTGGAATTGGTATAAAATTATTCATAGTTTCTCCAATTTACAAAAGATTCCCTAAGGTTGGTTTCTTTCATCTCTTCTATTGTTGCTGTTAAAATTGGCGTTCCCTATGTATTTTTCATTTTTCACTTATTTATCTGAAAGCAAGTTGAACGAAATGCAAGAATCAGTTTTTTTCGATACATTCGAGGGCTGCCTACCATAATCGCAGCACCTTTTCGAAGTGTCTTTAGCGAATGATGCATCGATGTCTAGTGGTTTCAATTATCAGAAGAGCACTTTCTAATACTGATGCAAGGGGTCTGTGAAACCTGAATGGTATCGACTCTAACATTCTATTAACCTGAGTAGTTAATTTCATTTTTTTCTGTAGTGTGAGAGCTCTTGTAATGACTTGCCCAAAAATCTTACCAAAAAATTATTTTTGAGTACCTTTGCGTACCTCTGAGCACCCTTGCCAAATAATTTCTTGTGTCATTTCAGCTCCAGGATACAGTGTCACATTATTCATACACATTTGTCAAAAACCAGAATAGTTGGTGGGCGTCTAGTGACTCTATTTGCTTAATTAATAGCAACAATTTTGTATTTTAGGTTCAAAAAAGGTATGATAATGTCGATCGCTTATGGAACGAGCTCCCCACCAAGGAGCAAGCTCCTGTGCAGCGGGCAAAATCGAATGAAATCGATCTTAATATAGACCCAACGCATTTGGATTCTCCAACCATGGACTTCAACGAGAGCGTAAGTAGTACGCATTTTGCCTTTTGAATTACGCGTTGTTAGTTTCCCGTGGAAATTAAATTGTAAATTAGAAGCTCATCATCGTTAAACTAAGCACAGGTTGCGTGCAGTTTCGATGACTAACATTTCTTCCCACCCCATATACAAGATGATATCTTAAACATTTTGAAGGTGGCCATATACAGATGAATACATAAATATTTTTAGTAAACATTTATGCGAAGTGTTATATGCTTGTAAATTCATGCATTAGTTGTTGTCTTTGTTTTCCCGTTAAGAACTCATTCGCCGTCAACATTGCAGTGTCGTTACCGCAGGTTTCAAGTAAAAATAATTCTAAAAGCTGAAGATGACGGATTATAAACAAAATATTTTATCGCTTATAAGCAAAGTATTGAATTTTTCTTGCTTTGACCATTTATTGCAGGTTGTCTGTAATCCAAATTAAATTATAGCTCTTTTAAAAAATCAAATTCGAGTTCCTTATTATGCCATCAAATTTAGCAATAATTAGACTTATTCTAATTAAATTTTGATTGCATTGCAAACCATAATTTCTGCAATCCTACTTCTCAATCAAAGAACAATTTAATTTCTGCTGGTTAATAATTCCGTGTTCTTTTAATGTCTTTGTTTTGTCTGATCTCGAGTACGAGCTTGCCACTTATTCCCTGATTTTTTGTCACTTTTTTTACCAATCTCTACGATCATTTCTTAATTATCTCGAAAACAATCAAGGTTTCAATTGAAATTAGGACATGTATTTTTGCTAATCCAATATTTCGGCATTATTCGGTGCCTATTGTGATTAAAATTTCGTTCAAATAAACTGCAATGATGGCATTCTCACCACTGAGAGATTTCTCTTAATACCACTTCAAATTAGGTTGTTAATATGTTTAGCTAATTGCAACCTCTACGCTTAATAAATGATTAAGTGAATTATATATTACGACTGGGATTTAAGTATTATTGTCGCTATCAGGTAATACTGAAGACTAAATGCTTTCAGTGTTAAATCACTTGAACCCGGGTGATAAAGCTCCTTACTTTTACTTTGCAAATCTTTAGCGATATCATCAACGTTTTCTAATGAATGAAAATGGTTTAACGATTATAATGTTGTTGCTTCAGTTAAGCTGTTTGGAAAAGACATTCCTTTCTCTGCTCGCTCATAAACGTCTGTTTCTTAATTAGAATTCTTTAATCCATAGTTAGGCTTAGTAAAAATGTATTAATTGTGATCTTTAGGACAATAAGTTATTAGAAGTTTTAAAGCCACTGTAACACAAACACTACATTTCTACAAAACCCTATTCTAAGTTATTCTTGACTGTTAAAAAACAATTTGGAGCCTGCTCGCACATCACTAGTTAAAAGGCGAATACTACTCGGGTATTTCAAGCAATAGCTTTTCGTACATGTAGCTATATGCTTATATGTACTATTCACGATTTAAGTATCTGAGTTCGTTGATTCATGGGGAAAGCTACTCCGTTTACTGTATAGAAAACTAGGGATAGATTACAAAAACACATTTTTAAATAGTGGATTTCGGCATTTTTAAATCACTCGTTATTACATGAAATATCATAGGGTAATGTAGTACAATATTACTTTATGCTGAATCAAATATGTTATTTTGCATTTTCTCTGATAAAAATTGAAGGCATGCGTAGAGTTTAGGTTTGCGGTTGTTTGTTTTAATGCTTTTTTATGCGATAAGTAGATTGTTATCTGGTTATTATTTGAGGTTTCTACCTATTTGAGCTTTTTGATGATAATTTTTTTTAATTTGAAGAATCTATGGTTCGTGTTATTTTGTTTGGTTTGCTTTAAACTATAAAAACGTTGATTAATTGTTGTAATCTCGAATCAGATTGTTTTTCACCTCTTTAAAGTATGTTCATGTTATCGAGTTGATTTTCTAGAAATCCAGATCGCCTTCCAGACTTCAAAGTCATAGCAGGAATTCGTCAATCGATGCTGACAGGAGCGGTGCTATGACATGGGGCTCCATCGTGTTTTGTGAGCGTTTTCATCTGCCGCAGACAGAAGTGCAACTTGCAGGTAGTCCCATGTTGCCTCTTTGGAATTAACTACTTATGTTGCATTATTCAATATTGGCAAGGAATGGGCGCACAAATTATCTTCGTCACTTTGTTTGAATATTGTTGAAATGCTGTGCCTTACGTAACCACATTGAGAGCAATTTTTAAGATTGGTATGTCAAGCGGTATAGAGATGCGCCATGAGAGAAGGGCAGCAGTATCTATGGAAATGTGAGAGAACTGGAATCTAATTATTGTGTCACGTATTTTTAGAGAATGGGAAGCAACGCAAGAGAATGTTATAGTAGTAGAGATTAAGAAAAGAAGTATAAGAAAAAGCTATTGATTTGTAAGAGACACGTTATGGAGGTTAAGTAGAAGACGATTGATGATAAAGGAAAGCTGTGTATATTGTTTTATGTGTTCTCTTTATGTTGTTTTGCTGGATTCAGATCACTTTGGCTCATATAGAAATCGTATGATGATTGAAGCTAGGAACAAGTATTGCGCGGGTTATGATCTCTGAGTGTTTCAAGAAAGTTTTAAAGGCCTCAGAATTTGATATAGATCTAACAAATGCTTTCAATCAGTGAGTTCGGGAAAACCATGTTGGTCGGGGACATTCTCAAAAAATTTCTTTTGTCATTTGTAGGCTGGGAAGATGGGCGTCGCTGTACTCTTTTAAACAAGGAAAGTCCTCTTTCAAATATGAAACATGGAAGATTGTACCTCACCAAGAAGTATGCATGCTAATTTCTTCCTTTCTTGTTGCTTTTGAACGATTTTAAACTGCTTATAGAAAATTCATTGTTCATGTTTTGATAAATTAGTTTACATTTGTAGATTAGATAAATATATGATAAATTAGGATAAAGTAGTTTTTTAATAAGCATTCCAAAGTTAAAGCTGGCATGTAAACTCCTCGATATTAATGACTTTCCTCTTAATCAGCAAATGACAGTTTGTTAATTGGCAATTCTAAACTGCGTATAAGATTTGAAAGAAAAAGATTAAAACCAGATACTTTGACTGCCTTTGGTAAATTTGCGAAGAGGCAAATGTACGTAGGAATATATTTCTGTATATGGCTTTACGTAAAATTTCTGGCCTAACTTTTTTTTTCTTATGCAAAATCTTTCTTTTTTTATCGCCAGCTATTTATGCTTTGAGAGGAACCAGTATCACTCAAAGAAGAATTTTGCAATACGATTGCATGACATATTAGAGATACAAAAGGTTTGACTGTGATATTTTTTGTATCGATTGTAAACCTAAAGCAGTTTTAAATTTTCGAAGAACGTTTCATTTTTATGATCATAAAGCTCAATCACAAATTATAGATTAGTTTTTTGAACCTCTTTGAAATTCCCTCGGATATAAGGCCCCTAATTGCAGATCCCCCCTCGTGATCCAACTTTGGATTTGTGGAGTCTTGAAGCTACCAGCAACTTTGCAGCTGAGAAATTAAATAGGTACTCTGATGTGATTTTATCTTGAACAATGAGCGCCAAGTAGATGGAACACAAAACTTCCCATTGCTGTTTTTTTTTGGAATTTTGCTCTTTGTTTTTTTAAATAGCTGGTTATTTCTACTTTAAAGAACTTTTTGATATACCAATTGGCTGTTTAACATGAATTTTTGTGGCATTCTCAGGGACCATTTATCATTCTCAGGGATGGATAAACGAAAAAAGGAGTTGGCCATCGTTTGTTCCTTTGTCCATCTAGTTTTTTCTTCAGGTTTTGGAGAAGCATTTTATTGCTTCTCCAAAATCTGGAGAAGCAAGTTAGAAATCAAATACACATTGATTCATGAATCGTGGTAGATATGTTGAATAACAAGCTTTTGTGGCAGGTTTTCTTCACAGATTTCTGTCATAGAATAACTGTGATCCAGAGATTTTTTACTGCGGTTATCATCTAATCACCCTAAGTCAAATTATAAATGGCTCCCTCATTTAGTTTGGGTTTGGTTACTATGCCACTAGCAATCTATAAACATCTCCTTGTGCCCTGAGATTGTTATTCCGTAAATCTTCATCGTCATTGCATTTCAATAAATGCAACTTAATTTTGCATTATTTCAGTCGAAGCCTTTCTCATTTCTTCCCGGTGGTGGAATGTCTATAGAAGTAACAACAAAAACCAATGAAAAGGTCTGTTTAAGTATCGACTGTATTTTTACCTTTCCTGCAAAATTTATTTTTAACAATTTTGAAAATGGACAGCCTTATCTGAGGAGCGTTATCAAATACCGCTTAAAGGCAGTATGTCCTTCATTGTTCACAGAGTCTCTTTTCATGGCCACGATATTCATGCATCGTTGATTCAATGCACAAATAAACAATCAGAAAGAAGAACCACAATAGCGTAATTTCCCTGAACATCACGAATGGGACAGACTCCCTTTAAGTGCAATATCAGCTAAATGTGTTGCAAATATGCCCCATAAGTCTTTGACCAGTTCTACATTAGTCATTTGTATATGGTTTTGCACTTTTATAGGTATTTTCAAAGTGTTATTTAAGGTTATGTGGCAGAAATGTTTTAATAATGACGTCACACGTAGCTACTCTATTTGAGACATTTTAAATGAATAGCTTATTCCTTTGCAAGCCCACACAGCTATTTTCAGCTTTTTGATGACACTCACAACCATTGGAGACCGAGTTAATTTCACCCGGACTTTTGATATCATGGAATTTCTAAAAACTCCCTTAACTGGGTCCTTTTATTCATGAAATTTTCTTTCCTCGTTAATTCACAGCCTTTCATGTTCGGTGCAATGATGGGTCGAGATGAAGCCTACGAAAGCATTTTACGGGCAGGGAGAGCATTGAATCTATCATGGGGCAGAAAATCATGATGAAGTAACCTTACTATGCATGCAAAAGGGAGGTTAGTGCAAAGTAAAAATGGCACTTATGAACGGGCAGTAAAATGTAGGCATGGTATAGTAAAGGTTAAATTATTTCCGGAGTTACAGGTTCTGGTAATCAAATTATTATTAAATGACATGGGAGCTAAATTTATAGTTGTATTGCCCCTCTATAATTGCAAAAAAACATACTTATGTTATTTGCAATGTTCGCTGAGGGAATTTTTAGCTGCCGTTTTGGCATACTATATCTAATTGCCATTTGCAAAACTAAAGGTTTGTTTCATAAGATGCAATGTGGTCGGTTCTGCCATTTTTATTTGTCACACGCATTTCTGCTATCATTTATTTGACACAACTCATTTGACGCACACTTTTGTTTCTGCTGTATCAGTAATTATTAAATTTGTATACATATTATCTGTAACATTGTATGATTTGATTGTAAAAAGAATTTCTGAAAAATTTTCCAAATATGTTTTGACACTTGTTTTGTTAAATTTACAAATACATTTTTCGTAGCCTAGCTTTTTCAAAAGTTTCCTCCTTTCCCTTCTATCGTGTTCTCTGAAAATTTATCAGCAGTAAATTTAGAAATTAGCGAAGTAACATGATCTGTCAATTTGAAGTTCATTCCATTTAAACATTTTAAGGTGAGTCTTATAAAAAGGCTATCTGATAGTAAAGACAGCATCTGACACTTTTCTGAATTTTAACAGTGACAAAGTGGCCTTTGAACGTATGCTCAAGGAAAATCATGCTTCTGGTTAAGCTTTCCCTTAAATTGAACATAGATCTTGATGATGAAAGATTCTTTGGTTTTTTAGATAAATTTTTTCGAGAATTTTTTAAGATGATTGAAGCATAATTGACCTTTGACTTATGACGAAAGAAGGTCAAGTTGCAGGCCAACCTTACCCATACATAGAACCTAACCACTTGGTGCTTACAACGACTTATATTTATGAATTCATAAATTCGTCAGCCTGTGGATTTTATTTACTTTTGTGTTGATTAAACGGTAATTAAAGGATAAGTGACCTTTGACGTATTGGAAAGTGACCTTTGACGTATTGGAAAGTGACCTTTGACGTTTGACGTAGTGGTAAAGGAGAGTAAAGTTTTGAGTGGGGAGGCTTTATCTCAAAAATTGAATTTAAGGAAGAAGGGGAATTAAATTCCGTTACAATGACATCGATTTATTGCGTCAGCTAGCCATATTGTGGAACAAAAGATTAAGTAACCTTTGATCCTTGACCGAGAGTACGAGTCAAGGTGCATGGTGAATGGTGCAGGGTATTACTTGTCAAGTTGGTCTAGACCAGTGAAATGTCCTCATTGGCAATACGACCAAGTTTTTAGGAAGATTTTGGAAAGTTTCTAGCAAGATAATTTACCATATCAATTTTTTGGGACGTAACTCTAATTTAAGGGATTGAGATTAGGCACAAGATAGGGATGGATTTAAGAACATCATTGCTTACTTAGTCGTACTTTGTGTTTTAGTTTGTACTCGGTATGTTTATATTTTGTATGTAGATTGATGTCAATTGTATCTCATCTTTTAATGTACCATTAGTTTTATAACACTTTTATGTAATGAAAAATGTTACAAAGAGAATTAGACTCATTATAACAGGTCGCTCCTATTTGCTTATTTTGTCCATCAACCTTCGTTACCAAATAATCACTTGGAGACATCGTTTGTAAAGAATTGTGAAATCAATCAAATAACATTGGTCGAGCTGTAATTTGGTCATACGGGCATTGATAAACCTTTCGTTTACCAAAAATTTGCACAAAAGGATGGTATAGAATGGCTGAATTGTTTAGGTTTGTAATAATATTGTTAACCTTATCATCTCCCCTTTAGATTATGTTCAGAAACAAGGGAAATCGCCTGGTAATGCTAATGAATGTGCGGTAGAATAAGACGCAGGTCATTATCTGATCAGATATCAAAGTGGTAAGGGCCCCTATGGAAACAAATTTGAGAAATGGGAACCCAAGTTATGCAAGAATCATTGTTCATTGCAAATTTGTTTTAACATGCCAGACCATAATTTGTCAAATATCAACAAACAGAAAAAAAACTGATATTCATAATCTAGAATGTCGATGTATTGAGAAAGACCAATGCTAGAAACTCAGCTAGAGTCGTCAACATAAATCACACAACGATGTCATCAACATATAAACTTTGCATAGAGTTCCCAAAAGATTGATAATTTGTTAAGCAGTTGATTCGAACTTCTATGACTATTCTTAGGTCTGTTCAAACTTTATGTGAATATAATTCTTTCAACATAGAGTTGCAAAGAATCTACGCATTGTCTCGCATCCAAGTTCCTGAAGGATCCAAAGATCAGTAGCTTTTTGTAGCTGTGTGTATCCTATTATACATTCGTATATATATTGTTATATATGCTCCCAAGATTTTCCTTTCATTTTCATCTCACAATTGATGACAGTGATATATCTGTCTCAAAATGTATTTTCTTATATAATAGTATTTACAAAAAGAGCTACTTATTTTTGTGAATATCAGCAATAATGGTTTTCAGATAATTGTAGTGAAAATCTGGGGTACTCATCACAGTGTTTTGAATCTTTAAAAATTTAAGGAATGTCTAGAAGCACACCAAGTTAACTATTTTTTGTCTCCAATACTTACAAGAAAAGATTTCTTTTCATTTCTTCTATTCTTAACATTGAAACTGCTTCAAGGGTACTTGGTTTTGCTGCATTTTGTTTTGATTCCTGTTGAGTCATTCCTATCTGCTTCAAAAAACCTTTTACATTAGACCAAATTTACGAAGACGTTTAATATAGAATATCTATCAACTTTTTATTGACATAGTAATATTTTAAGGAAACTGTGAAGTATAAATTTACCACAAGCAGGAACAGTAGACTAGGAGTTTCTGAAATGCCCATCATAAACTAGGTTTCAAGAATCTTTAGTGTCAGCTATGACAGTGCTATGCATTGAGTTTTGTGTTACTGGATAATTGTTGGCATGCTTTCAATTCTTAGGGAAGTTTGGACATTGACTTTTGGACACATTAAGGTAGTTGGTTCTTTATAATGTTGAAAATCTTCTACATTTATTGGCTGTTTTCATCACAATTTTCTCATGTACAAAACTTTATTTGAGTGACAAAATATCTTTTAGATTTAGCAAAAACCATTTATATCTTTTAGATTTCCTTTCATTGCAAGGTTCTCCTCATAGTGTTGGTTGTGTAGACTGGGAAACTAATTTTTTCAATCTTAGCATGGAACCAAACATTGACAAGTACCATATTCTGGGTCGAGCAATATTCCAAATTTATCGCCAATAGCATAAGATCTAATGAATACTTGACAAAGAAGTTTAGACAAAGAATTTTTTCCATTTCAGTAAGTCCTAGTTGTCTATGGAAAGCTAAGTGACTTCTTTTTGCAGTGCTACAATACTGGAAGTTGCTGATGCTTGAGAATTCGGGAAAAAATGAAAAGCATTTGGATAAAAGCATCTTTCAATGCCTTCCATATATTTTGGAAGAAAAATTAGCTAGGTTTACAAAGCTTAGAAGATGGTACTAAGTTCCATCGGTGTAAAGAAGATGTTTGGTTATTACCAATTTCATCCACAAGTCACTCACTATTACTTTTTTCCATACCTAGGGAAGCAGTTTGAATTTCTATCATTTTGTATCAAAGGCACAGGAATATTCTGAAAATGTCAATCTAAAAAGCTGTTTTTGAATACAGTTATAAAGGCTGGTCAAATCACGATGCTTGTTTTTAAGATAAGAGAAGTCCCAGGTATCCTACCCTATGTCCTGGCAAGAAATTATGATATTTGGAAACTATTTCCTGGAAAGGAAGGTGCCATTGTTTATCCCTAATCAGGCAAAGGCATGCGAACATTTTTGACTGTTCAGTGGTTAAGCATGACAAAGTCAAACGAAGGCATAGACTACTTCTCTGATATTTTGGTAATCATTTGTAAGTTACTGATAGGTCATCTGTTTTAAGGCAACATCCTGTTTATGATTGAATTCCTTTGTAGGAGGAGCTTTACGTGTCCATTGTTTATCTAAGTGACTTCTATTGTCTGACACTGAGGTTCTTTCTTGGCGTGATGCTCTTGGAACATGACAATCTTGTTGACAGATGTTACAAAACTGTCTTGGCCTCGTAATCAAATTAAAGACCTCGCTCTCGATTTTTCCCGCCAAAAGCAATATGGAATGACTCGTTTGAGCACCTTCTATTATGGAACGTACCAATGAAAATAATCTGGAAGCTAACTTCAGCTTAGAAATGCAATAGATGCAGGTATGCCAAACACTCCTAAAGCCCGGACAGAAAAGTGCAAGGTGGTGAGAGTCCGAGGAAAACAGATTTTCAGTTCCAATCTTACAGGGTATCCCCAGCGTTCCTCTTCTGGCGCCAAGAAGGAGAGAAAGAGAGGAGAGTCATACGTACTGAAAGATTTTGTAATCCCTTTGGACTCAGTAGATGATCTTGCTAAAAAGTATAGAGGCACTTATAGACTAGACCTTCGTGGAATTAATGTCAGGCAAAATGGAAGGTATAAAGGATGGGCAAACTCTGTTGAACTGGAAAATGTATTGATGGCATGGGAGAAAGAGTTGAACCTGAAGAGCAAGAATGAACCAATAATCAGAGTGGAAAATCTGGTCGATAATACGATACCTCCAACGAATTTTGAATATATTCTTGAGAATATTGCAAATGCTGATATTGGTGAAATGTTTAATGAAAACTATTGCATTGGTTGCACTTGTGAAAGATGTACCCCCAAGGTATCCCCTTAAATTTTTGTTCAATTTTTTTATACTACTTTAGTAAGTTGCATATGCAAATATAAAGGATGAAAAACAGGCGGATAGGGCCCACTTTAAATTTTTTTATTTTCCTGCACTATCTATTAGTACTCCTTTTTGTGTTTGTAAAATTCCATAAAATGATTACTGTAGAAAGCATGAAGTCAGTGTAGTGCTCAACATAAAAATGTGAGATTGCACATCAGTTTTACTATGTTAACAAAAACTTCTTTCTGCATGCCACATGAATAGTAAAAGAAGGTTTACATGCTGAAAATGTTGCTGAAATGACTATCCTCGTGCAAGATCTCTTCAAGAAATGCCGTTCTCTGCAAACTAGCATGTATCTTGCTGGTGGCTTTTGGCGAATGAAGTTGCTCTTTGGTTTGACTGGAACCAAGTTTGCAGACTTTGACAAGATATTATTGGATGCACCAACAGCCACAAGTTGTGGGCCTGCACTATCTACTTTTCCTGGAACTTAAAGTGCCACTGAAATAAAAAAATTGAAATTATACCTTGACAAGTTCCAGAAGTGATGCGGGCTCTAGTACTGCAAGCTGTATTTCGAGTGCAATAAAAACCAAAAAATTGTGAAGGAGATAGAAATAGTGCGATACTTGTGCTCTAAATATCACTAGTTATCTAACTACAAGCCATATGCAAGGTATTATCTTACGAAAATTTGGAGCCCATACGAAATAAGCAAACTTGAGTGTAGTTTGTACCACGATTTCTTGCTGAGTATTTACCTTTTGTGAATTATTGAGTTTGTTGAATAAGAATGCTTTTGTGAACAGCTATACAAATGATGAGTAAAAGTAAATAGCGCACAACTTGATTCTAAGGAGCAAATTGACCAAGAGAAAAAGTTTACCTAATATAGAACCACACAAATTACACATTTTAGGGCACTTTCCCCACTTTCTGACTTCCGTTGCCATTGTCAAAGCATCAGTTATTGCCAGGGCCGTCAAGAGGGGATAAATTGCCCCAGGGTCTCATGGTCAGGGGGCCTCAAAAAGTAACAAAATCAAACAACAAAATGGAATTGATTAAGATTGATAAAATTATTGCTTAAAAAATAAAACTTTTAAATGTTTGCAAGAAATAGAATCATTTTAAGCTAATCTAAAATTCTTTTGCCTTTCCTTTTTGGCCTTGTCTTTCCGTTTTGCCCCGAGGCCTGCAGAATCTCCCGGTGTCCCTAATTATCATAGTAGCATCATTGTCATAGTATCGCAATCCAACCTAGTATCCCAGTCTATAAATAGCACAACGAGATGTAATTCAGCGTCTATTCACACCCTATATCTTTTAGCGTATCAAACTGCCTATCCCTATCAAGTTTCAAGTATCACGTTTTATACAATTGGTAACTTCTTAGCTTCTTTCAGCCTTCAGTATGGCTGAATTGACTATGGAAATCTTAATGCGTCACTCACCCCAGCCTCTTTTTGCACGACCTACCTGCAAAAAATCCCCAGAAATTCCTATTTATGGGGCCAAAATAAAAGAACTAAACTTGTTTTCGAAATCAGCAGTGATCAGAATCGACAATTAAAAGAATTTAAATTTTTTCATTTCAGTGGCACTTTAACAGATCTAGTTTTTAGGTGTGCAAATGGAATTTGTAAAAGTATGCTTTGCATAATGGAGTGCAAAAAAGCAGATTGAAATATGTATCAACTTCCCAAGATGCTATAATGCTGTTTTTCATAACAATATTCTGATATCCCCAAGAGCCTGGCCCTAGTTTAGCCAAGCTGACTTGAAATAAAGTAGCACAGTGGTATGAAATGTATGAGCCTCGTGCAATTTTGTTTCCAAATGTTGCCCTAGAAAAACCCTTAGAAATTCAACAGCTCTTGGGGGAATATCTCTTTTATCCGTTTTGTACTGCATTGATGAGGTAGTGGAGACCCATTACTTTGTCAATGGTAATTCAAATGCCAGACAAAATATTTTTTATTGCTTAAACCGTGGTCTCTCAAAATTACACTGAAATTTTGCTTGCATCTGCAAACTGTGTTTAATCGGGTTGATGAATTAAGTACTGTTAGGATGTTTCAAATCTTTTCCCCACTTTTTCAACATTTTTTCAAGATGGTTTCCTCATAAACACCTACTTTGCCTAAAAACAGACAGACAGCCATGTCAAAAAGCTACCCTAAAATACGTACCATGTGACAATGCATGTGATGAATTTCAGTGGATTTGTAGAGATGTAGAGGAGTACCTTACTTTTGTTGAGAACTTCTTCAAGGCCTAATTTAACGAAGGTGAATTTTTTCACATAGACTATTCAATGTTTTTACGGTAAAACATATTTGCCCAAAGTAGCATGTTTCCAGATGAGGCTGTCAAAAGGTAAAAAAGAGATGGTGAAAAGTATGGGTTGATAGGTCCAATTGTTGCGTTTTGATTTGGGTGAAGTACTTTTCACCAAATTTTTCTAGAATCGTCTTTTGGATTTGCAATCCTGATACCCTGACAGGTTAGGGCTCTAGGCCATAAGCAGTGATTGTAGTCAAGCTCTTTACCATAGTCACTGGCCATTGTATTAGAAACACGATTCTCATGTTGTGTCCTTGAGGTGGTGATACAGCAAGTGCTGTTCACCGTCTGCGATTTCTAGTAGCACTATTCTTTCTATGTCAACCAGCCTTCCCCTAAGCCCGTAATGGCCCCATAAGTGTAGGCAGTTAGACAGCACCTTCAAATTGGAAACAAAGGGAGTGTTTTAAAGTGACTATGAAATGAAATTTTGCACACAGTTTTTTTGAAAGCAATTGAAACTTCTACATGTTGTTGCAATATGAAACAAAAACTAACTTGAAAATTTGCATGGGAAAGTTTGTTTTGGGGGTTTTGAAAACAATGACTGTTAGTGACAAAGCATAAGAATCGGTGATGTCACAAGGTTTGCAGTTGGTTCCGTCTTCACAGTAAGCATACCACACTACTTAGTCAAGGCTGTTAATCAAACAATTGTGCAAGTTTTGATACCAGCATGAAATTTGGCAAAAAGAGGAAGTTTGATATGCTGAAAAAGACTGGATTTCGACCCTGACTTAAAATTGTCCCCTTTGGCTATTTTAACTGTAGTTCCAATAGCTACCTCCATTTTGCTTAGTGTTTGCAAACTTTGTGATGACACAGATAACGCGCGCTTTGTCACAGTTGGAAACCTGAAAAAGGGATATTTAACCTAAATTTTTAGACAGTTCTGCAAGAAAAAAATCGCCGCAACATATGTAATTGAAATCAGCAAATTTTGCTTATAAAAAGTGTTCCTTTATCTAAACTTCTCCAGTTTCATTTCATAGGCACTTTAACAGGTTACATTTTCTTAAAAATGAGTATGCATAGCAGAATATTTGCTATACAGTTGTCAGGTAGGGGAGAAGAAACACGATAGTTTCATGTTCTTTTACCAATAGCTATGGTTAATCAATTCGTTTTGATTAGAAACAAAATCACGAATACTTTTATAGGGAAGCAAAAAATAAAAAATTGGGTGCCTTCAGTAGGGGTATTTTCCTTTCCTTGCAGGACAAACATTAAGCCAGCAGGAACAAAATCCCCTGACATCATTATAAGAAAAAATGCTCTTGTTTGGATTGTTTTTGAGCTGTTCAAAATTTCAAAGAACTAATACCAGCAACATTTGACTCCTCGCTGCCCTGCAGTAGCATAGCACCAGAAAATGACTGCTTAGCTGTTGTTTTCAGACTCAATTTCTTGAGAAAATATTTTATACATGTTATGCAAAATAGTTTGTTGTCTCCCTTCTGTTTAATGATATGATATGACATCTTTGAGTGATTGAATCTGGGGAATACTGATATACATTCCCAGCTTCACCTTCACCATTTGAAAACAACACAGTACAATGTCATGCTCATCATCAAAATTTGTTGGAAACTCAAGAGCTAATAAATTTCTTTAATCAGGATGTCTGCAGCAAGGAATTGTCTAGGTGTTCAGCAGAGTCTGAGAAACATGATGTTGCCACTCTCAGAGTTTGTTCATAGTTTTCTTTCTTTGAGGTCAAATAAAAGCAATTTATGGGTTTTTGAGCTGTCAGAACAATAAGGCATCATCAAAAGATAATATATTCAACTTGACCCTGAAGAGCTTTTACAAAGAAACTTACAATCTTGTTGTTGGGAGCCACACCCAACCCCATCTACCCAGACCCAGCCTGAGCAAACCCAGACCCAGCCTGAGCAAACCCAGACCCAGCCTGAGCAAACCCAGACCCAGCCTGAGCAAACCCAGACCCAGCCTGAGCCAACCCAGACCCAGCCTGAGCCAACCCAGACACGGTCTGAACCCACCCAGACTCGGCCTGAACCCATCCAGACCCAGCAGTAACCCACCCAGACCAAGTGGTAACCCACCCAGACCCAGCGGTAGCCAACCCAGACCCGGCCTGAGCCAACCCAGACCCGGCTTGAACCCACCCAGACCCAGCAGTAACCCACCCAGACCCAGACGTAACCCACCCAGACCAAGCAGTAACCCACCCAAACCTGGCCTGAACCCACCCAGACCTGACCTTGACCCACCCAGACCCAGCCTGAACCCACCCAGACCTGACCTTAACCCACCCAGACCTGGCCTGAACACACCCAGACCCGGCCTGAACCCACCCAGACCTGGCCTGAACCCACTCAGACTTGACCTGAACCTACCCAGACCCAGCCTGAATCCACCCAGACCCAGTCTGAATCCACCCAGACCCAGCCTGAATCCACCCAGACCTGGCCTGACCCTACCCAGACCCAACCTTAACCCACCCAGACCCAACCTTAACCCACCCAGACCCGGTCTGAAACCACCCAGACCCAGCCTTAACCCACCCAGACCCAGACTGAACCCACCCAGAACCAGACTGAACCCACTCAGACTTGACCTGAACCCACCCAGACCCAGCCTGAATCCACCCAGACCCAGCCTGAACCCACCCAGACCCAGCCTGAACCCAACCAGAGCCAACTTCAGTCCACCAGCATCCAGACTGACCCACTCAGACCCCACCGAAACCCTATTTGCACCTAGCTTTAGCTAAATTGCACCCAGCCTGATCCACCCTCACCTAAGCTGAACCCATCTGCACCAATCTATTTTAGTTGATTTTGGAACAGAGATGTTACTTTAAAGAAAGCTATGGTATGAGTTGATGACAATGACAATGACAATAAATCATGACAATGACACATTTTTATCAGCTACACACAACAACAAATAAATGGAAACTGAAAACTGCATGTGCAACACAAAACTTGTGCATGATTGCAAAATAGCACGAAACATTTTCATTGCACAGATTTCACACATCTATAAGGCTTTTGTAACCATAACATCCAGATCGAAACGCTTTCTTGAATTTTTTTGTTATCAAGTTATTCAGAATGTTTGTTGGTTGTTTGTTGGTTGTTTTTCGGTCCTTTTTCGGTGCTTTTGATTGATCTAAGATTGATCTTGGGAAATTCAGCTTGTTTCTTGTGTTTGAAAAAAGGAACTTGACCCCCTGGGCTATACTCATCAATACTTTTAACTCACAGAAAACAACACACGTTCCTTCATATAAATTTCATAATTACCTTTTGGCCATTCTTCAAATCATTTTAGTTTCATCCATGTTCTATTTTGCTTTCCCCTTTCTATTCCCTTCCTTAAGACTCTCTCTTCTTTTTTCACCCTTTTTCTTTCCCCCTGATTACAGCTCACCTCTGCTTTTTGTTGCTTTCTTTTTTGCCCCTTTTGTCCTAAGTTTCCTCTGCTCCCCAATCCATGTCATTTCTCTTTCTGTTTACTTTTTTTACTGTAAGTCCTCGAATTAGCCTTCTGAGTGAGCTTTTTAATTAAGGCACTTTTGACGTGTGGGCTTATCCGAGTGGGGGCTTATTTGAGAGGGGCTTATTGGAAGGAGGCTTATTGGAGGGGAGCTTATTCGAGAGGGTCTTTTTCAAGGGGGCTTATTTGAGGGGGGGGCTTTTTTGAGGGGGACCAATTAAAGGATTCACACTACTCTGTTCCCCTACACTCATCTATCTTCCTTTCTCATCATCATTCGTTTCTTCAGCTTTTTCCCAATCTGGGTAACTTCCATCCTTTAGTGCGGTTTTGGCAGCTGTTTGTCCCACTGTTGTTTTTGTTTCTTTATTCTGCTTTTTTGTCTCTCCCTGTATATATTTTTTTGCTTGACCTGAGTCTCAACTCTTTGTTGCCCTCTCCTTCATTTTTCTCCAAAGAATCCTCATTCTTTCCCTTCCTCTGACACCTCTTCTTTTTTATTACTCCTATCTTGTTTTTGTTTCCTTCCTTTCCTCTGTTCTACTCCTCAGATCCCCCTCTATATCCTTCTGCTCTGTTCTCCTTACATTTAGCACCAGTTTCGCTTACTCATTACATTAAGCACCTGTTTCCCCACCTTACAATTATTCCCTTCCTCTTTTCTGTCCTCGTTGAATGTTTATGTAAATAAGGCTGATGGACTCCTAGACATTGAACGTTCATTTTTCTTCTTGCATAAACAGTGGTATAGGTATTTAAAACTGCTCTGTATGCAGCCCTTTTTAGAAACAAGCTCGCTCTTAAAGCAAAGTAGTTTATAGTAAAGTATCCAGAGAGGTGGTCAGCTAGTTTGTTGAAAACGTACAGAAAAAACTTCTTCCAAAACATGATTGGCTGATCACTATTAGACCATTTTTGGACCACTTTTAGACCACTGTTAGACTACCTCAGACAGCTTTAAGGCACATTTCAGAATATTTTCATACCACTTAAACGCATTTCTAAAAACACAATCCGACCACTTTCAGACCCCTTTCAGATCAACTTCAGACAACTTTCAGACCACCTTCAGACCACTTTCAGACCACTTTCAGACCACCTTCAGACCACCTTCAGACCACCTTCAGACCACTTTCAGAACACTTTCGGACCACTGTTAGACTGTTTGAGACAACTTTAAAGCACATTTCAGAACATTTTCATACCACTTAAATGCATCTCTCAGAGCTCTATCAGACAGCTTTCAGACCACCTTCAGACCACATTCACAGAATGGAACCAGATAGATTTCCAAAACAGCTAGTACATTCACAACTCCAAAACGCCACCAGAAGCAGCAAATGATAGAAAGTGATGTAAAGAAATGATTAAGCCTTCGTAAATAGTCATTGTCGCTATGACCGACTGCAGATGAAGAAGAAGACAACTTTCTGACCACTTTCAGACCATTGTTAGACTGTTTCAATTAGACAGATTTCACACTGTTAGACCTGTTGTAGAAATTACCGCTATTAGGTAACTTTCAGACCACTGTTAGAATGCTTTCAGGCAACTGTATAATCCATGCCAGAAAATTTTCAGACCACTATTAGACCGATTTCAGACCATTTTGAGACCACTTTGCCACCACTATTGCATTGTTTTAGACAACCAGAATAGACATTTAAGAAAACTTTCAAATCACTTTACGGCATCTTTACGACCAATATCAGACTACTTTGAGACAAATTTCAGACCACTTTGAGACCATTGTGAGACCACATCGAGACTACTGTTAGAGTGTTTCAGACAAATAGAATGGGCATTTCAGACAATTTTTAGACCACTTCGATGTATTTTAAGATCACTTTCAGACCGATTTCAGACCACTTTGAGACCACTGTTATACTGCTTCAAACAACCATGTAAGGCATTTTTAAGACCACTATCAGAGCGATTGCAGACTGCTTTCAGACCACCGTTTGACCAATTTCAGACCACTGTAAGGTCACTTTAAGACCACTGCTCGAATGCTTTAAGATAACTGTGAATCTATTCCAAAAAATTCCCAGACAGCTTTCCACTGTTAGACTGTCTCTGACAATTTTCAAGCACCTTAAAAAAAATTTCAAATTGCTTTTAAAGTACATCCAAACCATTTTCAGACCGCCTTCATATTTCTCTAAAAAACGTAAAGACCACCTTCAAACATCCTCAGACTCCGTAACAAACGTTTCTAGAAATCACTCAGGAAGCCAGTTCCAAAAATAAATCAAATTATTTACAAAGCACTTTAAATTTACTTTCAGTAAACCTTCATGCCACTCCATGACAACTTTGAGAAGGCTTTCATACTACTTTCAGAATACTCTCAGATCTTGTTCAGGTTACTTTTAAACCATTTTCCTACCAATTTCAGACCACTTTAAAACTACTTTCAGAAAACTCTCAAAACATTTTCAAACCTTTCATGTCATTTTCAGAGCACTTTCAGACCACTTTCAGACCCTTTGAAGACTACTTAAGTACCATTTTTCTTCATTAAAACCCTGTTTGTCACAAATTTCAAATGCCATGCACAGGCATCACTATCCGTGATTTTCTTTGCAATAATGCAGTATTTGCACATCAGATTCCATCATTTAATGTCGGAGAAGTTGATGATATGTAAATATGTTTTTCGCAGTTAGACCAATGAAGTCATCAACATACTGAAATTGCTCCCAAAGAAATCATCAATCTAAATTGGCAGTTTCAGCGAATGATGCAACAATAAAATTTCTGAGAACCCTGGGTCTGGTTGGGTATGGGCTGGATTTGGGTGGGTTTAGGCAGGTCTAAGTGTGTCCAGGCAAGGTCTGAATGGGTTTAGGCCATGTCCTGGTGGGTTTAGGCAAAGTCCCGATGGGTTTAGGCTAGGTCCCGGTGGGTGAAAGGGGTTTCAACAAGCACAGGCTGGCAACCAAGGCCAAAAGTGTTGATATTTAAAAGCTCTTTTTGTTAACAGCTTCTTCTATGATGATTTCAGCTTGTTTTCTTTATTAGCTAAAGACTGCTTGTACACTCCAATAAACTGTTTTATGTCATTAAATATCTATTGCCTGTTTGTTGACCACAATTCAAATTGTCCTTTGCACATCGTCATGTTTTTGAAGTCTGTATGCTTTAGTCAATTCGGTAGTATTTAGGTTTGAGTTGTTCCTAGTGATATCGCTGCTTTTGGAGTTCCTAGACTCTTTGAGTCTTTTATAAGGGGGCACTGCTTAATGTGTCTCAAAAATAAAGTTATGCTTCAGACTTCTTTTTGTTACTTCACATCTGCTTGATATGAGCACCATCTATTGCTTGACCTGCTTCCACTGGCAATCGCGTTTATTGTCTCATAACTACCTTTCCTATTAATTTAAACGATTATCCACCAGTTAGATCTTTCAGAAGGATGCCCCCAATTTCTCAGAATATTTTGCTATATTTAGTATGATGGAAACATGTGGTACTGCAGTAACGTTTCAACAAATGATCTTCATTGTTTCAGGGCTGCTCATGTGCGTCAACTGATGGTAGCAGTTTTGCTTACGATAGAGCAAAGAGGATTCTCATCGAACCAGGTCTGCCTGTGTTTGAATGCCGGAAAACTTGCAAATGTTCCAAAGCATGTCCAAACAGAGTTGTGCAGCAAGGAAGGACTGTCAAAGTAGGTAGCTTAATACTTAACATAGTTACAATAGTTTCAGTGTTGCCTCCATTGATAGGCCCCTCTGAATAACAGACACCTCACAGTAACGGACACCTCTTTATAATGGACACCTCTGTGTAAAGTACGCCTCTCAATATCGGACATTCTCACAAATAGACACTTCTCAATAACGGGCAACACTCAGTAACGGGCACCTCTCAATAATGGACACCTCTGTGTAACATACACTTCTCAATAACGGACACTCTCAAAAATAGAGAGTTCCCAATAACGGACACCTCTCAGTAACTGACAGCTCTTAATAACGGACACCTTGTGTAACGTACACCTCTCAACAATGGACACTGTCACGAATAGACACTTTCCAATAACGGACACCTCTCAGTAATGGACACCTCTTAATAATGGACACCTCTGTGTAACATACACTTCTCAATAACGGACACGAATAGACATTTCCCAATAACGGACGCCTCTCAGTAACAGACACCTCGTTATAATGGACATCTTTGTGTAACTTTCACCTCTCAATAACGGACACTTTCAAGAATAGACACTTCCCAATAACAGACACTTTTTAAGGGTTTACTTTCAATAACAGACACACTCAATAAGGGACACCTCTGATTAACGGACATCTCTGATTAACGGACATCTGAACTCGATAACAAATAGCCCTATAGTGGACGCCTCCTAAAGACAAACTCCTGCCAGGAAGCACTACAATAAACATGCATACCAGGATTTTCACAACATTTCCTCCTGTGATCAAGTCCTTGTAAAAGAAACCTCCAGACAAAAGGTAACTCATTTCAATGGATATCCTGCTATTTTCTGAAAATGAATTGTTGAAATTTCTAAAAACTGCAACTTTATGCGCCATCTCACAAGAACTTTGTTCAAATTCTAGTCCTGCAAGATCTCAGTGCCGATACCACTCTTGTTCTAGTTCTTTTACCCATTAATGCAGTTCCCTCAATCTCCACAGCTCAGCTGTCTCGACTTCAGTTTCAAGAAAACTTTACTGCCTGAAGCTATAGGAAACAAGTCTCCTTTGCACTCTACATCTAATAGACAGGGAATTTTGTAGAAAAAACTAGCAAACTGCCTAACCTCAAATTTTATTTCACATTCTTACTAAATCGACCATGGAGATTCCAAATCCAAGATGGGCCAAAAAAAATTATCACCGGAAGTTACTGTTTTTGATGACGTCATCAAAAAAATGATAAAAAATCTTTAAAAATCGACCAAGGACTCGAACTCAACTTTTTTTGCATTTTTGCACTAAATTAACTATGCAGATTTCAAATCTGAGATGAAATAAAAAATATCTTGAACGGAAGTCAAATTTTGTGATGACGTCATCAACTAAGAGAAAATTCACTTTGAACCTTTTTAATTGTTTTTTTGCAACTATCATTGTCAAATATGTTCCATATTCGAATTGCACACATTCAGTGCTTTTAAAAGATGTATTGAATTTCTATTATACTTACTTTTAAACGTTCTTTCATGACGTCATCATCATTTTATGACGTCATCGCCTTTTAAAGGTAATTTAATAACGCATGAAAGGATGCCTAAAATTTTTTAGCTAGTTAAAAAAGTCATTCAAAATTGAAATTTCGTTGTATAGAAAATGATATGGATCCATTCATCCTTCATCACTGTCTCCTTTGCTGGAACTCCAGAAGAAAATGTAGTTCCACTCATCATCGTCTGCTTTAAGCTGATCACCTCACCATAATTTTTCCCATGGCCTAGTCCTCATTGGTTACGGAATTTTCTTCGATTTCATCACTAGAGCGCTGCAGATCTTGCAGTTTTTCAGCGGAGGGTGTGCGGGGCCTTGCACAAGATGAACATAATTTGTGTGAAAAAAATTTTGGAATTATTTTGCTGACTCCAGTATTTTCAGCAGATATTCACAGCTTTTTTAACGTTGACGATCGGATATTTTTGTCTTCAAGCCGTTAAAAAACGTTTTTCTCTGTATATCCTCTTCGTGCCATTTCTTATTTATTTATCAAATGTATGTTCAAAATTAGAATATGTGAAGAAATTTTTTTCCTATAAACCACACTAATACCACCTGTAGGCCAGATCATTCTTTCCATCGTATGTCTAACCAAAGCTTAAAGGCAATTTCTCTTACAATCTTCTTTTGATAATGTCACCAATAGTAAATGCTTGTGTCAACCAGTATGGATCTGGTTGTAGAGCTTCTGATTATCTGTTTTTCATTGCCTTGCGATTCTTACCCTTATCTGCACAAGTGTTTCATCACATTTCCCTTTGTATGATTATTTTTGCACAAATTTTATCGCTTTCGTGAGAATGTCTTTGCAGATTTCCTGTCTCATCGTAACTCTCTCGAGCAATTTTCCCTTTCCAGAACACTCCTAAAGCTTTTTAAATGTTAGCTTTCCTTACAACAACATTACCGGTGTTGTTTCGCAGCCAATAACTGCATGAACAGCCGGTAGATTTTTGGAACTATCTAAACCCAGGTAAGATAAGACGTTCCAAAATTAACGTACTTCTCGTTGTCAATCTTTAAGGAATATTTCCTCGAAGGCTTTTCACACAATAAGCAGAAAACTACATTAGTGTCCTTTCGACAAATAATAAATTTTATCGATGAGGAAAGAATGGAAAATCAAGTGGATGTCAGCCTCTTCATAGCTGCAATTAAGCAAGTATGTCGTGGAATCTTTGATTATCTTTAAGGTTTGTTCTTTATTGGTAAACACGAGTGCTTTCAAAATTAACTGCTTTCCTTCTTAGCCCTGGTAAAGGTTTTGGATTATCTTGATCTTTGTAATGCAGAAGACTGCCAAGCATCACTAACAGCAACAAAAACCTAAAGGACACTAATGTAGTTTTCTGCTTATTGTGTGAAAAGCCTTCAAGGAAATATTCCTTAAAGATTGACAACGAGAAGTACGTTAATTTTGGAACGTCGTATCTTACCTGGGTTTAGATAGTTCCAAAAATCTACCGGCTGTTCATGCAGTTATTGGCTGCGAAACAACACCGGTAATGTTGTTGTAAGGAAAGCTAACATTTAAAAAGCTTTAGGAGTGTTCTGGAAAGGGAAAATTGCTCGAGAGAGTTACGATGAGACAGGAAATCTGCAAAGACATTCTCACGAAAGCGATAAAATTTGTGCAAAAATAATCATACAAAGGGAAATGTGATGAAACACTTGTGCAGATAAGGGTAATAATCGCAAGGCAATGAAAAACAGATAATCAGAAGCTCTACAACCAGATCCATACTGGTTGACACAAGCATTTACTATTGGTGACATTATCAAAAGAAGATTGTAAGAGAAATTCCCTTTAAGCTTTGGTTAGACATACGATGGAAAGAATGATCTGGCCTACAGGTGGTATTAGTGTGGTTTATAGGAAAAAAATTTCTTCACATATTCTAATTTTGAACATACATTTGATATATAAATAGGAAATGGTACGAAGAGGATATACAGAGAAAAACGTTTTTTAACGGCTTGAAGACAAAAATATCCGATCGTCAACGTTAAAAAAGCTGTGAATATCTGCTGAAAATACTGGAGTCAGCAAAATAATTCCAAAATTTTTTTCACACAAATTATGTTCATCTTGTGCAAGGCCCCGCACACCCTCCGCTGAAAAACTGCAAGATCTGCAGCGCTCTAGTGATGAAATCGAAGAAAATTCCGTCACCAATGAGGACTAGGTCATGGGAAAAATTATGGTGAGGTGATCAGCTTAAAGCAGACGATGATGAGTGGAACTACATTTTCTTCTGGAGTTCCAGCAAAGGAGACAGTGATGAAGGATGAATGGATCCATATCATTTTCTATACAACGAAATTTCAATTTTGAATGACTTTTTTAACTAGCTAAAAAATTTTAGGCATCCTTTCATGCGTTATTAAATTACCTTTAAAAGGCGATGACGTCATAAAATGATGATGACGTCATGAAAGAACGTTTAAAAGTAAGTATAATAGAAATTCAATACATCTTTTAAAAGCACTGAATGTGTGCAATTCGAATATGGAACATATTTGACAATGATAGTTGCAAAAAAACAATTAAAAAGGTTCAAAGTGAATTTTCTCTTAGTTGATGACGTCATCACAAAATTTGACTTCCGTTCAAGATATTTTTCATTTCAACTCAGATTTGAAATCTGCATAGTTAATTTAGTGCAAAAATGCAAAAAAAGTTGAGTTCGAGTCCTTGGTCGATTTTTAAAGATTTTTTATCATTTTTTTGATGACGTCATCAAAAACAGTAACTTCCGGTGATAATTTTTTTTGGCCCATCTTGGATTTGGAATCTCCATGGTCGATTTAGTAAGAATGTGAAATAAAATTTGAGGTTAGGCAGTTTGCTAGTTTTTTCTACAAAATTCCCTGTCTATAAGTGGTACTGGCACACATTTTCTTGTCAACCCAGGTACTGAGGATAGTGCTCTTCCTCCTCCATGGCCTGAAAACCAGCATCCTTCGCTTATCACCTTTAAGCTGTCATACATCTCAACTTATGGTGAAAGTTCATGGCCCTAGATTTAGGAACACGTTTTAATTTTTCAACGATTTTCCTTGTGGCTTACGTCCTAATTACCATCACTGGTGCCCTGACAGTGGATTGTGTCAACGGACGCTAATTGTTCTGGAAGTGGCTTTTGTGAATGATATACATAGCTCTCCTTAGTGCGCCAATGGCTGACCCTCCAGGATACAACTCATCCCTACCAATCACAAGTCAAAGAGTCTGATGCTCTGGCACGCCAAAATTTTAAAGAATATGCTTTCAAAAGTACTGTTAACCACCACATTCAAATCAATGCCAGTTGCCAAACCCGTTTGCTGATGGCTAGAACATGTCACTCAAGATTGCTATCGCCAAAGCTGAATTAACTGCATGCAACAATTCTGCATCATCCGTCCTACTGAAGATAGCGGCTCTCCACTTCTCATGGTCTCAAGCCTACACCCAGCGATTGGCATCTTTGCTGTGTTTACAAAATCCTCAAGAAAGTAACAATACCAGGTGGATACACAAATTCTCAAATTTGGGATTCCCTACGTGCAACACATTTTTGTGCAGCTACATTTTCGAAAATTGATCTAGTTGGTGCCTACCCCCAGATCCAAGTGGATCTCAACAACGCACCAAAATTCTCTCCAGCATACATTTCATATTGTTTGAATGCCTGTCGGTCTTTTCCCAACACCACTCAGACATTCCAATGGTTTCACTTATGTCTCCTAGTCTCTGTTTCATCTATGTATACATTGACGATCTAATCATTGTCATCTCCACTAGACCTGAGCATTTGCAACATTTAGGGATTCTTTTCGCCATTTAAGGATTCGCATTACCTGAAAACACCAGTCGCAACCCTTTTCCTAATCATGGCGATATTGCCTCCAAAATGATGCTAGCTTAAATCGAAATTCGGGTACATCCTTTTTCAACTGCTCCCTATTTAATGGTCGCCAATATACATCTTTTTGGACCTCTTCCATCATCTAAAGGTTTCATATTGCAACTCTCTTGAAAAGCATTGTTCCTCCCTCACGTTGACCTGGAGCATTTTCCCTTGCTTACATCAGAGCTAAGACAGTTGCCGTTGGTCCCCTAGCCATAGCCAAATTGTTTCGACTATGAAAAAGATCTAGTTTGGAAATATTCCCATCAAAGTCTTGTTGCTACTGATAGGATATCCGTGAATGTTGCTAATGATAGGATGGTCGTGTAAAAGGCTGGGCAACTTTCAGACAGAGCCTTTTTCTATACGCTATTTTGCTTCTATATTCCATATAGGGGCCAGCTAGTCCATCGTCAATGCGTCCTTCTTATTTATTCAAGCATAAAAAAGTTTTTCACCAAGAGGACATGTTCGACAAATTTAAATCTGAGATTTGGAATAATCACCATCATTATATGATTTGCAGGCCACTTGTGAAGAGAGGTGGTTTTCGCAGCATTGGTTTCTGGGATTCTTTTGGATCCCCAGACGTGGTTGAAACAGGAGTCCTGTCTGATATGAGGATTGTGATTTCATAATCCATTCGTTCTGCAATAGACCATGTCTGGAGATCCAAACACTGGGGATCCAAACACTGTCTGTATTCTAAAAGTGAATACTTCCCAGAATCTATGATTACAATCAATGAAAGCTAAGAATCCCGAATTTTTCTAGAAGACCTTCTTACCATAGTTGCCAGGTGGTAAGAGCGCTTAAATGCAGTGCTAAAAGTTCCTTGCTAGAATCAAGGTTTGCCCGCTAATTTAAACACACGTACATTGTCAACAAAGCAGCAATACGGTGTCCTTTGACAATTTTAGGGAGGCTGAAGGCAGTGATGAATAGAACTTTGAAAATATTTTCTGCTTTTCCGTGCTATTTTCAAATTTTGCGGTACCAAAAGGTTTATTTAGAAATAGAACTGGTGACCAAGCAAACCTTGTCATGATTTTCGCCAAAGGCAGGTGCTATTTGTACCAGGCACTTATTCTATGGACAAGATCATCGATGGTCCTTTATGAGATTCACCATCAGCTTTTGGATTGACTGTTATAGATACCCCTTTTTATTGCTTGAGCTCTGCTAAAGCGTTTGTTGTCGAGGTATTTTCTTATAAATTTTTGTACCTAAAAAGTCGAATTGTTTTTATTTGACTAGGTAATGTATCTATCATATCTAATTGAAATTACCTGTCAATACAGGTAATGATTTTCAGAACACCTGATGGAAGAGGTTGGGGTGTAAAGACTTTAGATATGATTAGAAAAAATCAGTTCGTTTTGGAATATGTTGGTGAAATAATCACAAGCGACGAGGCCGAGCGCAGAGGAAAAATTTACGATGCTGCGCAGCAAACATATTTGTTTGACTTGGATTTGGAAACGGGCGAGGCCTCTTATACCATCGACGCCTATCGCTATGGAAACGTCTCTCATTTCATCAATCACTCAGTGAGTACTGATTTTGAATTGTTATGGGTACATTTATGGTTTTATCAAATTATTGTTAGTTTGATATTTTTTGTCCTATGAAAATTTGCACTGGTGCTCAAAAATACGTTTTGATATATCTTACTCTATCTATTTATGACTCTATAAAGAAACCTTATGCTTAAACATCGTTGTAATGTTCTAAAGGCTATCTTCGATTTCTGCCAAAACTTCGATCCTCGGTGGTCTGCAGCATGCCCCTGAGAGGGAGCTCAAGTCATCAAGAGCCAGCTCTGGTTCAGGATAAAGCTTTTCAATTGGTTTTCCTTATGACCCTGTACAACCCATTCGGCATCTAGTTTCGGGGTTTTTTACCGCACTCCTTCACCCACTTCTCGATAGCCCGGCATCTCTTCAAATTGTGAGTAACCAACGCATAAGTTGTTGTTTTTGACATTTTATTTTATTTTTAAACATTTCTTAATAATGTCTTTCAGTGTGATCCAAATCTGCGAGTGTATGGTGTTTATGTTGATTGCATAGACGCTCGTCTCCCTCGACTAGCTTTCTTTGCTACAAGAGACATTCCAGTTGGCGAAGAGCTCACGTTTGATTATCAGTCGTCGGCAGACCATGATGCGGGAGCCAGTCCCATGACTCCAAGCAAATTCAGGAACAAATCGAACCAATCTTTGAAGAAGTTCCTTTGCGCATGTGGAGCTAAAAATTGCAGAAAATATTTGTTTTAGTCTTTTCTTTTACTTGGTTAGATATTTTGACTTGAAGATATTTTTGTATTCGAAAGATGATTTTATAACTGTTGTAAATGCTCTTTTACGTCTATAAAATTTGATACTGAGCTTTGTGAAATGTTTTCATCTTTGGTATCAGAAAAGCTCTTGAAGACATCTCATCTCCATCATTGCTGCCTGGTTTTGTATTTTACTTTAGGAAATTATCAGCCGGACGGTCTACTCTATACTGCTATGCTATATACAATACGTTCAAGCCAGTGTAGCTGGTTTTAATTGTGTTTTTGCTCAACTATTCATGGAAACGTCTCAAGACAAAGTAACTAAAAACAGAAACAGCTTATCAAGGCCAAAAATTGTTTCATGTGAACTTCTCAAAACAGAATAAAATCACTCGTATGAGCTATTTAAGACACACAGTCCAGTAAACTAATAAAGAAAAAAACAGATGAACATATGGAGACAGAACAACCAATCGTATGAGAGCTTCTAAGGACAAAATGATGAACTTCTAGAGATAGAAAGCAACCACATATGTGAACTATTCGAAACAATATCATCCACTAATATGACTTTTAAAGGCAGAAGTAATTACTCGCGTGAGCTTTTAAAGACAAAAACAACGACCCACATGAACTTCTAGAGACAAAAAGCAACTACATATGTGAACTTCTTGAAACAAAAACATCCTCTCGTTTAAAAACAGTCTGTCCTCTTCGTAATTGGCTAATTCTAACTTGAAAGCCTCGCCGGAAAGAGGGTCTTCCTCTGCCTTTTTAGCATCCGACATTAGTTATTGTGAGTGAACATTACAAAAATTGCCTGATCTTTATATCATCAAAACTTATTTAGACGTTTGCCACCGAATCAAATTCATAGCAACTCCTCGCTCAGGGAAATCATGCCATTGTGGTTATTCATTCCGATTATTTATTTGTGCATTAAATCAACGATGCATGAATATCGTGGCCATGAAAAGAGATAATGTGACAAACTTTTTGACAATTCGACAAAGTTTTTATTTTTTGGAACGTATCGGTCATCGAGTTGTTGTAAAATTGTGATGTGATTAAGTAAGAGCCGGCATAACACTAGTCTGTAACTACATATAAGCCCTAGCAATTCATTTTTATACTGTTCAGTCGTAATTGTGTACTGAATTTTACAGGATTCAGAGAGAGGAAAATGTTACAAGACAACTTCCCCCCGTATCCAAGTCTACTTGCTATCCTGCTCTGCTCATTACTTCCAGCCAGTAATTTCACACCAGTATCGTAGGAAGACTTTCTTTGCTATGAGATTAAAATCTAGCCATACGCTAAAATGCAAGTTTCACTGCACCATTCATTGCAAATCCAGTCAGCTTTATCTTCTTTTATCAGTTGGCTGTCCACAGAATTCTTCCTATCCTCAATATGTACCTCTCTTATTGACTGGTGATGCATTACAAAAGCTTAAGCCATTAATACCGCTTTTTCTTCAGTCGTTTAAGATGGCGAATGATCAGTTTTCCTTACATCCTTTGATAAAAAAACTTCTGTTTTGCATCCCGCGCTCCTGCTTAACATCTTTCCTTTTAAAACTTAGTGATACTTAACTAAAGATAACATAATATACTGCCCGTCTGCCTAACATTACTGATGGTCCTGCTTTGTGTATTTTTAACTTCACAGTCATCCCTCGGATAATACACGTGAGTTCTTTCCATTGAATTACTTGGCTGCTGACCGGTACAGCTTTATATTGACATAGAAGCTGATACACACGTACATTTTCTTATCAAAATACTAAACTCACGATCTGTATTCTGTCTTTTGCTTATTTGGGTTGATTTTATTGCTTATAGTTTTTCAAGCTTTCATTGGCACCATACTAATTACCTACTTTTTAGATGCAAGAAAATTGAAAACATGAAGTAGAACACCGAGTCAGTCACAAGACGTTTTTATTTCTATTCAGCTGAGCAGGCAGTTGCCCGATGAAAGCATTTAGTGTGAAACTCAGAGTAGCAACTTAGAACTGTCCTGTTCTATTCACCGAATGGTTTGTACAGCTCTGCCTTTGCTGTATCGAGCACTTTATGACTGACCGGTACACAGTAATTTTCAGCTGAATAAGAAAAGATTCCTGAGCATAAAATATAATCATTTCCATATAATCTTATCAACGATTCCGAGAAGTTTCTTAAGGTTGGGGGCCAACAATACTATTGTCTCTTTGGTCATCTTAGTCGAATTTATGTCAGCGTTTCACCAAACTAAAAATTATTGTGAAGCTGTCTCATTGGCTAGGGTCGCAGACTACAGATCGAAGAGTCTGAAGTTTGAGTCCCTGACATGACCAAACTTTCATTTAGAGTGCGGGGAGCCGCCTCTCTTTCTCCCTCTACCCTTTCATGACCTCAAAGTTTGCTGTGGTATAATCTTTCAAAAAAGGCGCAAATGTCTGTGTTACAGTATATTTATTTCGCGTGACGCATTTGTTTAATTAAAATCGAACCCGGCACGGTTTTTAACTTTTTCTATAGCAGGAAGGAGGTTCTTTAACATCAAGAAATTTTTTTAATCATAATCCTCTTGCTGTCTTGCTAGATTTGTACTTAAAAGGATCCGAAAATATTAAAAGAAGCCTTAGTAGAGTTAATACCCATGATTTCTTTGTGGTAGCTTCAAAATTCATGGCAACAGCGAGAACTGAGCAGATGGGACTAATATTGTGTGTAGTTTTCATAAGTACCGCTGTACAGCTATAACAGTCAATCAGCCTTAAACAAGCTCGATATCATGATCCCATTTTATTGGAGAACACGCATCAATTGGGATCTTTGCATAGTTTGCTGGCTATTGCTCACCCGTGAGCTGCAGTAACTGTTAGACGGAATGAGAAAAATCACAGTTTTCACCCTACGTCCATGGGCATAGGTTATCATTTTCATGCATTGTAAAAAACCTTTCATTGCTGATTAATTATTTCGTCATTCTTATAAAGAATCACTACTCGCTTCCAAAACATCACTTCAAATTGAAGATTAGTCACGTTCATGTTTAGTCTTGATTATAACTTTTACTTGCAGCCTTAATGAGACATAATTAACATTAGGCCTTGTACATATTATGCTAATTTTGAATGGAAAGGAATCTGCACCATTTTGCTTTTTGTTGATATTTGCTTTGTTGCACAGATGCTAAAACTAGTTTTTTTGCTTCAAAAGTTTAGAATTGTCTATGATTGCCCTGCTTTTTTAGACCTTGTGACAAAATAACCAGGATCTTTGCAATCAACCAGGATCTTTGCAATCAAAATACTACGTTTGATGATATAGTTTATAAACTGTCTAAAAGTCGACAGATCTCTTCTTTTCCATTAGATCCTTTCAAACATTTATGGTTTAAAACTTTTTATGGCGCTTGGTACAATGCAGTGCAGTGCAGTGCAGTCCAGTAAAGTACAGTATAGTATAGTAACAGTACAGTAACACAGCTTTGTGCATTTCAACACACTGCCTATAGGCCATTGGTAGGAAACACCATAAATAACGGCAACTCAGTTGTAGATTGTCCGATGTAAATAGATGTAGGTTTCGCTAGTACTATGAGCCCCCTTTACAAATATCGATATTTAATTTTGATTCGATGTATGCAAAAAATTAGCTCAGTTTTAATGGCATGTGAGTTATATTCTCAACTGGAACGTTTTCTACCTCCGTATACTTTATGGCCTGCTATACGGAGCTAAAGTCAACGACTTGTGAAAGACTTCAACCCACTAGAAGACACTAAGCTTTTGAAGGATCATCCAATTTACATAGAACGTAGCGTAGAATAACATAAATCGTTTAGCTGGAATGTATAGCTGTCTCCTGATCTAGAAAATTACATAGAACTTGTCCAGCATAAGTCGTTTAGCTGGAATGCTTAACTCTCGTCAACTAAAAGATTACTTCGAAGACCATCTGTTTCAAATTATCTCATCGAAGATTTTAGCACAAGGGTGGGTCTTCACATATGCGAAGTATTAAATTTCTATTAAGCCACGTCTGCTATTGGATTGACCTGCAGACGTTTTCTCTTGAAATACTTATTGTCTTTAAGAAAAGCAATTTCGCACATGCATTCCATAATATTTAGGTTTTCTCCACGCGAACTCATCGTAATCATTAAGTAACGTTTCAGGTTTTAAACTGTCAAATTATATTCTAGTTTGTAACATTGAAATGAATTCCAATGTCTTTGTTGCATTAAGGATCAATCAGGGTTTAAATCCCTGGTGATGAACTCTTATCTGCAGCGCAACTCTGCAACGCGCAATATTTTATTAGTTTAGCCTGTAGAGTTTTTGTCAAGAATCTTCAAGGAGTTAAGTGTCCATCTCTAGATTCATTCCATGATGTAAAATGTTGTCATTTTCATGCTAAAATCATTAGCAACTGGCAGTGACGTCACAAGATCTAAGAGAACCAGTCTCTTGAATTGCGGAAGAATAGCCACGGTCGGCCAAATTATATACACGCATCTTAACCTGCGAATAAATGACAATTTCCGTTGGTTAATGCAAATTTCCAATTCTTGTTCATTTTTCATCCACAGCGACTTAATTTTCGTGCCTTTGCTGTTGAATATTCATTAGAAGATACATTATAATGGTCAGCTCTAGCGAACGGCCAATTTCGCCCCTTATTTCGCCCCAGGTAACAGCCGGGCAATGGATATTTCCTTATATTCAACTGAACATATTCTGTCCCATTCAGGAGTTTTTTATTCACTTAATAGTTCTGTTTATTTATAGACGTTATACCTTTTTAGATCCAATTACATGTCTACATTTAATTGCTAATTGGTCCCTGCGATGTAACGAATGAACGTTGTTAACTTGACACCTCTATCTTTTCACTTTCAACCTAAAAAAATTTCCGGGATTAATATCGTACTCCAGCTTCTTGTTAGGAATATTTCTTGTGGTTGGAAGGTTGAATATTTTTACTATGGATTGGTTTGGGGTTATCTTCTTTAGCTACTTGTAAATTCAGTTTGCCGCGGTTCTTTATTCTACTGGGTCTGCTCTGAGATTTTGAAAAGAAACAAACTAACCACTGGTTTACTCCAGTCGAAAATCTACAGCTGTCCGGCTCAACAAGGATTTCTCCTTAATGCATCGATAGCCTCAAAGCGTGAATTTTTATTCAGTATTTATAACAAGAATGAAGTTAACTGTATTAACATCTGTAATTTCTGTAAAATCGTTGATAAACAATTTTCAAGAGTAAATGCCTAGGATTTTATGATTTTCTGAGCGTTTGTATCGACCGTCGACCTAATGAATCTGTTTTCGTAATGAAACTAGCTGTCTTCTGAGCGATGACCCACTGAATCTATGCACTGAAATTTTGCCCATTTTGTGACGAGATTAGATAAAAACACGATCTTTGTTTTTCCAAATCTTTGCTTTGTATCTTAAGATTTTTTTCACACTTCAATTGCGGAATTCTCAAACCGAGAGACAGTACTTTAGCGAAACCTATGTCATTTTTGAAGTTAATTCTGTAATACGGTCCTTTCAGCTTTGTGAAGTGTATCAACGGAAAAACATTCGTCCATTATTATTCCCATTATCTTCACTTTTTGTTTTATACTTTAATTCTCGTTCCATGGTCTTTCCTAATTTTGAAAGTAGACTAGTGATGTATGGTTTCTGTCGTTTTCTAATAGTTACGTATTCTAAACGGGGAACGAAATTGGATCCACTGTTTTACCTTTCTAGATAGAAAATTTTGTGTAGATTGATAGTGACGCACATTACATACTTTGAAAGTGTGAAAAGATTCTCTTGCCAAAATTTTCCAAATAATAGCCAAAGAAACCTTTTCTTTGAGGTAAATGTTCAACTTTAATTAATGTGTAGGCAAGCTATTTAGGTAGGTATGGGGTGAAATTATTTTTAAGACTTTAACATGAACAATGCTTAAAATGCGTAAATGTAATAGACAACTTTGTTAAATTATTGTATCAAAGGCTTTTGTTATGGAGAATAGGAATCTTCTGCAGAGAGTCATCTGCTCTTGATGCGATCACTGTAGTTTCATGTGATTTTGGCAACCGTTGTTCGCAACTGGCCCTTGACGATACCAGCTTCTCAAGGCAGTACGATGCAAATTCACGTGGTCGCATCGCGTGAGGCCCACCAAGAGGAGAGCAGGACGAAAACCATGGCTCAGCATATTTCCGTCGACTTTCCCTTTACCACGATCATATGCCTCTACAATAATCCTTCATAAGTTTTAATAAGCAGTTTTTTCGCGGGAAATATAAGGAATTATCATTTCGAAGATGGATATGTGAGACCAAAAGCGTCCTTTACTGCGAAAGGCAGTTATCTCTTTAGAATGATCGTCACATCGGCCAAGTTGGCTCTGTACTCTTCTATTGTAAATCAAGGTAGATTCCACTTAAAGGAAATGGCCTGTAATGTGAAAATAATAAATATGTGAGTTTTTTGCAGAGCTTTGTTTGTGTTTTCTCAACGGCTGCGGTACTAAGGCGAAGTGGAGACAAGACCCTCCTATTTCAGATGTAGCAAAGTTGATTAAATTTTTCTTACATTCTCAAAAGGTTTCTTTTCCCCTGTGTAGGATTGGATATCATCTTGACATGATTGGACCCCTTACAATGATACTTTAAACTCCATTGAAAACCGAAACGCTCAGTGTCTTGTAATAGATCGCGAATGAAGGGCGTTTGTAAGTGAACGCAAATATTCTGTTGGCCCGTCAACACAGTACCCGTGATTTCACAGCCTGGGATAACAGAGTGCTAGCGACTCTCTTCACTTTAAATAAACATTTCGTCATGTCAGGGACTCGAGCCCCAGATCCCTGGATATATAGTCTGCAGCCCTAGTTAGTGAGACATCCTCGCATCCACGTTTTGCTAACGTGACCTACTCTACAAATCTTCACTGTTAGATTTCTTTGAACAAATTTAAATAGATTCAATCACTTGCTCTTTCTCATTTTTTAATCTCAATATTGCCTTATTTTACACGAGCAATTTAGCTCAGAATTAGAACATTTGAAAAGGGAGGTCACAATCGATAGACGGTATGGCTTTTTTACTCCTATCAATTAAGCCATTGCCTAAAATCTTTACCCTTAATACCTCAAATCGTAGTTTACCCTGCAAAGTTAAGCCACAGGAAATTCCAAATATGCATTTCTGCTAAGTATCAATGCCCAATTTGGTTTTTCAAGTAAAATCTAAAACTGAAAGAGCCACTAGAAATCAAGTTTCCTAAAAAAGATGTGATTGAAACACGAAGTTAAACAGAAAATAGCAAATCCATGCGTGCATTAGGTTTCCATTTCACATGTGGAATAGATAATTCCCTTCTTTGGATCAATTAACACCAAAGAAGCCGAAAAATGCCACAAAACTGCTTTAGTTGTTTGGCACTACCATAAGTTAGGGATTTTCTCTTTTTGTCGTTCCTTTTACACCACAAAGATAAACCCCTTACCCCCAAGAAAGCTTCGTGCATAATTTTCTATTCGCATTGTTATCAAATCAAGCTTTGTTAATGTCGATGTGTTGATGAACATTTCAAAAGAGCTGGCTTTCAAAACGTTAATCACATTTGGATTTTCTAGCCCCTAAAACCAAGCTTTTGGTTAGGTTTCCAAACATGGTATAAATTGACATTTCGCTCGATATTCCCCTTTGTATAGCAATCACTGTGAACATACTCAGTACCCAAGCTGATTCGAGTTTTATAGGGCCACGCCAGCCCAAAATTTAATTTCAGAGTACGATGTAATCAGGCCTCCTAAACAAGAATCTGCTAGTATTCTTTTATAACTTTTACCGTTATGTAGCTACAAGCGTCTGTGAATTGGTCATTGAGATGAATTGCTTTTCAACCGTATTACCGGAGCACTTCGGACCTCACAAACATTTTTAGCCTCTCTGTTTAAGTATCGTCGGCTGTCCAAAGAGTCAGCGAAAATTTAGCAAATTTTACAATACGGTAAAAAAATTTTCAGATAGCGATTGAAAGTTATTATTTGGTTTTATTTTAAAAGTTATTTTGAAGCGAAAGTTGAGGTCGCCAAATTGAACAGAGATTTGATAGCTGTCTCTATCTGAGGAGCCTCCTTTCCGAAAAATGGCGTCTTATTTCAAGGCTAGTCGGAGACAAATTAATTTTTTGGAGGAGGAAGCTTTTTCTAACAAAGCAGTAAATATCTCGAAATTTACCCACAATTATGTCCCCAATTTACCCACTTAAAAGCATTGTTACACTCATGCTGCCATCTTCTTCACTCTATGTCTAGAAGAAAAGATGGCTTTCCAACATTGGGGCTTTGTTTCAAAGACTAACCATTATTCAAGGATCGATTTGAAAATTTTGTTCCATAAAACTTCTTTTATTGTTTTATCTGACCATTTCTGAAAAAAATGATGCAGAATGTATTCGTGGCAAAACGTTATTTTAAAATTCGTCAATCTTTTGCAGTTGTGTTGTCTATTATTATTATTTTTAAAATGGCTTTGAAAACAGCAAAGATTTTACAACATATTAGCTAAAAGCTTTCTTGTCTGAGCGTTATAATAAGGATTGCGTTCCTACCAGCTAAACAAGTTCCGTTATTCATGAATTTACGTGCCAATGTGATTCTGGCTACGTAGGGCGCACAACTCAAAGATTGGGGGATAGGATAAACAGCATGTTCCTTCCAACATAAGAAACAAAACTGCCCCTCAAAGAGAACCACCTCCTCGATCTTGTAGGTCTAGAAACACTATCAAAACAAGTGATTCTGCCATCAGTCAACATCTTTTAGACAACCCAGAGTGTGCAAAACTCTATAATGACGACATGTTTCGGATGATGGGCAGAGCCCGGTCGTCCTTCCAGCTAGCAGTTTTGGAGTCGATCTACATACAAACAAAAAAGTCGCCATTGTGTAGACAGAAGGAGTTCGGTTTCTCTCTTAGACTCCTGTGGTAATTTTTTTTTAGGCATGCGGCACTGATTGAGCAACTATACCGGCCTTGTGCTTGTTTTTTTCTGATTGGCCTATTTCGACCCACAACTGGGTATATATTTTTTATCGTGTTCTTTCGGACTCTTATTCTGACGTTTTATGCTCTGAGGAGTGTCAGGCGAAAAAGCTTTTAGCTAATTTGTTGTAAAATGTTTGCTTTTTTCAAAGTAATTTTCAAGTTATGTACCGCCAAAAAATTGTTCATTATTATTTTTAGGACAAGTTTTGTTTTTTTGTAAACAAAAAATCAGCTTTTCCTTTGTCGTTTATTCTTAGAACGATTGGAAGTGTTTTAGGGATACTGCAAAATGCAAAAATTATAGAAAACTTTTATTCTCATGATTATTCATCATTTTAGTCTGTCTGTATTGGAATAGTTTCATTCTATAAAGTGACAAAAATTTCTGTCAAGCAAACTAACACTCCTTTTTATCCAAAATTTCTACCGCTGTCAACACAGCACAGTTTCATAACAAAGTGTTCTTAATAGGGAGATATACCTTGGATACCAGACTCACTTCACATGAAATTTATATAAAGTGAGTATTACATGTAAATATAATACCCATTCTATATAAAGTGAGTCTGGTACCCAAGGTAAGGGAGATGTTGCGTAACAGTGTTTACAAATGGGCTTAGCTACTAGCAGTTGGCATGTAGCACAATTTTTTCATATCAAATTATTGTGTGTACAAGCCCCGCCCATGCCCCCGGTTTTTACGATCCTTATGCAGCAAGTTAGATAATGAGCAAAGAAACACCAAAATGTTTTATGCTTTCACGTATAGCTATTCTACAGTTATTCGTAAAGCAGCAATTTAATTTATAATTCACACTCACGTACATCTTTCCGTAAGACAATTTCTTCAAGAACACAGAATACAAAGCCATTCAAATTTAAGCTGTCAGATTTGCTGTTTCCCGAAATAATTCTAGGAAGAGGATATGCCAGTTCCTAGAACTTCTTTGCATGTATTCCAGTGTTGCTATTTGTTAGTTTTTAATTATCCCTACTGGCATTATTGAAAAATTATTACAACTTTACAAGCATAGATTAGTCTACTGCACTACGTTCAATGTTCTAAAGAATATTACTGAGGTACGGACACCTGTACAAGTTTCAGCACTCTACAAATTTTGGCTTTATATTCATATGTGCCATGTAGCGGTCGCAAGTAGGGCTGCAACAGTATTGGCCGTCGTATTGTCCATACCCTCTTTTAGCCACTACAATAAAGAAAAATATATTATTTCCAAAAATACTCTATATTCGATTTTACAGTTATAGGATAATTTATATCAATTGATTCTTTGGTGTCGCAAAATTTCACAATGGCTGGAACTGAAGGCAATTTCAAATTTTGCTTTTGTTTTTGCAACGCTTTGCAAGAAGAGTATCTAACGAAAATCTTTGAGTATGTAACTTCTCTACTTTTCTGCGCTACTTACAATAGTTTTTTTGAAGAAGAGTTGCATGTGACTATATTAATGGGCGCTAAAAGAGCCATCAACCCGCAAATGTATGCAAGGCTTGTTTGAATGTGGGCCGGCCGTATAATGGATGGCTTGAAAAGTGGTTCCACGTTTGAAAATAAACTAGGACATCAGATCAACTATCAAAATTAAAGGCTTCAAGTTGATGCTCCGTCCTAACTTCATATTGTTAGTCAACAATAATGTTAGTTCATTCCTTCATAGATAGTCGTTAACCTTGTATTGCATGTTTGTTTGAGTTCTCAAATTGCCAAAGATGTATTTCAAATGTCGTTTTATGCGCACGAAGAATAGTGCATCATATATTGTTTTGCTAGGATTGAGACAGCTATAAAATCAAAATAGACATACTTGTTTTGTCATTAATGTTCGTTGGCCTAGCAATTGAAAGCTGCTTATTTGAAATGTAATGCAGTCTTTTTACGTGATACCTTTCTTGCTGTATGATTTCGGAAGCATAAAATTCGTTATAATCATATAGATTTTTAACATATAAAGTGCTGTTATGCAACTTACAAGGCCACGCTTTGTCAATATCGATTTCTTCATCTTCCAAGAAAGCTTTAAAAAAATCAGAAATTTTATTGATACTAGTTAAAGAGCCATTAAAATACTTTGGCTGACAATAAATTTTTCTGTTACGTATCGTTATTATTATAAAAATGTCCTGTTTTATGCTTGGATTTATGTTGGTTCTTGAATGTTTTGCTTTTTGATCGAGGAAAGAGTTGTGCTAGAGTGGCTTACCTCGCTCTCTGATGTCATCTATAGCTGTGTCTATGAAACGTGCCATATCTGCAAAAAGTTTTTGGCTGTTAGTCAATGTTTTTATAGTAAGCTAGAAAAAGGAAGGCCTTTCTCGATAGTGGAGCTCTCAGGGGCTGCGAAGGGTTTTTTTAGACTCTCAGGGGCTGAAGTGGCCTCTGAGGGGCCTTCAGTGGCTTGGGGGCTAAGTCGTCCAATAAGTTACTACTTCTCAAATTTGTTTTTAAGATCTTTTTGCAATCCGCCTTTCTTTCATTGCACCACAATCCTGTATTAAAGAACAAGGCATTTAATTTACTTCAAATTTACTCCATGTGCAGGGACAATGTTCATATAACGACGACCAAAGTTTTCTAGTCTGTTCAATCAATTATACAACCAATCCTTTTGTGGAGGTATTTCCCTGAAATATCATGCATGAACGGATCACATCAGCATGGCAAAGCTCTTTTAGACAAAAAATATTTGCATTGCTTGCCATATATCCATCATCATTGCCAAGAAAATTTGTGTTAAGACGAGTTTATCACGGCTAGTGCTTTGTGAAGAAATTGAGGTAATATTGAAGCTAGATTAATGGGTGCCCTGAAATAACCATTTTGGCAGACAATCCTTAGATGCTGCGTCTCGCAATTAAAGCTTTGTCAAGAAGAACTAATTAATGCTGCATTAACATCAATCCAGCAATTCTACCCAAGAAACTGAATAAGTAGATAGCAAACAATAGGAAAATTACTTGCCTCGTCTTGTGTTTATCATGCATGGAGTTTTATGTGGGTCTACTCCAATCATTTTCAGCAAGCGTTTTGTCAACGTTCTTTTGCACATACTTGAAGCTTACAAGTTAAGGAGAATATGGAAATTTAAGTTTTTACTTCAAATTTTACACCAAAATTAAATACTTTTACCCACAGGGGCATATGCAAACAATGATGACTTGATGAGAAATAAAGACAAGCTCTACATACTTTCTAGAAAATGTTTGTTAAAAGACGCATTTAATTCACCTTTGTTAAAATCATTGTTTACTGATCTGCCAAAGAGCGCTCGATCAATGTCGTTTAGACAGAGCTGTACATACTTTGGTTCGACTAAAACTAAGACCCACGCCTAATGCGATTATTTGGTAAATGTTGGACAAATACACATAAAGAGCTTTTGTTTTTCATGCTGCTTTCGTGGCAACAAGTTATCTTGATGTTAATAACTATAAGCCTGTACTTGACAAGCATCTGGAGCTTTTACTAACTGATTCAAACGAATTCATTCTTCTTATAACTGCTAACAATATGCTTAATATTTGTCAGGATTAATGTAACATTACCGACACATCACATCTTATGTTCAAAACCTATTGAAATCGGTCTACATTAAGTCATGTCAAATAGCTTCTAAAAGCTGGATTAATTTCTCCAAATATTGCATCTATATAGTTTTCGCATCTAGAAAATAGTTAGCTTTTGTAGACTAGAGTTATCTAAGTGTATAACATGAAAAGTCAGCTTGGTGGATTGTGGTGGCCGTATCTGAATGCATCACAGCTATTTTTCCGGAGATTGGCAAGTCCTTTATAATTTTTATTGAAATACATTTAGGCAGGCCGTCATGTCACTTTATCTAACTTTAAAAATACTAGTAGTTAAGAACTACAGTCTAGCAAATTATTAAAGCTCATCGTAACAATGAAAAATATGAATATTATGTCATCAATATAACAGAACATAACTTTAGATTGTTCTAAATGCTTAAGAAAACGAGTTGCGGAGTAACAATAGTTAACTCAACTGCCAAATGATTTTAAAACCTTAACATTGAGAAGATAATGTAAATAGCCTTGCCAGAAACATACCTCCAGAGCTGCATAGTGTGACGGCGAGAATAACTGAAAAATGGGATTATAAGCAATTACAAAGTAACCTGGCTTCCGACACAAAAAGCGAAACAAATATTTAAATAAGATTGTGTTTTTGATGTATTTGAAACTTTAGTATATCTTATCGAAAAGCTTGCCTATGTTCCTGCAGTGGGGTTTGATTTCGCAATGTTTTGAATGGTTTCCTTGATGTCATTTGATGCTTTCAATACAGCTTTGTTAATTTTGGTATTGCCATTCTTAGTAAGGAATGTATCTATGTACCAAGAATACACCAGAGAATGAGCTTCAATGGCTAAAGTTCTTTGCATTCAAGATATGTGACAAGATTAAACGCTAAGCATACATTCTTTAACCCTAGAGGATGAGTTTTGAATACCAAATTGTTTTGATAATATCGACAGTAAATACAATCTAACGAGGCGCTGATGTACAAGGTAACGAAACGTCATGAAGACAAGATAGGCGTGAAGGAACAATTAAACCTAGCCTTCAGGAAACGATACTTGCAACATGGCGATGTACCGGGTAACCTGCCTGCAGTACCGGGTAGAATGCACCTGCACTTTTGTACTCTAGGTATGCTCTGTTGATTTTTGCTGATTTTATCTAGATCACAAGCTATTTTCATTTTAAATAAGCAGTACTAATTTGCAAATTCAACAGTGATGTGTTAGCGTTTCTTATTGGCCTATTTCGATCCACAACTGGTTGTATATATTTCTTAGCTTTGAAGCTGTTTGAGATTGTGCAGTCGAGTTTTTTTTAATTGCTTTCAAAGCAGCATTTTGCTAAATAGATAATGCATATTGTACCCAGGTATTCCAACCAAAAAGTGACTTAATTGTTTGTGGAGGAAATTCTAGTTATTCTGTAGTTAGTCTCGAAAACATTGGAAAGGAATATATCCATTGATTGTCCATACGGCAATAATTCTTTGAGTATTTGTGCTCCAAACGTTTAACATAGCTTTTATGGTATCAATTTAATCATCGTTTTCGAATACTTGGTGGAAATTATTTTAGCCTATGCTAAACAATATGTTACACTGTCCGGCTTTATCGTTAGGTACACTATCAGAGTGGAGAGCGAATGGGCGGTACTTAACTGAAGACATGTTTAACAATGAAATAGTATTGTTGGCATTAAGCTGCCATGGTTTAAGTATTTTAAAAGCATTTTTAGGTATCCAAAGCTACAAATCCAAAACACTTCATTTTTAGCATCATAATATTTTTGTTTGAAAGAGGCTAGTTAAGTTCTGAATACCAAACTACATCGATTGCAACGAATTTTTTTGAATCAATGCAGGATTATGAAAATAGTAAGAAAGGCAGTTGTTTAATTTTGAATTTCAATAACAAAGCTGCCTATACCAACGGCTTGTCTTGATTAGCTTCGTTCACGACATTTGAATTGAAAGACATTATTATGTCACACAAGCAAAATTTTGCAATCATACCATTTGTTGTTTGAATTTTGCAAAAATTACTGTTGTAAATTCTTTATAATTCAAATAATTATCTACACATAATTTAAAAACCTATTGTAAAAACTGCCTTCTGATGCGACTAAGCCTGCCTTGAAAATAGCACTTAAATTGCCAGACGACATTTGCAAATCATGTTTTTTGAAGGCAAAGGAGTTGTCATTGTAACAGTTAATTGTTTAGGAAAAATCGATTTTGAGTCAGTTTCAATAACTGCAGCCCATCTCAATGTTTAGCATTTTAAAAATCCTGGGCTTGTAATCTGAAAACAATTAGCCAATTTCCATTTTAAAAATATTTCTTTCATCAAAATGGCCAAAATCATCTAGAATCCACATTTTCCATTTATGAATGCTTTAAAAAGCACTTGCTTTGTTGAATTTCTCGAGTTTTTCTCCCTGATGATTTCTATAAAATTTGTACTGATTTGTGTAAAATTTCTTCTTTGTTCACTACTCTGGTGCTTGTGATGCAATATTCACATTATATTTGAACAGCCCTCTTCAATGAAATGAATTTTTGTTTTAAACTTTGTTTGAATTTTTTTGAATAATATTCGAATAAATGTGCGACATTTCTATCGTGTAGCCAGTGTCTGAGGTTTCCTCGTTTATACAGTATTTTCCTCTCAAGTTGTGCCAAAAGAGTCTTGCGTTTAAACAATATTTTGGCTCTAGGCGAAACCATTAAGGACGTACTTTGATCTAGAGCCAGTTTCCGTCTGAGTCTATTTGCAACCCGTTTCCTTCGTTTAAACATTTTATTCAGGGCTTGTTCTCCTATTAAAGTCCCTTACAATATGGTTGGCTTCTCCGAGAGCTGCGTCGTGTGGTATGTATCTAATTCACAAACAGCCGGTGTTGTGGTTTTGGCTCAAACGAAGCAACTTAATAACGCCCACTACAGCCTGGATGATTGATTTATCTATCTGTTAATCCTTTGCATTCATGTTAAGTAAAACTTACTATTTTTGAACAGGACGTTTACACTATAAGCTCATCACACCAATCACGTCCTCTTTGAGGCTCTATCCAGTACTAAACGATCATCTATTTACGATTTACGACTGTAAATTCATTTTGTTCTTATCCGTTCCTAGTCCATTATGAAACGCACGTGCGCATTGTCACAAGCAATCTTTAGAGTACGATGTAAGAATTTCATGACCTGATTTGAAATTTTGGCAATCAATAAATAATGTACCTCTTAGCGGCTATCATATCGCCAACAGTTTGGGAAGCAATTCGTTACTTTATAAAGCACATTTTTGAAATCGCCGCTGATTTTTAGCTACACTTTGTCGGTATAACAGCATAAACAGAATCGCAATCACTTGATATGAAACAGTTGTAGATAAAAATAGTGAATTCCGATATCTTTAACAATTTTATGTAGTCCTGGAAAGAAATCATCAACATATAGTATAAAGATAAATTGAACCGAAAATTTATACTATGTAGTTAATAGATTTTGATGCCTGTGTTTGCTTTTTCTGATAATAAAGGCATTTTGCTTGAAGCATTTATAACACCAGTGCTCGAAAGATAATCTCTCTGCTGCATGTGTTTTAAGTGCTCTCTGGGTCATGCTCGATAAGTAGTTTTTCTTATATATCTAGCCCAACTTAGTAAAACGAAACCGCCACAAGAGATATGATATATCAATTGAATGCGTGTTACGTCATTGGAGGGTAAAATCTGTTGTAACGAGCTTTTTGCTTTCCAGATAGGCTAATACTGTTACAATTTGAAAGAAAGATGGCGCTTGCCATTCATTTTATTAAGAACTCCAACAAAGTAGGGCTTCTGAAATCTGTTTCCCCTTACAAATATCTTTGTGTGAAGAATATCGCTTAACTGAATGAAACCATCCAGACAATATCTAATTAGCTAATGAGCAGGGGCGTTTCAATTCGGCGAAAAGTATTAAAGAAACGATGTATTTATAGCTCTGGAAACCATTGTAATTTGTCACCACGATAAATCGGGCATCTTGCCACGAAAAATCGCACAATGACACATAGAGTATTCTTGCCCTTACCTTTATATATAATGTAATCAAACAATTAAAATGTAATCTTTGAAAACCATCTCCATCCTGTATTCTATTCCACCCTTATTCATCAAAGGCCCTATCTAAACATCTAAGAATTAACTAAACTAACGCAGAAAATAAATCGACCTTTGTTCTCCTTACACTGACTGGATTGTTGTCCAAAAAGTAATGGGTAACGCACGATCTATTTTCAGCTTCTATTTCTGAACATGCTGAATCAATAGCATAACAAATCGAAGTAAATTTCTAACAATTACGTAGTGTACCAATTGACATGCTGGATCGCAGTATTGTAGGATTGACAAATTGAGTATTATTTGTGGGAAGTATATTGTTCATTAATGTGTGGGCAGCAATTTAATTTTTCTTCATGCTTTATTCAACATGTAGACACTTCCTCCTAGATCCTTAGTTTCTTGCATGGCTTTTGCTTTGCCAAAAGAATTTATTGATAACCACACATTTTTGAAGTTAAGGAAAACCAATTGGAAATGAAATCCGAAAAATCACCGCCAAGTAGAAAAATTCCAAAAAACCAGCAATAACTCCTGGACAGATAAATCTGGTAAAAGCGCAAATTATACCATCACTAACTTTTTCTTGGCAAAACCATTTATTATACGTTACAAAGGGGAAGAGACGTTTAAGCATTTTGAAAAGTGCGGTGTACGTCAATGTGAAGTGGAAAGCAATGGAAATATTATTTTCATAGACCGGTTGTTAAGGAAAATCCTATTGATAAAGGACAGTGTCAATGACAAGGCTCTAAAAACAGTCATATCAATCAAAAATAAGTCCGTGTCTTGGTTTTTCATTTTTGAATGTATAGAAGGCTTTCTTTTTCACTTTTGGACTCCATTAGTAATATTTTCTTTAGGCAAGCAGTGCGGATTGAGCAACGATAAAAGTCATGTGCTCGCGTTTTTGAATGGCTAATTCTGATCCACTACAGCGTAGCTAATATGTTCCCTAACTCGATCTATGCTCTGACGTTTTTTGTTCTGAAGAGTGTCAAGCAAAAAGCTTCAGTATGTATCAAAATATTAGTTCTTTCAAAGCTATTTTTAAGTACTTTTTATAGGCGGTAGTATTTAATGAAAAGTTCAGATAGATTTTCATAAGAAGCTATGAGAACTCTGAGCTGAACTGCTACATTCTTATATGCTACATTCGCCTCCTCTTGCCATCAGCTGTACTATCGAGTGCTATTTATTACACTAGTGCTGTCTTATTATGCTACACAAATGCGTTCACTTTCTTCACTGCAACCCTATCAGATGTTTGATGTGTCAACGTTCAGGATCTTTGACTGTTTCCTGCGAAAATTTCCACGGTCTTTTTTGCAACAAGACTGCATTAGCAGAATCTAGCGCTTCTAACAGCCTTAACTCCTTAGAATTTGTAACCATTAAATATATCCTTCACAGAAATAGACACATGTGCTTTTGTCTGTCTTTGAATTTACAATTTCAATCTTTAATCCAAATCATTTCTTTATGGAAAGTAAGCTAGATTGCCATTTTTTCTATATCTGGCAACAGGCCTTTGATTTGGGATATGGGGCTGCTACAAGTTTGCTTGGCTACATGTGAATGTCTTAGTAAAAGACCTGAATGTTTTCGAATAATTTTCTTTTATGGAAATGTTTTAATTTAGTTACTTACGAAGACGCATAATGACCAGCATAAATTGATTAGGACAGGTCTATCATAAACCTGTCTGATCTTTGATATAAACTTCCATCATGTGGAAATATGTTTGATGTTTATACAACAAAACTGACAAGAAAGTCTATAGTTTAATAATGATCAAAGAATTGGTGCTTGCTTAAAGATGATTGCATCTTTTAAGGCTATTGGATTTTTCTTTTGGTGGAAATCCAGTTACGACAATTGTTTTAGAATTTGCAGTTAAGAGAAGAAATATTCATGATTTTTAAATGTTTACGTGATTTATACAACTTTTGTTGTAAAAACAAAATTCTTAGTTGTTTCAAGACGTTCTTAAGGGATGATTTCTTCTGTGAAACCATGAATTCTCGCCAGCAGCTGATGCACTTCTCTACGACTTGCTAGAAAAGCCTCGAGGATTTGAATATATTATCTTCAAAATCTTTCAGATTCGTAAGGAAACCTAGCAAAGCTGCCCAAAGTAAAGCCTCGCTTTTGGGTTTTTGTGAGAAATGCGAGTCTTCACGGCTTGTGCTTGTCACCTTGTCTTGAGAAAGTGTCATCCGTTTGCGTTTTCGGATCTTTTCTTGGCTTTATAAAGATATTAGAAACAAAAACGAAACACTTTGAAGCATAGTTTGCGTTTTAAGCTGTTAAAGAAGAAGCTTAGCAATATATCAAATGAAGATTTTGTCTTTTTCAAACATTGCTGCATACACTTAAAGCTCATTCTATTGAATAAGGGATATATACTGATAGTTTGATAACTTACGAATTATTTTTCTTGACGACTATTTAGAGATCATAAGATGAACAATTTTGTAATCTTCCTTGTGTCTAACATTGTGTCAACCTTGAGCATCATGACTTTTAGAGAGACTGCTTAAATTTGGTCTGTTAATGTTCATCCACAAAATTTGAGAGTTATTGCGTACAAGCTTGAGTCGATCTATTAAATCAAAGGCTTTGCTCTTCGTATTTAAGGACATCACATCACACGTTCCTTCCTCCGCTCGGCATTTCCAGTCTAAACTATCGATTGAAATATGGTTTTGAATTCAAATTTTTATTTCCTTTTGCTTGATAAGAAATCGCATCATTTGTGCGGAGAAGAGAAGACAGAGAAGGAAAAGAAGTAGAAGAGGCAGAGAACTTCTATTTGTTCAAAAGCCAATCGAATGAAATTTAACCCTTACAGCCGTCAAACCAGAAGGCATTGCTTGGTTGAAATTTATTTAAGTGAAATTCGCAGTGCATTTTAAATCGCAATACAACAAATTCAATTGATTTGAATGCTTATATTTTATTTTCCATTTTGATAATAGACTTTTATGAAGCTTAACTAGAATTTTGTCAACTTAGATCAGTAGAATTATTTGACGGTCTAGATTATGGGTTTCGGTCTCTTATTGACTTGATTTGATGAAGAATTATTGTCCTAATTTTGAAAATATGTTTTACGTAGAAGGACTGTTATTGTAAGCAGCCGCGCACCATAGCGAATCCCGCAGGTTGCTTGTTAGAAATAGTCGATTGACGTCTTGAAAACCCGGCAGCATGTTGATCGCCACTTTGATATTAGCGCATCGCTTGTGTAGTTGACAACCTGCGTTGGCTTTATTTTTTCAGACAGAAATCAGCGTTCGCCTTTATTTTACCTTCTTCCTTTCTTCTGCGATTGGTTGATACTAAGATCTGAATTTCCCAAAATTATTTTCTTGAATAGGTTTGCGAAGAGAATTTCTATATCTTCATGCGAGAAAAGCAAATTTTACGTAAATTTTCCGAAAATAAACGCAAAAATATACTGCTGCGTGTGGTACTTCTCTGCTTTGCATGTTGTATGAGTAATAGAGTAAATTAAATGTTTGTTTTCCAGCATTGGTACTTGAGCTTTATTTATTGATGAATTACATAATTAAGTCCTTAAAGTCTTCCCTTTGCTCGAGCATATGTGCTTAACACTTTAAAACACGTATGAAAAGCATTAAAGATTTTACTGCTAAAAATGTTTGCAACTTCTTCCAATTAAATGCATAAAGACCCTTGTTAGAGAAAAGTTTTTATGCTAAATGAACCTTGAGTTAGAATACCCAGCTGATCTTGCAATCATGTTGAAAAAAGTTAGCAGCAGGAGTCGATTAATTTTTTAGCGGTATTTCGGCTGAGTTATTTTTGATGTAGAGGAGAGATGAAAACTCACACTTTTTATTGAAATTCGAACTTCAAGATGTAAAGAAGAGTAGTCCTGATGTTCTCGATTTAGTTAACATGAGCTAGCGTAGGACAGACAATAGAAAAAGTACTAGGAAAGAAACACCAAAAGAAGATGTAGCATGTCAGCAAAAAATACAAGCTCTTTTTATTTGAATTAGTCTTTTCTTGTGTCAAAAATAAAGATTATCTATTCGCCAAACTGCTGGATAATGACAAGGATCAATTGTAGCTGAAAATCTAGATATAAAACTTGTTGTTTAAAAAGGTATTGGATAAATGGACACGTAAACCATTACAAGAAGTTTGTCATGAAATACTTTTGCGAAACATCTTTCATATTACGTCTCAAAGCATTTCAAGTATCAAGCATCTCAAGCATGTCGAGTATTAATTTTTCATTTTTTTCGTTTTTTGAAATTTTTAAGCAAATTTTTTCCAGTGTAATCGCTTTTCTAAGATTTTACATTAAAGGATTAAAGAATAAATGTGAAAACTTTCGAACTGATTTTTGATCAATATTCTGTAAGCAATTTTTAGTGCTTGCTAACAAGATAACAGTATTATTTTATTAGCCAGCTTTACTTACCGAAAAGTAAAGAAACACGAACTGACATCTTCATTCTTTTTGACTGTCTTCTATACTGTTTCTTTAGAATTCTTCCTGTTTGGAAAGGTCTTCAGCTCACCTTAGCGTCTTCCTGTGAATTTTCGTATGGATGGCCAGTGAGCTGCATTAAATAGAGGTTTCAAAGACGGGTGTTTATACCTTCAGAAATTGCAACCTCGAAAGCCATGAGAGCTGTGTGATTTATAACAGCTGCTCTATTTTTGCTGTTAGCAGAAGAATGTCGATTAATTAATACAGAGGTTTATCGTTCTTCATTCTGTTAAATCTGAGAATGAATGAAAAACGCTGTTATCTTTGACTGATTTTAAGAGTCTCCTAGTGTTGAGACGGTTGTCTTAAGCAGCTGGTCTTTCGTGCCCGATGTTGGTCCCACTTAGATTTCATCCCCTTTTAAATACTTGTAAGAACGATAAGTTCCTTGTACACCCCGTACTTTTTGCTCATGGAAAGAATAACAGAATATGCTGGCTGTATCTTGAATGTACTGGCTGAAAAGAATGCTTTGAAGATTGGTCTTTGGGCAATTAGATCTTCTCGATATGCATCTTCTTGATTCTGTTCTTGACCTACTCCAAGTTCCTTTATTGTTTTCCGCTGTCAAACTTTGTTTGCATGAAGTTGAGATATAGAGCAACTAATTCGTCAATGACTTCCAGTTTTATTTCTATCGAGACTGCTTATCGAGGCATTTGCAGGATAAAATCAAGTTTATCCCGCTTTCAATTATCCTAACTTTTCTTATCCAAATGCTCGTTCCGAAATGCAAGTAAAGCGCCTACTTAACCCACAGAGATTTCGCTGAAAGTATAAGCTAAAATAAACGACTTGATAGCCAAAGAAACACGCTCACAAGTAAATGTCTCCAAACAAAGACGGCTACGTAAAGTCAGATCTGATAAAATTCTACATCTAGAGAGTCAAAACAGAATGAGCTGAGCAAATTTTAGCAGATGAGTTAATCAAAAGCCTTAATGCAAAAGCAAATCTGTTCTGATTGCTAATCGAAATTGCAAGGGAAAGTTCAAGCAGTGCTCAATGAAACAGACAAACATGTTTATTTTCCTATGAATGTTCTGTTTTTGCTTGCTCTTCCTTAATAATGATTTAGTTGCTACAGTAGTGGTCGCCGGTAATATCACATAGGGGTATGCCCAGTTATGAACATCAACATTCAAGTTCCATCTTCAGTCCTGTAGTAGATAGGCGAGCTAGATACTTCCTCGGTAAGAGTTGACTGTTTTTTTAATCCAGGTTTATCGTATGACTCAATACCTTATGTCCAAAGGTACAACAGAGTCAAAAACCAAAGGGAATTCTAAATCGAGTTTTTAAGGCTTTTCCAATTTGAGTCTAGCTAAAATGCAAAGATCATACTACGCACCTCTTCATGCTCGAGTTTTGCTCCCTTAAAATCTGTTTATGGCAATACCACAATTGCTCATGTATTGGCAGTTGATGAGAATAGGTTTACTGACCATCGAGAGCATCATAAGATGGTCGAGGAGACAAGGAAGATGGTTGAGGAAAGAGGAGGTATTTGAGCAGCTTATCCCGAATTGGTACAAAGTGGTTGTCAAAAAAATCTAAACAGCTGGACCAAATCTGACAGTGGGCTGACTTGTCAATACCATTGGAGTTGTCACTTGTCCTCACATTAAGAACTCTGCCTACTACGTATTAATCTTGACTTTTCTCGGGCATAAACCGATAATCATATGAAGTTAATCAACTCAAGATAGGCAAACATGTCTCGTTATTATGATCAAGTCCATTCAACAGCTATAAAGACTGCGCAGAATTCGCAAGGTTCTTACGCCACAGGCTACACAGATACTGCAGCTCCTTATTTTATAGTATGCATCGGAATGGTATGCCTATGGTATGTACACAAAATGCTGCTGAACAAGCAATGGAATTACATTGGTTGCCCATGAAGCGTGAAGAATTTCACAAACCAACTTAAAAGAAGACGACAATATGGCTGACATCTTCTAGGTTCTTTTTTCTTTGGACACGCAGGACCTGCTTTATGGAATAATCGACCATTGCAAGTTACGGGTGCATATGACATACAAAATGCTTAAAGCAGACTTGTGTATAACCTAGCATATAATCTGTGATTTGTAAATATCCTTTTGTTGTACAGAAAATCCCTACAAAATTATATTTTGTAATTTTCCATAGCAGTGAGTTTCCAATCTTGTTAATGTCCAGATTTCACACCAGCTCTTAAGCTCTGTTTTACTTCACCTGTAAGCTATGAAACTTACAAGCATATACACATATAAATGCATACATATCCAATGCAAATACTGTCTTCCCTAACTGCCATATAGCTCGATGCCGTATACACGTAGCATAGATAGGGCAGTAACCACTTTAGTGCAGGGAACCGACGGATCAAGGTTGCAACTTAGAACCGTCCTGCTTTATGCATCAACGCGAGTACATACTTACCAATGCATATGATGAAATCCATTGCAAAATATAAGGGTGCTGTTTTACTTTTTCATTTCAATTCGCTACCAAGCACAAAACCCTTTAAAAGGAAGCCATGCTATTAACTTATTGGCCTTTTATTTAATAAGCCTTTCAGATCATGCAAATAGGCATGCAAAGTTCGAAATATTGCATATCAATTATTGAAGATGACAAGAGCTGATCACTGGCTTGTGAGCATTATAAATTGACACTCAGCTGGTTGAAAGCAAAAGGCATACTGTATTTTTGGGTAAAGCACTACAAAGGGCGCCGTTAAAGATAGCAGAGATGAGAGTTCCAAATCTATTTTTCGATTAGTGCAACAGCATGTTGTGTGCTCTGAAATCCTTAAAGTGTATACAACGACTTTAAGGCGATCCTTCAGGTCTGCTTTAACAGTTGATCTCGTTTCTCTACTGAGTTCATAGGTAAGATTGTTATTGAGTAGGATGCAAAACATGGTGAAGTAGTCATCAATGATTAATGAATAATCCAACTGCTTCAAAATGGATGAATGTTTGAGACTTTAAGCAATCTTCATGCTATTTATCGAACTACAATCCTAGCCAAAAGGTTAGTGGACTTGAGAAAAAACCCAATAAAATGCCAACTTAACCTCCAATAAAGTTATCAAAACCCCCCACCCCTGCAGCAATGTTGGTTTCTTGGAAAATAACGGCAATCAAAAGGAGAAGAAATAAGCGTATCCACATTGACTGTAGGGGATGGGGAGCGTATTTGTTAAAAAAGTCTACAATTTGCCAGCCAGCCCAATAACTTTTGGCCAGGATTGTAGTCTTGATTTTCAAATCTCAATCTTTGCGTAGAATGTCGGCACAGCACTGTTACGCAATAATTGATAGATTTTAGCACGAGTTTGTTATCTTGATGAGGTAGTTTTTTCTTTGCAGTTAGGAAATCTATGATAGAAAGATTAAGAATGGTACCCAAAATATTCATCATCCTCTAGGCTCGTGACACCAATTGCCAGTTTTCGTTAGGCAAGAATCTTAGATCTTGTTGACGCCAAACCTTTATTATAAAATTCATAGTGCCGACCAAAGAAATATAAGAAGACGTATGAAGAAAAAGCAACAACTGGGCAGAAAATGTAAAAATGATATGACCCTGCTTCTGTGTTCTGAAACTATTTGGGATGTTTTCCGATGCTTGGAAAGTCCTTTAGGGACACTTTATCGTGATATATAAACATTTTGAATGTTTGTCAAGGTTGAACTTTTCAAAAGCTGTGTGATATTCACTTGCAGAGTTCGGCAGACTTAACACCAAAAAGAAGGCAAATGTAAAGTAACAAGCAACCTTTACTCAACACTGGGCTATAATCTACTGCGTCTACGCAGCAGATACAGTTTGCATATGAATAAAAGCATTCATCAGGAGATACCTATTCAGTATTAACAATCAGCTTAAGCAAGTCATTGATACCGACTTAGCTAGAGCCATGCGAATGAAATGCAGCGAGACCATAACACAAGTTTCTACACAGTAAACCCATTCGTTAGACTCATGTAGGACTTTTTCAATGGTCGATTACTGTTAATGGGTACAGCAATCAAAGACAAAGTTAGTACCGACCACAAAGCCACAAAAGGCTAGGTAAAATAGCAAGTTGTTGAATTGTCTCTAAGTGGCTATATTATAAAGGGTCTATTAGCTGAGTCAGCTTTGCATATTCATATTAATAGATGAATGAATGGACTGTTGTTAGCCATGAGCAAAAATAGATATTCAAATGCCATATGCCGCATGAATTCCCCAAAGAACCTTTTCCTTTGGATGCTGCTGTCCTTCCTAGACAATATTTTTCCTTCTTTTCACTTGATCGGTGCCCTTAATTATAGTGTTGGTGCAACTAACAAATGACCTAATTGATGATAGCTTAGCAAATATCATGCAAATCAGAAAAAGAAGCGAATTTCAAAGGGGGAGGGGGGTGGGGAAGTAGCTGAACTTTGAAAACTGATAATAGTGTTTTAAGGTAACGTTTGTCTAAGAATAGCTTAGTGGTTAGGATCGTGGAGTACAGATTCAAGGGTCGTTCGAGGCTTTGGTACGACTCTTTCCTAGGGACTAGAACACTTTGCCAGCTCTCTGTAATTGCGCTCGTAGGAGTTCCGAGGTTTGGCCACATCGAGAGAAGACCAGGACCCCTCTCGATAAACATAGCTTTTCAATGTCTATAAACTACTTTTGGGAGCTAGGTAGCAACAAATAAAATAAAGTTGACCGAAAAATGAAGTCTATGGAACCAAACAACTGGAGTCAAATGAATACTCCTTTCTCAAGCAAAATTGTTTAGAAAATCCAAACATCTGTGATTTGCAATCTACGAAGACTTTATTCTATCTTAGAAGTGTTAAAAGGAAGTTGAATTTCAAGGTTAAGGTAGGAAAATTTAAATCTTGTAATTAGATGTTGCAAACTACAAACATTTTGTGACCTAGGTCATTTTAGAATTTCGTTAAGTTGTCTTAAAGATTTAATTGCCTTAAAGCTGCCTTAGAACTGCAAAAATGCATCTAAGCACTCTTTGGTACTAATAAGAGTGATAAATTAGATTTTACGTGGATGTTTTTTTTTAATTTTCATCACAAACAATGCTTTGTAATTAGC